TGGCTCATTTAATTGCCTCGGATGATGGGCTACAGACTTCTATGGATTAAATATTACAACTATACTGTGACAGAACTCTACGATATACGCATGTTTACGTCTGACAGTAAATAGAGTAAATCTGATGCTTCACTCACTCGAGTTGCAGGCGACTCGCAACCTAGTCGGAGTTGAATCGTGGGAGCGTCTGTAGTGCCATAATTGCCTTTCTTGGCCGACTTGCGGCTGTGGTATCGGTGACGCGCGGCTTGGTGTACGGGGTCCTGCATGGAAGGTCTTGGTCCGATATTTACAAACGTTGTGACTGCCCCTTGGCGGTTGTGGGTGCTCGCTGGTTGCTGTTTTTTAGTTCTATGAGCCTCGCGCACGTGAGCCTGACGGCGTGTGTGCGCGTTGGATCCTGTGTGTGTCAGCATCGCACCGGTCGGTCTTCCCACTTGCAGGTGACGGTGCTGATGAATACAGCGATTCGCACATCCTGCGGAGGGTGCTGTAATGCATGAGTCACACAGCTTGGAGGCTCACTCAGCAAGCAAGGGAATATGGGATCCTGTGGGTAGCCGTTGGGAAGCCGTTGGGTGCGATGAGGCAAGGGATGATTGCAGCGGGATATCTTATCTTTATCTCTCCGAGATGCTGACGCCGAGGCACCATGATCAGGATTGGCTGCGGACTCGGTACTGGTCGGTTCCTGGGAGACAGGGGTGCTGCCGAGGGCATACCTGGCCGGTGAGTCGACTGCGTATTGGTTGGGCAAAGCTGTGGAGTGGCATGCCGTCAGCGTCTGACCTCATCACGTTCATGTACAGGAGTTATTTCTCCTAAAATAGAAGGATAGGAGCTAGAGCCGCCCCCTCGAGCTTGTGATTCCACCACACGAACCCAAAGATGGCCAGTGCGAGTGTGCGCATCGTAGGTTATGTTCCGGTCGGGCGATTTCGTGCAGAATGGGAAACATCTGGAAATTTGTTGAAGAGGTAGGAGATCGGAGTTCTACATCGGAGGGAGTTGACGGTGAGCCTATCGTGAACGGGCCAACAACTGTAAGATAACGCGTCAGCCATGGCGTACGTTGGAGTTACTGGACTGAATACCTATCGAGAATGTTCTAACGCCGCCTCGAAAGCATCCACTTTTTCTGTCTCGAAAGAGAAAAATTGGCTGACAGGAATAAGTACTGTACGCGTGTTTGTGTCTGGAAGATCAGCCAGCCTACAGCACCCATTCTAGCTGTAGAACGACTGAATATGCGATTGAGCGCTGCCCGCGAGATGTAAGGCCGAAGTTGAGTGGTTGGGCCTGCGCAGGAACGAGCGCAGTTGGTCCATAGTCAGGCACGCCCGAGGAGGGAATGGGTCCCTATTAGGATACGTTCCCCTGAGCGCTGGGATCGGGGAGGATCGGGTTGAGGTTTGCACTTTGGGTAACTCGGGTTCGCGCTCGGGTTCAGATGTTGTGGGCGGGAGATTTCGCCCGGGTGTGCGCACGATAAGCATATGCGAGTGGGTGATTGGAAAGCAAAGGGATGCTTACGATTATCTGTGCGATCGGACCGAGGGGCCTTACTCATGTTTTCTCGAGTGTAAATACGAGCGCGCTGTTCGGGCCATTGAGCCGCAGCAGGTGAGGGCTGGACAGGGTTCGACATGTTGGTGGGTCTGGTGTGTATGCTGGGAAGGGGTTCGATAAAGGAAGGGGGAGGGAGGGGTCACTTGGCGAACCTCGTTGGTCGCGCGTGTGGGATCGGATTCGTGTTCTGGTGGGGGACACTGCCGGGACGGATATGGGGTATCGCCGCGTCGTGTTCGTGCGGCAGATGCGGATCTAGGACAAGATCTGAATGCCATTTTGAGGGCATCCAGATATGGAAGTGGACTGAGATGATGATTACGCAGTGCAGCGAGACACGCCTCGGTTTGTCTTACTCGGCTTTGTCACACCATGTATATATACGCCTCCAGCATCGCACTTCCTCTCCCCCCGAGCATACCCCCGAGTCATAAATCTCGCCCCCACATATCCAGGGCCTTGCATCTAGCAGTCACTCTCGACTCCTATCGCACTCTCAAACACTCAACCGAACGGCTCAAACGCCTCCTAGCGACAGCCGTCAGCGACCCTAATTAGCGTGAGTCCCCGAACATCTACATCCCCGCGCGCCACACCGCGGCTAACCCGCGCTTTTTTCGCAATCCTTTTAGGGGACCAACAACAATTCAATACGTCGCGCGCACAAATAGGGCGCCCTCCTCAGTCAACTCTTCCTGAGATGCCACACATACTCTCCATGACCCCCACTACCATCTCACCATCACTCATGCTCCCATCCTCATCCTACTCGTCCTCGTCGACTGCTTCGACATCGACGAATCCTCCCGCCACACCTCCTCCCACCCCACCCAGCCACCTTCACAAGCTCCATCGTCGGAGGTCACCATCTCCCATCCAAAATCCCTTCCACAGTCGCCCCTACACCCCAACGACTCCCCTCAACGATATTACCCGCATCCTCGACCCCGCATACGCCCCTGCCTCCGCCAAGACCCTAACCTACACGCAGCAATACGCGTACGTCGACGGCCGTGGCGAGCTCCACGACCCCGATTACCGTGATTTCCGTCTCCCGACTGCCCACTCGCAGAAGTACAACCAGCGGTACTCACATCCATTCGGCGACGACGGCGACGAAGAGGAGGAGGAGGACGAAGGCTCATGGGAAGTTGGCCGCCGGCGGTCGAGCGAGATTAACCAGCGTCGTGATCGCCTTCTTTCGGGTTACGATACCCCGCTCTACAACTACGAGCCAACAACAGCCTACGAAGAGCGCGGCCGCCCGCAGGAGACCAAGGAAAGCACCCGCTCATGGGTTCGCCGCCGCAGCGCCGAGCTCACGCGCAATTACCGCGAGCAGCCAGCTCGCGCGGTTACGTTCGAGGATGACGAGTACGATCTCCCTGCCGAGGACGGCGAGGTCGAGGGCCAGGATGAGGGTGCCCTCGAGCACACCGAGAACGAGAATGAGAAGTTGGACGGCGACTTCACGTAAGTACTCTTCGATTTCTTCTCCCGACGCGACGCTTATCATTGCCCGCCTCGCTTAGGCCCACGTGCACCCACAGTCTCCGCCGCCAGTGGCACGCCGTCATGCTCGGTCTCCGCTTCACTGTCTTCCGCACGAAGCGCCGCATTCGGCGCCGTCTCTCAGGCTGAAGAAGGCCTCGATCGACCGTACATACTTCAGCACCGCCTGTGCCACGCCATTCTGTCTTAGACCGACTACACTGAGATCTTCGCATTCTCATCTGAACTGGGCCGCTCCGCTCTCTATCTGGCGACAACTCCACATATCTCCCACTTGGACAACCCCCAATATAGACGGGAGAAGAGAAACGGTCGCTCATGGGCGGCTAATGGCCCCCAGCGACATGTGCTCGGCGCATATATGCGCATATACGCACACCCCAGCGGTCCCCAGTGCCCACTCGAGGATGCGCCTGCCTATTCGGTAGACGTCCCGTTCCTCGCTTTAGCTTCACACTCCACCCACCCTCCTAGTCTCGTGGCTACCTATATTCTGCTTCTTCCCCGGATCTTGCATTCCACCCCATCCTATGCCTCTCCCTTCACAGTTCTACCTGTTTCCCCACCAGCCCTTTCACGCCTCAAGATTTACTCTCTCACGCCCACGTTCTCGTTCACGCTCTGCAAACACTCTACACGGACACGGATCTCACATTGCTTCACGTCTCTTTTATGTTTATGCATGCACACGCACGCTCGGACTTTCATTCACCACGGATCGCATTCTCATCATCATCATCATCACCATCCATCATGCTCATCATCACCACCACCTACATCATCATCGGATTTAAGACACATTTTCACGACCCCATCGACATCTATATCCTGCATTTACGGACGGACAACCATACCTCGGATCTCTCTTCCTCTTGTTTTCACTTCTTCGCATCGTCGGCGCTCGTTATGAACGGCGCTTCTTTCGCTTTGGCTCTTCTGTGAGGGGCTCATTGCACACTCTACGCATATGTGGGGATGTTTTGGAGTACGAAGATGGAGTTCACGCATACGCTAGTAGTCTACATGTTCACGACGCGGTTCTGGTGAATGAAATGGTTTACTACTTGACATGACAGTGTGTGAGTTTGATTTCGAGTGACTATGAGAATCTGCTATATGGATGTGTCTCAGTATGCTTCATTGAGTTGCAGTCGCAGACTGATTATGAATCGGACTATGGACGTTATAGCATTGCGGATTAGCCCCGTGCTAATCTGGAGTGAGTACTTTTGGACTCTGGCGTAAGTCCGTCATGGATAGGTTATAGAGGGGGCCGAGGGACGAGGAACGAGGGGCACTTGATAAAACGTATCTCCTGAATCCTGAAACCCAGAATCTGACCCTGGACTAGGGAGGCCCCAAGGGCAAGGGGCAGGAGTGCTTACTGTACCCCTAGCACGATGCAAAATATGTGATGTGTTGTTAACTTTGCCATGATTGCGGCGGTGGCTGACGCAGACGATGTCGATAAACTTGCGATGGGGCGACTTGGCCGTGAGAGATCGAGGCACGGGCTACGACTCACGAGATGCTGAGGCAGAATGAGAGCTTGGCTGTGTGGCGGACGTTTTGAGCGGGCGGACGTTGCCGTGTCGTAAGAGCGGCGTCAACGGCCGCGGAGACTAAGTAGTGCTCACAAGAGCGCCACAGCCACGGAGTTGGGCGAGTGGCGTTTTCGGTTGGACACACACAAGAGCGCTTGGCTTGTTGTGTTGATTGGTACCATGTGCACGTCACGCTGATAACAACAAGTAAATGAACGGGCCTTGAAGGATCCTGACAAGAACGGTAATATGATAGTTCGTGTTCGGAGCTCGCAACAATCAATTGTTTTTGCCCAATAAAGGGCGCTCTAGGTTGTTCATGAATGGATGCATGTGCAATTACAACTCCCATCGTGCGTGCTACTACCCTAACTTAACACGTTGATGGACGAGGGGCTATCCGAGGATTTGAGGACCAGCTTACAATAACGACGTCACGCCACTGCTAGTGGTTGAATCGACCTTAGCCTTAGTGGTTACGGCACGTTCGTGTGTGAGTGTATCCGGCCAACTGTCAAGAGCTATCTCCGCGGTTTTTGTTCGGTCCCGTCGCGATATTGGTCGAGCGTCAAGATAAGACCAAGTGAAACTGAGTTGCACATGATGATAGATTCAGCACCTCGCAATCGAGGCTGGCCAGATATTTTGCATCGCCTTTGTGCGACTAGTCGGAACAAGAGGCTTGTCAAAACCGTCGTAAAGCATCGTGGAGCATGTCACTCTTGAACGTTGAACGTTTATGTCGAAGTGGTCGGGTTCCAAACGTATCAATGCTCCTGGAACCGTGACTTTTACTCACTCCGAACCCAATAAGTTTTCTTCTGTCAAGGTCCCGAGCTTTCTGTGCGTTTGTTCTAAATTTCATCGTGCAAATGAGCATGCCATCACTAGGGGTACGGTTGCTTGATAAGTTTCTAGGTGTCCCGCGAAGAAGTACAACCTTCCCTTTGGCATTCAATATTCAATTTCTAAGCTAGCCTTTAGTAACTTGTGCTTAGCTGTTTGACTTGACCGAAATGTCAAACGCACGAGTGAAAGCCTGGACTCCGAGTTGTCTCCAGCGTCGACGGCAAAGGGACCTTGCAACTTGGGTAAGTAAATTTAAAGTCATCAGAAAAAGGTTCAACGAAAACAAGTTTGTCTTAGCGATTGATGCACGAACTTATGCGCTTGTTGAGCACGCATTAAAGTGGCTGAGTGTTTAATGGAGCCAACATGGGAGCCACACGTTCCTCGGCATCACGAATGAGAATGTAACACCCCCGCAGTGTACCCCGCACACGCTTTCGAGGTCGCTGCCGTCATGACTCGTATGCATGGTCTCCATGCGCGATGTATCACCTGTTCTAAGATCAAGTTGGGTCCATCTGAGTTCCACTGCCGACTCCGGGTCGGATCCACAGACGTTGGTCAGCTTTCGATCGTGATTCGTGGACGCGGTGTGGGCAGATGTACACCAGTTTTTCGGGGTATTTGAGGAGTTGGATGTTGCAACAATCAGGGATGGCCAGGTTAAATTTCAAAATACTGCATAATGAGGTTTGGAAGCTGAGAAAAGAGTTGACTGCGAATGACGAACACAGTGCCAGGTCAAGGAGCCAACTGGCGTCGGGCGCCTGTCGCGCGCTTATCTCCGCGTCGGGATCGGCTCGGCTAAAGCCGCCGGCTGTCCAATGCCATTGCATCGGAGATCGATCGCGGCGGGGTCGCGAGGGGTTCTCCCCATCTACGATTGTGAACACCGTAGGTTCAGGGGAGGGTCGCAGTCTCTGACCAATGCAGGAGATTTCCCCAGAGTTCCGACGGGACGAGTTCCTAACGAGCCCGAATGCGTTGTGCACACCCACTGGCATGGCCTGCGTCGGAGTGAACTTGCAGAGTCAAACCCGCAGTCGACCCGAGGATAAGTGCAGGTGCGCAGACGCGCGTGGAAGCCCGGCGGCCTCGGGCACACTCTCGGGACTGACAACACCCCGAAGGTTCTCAAGGCTTGAATTGAATTGAATTGAATTGAATAATCATTTTAATGTCCTGAGGGCAATAAGCCCCATGACGGACAGTACTACGCAGTATACACTATGAGTACGCCCTGAACGAATCATGCTTACACGTGCCCGCCGCCCAAAAGGACGTGAACACCATGCCCCTGAGCCGACGAAACCAGAAAGGAGGTAACAAAAGAAACAATCGCCCCCGAAAGCACGCCGGTCCCGTCAACTCTGTCATGGCACAACGGACGAGGCCGCGCGGCGAGGCGGCCAGCGGCCTAAGCCGTAAACTTTCCCCTGTGGAGATCACCATAAGTCTGGCGGAAGCGGCCCGTCGAGTTCACAAACACCATCAACACCCTCACCCCCCTCTCGTCGTTCAAAAGGTACTCCAAGGACTCAGCCCGACGACCTGCCCTTCGCACCACCAACTGCCGCGCTCCCGACCATGCCGGGCAATCAAACAAGAAATGTTGTATTGTTTCGTCCACGCCCCGCGCGCAATGTCGACATACTGGGCTGTCCACCGCGTTGATGCGGTGCAAGAAGGCGTCCAAGGCAATGTGGCGGGAGCGGAAGTGGGTAAGCAGAGCGCCCTGGCGGCGGGGGAGACCAGCAATCTGCTTCATGTGGGCCTCCGATGCCACCTTCCTGTAACCCATGGACTGCAAGCGGGGAGCCCGGTCCGACTGGAGCCACGCAGCCGACCATGCCTCCTTGAGGCGTCCCACCATACCCTGTTTGAGCGCGGACACACTCACCGGCAGCCTGTTCCGCAGGTGCTGTGGCAGTCGCCCTCCCCTATTCACCCTCCTGCCCCCCAACACTGCCTCCTTCGCCGCCTCATCCACCGTCTCGTTCCCCTCCACACCCCGATGCCCCGCCAACCACGTGAGCTCCACCCGCATCCCCTGCAGGTGCCTCCCAATCCCCCGAGCCAGGTCCCAGATTGGGGGCACCAAGTAGTGCCCCGGCGTCCGCGTAGAAGGCTCGCGGGTGGCTGCCAACGCTGCCTGACTGTCGACATACACCCTCACCGTCCTCGCCTCCGCACCCCGTTCCATCCTCAGCAGGTCCAGTGCAAGGGAGATCCCCACCAACTCCGCCTCGAACACCGTATGCTCGGCTGCCGAACCCAGGTGGTACTGCGCCGACCGAGTCGACCCGTCCGGCCGACGTAAGATTGCTGCCGCCCCCACGAGCCCTTCCACCCCAGAACCGTCAGAGTACGCTGCCCATTCATTCCGAGGACGAGCATCATGTTCTTCCACTGAGGCGTCTTTGTCTTTCGCCACACTGACCGTGAACGGCATGGGCACCGAAGGGTAGGGAGTGCGGTGGAGTGGCTCGAGCTCCCCCACGGGGACCCCGAGACGGTGCGCCAAAACGTGTAATGCTGACCTGTGCTTCGCCACTAACCGTTGTGCTGCGTTCTCGAACAGGGCAACAACGGGATTGGAGGAGGGGAGGGTGGCAAGACGAACAGCGCCACGGTGAAGCACCCGCTGTGCGGCAAACTCCATAGGAGGCGCATTCGCCAGAACCTGGAGCACCGCCGTGGGCGTGGTCCTCATAGCCCCCGTCATGGGGCAGAGGGCCATCCGCTGGACTGACGTGAGCTTCCGCATGATACCCAGAGACCCCCGGGCCCTGCCCATATCACCATTGAGCGGAGGCGAGAGCCAGACCTCGCAGGCATAGAAGATCTTCGGCAAAACCACCGAGTGGTAAAGCCGCCGGACCATCTGGAAGGGCATCCCATATGACGGTCGCGCCAGCCTCCGCAGCTGCATTGCATACCTCGCACCCCGTTCCACCGCTGCCGCCGCCTGCAGCCCCCATCGCAGCTCCTGATCCAGCACCACCCCCAGCAGCCTGTGATGCGGAACTGGCTCGATCATCCGACCCTCCACCACCATTGAAGGTCGCTCCTTCGCCCGATTCTTCCCAAAATCCACCAATGCAAACTTCGACACCTCAAACTTGGAGTTGTGCGCACGAGCCCACTCCAGAACTCCACCCTCCCGGTGTAGCATGTCAGAGAGAATCCGGTGAGTCCCGTGGAAAGTCTTCGCCCGAGCCAACAGCGATGTGTCATCGACATACCCGATCGCGTCCTCTTTCCTCCCGGTTCTCAAGGCTTGTTCATGTCGTCTGACTGCGTCCAAGGCTTTTCTGATTGGCTCGCTGGCCGGACGTGTACGATGTGCCGCTCCGGCGGCCACCTCTGTGCCCTACGACCTTGAAGCAGCAAGAACTGCACGGGCTAGGTCATGTCCTCCCTTCGGAACGAGTTGTCGTCTCGGAACGACTTTCAGGCTGAAGCTTGCAAAGAGTACAAGGGCAAGGGTGCCTAAAGGTACATGAGTGCCTCGATGTGAACGTTCTGCTAAGAATAGATGGGGAGAATAAGGTAAAAAGACATTCCTATCCAATTGTCTGAGTTGTAGTCCAAAAGGTTCTGGTGCGGACCTAGAGAAACGTGGCATATGAGGAACCACGACTACCAAATTTTCTTAAATCACTTACGCCACCAGAAGAACACAACGAATGTCATATCAGGAACGAAACGGTATTCAGCTTCAGCAAGGTCGGGAATCTGTAAAGAGATCCGATGTGCAGACCCAAGTTCGTTAGCGTGAAATAGGGACGTGATAATCTGAGAAACTCTACAACAGCACTAGGATCGCTAACAACGAGATGTTTGGTAACACACATTTATGACTTCTAGTGCGGTGGAGGCACCTTATCGAGAATAAGCTTTTTTTTTTTCAATGGTCAGATGAAGCCTCCCCAACGTCTGAGTGCAACCGCACCCCATCGGCATGGACGCCGCGCCCTCATATTCTCTCCGTGCCTTGTCAAGTTTTGCGCCACGCAATGATGGCAGCCCGTATGCACAAGCATATCTGACAGATGGAAATTTTCCACGACTTGAACCGACATCGCTGCCTGTATCAAAGAGATAAAATTTACGATGGAAGCGATGCTGCGTTGCATGGTGAATGCTCGGAAGACTCACCATCATGACATCGATTGCGCCCATACGCATCTTCTTGAGCTATGTAAGGAGAGAATCATCCAGGCTTCCCGGGTCCAGATGAAGCGCTGAAGCAACATGCCCCCGTAGACGATTCTACAGGTGGGGCACCATGAGATAATGACATTCAAGTTATCACTATCTTTGTCTATGTAACGTGGATGAACATGTCTTGGCGTCAGTATAACCAATGACCCACAGACATATGAAGTCATGGATGTCTTGGTTCCACTTTCTCGGAAGCTCACAAACAACTCACCGACGAAACGCGTTCAAAATCACGCATATCTTCCCTTTGACTTCCTAAAGGTTCACCCTAAAAGAGCCCGTAAATGGGGCTTGGAAATAACTGATAACGTGTCGAGAGAAAGAGTGAGCAAAGGTATGAGTGTCAAATGACGTCATAAACTGGGGCACTTCACTTTGCGGAATCCGGCGGATTCCGTCGGTAGATCTTACCCCGCGCGTGTCGATCTACACGACAATGTTCCCTTCCGAGCCGTGGAGTCTGAGACTCCTAGCGGAAGCACCGACGTCATGTAGACATTCCCGCACGGGCGTATAATCTACTGTATTCATTGCCACGAGGTGCGTCGACGGAGGCAAAGTTTGTTCACTGCGAAGAACGCTTTGACTGGGAAAGAGTTTATTAAGTCAGTTCTTCTATCTATGGGTATCCGTGAGGCTCTGGTTCTCGGTGAGTGCCAGATACGATAAAGTAATCACACGCAGTCTAGCAGGGAGAACCAAAGAGGTGCGTGCGCATAATCTTATGTGGGACTTGCTCTGCCGATTGTGACCTTCATCGAGATCGAGCGACATGAGCATGATCTTACGACTTTCAGGTGTAAAGGTTGGATCGGCCATTCATCACAATTGCACATTGATCCTCAGCCTCTGAGATACATGGCAGAACGAATGACGATGGCGATCATTCAACCGATTTACCGATAATACATGAGATATATTCTGAATTGTTGACAGATCCAGGACTTAGATCACGATGCATGGCTGGACTCATACTGAATTAAAGTCGCGATCTGTACAGTCAATGTTTGTGTTGGTGAAATACAGACGCAGATTGATAGCCCTTTGATTAGGAAAATTTCCGGGAACCCACGTACGAGACCGGCACCCGTTTACTTCCCGAAATGAATGTCTAGTTTTTCTGCCAGTTTAATCTGTGCCTGGGAGCTCTGGATCCACGGACCGGAAATCAGCAGATTAGATGTAGATAACATGAGCGTATCATATATAGCTTGGAATTGATGACTGCAGACGACGGCTCAGGTGATGACTCGGAAGGATAGGCAAGGGCAGCGGTCAAGGGTAGAGTCATCAGACTCTGTGTTTAAGATTGGATTAAGAGCTTTATAACGTGTGCGAGACCTTTCTTAGCGATTCTTATTGTGAAAGTGATCATCTGGCGGAGGATAGGGGTTCGTGTCCCGGCATCTACCGGCATTGTTGGGACAGTTCGTGAGAACATCCACGGCCATCGTGGTTAGCCTCAGCGTCGATGTCTGGTCATCTTTACTTCAGCGAGCTTGAAAGAGGTAAGTTTGGCCCAGAGCTGCGCGTTTTAGCTAATGCTTCCATTCTTTCATTAAGGATCTTGGCTCATGATAAGGACACCAACATCTTGAGAGCGAATGTGACCCCCATCAGCACCATCGCGGGTACGGCAAGACAGGGTTGGAGACACTTACCCGCTTCGGAATTAGGTGAGGCTCATGATTGATCTTCTCGCGACCTCCATCGGGTCTTCGTATGCTCTCAGCTCTTATTACTGATCCATGCAGCGTCACGTACCAGTGTCTAGGCTCTGTCACGGGTCGCTAACTGTCGAGAAACTGAGTACTTGACATGAAAAGTGACAGGAACTTTGCGCTGTTCCGAGCCGAGCGCCTCAGAGCCTGGACATCCAGAGAGACCCTAAACTTTTCGAGATATAACTTTTCACCAGTTCTGGAACCCTTACAAGAGGTAGGCTGCAGCCAGTTGAAGGGGTTTCATTCGAACTGAGTTGGCGCAGTAGGTTAATCCGGGCTAACCGTGAGCTCTGACGCCACTCACCCATCGCGCACCGTCCTACTTCACCAATGCTTTCGGTAGGCATTAGTGAGCTATCGTTCGCGACTCCAGCGGGAAACGTTCTTCGGACCTTCGGCCTCACCCATACATCATGCCCTTCCAGGTTCCTTCCTTTTACTGCTCCCTTGGACTTCATGCTGCATGCAACTGGACTTCGATTCCCTACCTCTCCACTACTCCCAGCTAATATAGAGCGCAGTCGAAGGTCCTGCTGATAATCTCTCATGACATGTAGATGAACGCCGTTTGGTGGGTGCACAATTCCGGTGAAATATCTGATCATGAGTGCTGATAATCGCGTGGCCCATACGCCCTCCGGTAAAAGCGATAATCGCGTGCCTCTGCACGATCCCATCGTCCGAGGACCTCGGATAGATGTGTACCTCTCGTCTACCTCGTGTAAGGTATACCAAAGATTCATTTAGCTCGTGTCGCGGATTCGCTGCCACATTCGCTCTTGACCCATACTCCCAGGTATTCCGGCATCGATCCTGTGGGCGCCTATAACGCGATCTCTTGGCTGATTGACGCTGGGTGCCGCAGTATGTCACGCCGATGCAGCCATTTTGACGGTGGTATCGTCGATCTCAGTCACGCACCTAACTTCAGGCTTTCTGTGTGACTCGGCACGCTTGAGCACCAGAATCTGGAGGGGACTTCTCGACGCAAGTGGGGCGTATGAGCTAGTATGGAAGCTCGTCGAACTAGAAGACTGGAGTTTGTTGCGTATTGGTGCGTGTAAGTACAACGTTCAGAACGGCGGATTCACTCGGTTCACAAAGCTGCAAGCTCTTGTGAAGGAGCGTGTATTCCCCATTAGCAGTTGCGCACTGGAAACATGTTGACTCTGTCATCTGATGGGCGTCTGTCTATAGCCTTTCGACGTTCTCCTGTGGAGCCCCTTAAGCGCCAACTCTTAGCGCTAACTGATCGTATCAATCCAGAAACCGAAACCCAGAAGCCCGCACCTTATATGAACCTGAATTTAACCCGATAGAGTTTGCCTTCCTGTTGCGTGTTGTTTCAATTTCTGGCCGAGTTCATCTCGGCCCTCACTCCACGTTCCCTAGAATGCTTCAACGTTTCATATCGAAACCCTCAGCACGCGTCATAATACCATTCACCATTAAGTTTACTATTGCGTTGAGGTATGACTCCATCATGTACTCATTTATCTTCAGCTTATCGACTTCCCCACAATCGGGCTTCTTAACGAAGCGGATTCTTGGAGATCGGTTTATAATCAAGACCGACACCCCGTGTATGTTTCTAGAACGAGATCCAGTGAGTCTCATTGCTTGTTTCCGTGTTTATGATTCTTCTGACAAGCTTAGACTCCTTATGACGTTTTTTAAACATCTTCTCTTCCCTTGTCCGCTCGGTTCTCTAAGGTAGGCATTTATCACGCAGGCGGGTCACGTGTTGTTGGCATCGTCAAATTGCGCAACACGCAGCCTAAGCTTAATGAAAATCAACAACGCTGCCTCAACATCCTCTCTCAGAACGTGGCTTCTCCTGAAGTGCTTGACTGACAGATGAAGATTTCCTAACAAGAAACGTGTTTCTCTAGCGTCGCGGATGCGCCGAAGCAAAACTGAGCAGTGTGGGTGCTCGTGGGTGCAGCGTGCCCACCCTCAAAATCGTTCCCCATCAGAAACCACCGGACGTATGACGAGTTTGGGGATCACGAATCACCAATGGCGGGCGCAAGGCGGGTGCTCCCCGACGCGTGTTTGCTCGATTTGGTACCATGGCGCGTTGAACTCCGGGTACGCGGACCGAACTACAGGATTTTCTACTGGTAACATGACACGTGGCTACGGTACCAGTGAACATTCAATTCAAGGACGCCTGTATCCACAAACCTTTCTTGTTATCTAGTGCGGATGCGGTCGGGAAATGGTACGGCATCATTCGGGAGAAGCAAGGTATGAGAACTGTGTGCGTCGTGGATCGGTGCAGGCACATCCACAATTCAACGTACTCGGAGAAATTGGATCGAGATTGGGAGCGAACCGTGGTCTATACAAACTCTTTGAGTGGTGCTTACGAAGTGTGGTAGTGGACAGAGCTGGCAGGCAGAGAGTGGTATTGCTCAGATACTGGGATGAATTCAAATAAGGCTAACCTCGAACGTTTTTGCATCCTTTACTCAACTTGGTGAATGATACAGGTGCGCCAATCTTGCGGACCCGTAATCAACTAACGGTGCCGTTCAGGATCTTCTCCGTGCGACGAATGGGAGTGTCTCCCCGTTAACTCGGTTGGAGGTGGTGGTCTATTCATGAAGTTCTGAGTCACATATTACACGGCCATAACTATGACCTATCTCTGTGATGATACGGCTGCGCTATCGGACTGCAGATATTTGTTACTGACTACAGAAATGTGCTGTCTTTCATGTCGCTAGCGTTCTTCTAGCTCTCTAGTGGCCAAAACGAGGCCACTTCTTCACAAACTGCGATAAAAGCCTACAGATGCTATGGGCGCCCTTTTTCAGGGTACACCAAGTCCGTAATGGCGTACGATATTCAGAACCAAACAAGGTTTAAGTGTTCATTTTAGGAGTGGTTTCATCTGATCATATTCTAATTTCTCAACTCATCTCTGAGTTATAAATCCCTTATGACTCGGGTAATTTCAGGCGTTGAGGGTCGTCTTTCACGTTGATGACTGCTGGAGCCAGGCGGCTTCTTTTTTTTAATGGCTTGATATTCGCTTTCGTTATAAGATATCTTCCGCTCGAGGAGGCTCGAGGTTGCTGAAGTTCATACTCTGACGCTGGCACATTCATTTGCAGCACCGCCTCAATAGCTCCTTCCTTTGCGTCAGCGAGTGCAGTCAACAAATGATTGTGTTTACAAGCATGTAGCATATACCTCAACAGGTCAGCGCGATAAACCGTATACTGGGTCATTTACGAATTTATGTAATTTCCACCAAACATATCTGCCGCTGCTCCCATCGTTACACAAAGAGCACTCAACAAGGAGCTATGTGTGGTCAACTGCACCAATTTACTCAGTTGTTCCTCCTTCGGCTCGTGTAGCGCTGCCGCCTGATGTGATAATCACGGCATGTTCAAACAGCCAAGGAACCTGCATCTCAAACGTTTGATCTGAGTTTTGGCACATCGTTGTCTATGAAGACCAACTTTAGGACGGGTATCGTTGCAGTCATCGTTTAGGTCTAGGATGCGCGAGCCACCTCGATGTTGGCATTGAAGACGGCGGTCAGAGGCCACACCCCAAGCTGACGCTCATCGATCCATTTCCCTCATTCTGCCACGGAGCACCGTTCATGTCGATTCGCTCCCTTCGCTTATTCATAGAGAAGCTTCTCCCAAGATGTCCCACGGAATGACATGTTTACGGTCTTTCCTCGAATCCGTGTGCTTCGAGCGGCTCTTCTCGCGCCGTACCTTCAACGACTGATGGACATCCCAACGCCTAGCCCTGGAGTGTCCCATGCTCCTCATCTGAAGGAGATATACATGTCAACACCAGCATATCTTCGGGCTGGACCAAGGGCCGAAGGCGTCAATATTGCTGACTCTCCGGAACAACCGTCAGGCCTGGCCTGCCACTCGACATAATTACTGGAGGTAATATCGTCTTATCCGACACTGGCCTGATTCGGTTGAGATGATCGGCTGGAAGCGTGGAATAGTCGAGGCGATTGGGGTATGCAAGTATAGGGAACACTGCGAATGAGGACAGCATTATTGAACTCGAATAGCCTGTCTCTGAATAGGTCGATGATGAATAATTCATCGCAAGGAACAGCCCTTGAGCTCCTCAGAAAAACCTATCAGTGGACGAATCGACATCTGTACCAACTTTCTCCTTTCCAAACGTACAGCTGTACGTGCCCTTCCCTCGGTTCGACGTGATGTCTTCCTCCCATCGTTTAATCGCTCTCTTCCTCCACTTCCACCGCGCCCTCCACCTCCCCTCTCATCCTCGGGACGTCCACGTAAGGCACGCGATCGCGGTGCCACCGCCCTACCAGCCAGTCCACGCGACACAATCCACTTGCAGTAGAGCTCGCGAGGAGGCAGGCCCCAGCGAGCCCTGCACCCGAGTGCCAGGCGACGCGCGTGACACTGATGGAGGGCGACCAGGCGCCGGTGCTTATGTTGGTGGTTTCGTCGCTTTCCTAGTGGATAAACATAAATATGCGGGTATTTGAAGCGCAGGATATAGCTATGGCAAACCTTGGGCAAAAAGTTCTCGAGCATCCGATACTCTCCTGATGAACGACTATAGTCGAGCTGATATATCTTGTGATTGAAGTGAGGCTGTCGAAAGTATAAGTGCGAGAATAATGAGGATTTTGAGAAGTGAATGTACCACGAGCCCACCACGTCTCGTCGACCGCAGGATGTTCGTCGTCACGCAAGACCCGTCCGCGGAGCCAACTGCGAGCTGAGGGTGATAGTCTGATGCATTAACAGTCTTTGAAAAGTCAGCTTAGAGAAACAAAACACGGAAATAGGATTTAAGGGACGCACCCATACTGGCCCAGCGGGCTCGACGAGCACATGCCCGCGGCCGAGCATGCTCGGCGCGAGGGCGTAGGCCTTCACGGTGTTATCGTGGTCGATCATAATGGGACCTGATGCAAAGGGGGAGAACGTGGAGCTTGTAATCACGTCTTTTCCCAATCGAGAGAGTGATTGTAAGCATGAAATTGTAAAAGTGGACCGGATTTTCGATCATACCTCTAGTCCTGTTGACGACGTATCCCTTCACTTCCCTGATATCTGTGAGGACCTCGGTGCCGTCGTACCCACCACTAGCAAGCACGGTCGGATCGTTGGGCTCGCCTTCGTCTTCGCCAGACGACGATGAAGGCGAGACGCGAACCCATGACAGCGCACGCACGGCAGACTGATGAGTCGGGAGGTAGTGCGTGGGTAATATATCTACATTCAGACTGGTCAGTATACTTGGTGCTCACTACATGGATATCGCAACGTACCGGGGCCATGTCCATGTTTGAACGCGTTCCCAACGTCGTATATCGCTATGCAGCCTTTTGAGACGCACGTCAGCAGGATAGGTCAGATTCCTTACGACGTCGTACCATTAGTGCACCCTACGGCAAGCATCTCGCTGTTCGCCCAGTCCAAGGACCAGCACGCCGTCTCGGGCATTTCAATGCGCATACGCGGCTCTCCCAGCTTCACTGTCAAAATCCACTTCACATGAGAGGTCGAACGCAGGATAATCTGAAGAAGAATGCCTACGGAAGACTGGTTTTGAGCGGTCGTGCTCGGGAGTCACAACATCGTCTGGGAACGGGACGGCCCAAATGCTCAATGAGCCATCGCCAAGGCATGCAGCTAGGATGCCGAGCTTGCGAGGGCCGACTCGCTCTTGGCTCTGTTCCCCATCCTCGCTGAACTGCGGTGAATGCATATTAGACGACGAAACAAATACCTGGTAACAGGAGGAAGTAGCCAACTCACGCAATCGTGCGCCGGAAGCGGACACCAACGAAGGTCATGAGCAGGCCCGCCGTCGATGCAGAGAATGAGTTCGCAGCGCATCTCTGCAGCTGAGTGTGAAGTTGAGTCTGCACTCGTATCAACATCAGCGACGGGATTCTCGGCTGACATGGCAGAATCTTGCGCGACACCCGTTTCTGGGGCCTCCTCGGCAGTAGCCTGCGGCTCTGCCTCCATGACCACTACATCTGCCTCTGGCTCCGGCATTGCGTCAATCTGTGTATCCGTCTCCGTCTCCTTTTCCTTGCCCTTTCTTTGGTTCTTCCCGCTACCTTTCGGCCTGCCCTTTGGCTTCTTAGGCGACGACGGCTCCTTCGGTACCTCTTTTGGCTTGTCGGCTTCCCTGCTGATTTCCTGCACAGGAAGAATGCCAGACCTCGGAGAGATGGACCAAATCTGGATGCATGCTGGGGCCGGTCGCGTGAGCTTGCTGCCGATGGATGGGGAGTAGGATGCGTAGGGGTAGGGAGATATAGCGAGGTAATGTTTGTAGTTAATAGCTGCAAGCCGGCATCAGCGAAATCAAGCGCATATAGGGACCCAGCACCGAAAAGGTTGAAATCAAAACATACCATGACGATGGTCGACGTGAACAGGACACCAATCGAGGGCCCAGACGGGTGCGCCTGCATTGAAGACATGTCCGGTGCTGTTGGGAATGAGCGTCGCTACATCAGTATTGCTGTTAGAATACCATAGGCTACGTAAAGATGGCGTACGTACAAACGTCTAAAGTGTCAAGCATCCCCACCTCAACAAGCTTTTGTTCCCCAAACTTTCCGAAATGACATTTCAGAGGTGGAGGATATCTTGGATCTTGAGCAGTTGACGGAGTAGCGTCTGCATTGGCATCCACGGAAGCGGAGGGGTCGGCGGAGGGTAGGTATGTTGCGGCATCTCTAAGAGGATGAGTACGGCGCATACAACCAGTGTAAATGTAGAAAATACCTCTCATTCAGGATCTGCCATCCTTTGCCGACTTCCACACCCTCATGAACCCTTGGTCTCCTCAGTGCCTCTCGCTCGACGCCCTCCGTCCCAGCATTATTCCTCTGAGCCTCCTTGAACCACCCCCGATCCTCCATCATCTGCCAAACGGGACCCGCACCAACGCTCGATCCCCAGGCACGATTGATCCGGTCCGTGAGCGTCGTGCTCGCGGCCATGCTGTTCGTCGGGACGATCTCGCCAGGCCCGAAGCCGTACGCGGGCGGGGGATGTGCAAGTCGCTCAACGGGGAGTGTACGAGCGTGGAGAGGTATCGCTTTGTGTCGGTGGTGCGCGGATGGGGTTGGAAGGGAGTACATCTTGGAGGTGCGCGGGGCTAGCGTGCGGGCGGAGGGTGCTGATGATGGAAGCATGGTGGGTGGTTGGGATTGGGAAGCATGTCGAGGTACAGATGGAGCAGGATGTATGGTGTAGGTTGAAGGCGTTATGGAGGGAGGATTCGGAGCAGGTGTGGCTTTGTCGACTTTCTTGGTTTGTGCTTTTGGCTTTGGTGTCTTGCTCTTGCTGACGCGAGGTGTAGCCTCCTCGTCTTGAACGTCACCCATCTCAACATCCTCGTCATCCGAAGGTGCCTTATCAGGAGAGAATTCATCTTCGCTTGCCACCTCATCCTCCATAAACGTGGAAGGGCCTGCTCCGTTTTCATCTTCGAATCCTCCGAGGGCAGCATAACTTGGATGGGACTTGCGAGGACGGAGGGTGCGCGGCATATCAAGAAACTAGATAAGACGAAGGCGCGTCTTCTATTCCGTCAAGAGGAAAAGTCCTGAGCTGAATGTAAGCTCGTGCTCCCGACAACGTCAACAATATGTTTTGGTGCACTACCTTGAAGAGTTAAAATCAGAGTTGGTCGCGCGTCTAGATCTGGCCGTGACTTTTTGTGGTGGCTAGCACTCTCGGCATTCTCCGTGCTGCAGTCGCGCTCATTCACGCCATTTCCCAACCGGCCCGACTTACCTCCTACTATGCCGGTCCTCTTCCCCAGGCGCACCCTTCCCTACTCTCCTCACCTTCATCCAACCTGAACACCACAAAGCAACTGTTAAGACCTTCCATGGCCTCCAAATCTATTCCCAGGACGTCGCGCTCGCTTGTCCTCCAGAAGTCTCCGGCGGAAAGGAAACCCCTGTATCACGACGTCGCCTTAGAGGAGCGACCGATACCAGCACTAGAAGAGGGCCAGGTCCTCGTCAAGATCAACGCTGTAGCTTTCAACCACCGCGATGTGGGTCTTGTCCCTCACGAGATCCTGACTGACATTGGACAGCTCATTTACACTCTGTAATAGGTATGGATACGCAAGGGAATGTATCCCGCTATTGGCGTGGGGTGCGTTATGGGTGCTGACGGTGCAGGTGGGAGTATCTATGTTCTCATATTAGTGCTGCACTGACAACGCGCTGGCTACTAGGTGTGGTTGTGGCTGCCCATAACCCGCACGACCCCCTTCTTCACAAACGCGTCTTCCTCACGCCTTCGCGCGGGTGGATTGACCACCCTGACGCGCCAGAGACTCAGTAAGCGTCTACTCTTCCTCTCCTCTGTTTAACCTGCGTCGTTGCACAATCAATAAACTGACCATAACGCCTACAACAGCGCGTTTAGCGTCATTGGTGGCGTGCGCTGGCCCGAAATAGGCACATTTGCCGAATACATCGCCGTCGAGCGCGATGAGGTGATACCGTCACCCGAGCACCTGGACGATGTGCACACCGCAGCCCTTCCTCTTGGCCTCGTCACAGCATACAGGTATGAGTGGTCTTTGCCTGCAAGCACAAAGAGGTAATGACTTCGCCTTCGTGACCATACAGGGCTACTATCATCAACGCCAAAGTCTCTCAGGGCCAGAACGTTCTCGTCACTGGTATAGGCGGAGGTGTAGCCGTTTTAGCCTTACAGCTCTGCCTTGCTAAAGGTGCGAAAGTCTTCGTGACCAGCGGATCACCGGACAAGATCAAACGCGCAATCAAGCTTGGTGCAAGTGGCGGCGTGAATTACAAGGATAGTAAGGCTCCACCCTTAGTATGCCCTTAAGTATGAGACTCACCTGGGATGTAACCATAGAAGACTGGCCGAACCAGCTCACCGATCTACTCAAGCACAAAACCGACAGTGGCCTGCTTGACGCGGTGATAGACTCCGCAGGCGGTGACATCATGAACCAGACACTGGCTTACACCAAGCTGGGAGGGGTAGTTGTGTGCTATGGCATGTACGTCTTATCCTTGCTTCTCCCTAATGAGAGTCTCAACCTCGTGTGCGATAGGACGGCCGCCCCGAAGATCACATTTACAATGAAACAAGTGATGCGGAATCAGCGTCTCATCGGTGCGTGTCCGCTTCAAAGTCTACTTCTTTTGCTGTTAAGCAGGCTTCTTGGGCTGCAGGTTCTACAATGGGCTCGCGTGCTGACCTAGCTGAGGCGGCTCGTTTCGTCACCGAGCACGGTATCATCCCTGTCGTTAGTCAGGTGGTGAGTGGTCTTGCGAACGCCGAAGAGGGATTTGAGAGTATGAGAAAGGGGGAACAGTTCGGAAAGATTGTCATTCAGGTTGAGGAGAGTCAGAGGGCCAAGCTGTAGGTATTGCATGTAGTCCCCGAAGTTTGTTCATCTATTCGCTTGTCTTTTCTTACTCCTCAGCATGTCTTGAAGTACTGGAACACCAATATGAATTCCTTGTTACATATCACGATATCAAATGTGAAATCTGCAGCGAGACATCCCTCACACTCCCAGCCGCCCATAGATCGGTGTGTGCCACTACCAGCTTTCCCAACGGCGTCGCCGTCTGTGCACGCCTCTCGATCACGATACCACACAATGAGTTTAAAGGGATCTATGAACGACGAGAGACATGCTGAGCTCTTCAAGGCGCACAGCAAGGGGAATGTGACAGCCACTAGTGCTCAGTAGGAGTGGTAGGAGTGGGGTCATGCGGGATATCCGCAACTATCAGCGAGTTCAGGGACTCGAACGTGTCGGGGTTGATCGTTACTGTGCGACCTCTTCTTCGAGGTGTCCATGTTATAACATCGTGGACGATAACTCCTCGGTTGATGGATCGAAGCGGCAGTGCACAACAGCGGGTCACGTTCTATGTCAGCTCTGTTTTCGCAACACCCTCTCCTTTTTAAAGTGTTAGCCCGGAGTGGACGTGTAAGGGAGAAACGATGGTGGCTGATCCCAGAATAGCGGAATGTCATCGCCTGGGACTCCTCTGAAGAGAACGTGTCCAATTTATCTCCGGCGAACTTCGGTGATTAAAGCTACATTCACACATACGACACCGTGGGGTCTTCTGCGCCCCAAGTCGACGTCGTGCACACATGTACTTTTTTGATCGTGCAATCGGTTTATAATAGTGAACGCCTCCAGTAAGAAACATCAACACATGCCCCGTTCGAATGTGGATCGCGGGGAACAGACGCTGGCAACAGTGGTGAATGGAGAGGTCACATGTCTCCCATAGCCAGAGTACCAAGGAATGGAGGTGCTCTTCTGACTTCTCGCAAGCTATTATTTGTCGAACTTGGTGAGCTTGGGAAGAAGGCCAACAAGGTTCGAGCCTTTGTTTTAGCTATGCCGCGGAGTTACTTCATGAACCCCCCTCGACGAAAACAGACACAAACATCACATTGGTACTACATTCGATTGACTTAGGTTACACAAACCAAAGAAGTCGACGGTTTCTATGAAGAACACGCCGGATCTCCCTATGAAAAAAGCCACATGATTTCCCAAGCAACAAATTTTCTCAGACATAAACTAGACCGAATCACAACGCTATAGAGAACAATTCACGAAAGTGAGTATATCACCGACAAACTCATCTGAACCCGCAACCTAACGAGGCCAAAACCAGCTAGTGCGAACGTGTTTAGTATGCGCTACCGGGCAGCACTTAGAGGGCCAAGAGGACGAGCAGGACGGTCAGGCCCAACGCGTTGAGGACGCCGACGATGCTGCCGAGCAGAGGAGTGAGGGCGATGAGCAGACCGACAACGAGAGCTAGGACAATAACGAGGATCTTGTAGACCAGGATACTATGGACGCATGTCAGGAACGAGAAAGTCCAGCAATTATAAGCTCTACCCACCCAACGGCGTACAAGAGCGGGATCAGGATGGCGGCCAGGTCAGCACCGACGATGGACAGGATAGCACCGAGGCCCTTGAAGAGCAGCTAAATTTATAGTTGTAAGTCAAAGTCTAAAGGCTGAAAATAGAGAAGACGCGTACAATGAGATCAAAGGCGATGAGCTGGGCGAGAGCGGCGACAGAGAGGACCTCCGTTCCATCTTCGGAGAGCAGGAGCTGGTCCTGGGTAAGACCCTGGCCCTGGAGTGCGGTGACCGAGGTGAGCGCCGTGTTGAGCGGCGCGGAGATCTGCGAGATGATGGGCGTGATGACCGCCTGTGTCGCGTTGTCGGAGTTAAGGTACACTGTGCAATTAAAAGAACAGTGATGCAAAAGGAAAAGCATAGACGCGTCAGCATGCACTGGGAGACGCCTGAGCGGCACAACGTGAATACTGACCGAGCGACTCGGCGAGCGGCGCGATCTCGGTGAAGGCGGTGCTAAAGATGCTCGCAATCGACGTGGTCGACTGACGGGCGACAACCTTGGCCTCCTCAGCCGCCGGAGCGGCGACGGAGAATGCAGCGAGCGCCGCGGTGAAGACAAGAGAAACAGTGCTGAAGAAACGCATTGTGAATGAACAGTGAGGTTTGGACTTTTTGTAAGCTGAGGTGCTCGAGGCCGACTGAAGCCGATGATGATTTCTGCTGGACAGTCAGGCTAACTTTTATACATCTACGAGGCCATTATGACCCCCCAAGGTGGTCCAAGAGTGTTCGCGTCATCAGGAGCTTACGCGTCATCAGCATACATGTGCTCAGCATAAGTCTTAATGGTGTGAGTGCGAGCCGTGAAAAATAGAACACAACGATGCAAACTCCGGTGCCACATGCAACGAGAACCTGTGCATCCCCTGACAAGACCCTGATGGAGCAGCCACTGTTGGACGACAGATCATAACGATAGTCAGATGATGAAAGATATTGGTCTTCCAAGATGAGGTATGAAAACACCTTACGCATAGCCTGACAATAGACAATATTCTGGAACGATTTGAGATGCCAACGAGATGCCAACGTACGCACCTGCAGCTCGAGTTACTAACCGGTATGTCTTCAGCGACACCGTGGCGAGGACGCGCTGCGTCCGACTTCCACACGAAACAAGGTCGACGACGAAATTGTAAAGTATGCCTGTGACTGAAGCGAACCCAATGACTAGAGAGCTGTGAAAGGGCATCATACTTGCCCCGGAGTATGAATGAAAACCCTGGTCAGTCGGTCAGAACGTAATTGCACGGCCGCGAGGGTGGCGAAACGTTTACCCTTTGAACGCTCAGGCACGATGAGAAGATCCTCATCGCCATGAGGCGGAATACACAGCATGGTTGACGCAAATACGGGACCCGAGCACGAATAAGAGCTTTTTTGACAAGGAATGCGGGGATGGAACATTGAGCGAGTGCGAATACATCTTTAGGGAGTGGGAATGGACATACCAAGAATAGTAAATCAAGCCATGTTACCCGGCGGTGGATAGAACTACTTTGTTGCTTGTGCTCCTCGAGCTTCAAAACTCCACCAATGGGAGTTCGAAGAAGCCCACAATAACTCGACCCCCCGAGAACGTACCTGAGTCTTGGATGGCAAAGGAACAAAGTGATGTCAGAGTACCATATCATAGGCTTGTTGAGCACATTATTGTGGAGTTGGAACACCGTTTCTGTGATCTCTGTGCCTGTCTCAGAGTAAGCTCGCCCGCGGAGACAAACGTTCACCTCCCCAATGGAGTCGTAAACCCGAGGAAAGCTTGGCCTAGCGCAATTCCTTGACAGTAGTACACAAGAATCGATCCTCCATGCGTGCCACAAAAGCTCGAAGCTCTGCATGTGTCCTCGAGAAAAGGTACTACCGGCTACCAAAGCCTCAACGTTCAGGCGAAATAATCCAGCCGTGCCCCAAGCTTGCGGAGCATTCATATGGAAATGCAAGAGAGGCGAGATGTTTGACGGGACACGTTATCTTCGCGTCGCGATTGCAGCAGTGCGAATGGGTTAGGGATGGGAAGAGAGAACGACATGGAAGGCTGAGCGCCAGCTATCGTATGCCAGCGGGTTTTCTATCGAAGGCGGAGCAATAAACATGCCGGTCGGCGAAAAGTTTCGCAAAAGAATGAATGGTCACAGAAAATTCGCTTACCATGTGTAGGCCTGCACGTCCTGGGTATGGTATACCATAAATGAATAACCGGCAGCTAATGCTTGGGTAGGTCGAAAGCGGGACGGAGGAATAGCGCAAGAGGAAAGGGTAGGACTTAGCCGCGTGTCGTGGATTGGACGGTGACATGTTGCTGCGAGGGACACCCACATCTATTGATCGCGTGATTCAAAAGTCCAATAATTGTCCAATTAGCCATATCACAAACCATACACAAATGAAGAAAAATCAACCCGCCCTACTGTACGTATCCCCTACCCACCTCGCCCCCACCCCTAGACTGCCCAGACTTCTCCCTCAGCGCCCATGCAGCACTCTCATCCGGCGTCTGCGGCAGCTGTCTCGTCCTCTCCGCACTCGACACATCACCACTACCACCCTGAACAGGCCCCGCACCTGGCCTCCGGCTCTCCCTCCAGGAGTGATTGTACGCGGGCGGCAGCCGCGTCGTGCCCGCCCGACTCACACCAACCTCTTCGAGAGGACCGAGGTCTTCTTCCTGGTTCGGTACGGGTGCGTAGTACGCGCCGCCAGCGGTTGGACTTGTGGGTCCGAGATCCGGAGACGTCATATTGGATGGCCTGCGACGATGCGAATACGACGTCTCGGTATGCGTGGCGCCGGCGCTGCTCCCGGCGTAGGCCGAGTGGCTGTGCGGGTATGAAGGCTGTGAGGGGTCGCCGCTGAAGCTCATCGATGGGCCGCCAGCTTCGATAGCGCGAATGAGCGTAGGTTCACGTTGGCTCAAAGGTGAGGTGATGCGAGAACGTACCGATTCGAGTACCCCGCTGCGCCATACTCTCAATATATGCGACCCGCTCTCTTTCTGTACGCTTGCGCTTGCGCCAGCAAAACACGCCCAGCCCAACTAAAATCGCCAACCCAGCTAAACCGCCAACCGCACCGCCAACCGCTGCCCCGATGTTCATATGGGATGTGTTGTTGCTCGTTGTTTGACTCGTCGAAGGAGAGTTGCTGCCACTCGAAGTCGATGTGCTAGTAGATTTGCCCGAAGTGGTGCTTGTCGTGGTCGTCGGGCACCCTTGAGAGGTAAATAGCTGAGATGTGTTTGACCCCGCCGTGTTGGCACCAGTCACACCCGTCTCGGTCGTATACTCGCTGTGGCCAATCAGAACATACAAACTATGAGATAGATGATCAGGAAACTCACTAGTACCATGACCCGTCGTTCCAGAACAGCCCATACAAGAAGTTTTGCAGACGTACGCCCGTATTACACGTTGCCAGCTTAATGTTGCTTGGTAGGCTCATGTTCGTGTTTGGCGAGCACCCCATGTTGTCGAGATACATCTGGTAGGCGCCTTTGCCTGCATCGATTCCAGTTGTTGTTGAGACGTCCTGTTGACAGCTTGGGATTCGTGTGAGAAAGGGAAGAAAAGAGGAGGGTAACAGGTGACGTACTTCATGCAGAGCATACTGAGCGCCCATGAGATGGAGTTACAGCAACAGTCAGCTGGGAAAGATGTTAGTTAAACCACGACAGGAAACCAGACGAATATATGCGCACCAACTTGGTCATCGCAGTTGTCCCCAGGAGTGTTTGGACGAAAGCTCGGGACCTGGTCTAACTCACGCGTCAGGGATAGGTGTAGCCACTGATGTCGAAGGGTACATACACTGTGCGTTGCATATCGATCTGAGACGATAGTATGTCATACCTGGGACATTGGGTGAGCAACATCAGCACACGAAGGAAGGCGAAGTAACGTACAAGGCGTCTCCCCAACAACATCCGAATACCAGTTTGTGAAGTTGGTCGCGCATGTCACGTTCCCCTGGGCCGACACTCCATTGGAGAAGAGACTGACGAGCGCCGAAAAGGCAACAAGGAGGGAGATAACGGGTGACAGCACAAGCGTCATGCGCACCGCTGGCGGCCCAAGGGATGCGTGGGCGGGTGCAAAGATGGGAGAGGGAGGGAAAAAGTAGCGAGCACCTGCGAGCACCCAAGGTCCACCCAAAGGCAGCTGGTCACGGCATTCAAGGCACGTCCCGGAACATTAAGCCAAGCCTGCTGCTTTTAATAGACTGTCTTTCTCGGTCGTGGTCACGATGGCGATGAGGTCCCTCGGCGGAACTTTGTTGATGTTGAGCGCAAGCGCCTATCATTGGCACGACACAGACCTGACGCTGCCTATCGATCCCAGCTCGTTTGACTGGGGGATACAATCAAAGCGTGTAGCCTGCAAGCAGCTTGATAAAAGAGCGCGATGCCGTCCCGAGCGGAGGACACTGACAGGACCCGTCGAGGAGGAAAACGTCCTTGACAGTCGTGGGATGACACAAATTTGAAACCCCGATCTGACTCCGTTTCAATCCATTTCGCGGAGGAAAGGAAAACGCAAACATCAAACATCTGTATCCGCTCCTTTCGTCAAGCACTCGCCATTTACGGCTGATCATTGCTCGCGTTTAATATCTGGTAGATGTTACCGATCATGAGCACTAGAGCCTACACGAACAAGACGAGTGTGAGCACTTCAGTCAGTCATTCATCGCTTCGAGGGGCCTGCTCATTCAGGTGACAAGTTTGCTGTTTCCCGCCCACTGAGAAGCAACGTATACATGTATCATTACACCTGCTGTCATCTAACGAAGTTACCATCCTTTTCGTCTCGGGCCTACATCCGACTGCGCCTGGTGCACATCTGCACCTTGATTGTTCTCTATGTCTTGTCTCCGGGCCTGTTGCAGGCGCGATTCCCAACCAGGATCGTATGCTGGCGGCAGTGTCGCTGTTCCTATGGTTGACACGTTATCGTCCAGCGAACCCTGGTCCTCTTCTCGAGGTGGTACATCCGTTCCGATGGTGCACGAGGCTGGACCTGCGGCCCCAGCCACCGCCCTACTTGACGGCGATGTCATTCGGGTTTGCGACACGGGTTCCATCTGCGAGACGCCCAAGCTGGAAGTCTGTCCATGTCTCGTCGAGACGGATGGAGTTGTGTCTATGCGTTGGTACGTTTATCAGTTCGCACAAAGAAGCTAGATGGGTATGACATACGATTCGTTGCATCCCTCTGCGCCATGTCCGCGATGTAGTCATTCCACGCCTCCTTGGTCTTCTTCTCACGTCTGCGCCAACTCAGGAACACTATGCCAGTTAGGATCGCAATGCCAGCAACACCTCCGACCACGCCTCTCACCACTGCGCCGGTATTCGCGTGCGAAGACGAGTTGTTCTGAGTTGATGTCGGGTTTGTACTGGATGAAGTACTGGAGCCAGTTGCCGATGCAATGGCGGTGCTCGGGCATGCCTGTGCAGTGTACAAGGCTGATGTGTTTGATCCAGCCACGCTCACATCTCGGCTCGCAATGCCGACTGTATACTCGCTTATTTTGGTCAGTCCGTACAAATCCACAGTGAATACGAACATGCTTACTAGTACCAATCTCCGCCCACCCAAAATAGTCCATACAGTAAGTTCTCCAGCCGAACATTGCTGTTACAGGCCGACGTCTTGACATCTGCAGGTAAGGATTGATTCGTGTTTGGCGTGCATGTAAAATTCTTCGTATAATTTTCATAGCTTCCCTTGCCAGCGTCTATCCCGCTGGAGCTCAGGTCCGTGACTTGTTGACAGCTAGAATTGATGTGAGCCCAACACGCCACCGCCATCCGCGGAGACGTACTTCATGCACAGCATGCTCAACCCCCATGCTATTGAGTTGTAGCAGCAGTCGGCTGCAATGAAGAGTGTTCACCGGGATATTTCGTGATAAGCTAACCTTTCACTTACAGACTTGATCGTCACAGTAGTCCCCTGGAGTTGTTGAGCGAAAGTTCGGTACTTGGTCTATAACACTCTATAATCAACCATCTATGCCTACAAGAAAGACAACGTGCATTGACTGTTACACAGAGACCTTAAACGATAGTACGTAACACCTAAGCACAGAAAGGTGAGCGCGTGAACGCTCAGTGGTCAAGGAGGGACATACAAGGATTCTCGCCAACCATATCTGAATACCAGGCTGTGAAGTTGCTTGCGCAAGTGACATTGCCTTGAGCTTGAGCAGCAGCCGCACCGCCAGAGATATGAACCGACGCGAAGAGAGTGGCGAGACTGGAGAAAGCGCGCTGCAACATCATTGACCAAACCGCGAAGATGGTGGAAAGATTAGAGAAGTCAAGACACGAGAGCAGTAGCTCTATGCATGAATAACAGCACTATAACGATCATCAGGTAGGCGATGAGCATATGACTATTTTAATACTCCCAAAAGATTGATGCATGGCGTACGGTTTCTATAGAAGCATACACCACCCCGGGACTCTGATAAAATGCCGGCGCAGCTTTGTCGGAGATATAGATTGTATTGTTTGCACTTCCTGTGCAGTCGAATCTATAGCAGATTGAACAATACGCTATTGCTTTCCGTACCGTTAATCAGAAGCCGTCGTGGACCGACAAAAAATCACGCGCACGAGGGCTTGAAACGACAAGGATGGTCAGATAGAGCAGGTAATCATTCGCGCGTTTGTGGAGTCGTTGTAACTATTTGAAACACGAGGGATGGTGTTATTGTTGGTCTGGTTTCTTCCTTTCTTCCAGTCACGGAAGGCAATCAAAAATCAATCAGAATCATCGAGATCGGTCTTTTGCACGGTACCGAGTTGTGGCTTGTTCGGCTTTTTAGCCTCAGTATATTTCCAAAACTGCATTATGCAAGTTTGCGGACGGCAAAATGCTGACATCATCAACGGTTTAACACATATCTGCATCGCCACCCAGTGTCTTAGGTAGTACTTGTTGTAGCACGATTAACAATACAGGTAAATAGCTCTCACCCTTCTCAATAAACTAATACAATGCACTCCTCTCTCTTATACTTCTCCCTTTTCTGCGCCTGGACGTACGCCGTTTGTATTTACGTTCAAGCCAAGATTGAGACTCAACGGTTCAGCAGATTTTACTTCTCCAATCCACCCTCCGTTCGTAGTCTGTCGCAAATTTAATAGTTCGATTGCAGCCATTTCCGATTTTGGTGCCCTGCAACCAGCCTGCAATTTAATTGAAGCGGGAACGCAGCGGAGGTCTCGCGGATTTTAGAGTATTTTTAGCGACTATGGTTGAGATTTTATTACGTCTAAGCTGCAAGCGGTTGCAACGCTCCTCAAAGTGGATTGCAATCGCCCGTGTCAATTGCAATGTGCTTCTAATCATATAAAATTACTATTAAATCATTCTGACTGAACAGTAATTGTAGTCGATTGCGACCGGCTGCAGCCGGAAAATGAACTTTGCGACATCCACCCGTAGTCAAGCCGTGTCACCGGGGGAGATCGCGCCGAGCCAAAGCTAGAACTCCGTGTAACCCTGGTTGTGATCGACATATTATCATCTATGTTTCCCAAAGCATCAGTTAACCAACATCCAACGTTTGACATGCAAAGAGCGTACCGTGAGGCCAGCTGCGCTGTGTCTCCCTTGACTTGTATGTGCTCCCTTTATCTTTTGTTCTCCTCGCACGTTTGCGGCACATGAGAATCCCAAATGCACCCAAAACGGAGATTCCAGCGACGCCTCCGAGTGTTCCTCCTACAGCTGCGCCGACAACAGAATGCGATGAAATGGAACCACTCGTCGCCGTTGTGCTTGTAGGAGAAACGATGTTGCTGGACATATCTGTAGCTGTAGCTGTAGAATTCGGGCAGTTTTGCTTGGTAAAAAGAGCTGCCTTATTGGCTCCATCAACATTGAAATCCGTGGTTGCCGCTTCTTGGGTATATTCGCTGGTCCTTGGATAAACCGAACTGTGCAACACATTAGAGAGAAACTCACTAGAACCATGCCCCGTTAACCCAAAATAGATCGAACAAGAAGTTTGGAAGTTGGATGCCCTTGTTGCATGTAGCACTTTGTATAGTCGACGGCAATGTCTCGTCTGTGTGGTCTTTGCAGAGTCCATCGCTGCGGGTAAGGTATTTGGAGTAGGACCCTGGGTCAGCGTCCGTCCCGTTTGGCGTCTGTTCGGGGTCGTCTTGTTGACAACTTAATGAACACATCAAATATATAGTTAGCTAAGCCATGTTGACCGTCTTTGACATAACAGCGAAAACTCACTTCATACAGAGCATACTTAATGCCCATGATATTGAGTTACAGCAGCAAGTGCCTATAAAGCATGCCTAGCATCATACCACTATCATGATAGCCATGCATACGTACTGACTTGATCGTCACATGTATCTCCGGGTGCGGATGAGATAAATATCGGTACCTCATCTATGAGGATGCGGCTGGATGTCAGGACCCGACAGCCACCTCTTCCACCTTACCATCAACTTACAATCAGGGTTACAGAGGGATCTTAGCCGATAATATGTCATACCTATAATATGTGAGCTAGATTACACGTAACGCCAAACGAGGCAACATACATGGTGTCTCGTTGAGCATATCTGAGTACCAGTTCGTAAAGTTGCTCGCGCAGGTCACATTCCCTTGAGCAGAGACCACATCTGAAGAGTAAACGAGCCACATGACGGCAACCAAGGCCACCATAGCTGCTGAATGCTGTAAAATCATTCGATTCACAGTACCTCAAGGAATGATGTTGAAGAGGAAAAACACGAGACGTGAGACGTGTGCGTGGGACGTGAGATGTGAGACTGACGGGCTCAGAGAGCTACTGAATACTACTGCGATATGTGGCAGTACTGTGATCTAAGGCGGTGATACTCCAACCATCATTAATCAGATGCATGTTTGGACTTTACAGCCACTTTCTTCCCGTTTCCAGGACAGCATTATCATCTTGTTGATCAATTATCATCATCGCTAACTGAAGGACAGTTTGTGTGAGCCTGTGGGATATAACTAACCCATATCTACACGTTGAATGCAAAAACACGGCCAGAGCACAGGCTGATACGGAAACTATCACAAACCCCTCAATTTCTGGAAAACCTTGGCTGAGACTCCGCTTATTCAAGTTCCATAAGGGTAAATTTGTTTTATAAAATATGTTTAGCCGAAGTCGTACGCGGGAGGAGCGCTGTATTGTGACACTCCTCGCATATCTTGCTGCAGTGCCAGATCATGATCTTGTTCTTGTGTGGATTCGTGAGTGGTTGGTGGGCTGCCGCAAGTTAGTCTTGCAGGTGATATGCTGGTGCCTTCTAAACGAGGCACAACGTAATGTGCTCCCTGTGAATTAGAGACAGCTATGGAAGGACCGGTCCGTGTTCCTAAATGCATTTGGGCTAATGTTAGCATGTGTGGAGGACGAGATTCTGAGGTGATGGCAAAAAGACGTACTATTATCTGCTATGCTTTCCATGTATGCATACCTATCTCTTTCTTCTTCTATGCGCTTCCTACGGCAGAAAAACGCCGCTCCACACAGTATACCAAGGCCAAGAACACCTCCAACGGCGCCTCCAGCTATGGCGCCAGTACCAACATGCGATGTAGAAGTATTATTCGAGCCTGCCGGTGTTGTTACGGAAATTGGTGGAGTGGTTGATGGTGATGGTGCAGTGCTTGCGATACTGGTCGACACGGGACATCCTTGTAAAACGTAAAGAGCTGACTTGTTCATGCCCGCTGAACTTGCCTCTGTTCCGGCTCTCTCTCGTGTGTATTCGCTGACCAATAAATATGAGTATATTATTTGAAGAGCCAACACTATGCATCTTACTAGTACCAATCACCACCGTTCCAAAATAAGTCATATAGAAAATTTTGCATACGAATACTCTGACTACAAGTAGCCGATTTGATATTCGTTGGTAAGCTCTGGTTTTTATTTGGGTCGCAAGTTGAGTTCTGTAGGTATATCTGGTATGTTCCTTTGGCAGCATCAGTGCCAGACTGAAGATCGAGTGTGTCGTGTTGACAACTTCACCATGATATTAGTATGATGAATAATTGTATGAGTGATTTGAAACAACTAGACGTACTTTAGGCATAGCATGCTTAATGCAAAGGATATAGAATTGCAGCAGCAATCCGCTTTCAAGAATGTGTCATGAAGGACTATCATATTGATAATGAAACTCGATCCCCACTTACGAACTTGATCATTGCATGTATCTCCAGGCTGTCCTGGAAGAAGGTGAAAGCTTGGGACCTGATCTTTTCACATTGTTACTTCACCAGCAGCGAGAAAGCTTGAAAGCAGAAAACCCTACATTCAGAGTTGCATATTGATCGTAGACGATAATATGTTACACCTGTTCAGAATAGTTAACTTGTATTGGCGACGCAGTTCTGGTGAAGATTCGCACAAGGGTTCTCTCCAACGAGGTCATCGTACCACTGTGTGTAGTTACTTGCACAAGTGACATTGCCCTGGATGCTGGAAGAAGCGGCGACAGGAAATAATGTGAGGCTCAGCGCAAGTAGAACAGAGAGAAATATCGAGAAAAGAGGTGTCATCGAGTTAGATGTATGTGGGCGAGTGAGGGACAGCTGAGGTCTTCTTTCGAAAGAGGATATCCTGTGTTAGACCGCCATTTATGGAGAATCAATAAATAACTGATGATCAGCGGTTTTCAGAGACAACAACACAACAACCGTCTGATAGATTGATGTCCTCGGCGGAGCCTTTACTATACGTTGGCTATCCCCCACAACTCAATCTTACTATGCTGTGCAGATACCAATCCAGGAAAATGCTCCCCCTTCCGTATATTGAATACTAGGAAAGTACAGTGCTTAAAATCTGATGCCTAATCATGTATATGGGCGTAAGATTGGAGTCCACTTTGTTCTGCCCGATCCATTTAGTTACGGGACGGGTATAATCAAGCTACTACTTTAATCTGCGCATCGCCGTCCAGCATGATGTAATGCAGTGTGGCTACTATACTTGATGGAATACGTGTGTACGATCTGCTGGGACTGTGTCAATGTGATGAGATGGTTGGGAAGGTCGTTTGGACATCACATGAGAACAGAAAGTGGCTCAGCCCGTGATTGACGCCACCACTGATCTGTTCACACGTCCACATGGTGCTTGCATCAAATGCAGGCCACTCCGAGAATCCCTGCGTTCGTGAATGATAAATGCAATGCCTGTAATTGGCTGAGGGAGTAACTAGTGGACACCGCCAATGGAAGACAATCTGTCGCACGTTCAAAATGAAACAAATACCCGAGAGACCCGAGAGGCGCTTGGAATTACAAATATAGCGGGAAGCTGAGAGGTGTTGGTAAGGCCGATCGTAAAGTTCCACAACACTGGGCAGGTACACAGAGAACATACTCTATGTAGCCTCGGACTATAGAAGAGAATCTACCGGTAACAGGAGTGGTCAAAAGTTTCTCGTTATACTCTATAGTCGTATTCAAGACCAAGGTCATTTAATCTCAGCGCTTCTATAGACCACAGCTCAGGCTGATAAACCACAAGGCATAAATGTAGCACACTGCCTATGCGCCAAAACTATGGTTGTGTCCGCGCTATAATAGCTCCAACATAGATTTCCGATGTCTCAGAGCTTTCCCACTAATGCGCGAGATGGGGTGGCATCTGGAGTATTCGGTAAATCCCGCAGTCTGGTTGTCATCTGAGGGAGCTCCTCTCTGTGATCTCTTTCCCTCCAATTCAAGTTGTACGCAGGTGGGGCACTGCGTTCCGATGGTTCTGGTATGTCTTGGCTTAATAGCCCAAAATCATGATCTTGTGCTGCTTCGTCAACGTGGGGCGTGTTGTTGAGTGAAGCTGCCGTGTTTGGTATATTATTTATGTCCACGTGAAGCGTGAAATTTCCGTTTTCTGGTAGAAAATTGGGTGTGGAGGAGCGTGTTTGTGTCACTATATGTGCTATTCTTGTGAGAATGCTCATGCAGGGGTTTAGCAATAGTAGAAGACATACCGTTGGCACCACAAGCCATCCTTGATATATATGCATACTTCTCTCTTTCTTCTTTGGCACGTCTTCTCCGACAGAATATCACTAGCCCCGATAATATTGCGAGGCTTAGGGCACCTCCCGCAACGCCGACTGCTATTGCACTAATTCTCACACGCGACAGCGCATTGCTTCTTGAGCTTCCGGAAGTCGTGGGCAGTGCTGTAGAAAACACCGTTGATGTAGCGCCCGTATAGTAATCAGATGCAGGGCATCCTTGTGAGGCATAAAGAGCCGACGTATTTGTCCCTGCTGAGCTCGCGTCTGTTTGAGCCATTTCGCGGGTGTGTTCACTAACCATGGGTGACTAGGCTGCTACGGAAATAGGACAAAACAACTCACTAGTACCATTCACCTTCACCCCAGAATAACTTGTACAAGAAATTTTGCAAACGAATGTTGTTGTTGCATGTAGCAGTCTCGATGTTCGTAGGTAAACTCTGATTTGTATTCGGCTTACATGTCATGTTATTGGTGTAGATCTGATAGGTGCCCTTAGCAGCGTCAGTTCCATACGGCACGTCGAGTGTGTCATATTGGCAGCTGTAAAATAGCATCAAGGCTAATCAAACGAGAGGTCTGTTGAAAGGGACTCACTTTAGACAAAGCATACTGAGCGTAAAAGAAATAGAGTTGCAGCAGCAGTCCACTTGAAATAGAATTTCGTCATTTAAATTGCAGAACGTGAGCAATGTGGAGGTTTCCTTACGAACTTCTCCACTGCATGTATCCCCAGGCTTTCCCGGGATGAGATGAAAGCTTGGGACTTGATCTATCGATATATTTCCTGTTACTAAACGGCGACGTCATTAGAAACTGAAATTCCCACATTCAGAGTTGCATAATAGTCGTAGACGATAGTATGTCTCACCTACATAAAATGAAGTAAGCTCGCATTCTATTCAGTCGCTTGGAGAAACGTCACACAGGGGTTCTCTCCGACAATGTCCTGGTACCACTGTGTATAGTTGCTCGCACAGGTCACATTTCCCTGGGTGCTTCCAAACGAGCCACGAAATAAGCTGAAGGTCAGTAAGCCTGAGAGAGCTATAGTTGACTTTAAAGGCTGCTTCATGGTAAGTTCTAGAAGACGAGGCATGTGCTGGGATAGGTCCGGGAGGTAGAGCTTACATATATTTATCTATGAAACATCCTGTGTTGCATTTGTCTGTGAGCAGACAAGTCCAAACGGAGTCGTGGTGCGGGGTTGTCAGAATGAATGATGTATCAGTTAGCTGATAGTCCCATCTACATTCTACAGGGTCTAAACATGAAGGCCTTGTGAAGCCATCGTCAGGGGCGAATGTTCTCCTGTTCGGAATATGCCCGCGCGCAAGAACGTTTGATTGTCAGCCGATCTAAGCGTGCGAATGCTGATGAAAGCGTTGAGATACCAACATTATTGCTCTCTGACATTGTGTCCCGTACATGAACAAAATCGAAATCACCTATCTTAAAGCTTTCATGGAAGTTATACCAGGTTGACCCAACGGACGTACTCGAGTTGCAAACGGGAGAAGTTGTACACCGGCGTGCTGCACTTCGCTATACCCGGCGGCCGGTGTGTGCATGTCCCGGACTGGTGCGAGAGATCGGAACGCAAATGCGGTGCTCTTGGACCAGATACACAGAAAGGTCGCGCGCGAACCGTGTTTCGGTCATACTGACCGTGATTGATCCTGCTCACCTATTCCAGTGTCTCTTTGTTGTCGGTATACCGATGCATCAAGGGGACACCAATACGGTCGTGCGCATACTTAGTCTCCCCCTCTAGCAGGAATCCCAAAGGAAGCGAGGATTTGAATGGCATTACGCGTATAGTTTTGTGAGATTCTTTTGATCAGTATTCTCAATATACTCGCCATATTTCGGGCGAGCGGGCGTTTCGCAAGCTTTCACTCGTCGCATGTCTACGTGGTAAGCCGACTCAGGAACGTAGTGATATTCATAGATTGGGTTTTAAATTAAGCACTAACTTACAGACCTAGTCAATGCTGTTAGCTGACTATCATCAATCGGAAGGGAAGCAAAAACAAACATGGTCGTCGCCGCGAACAGAGCCCGCAAATTTCCAGCTTATTCCTCCCAAGACACCTTTGGAATGCGATCTCTCAGCCACCGGATATGCGCTGGTTCCACTTCGTAGCCTGCCTCGCGCACCGTAAGTCGCTTGATCATGGACCGCCCAGAATCGATCAAGCGCTGCTCCACGGCATCCTTCAGGGCATCAATAGAGTAGCAGCAGCAGTCGTTCAACTCGATCTCCTGCAAACAAATAGGGAGGAAGAAGACGGGGGTCGTGGCGAGAGGTTTGAAATGGACGCTCTGGAGAATGAGTTTGGTACCTGACCACTCTTGGACAAATGCAGCGGCGTCGAAGAAATGAGGCGGATTACATATCTCGAGGGTGTCTGCTGCCACCCGCAGCTCCGATGGCAGAGACACACAGTCGATAAAGGAAAGCAGCCTTGGCGCGTGGCGGAGGGTGCGCAAGATGGTAGTGATGCATAGTACGTCGATCTCCTTGAACGTCAGAGAGAGCAGGGCCTGAGAGAGAAAGCAAGGCGGGATGACAGAATTCGACACTTGGATCATATCCCTGAAAGTGAGGTGCGCTAGGGAGGGGAGGTTTGCAAGAGCTGATAAGAATATCGGGATGATGCCTTCTACCGTACTGTTGACGAACGTCAAGGAGATGACGTGCAGGAACCTGCTGTCGTGCATCGATAAAACACCAAGAGCGCGCCCACCAAGTGTCAAGGAGGTCAAGTTAGGTGCTCTGGGGCGGGTTTCGGAAGGAGTGTCGACTAACGGTTTGTTGGCGCCTGCGCTCGAGTTGGTGTCCTGGCTGCGGTCGTCGACGTGTAGAGAAGAGAGGAAATCGGCATTCAATGCGGCGTCTTCCCAGAACTTCTCAAAAGCATTAAAGCCTGTCGATTCTTCCGATATGATAGTAAGAGATCGGATACGGCTCGAATGTACAGCTAACGACGCGAACACATCGTCGAAGTCTTGTTGTTTGTTTCCAGAAAGAAGACGGAGTCTGATGTCAATTGGCAGCGCTTTGGAACGCCGAAGGATGGAGGGTAAGTTCACGATGAAGTTCCTGGCGTTCAGCTCAGATAGGTTGCATTCGATGGATGTCCATATTGTAGGCGTCGCGGAGACTATCTCCGACCACTTGTGGCATGTCAAGCGCAGGGCCTGTAGGTCGGAGTTGGATAGATGGGTAGCAAGCTCGAAAACCACTGCAAGGAGTTCCGATGGCAGATGATCAATGGAACAACGAGGCGATGTCAACGTAGCGCTGGTGATCTAGTTGTGCGGTCCGCGCATTTCATTAGTCCACATTTATCATACAACGATCGTGCGAAGCACCTTTTGGCTTGGGGATGCCTCATCCGCCGACATGTGCAGCTGATGCTCAGTCCCTACAGCCATTCATATATGCTTCAGGAGGCGCGATCACGGCAGAAAGGAGCTCTCGGAGTTGTCTCGATGGAATAATGCGACGAAAATGCAGATAATAGCACCCGACGCTACACCTGAAAGGGGTCGACTGTGACTCCGTTACATAACACAATTGATGTCACGACGTCACTAGTCACTGCTTGTCGCGTCTGACGCGCCTTGATATCATACACGCATGTCATTGCGCGACGGGATGGTCAGTCCTGGAGAAGACGACGACGAGAGTCGTATAGCTGGGATGAGTGACTACGAACACGCGCGAACACGCTATGTACCGACTACGCTAGCCATGCCGGCCCTAAACTACGCATCGTGCCTTCCTCAAGGCTTGGTCCGATCCTCCCTAGTCCAGCGACTATAGACCATTCACCTCCAAGTTAAAAGCCAAGCTCCTCAAACCGTATCCTTCAGAGTTTTACTTCAGGGCTGATCCGCTCTCTTGAAAAACGTCTACCCCTTCAATGTTGAGTGGACTTCTCTACTAGGCTTCTCGACGCGATGACTAGCTAACAGGACATATGGGTAAGAGAAAGGAGGGATACGCTGTTTTTCAAGACGTTATAAGGTAGTAGTTACTTTCTATATTTGTCTCTGTGACAGCTCGTAGCCTTACTGAAGCTCGTCCAGCTGTAACGTCGGTTTCAAGTCTAAAGAGACTGCTATGATATATCGTAGAACACCCCATATGCCACTGTCCTACTGTTTTTACAAGTAAGCAACAAAATACAATTCAAATTCCCGATCAATGAGGTGTGGCGTGTGTCCCTAGTGAGCCAAAGCTAGTCCATCCGTAATGGGACCTGTGATCTTGGCTTGTTTCCATCGTCTCATCAGCAATGGGGCTAAAGCCCGCTGCGGTTGCCTCTGCTGTACCGTTATGTCCATCTTGTGGCACGTTTAAACGCTGGGACAAGGAAAGCGAAACCTAAGCTTACCATTTGGCCAGCTGCGTAGAGCTATCTCTTTTGGATCCATTCTCCGACTCACCCACCCGGTTCTCGGCTTGCGCCAACAGAGCAATGCTAGACCCGCTAGGATCACCAGCGCAGCGACGCCTCCTAGAGTGCCCCCCACGACAGCGCCAACGTTTGTATGAGTTGATGTGTTCTCAGTTGCTGTGGCGGTGGAAGAAACGGTGCTGGTGAAGATGGTGACGACAATAGACGGGGGATTCGAAGTGGGACTGGTACATCCCTGAGAAGTGTAAAGAGCTGTCGCAAGTAGGCCTCAGTGTCTGGTACGTCGTGCCTTCAGTCGGGTGGATGAACACGGGGGTAGAGCGCGTTATCGAGGAATAACTCACAAGAGCTTTCTCTGACAGCGTCGGAGTCCCATTTGGTGGAGTTACCTTTACAAGTTACATTGTGCGCAGATACACCAACGAGAACGCAGAGCGACAAGAAACCAGCTGCAATGGGTATACCAGAGGATAACATAGATGTCGTACACTGTCACCCTTTAGTATAGCCTGGTGAAGATGCGGAAGAGTTTCCAGGTACACGCACTTAAGCTTAAGAACGCTGAACATCTCTGACACGAGGTGATCAACAAACAACGGCTCATCTTTTCACATGCGGAGTATGCTGTATACTCCGTTCGAGGGTCGTCATTGGACGAGTATTTTGAACGACAGCTCAGGACTTGATCCGGAACGCTGTCCTTGCGCGGCCATCATGATAACGTTGTTCATCATATCGGTTGTACTCCGGCACAGTGCAATCCCTGTCGACAAGCAAATGCATTGGTTGTGTACCCAGCGGGAAGCGTAGGTGAGGCGGTGCGAGACTAATAAGATCTTAGTACGACCAGTCTTACGAAGCATCATATGAAGGAACTGACCACGGTGTTGGGCAAAGTGTGGGGCAAATAGCCGCAAGTTTGCGGCCCGGACGACCAACGCTGCGGAGTGTCAATTTCGCAACTTGCCGAAGTTTCAGCTCTGTTGTCTCGTCGCAATGCAGCCTCGAGCTCTTTCTCCTTTCCTTGGTACCGTTTGCGCAGAAGCTTCCGATTTTATGATTTAATCTCATCCGAGCGACTCAGGACCGGGACAAACTCTGAGTCTTGAGCACTCGTCGCCTCCAATACCTGGCTTTTGAACCAAACGATGCGGTCGGAACGGCCCCGCACGCGATCTCGGAACAGCTGTTAATTCTTCTGTTCAAGAAGTCACCTGTAGGTCCACGGCTTCTGTGCTCGCCGCATGTCAACTACTATCCCTCCATATGGATTCCCCCGAGTTGATGAGGGAAAACGAGTACACAATAGCGAGCTGTTGGGGAGAAGCATTGTAGGTTACATGCGCCCAAAGTGAGTTTCTTGTCCGAGCATGATGCGACTGGGGCTAATTACTTATATAGCTCCTGCCGCTCTCTGCATTCATCAACTGCGTATGGTGCTCTTCACCTTTAGTTCAATCTCCCTTGGAGCTAGAGACATTGTATGGATCCGCCGTATCTGATCTCGCCGCTGACTCGATCACACCTATCTGGGTCGGAGAAGGTGTCGTTACCTTCCACTCCTCGAAAGGCTACATGGGGGTCCTAGGAAATGAATCGAGACGTAGGGAAGAGCCTCGGACACGATGAGCGCGGTTAGTTCATGGTCATGTTCAAAGGTGCGTATCCTCAGGTAACGTCTTATACATCTTTGGTGATTAACAGCGGCTGGCGTCAACCAGCAGGAGTTCAATGGTCTGGACGATTCTCGAGGTTTGAGAACGAAGGTGAACCTTCCGTGACCTACGCCTTTAACGCGCACCAAGCTAGTACCGCGCGCATATAGCCAGCCCTTCCCCTCTCGGGCTCCTCATCTGTTTAGGTGTTAGTCACTGGTTCGGGAGATTATTACATTCGGTTTATGGTAGATCCAGGAGTCGCACACCTCTGGCATGCCACGCTCAGCATCCATCTCCTACGATGACGATATCGCCACCTCCACGCCGGTGTCTCTTATCGTCGCCGTCGCGCAGCATCTTCCTCTAAATCTCAACAATCACAGCACAACGATCCTCATCTCTCAATCGCATAAACGCTCGCTTCCATAGCATTCACCGCGATGCTGATCGCAGTCCTCGATACAAGCCCGTTCACCCCTCTTGATTGCATTTACGGCATCTAGCCCGAGCCTTATCCGACGTACCCGCCGGACGAACGTAGAGCCTTATCCTCCTCTCCGCTCCGAGGCGCCCGCCTCGTGTTTGACCACGGTTGACTTCCCAAGTCTCGAGGTTTTGCTCTCAGTCGAAAACGCGTCTCCGCTTTCCGTCCACTCGAATGACCTGGTGTTTCATCCATATCATCATGGGACCTTCTCATCGAATAGGGAACGGGTAGCTACGATCCCTTTCTCAGGCATATCAGGTCGGGTGATATCGACTTTGTATAGCCCCTCTAGACACTTTAGAGTGGTATCGCTCGAGAACGGCACCGTACATGCCCTCCTCTGGCCCTCGGAACAGCTGGGCGATAAGTCCATCGCTATTTACTTATAAAGGATGGACACGAAGGAAGCGGCTGCCTTATCATCCTAACTGATGCAGCCTCCGTAGTTAGCGTGGGCTGTGTGCAGAGGAGTGGCTACTTTGATCGTGATGCTACTATCAATACACCCTTGACCAGGGGTTCGTGGCTATTCTTGGGATCAATGGCGCTTTTCATTCCGCCGAGGAGTTCATATATACTTGTCATGCCTGCGATGCGATTTCCTCTCTTCCCTTCCTGTTTCTTTTCGTCGTCTTGGCACTATAGGCGACATGTGAGTACCGATGCTGACGTCGTGCGAGTACTTGGTGAACTGACGTCTGTGGATAGGCATTCTCCGCCTGGTTTTGGATCTGACTATAGCCCGCACGCATTGGCTATGGAGGTACGTATCTCAAAAATCTATATAACAATATATCATATCCTGCAAGACAGAATTCGTGCTGACACCCCTTGGCTTCGTCCGTTGGCTTTTTAGCAAAACCTCATCAAACTTCGCACTCAAATACTCGCGCTCGAATCTGAGATAGGGCAGCTCATGGAACGCCAGCGGGCGCTCAACGCCGACAGACACGTCGTGCAAGCCAAGCGGGCGCACATCCAGCCACTCATCTGGGGCGAGGCTCTCCGCGCCGAACGGCGCACAGCTGTGAAGTCTCAACCACGGCCGCGTGTGAACGTGCGTGTGCCCAGCTCGGGAGAGGCAGATGGGAATGACCATGGCGAGGGAGTGGGAGTGGGAGTTAGAGCAGGATCGGGATCAGGGAAGGGAGAGGAGCAGAAAGATGGACAAGCTGCGGTCGCCACCATCAGCGATGGGATCGCGCAGGAACAGGATCTAGGTTGCTTGCTCGGCGGGGCCCGTCGAGGAGACGGGAACAGTGCACGCCGATCAGAAAGGCCTGGGGGAGGGGCGGTGCCGTGGGTGCGGCGCTCGATCGCGACGCTGAGCTCGGTGCAGAGCGATGCGATGGCGGTGGACAGTCCGATTGAGCACAAGGCGACGTGGTCGGAGGAGGGCGGGGGTATGATGGAGGTGATGCGGAGGGAGTTGCCGGATCCGACGATGAGTGCGTTGCCGACGCCGGTTGGAGGGCGATATCATCATGAGGAGACAGAGGTGAGATTGCTTGCCATTATTCTTGCGATTGTGTTCCCTGTCGCTGAAAAGGATGGTGACGTTCGCGTTTTTGACTGCAGAGCGACCGCTCATCGACGCTGGAGGCCGCCGCCGACGCTGCGTCGACGTACACGGCAGTCTCGACGTCGATGTCGTTTTACTCCCGTTTCTTCGGGTTCACGAGTAAGCCAAATAGCCCGCAGTCGGAAAAGATGGGTCGGGATCTAGTTCCTCCTGTGCCTTCTGTGCCCAGGGGACCTAGACTTAGCAAACCGCCCTCGCGGGCGCAACTTGACAAGAGGGTTCGGGCCTGAGGCCTGAGGCATGATATGAAGGGAGTCTAGGTCCTAAACGCTGGATGTTTTGTTTCTTGTTTCGGCGATGATGAGGTACTGTTAACGCTGTGCGTTGACTTCTCGGACTCTTCTCTGGCTCGTTGGAGGAGGCTCATAGGAAGGATTCGATTGTATATGGCTCGGACCATGACTTGTACACTCTTTTTCACCTGCGGACTGATTGATTAGAACGCTGTTTTGTGTGTTACGTAGCTTGTAGACTTGTAGAATAACCTGATGTATGTCGATTTTCATAATGACGTCGTACAGCCCCTGTCGTGTTGCGTGACAGATGAAATCGCGAACGCGGCATGCGGAGCCGTGCACGAGCGGACCAAGTCAAGTGCGTCCCCACTGACAAAGCCAAATGCTCCAGTTCGTAACTTTCTACGTTTATCCACACCCTCAAAGCATCCTCATACGTCCCAGGAACATCTACAAACTTTCGCTGACCCGTCAGGCACCCCTCCATTACCTCGCCTCAGCGCCATTGACAGCGCGCTGACGTCAAGTCACCCCCATCGAATACGGACACGGAAATATACTTGAACCAACTTTTCGGCCCCAGCACTTCAGCGTTTTTCTTATACACTTCCCATAACCAACCGACTTACATCTGCCCACGCTCGATGGATGCTGACGAAGTCATCCCTGGTCTATGGATTGGCGGACTGGAGAGTCTGAAAGATATCGAGGGCCTAAGAAAACGTAACGTCCGGAGTGTTGTCTCAGCAATGCGGGGAAAGGTCACCATCAACGCAGTGCGTCACATTCTCTTTCATTTCTGATGGCAGCTCTAAGAGCAAGATCCGGCCCTGGTAGACACTGAATAACCATCAAATCAGCATTGACGATACCGTCGATGAAGACATCCTTGTCCACTTTTTACCCTCCATCTCCTTCATCCAGACCGAGCTTGATAAGGGTCATGGAGTTCTCGTCCATTGTCAGGCTGGCGTCAGTGCGTACCTACGGCCCCATCATGACCCTGGAGGTTCGTCTGACTTCTTTCCTGCGACTTTGCAGGCCGCAGTGCTACCATAGTCGCTGCATACCTCATGCACTCCCAGAAGATCGAGGCGGAGGCTGCGCTGGAGATGATCAGACAGGCTCGGCCCCAGGTTGAGTGAGTATCACAATTGATGCATCGAGGAGCTGCCGACTAACGTTGCCAGAACAGACCGAATGAGGGATTCTATGAGCAACTCCTCGTCTTCCAGCAGGCTTCCTACAAGTTCACCGGGCGAGATAAGACGATCAGGATGTTCTATATGCTCCGCACCACGGAGCAAATTCTCAGTGCGTGCCACACCTTCATTGCTCTCGAGTTATGAACTCAAATAAGATTGCTCGTAGATGGCGACGGCACTCTTCCTGACTCCGTGTCGATGTTCGCCAAGCACCCCCGGTCTCCTTCCGATTCTATACCAAATTCCCCCATGATCGTCCCCCATCGTCGCATCAGATGCAAAATGTGCAGGTACGCCCTCTCCCTCTCTCGACCACCATTCCCCACCTATCAAACGTCCATTAAAGAACCGAACTTGCCACCCGCGAACACATGCTCGACCACGGCCAGCTTGGGCCCCCGACGCCCGCTGGGCCCTCCCTCACGCCCGCCGCCTCCCGCCGCCCTTCCATGACCGAGCCCTCGCTCTCCCGCCGCCCGTCCTCAGGCGCTAACCAGCTTCCCGCGCTCAGCGAACTCACACCACTATCACCGTCTTCGCGCAGACCCTCGGGAGCGGGCACGGGACCTGGCGCCGATCTCCAGCTCTTGATGTCGCTCAACCGTCGGCCGTCCGTGGGGAGCACCAGCTTCTCGATCTCGCGCCGTCCGTCCGGATCTCGGCCCGCGCGTTCCGGGTCTAAGTCGGAGAATAGTGGCAGCCCGAATGGCGCTGGGGCTGGGGCTGGCAGTAATGGAGGAGGTTTAGCGCGCCCGCAGCTTGCGGGTGGGCGGAGTCTGCTCGAGAGCATGTCGATGTCTGCGCTGGAGGATGAGGACGACGATATGGACGTGGAGGAGGCTTCTGCACGGTCGAACTCGAGCGGGGCGACCACCGTGGCGGGGATGACCACGCTTTCTATATCCAGGCGCCCGTCTCAAGGTGCGAAAAGGCCGTCATTCGTGTCCATGGAGGGCATCGGGCGGGAGATATCGGATACGCTGGACGCGGCGACGACGCCGGCGGTGGAGGACGAGAACAAGTCGCTCGATTCGACTGGTGCAGCTGAGAAGAAGACCGCGCAGCCTGCCGACGCTGCCCTGCCCGTGGCGTCGCCTGCGCCGATCTCGAGCACGAGTGCCAGCCCTGGATACGCGACACCGTCGGACCTCGCAGCGCAGCTACACACGCACCCAAAGCTCGCTGCGCTGCGCCAACCCGCTGGTTTGAGCATGACTTCGATCCAGGGCCCGTCGTCGCCGCGTGTGATCGCGAGTCCACCGATTCTAATGAACTCCAAGTGTTCAGGGTACTTTGTGGAGCCTGTATGTTTATCTCTTTTCTTCCCATGGTGTCCTTTGCTCTCCCTTCCTTGCCCCGTTACTTTTCGCATAATTCGTGATCGGTGTGGCTGACTTTATCCTGCTTGTCTTGTTAGATGAAATGGATGGAACCCACCATCGAATCGGGTGCTATCGCGGGCAAGATCGTGTGTCCGAACAAAAAGTGCGGTGCGAAGCTGGGCAACTTCGACTGGGCGGGGGTGTGCTGTAGCTGTCGAGAGTGGGTCACGCCTGTGAGTTTACTGTTTTCCTTCTACCTATGGTGGGATCCTTGGGGTGCTGACGATGGTTGTTTGATGGTAGGGGTTTTGTATACATCGGTCGAAGGTTGATGAGATAATCGGTTAGGGATGTACATCCAGCAAAAGAAAGAGTTGTGGGGAGTGCATCGATGTGCTGGTATCTTGCCATATTGTCGGAGTCCTAGGGCTATGCTGTGTATCTGTGCATCTATGCGACGAGCTGGGATATATAACTATGTTCTAACTGGATTTCCGATATGGTGAGCTCGTAGGCTGTTCAGGCATCTCTCTTCCAAGATGAAGGCATCAAATTATAGCTGTTCACCATGGAACACGGGACAGCGGTCGGACTGAGATTAACGCAAGATACCAAAATTTAACTTATATTATACCGATACAGATTCTATTTTTATTGATAGTCAATTACCAGCAAGTTGCGTGGACTACATCATCTATAGTATGTTAGATTTCGCAAGGCGTCGCGCACGCCGACGCGTGTATCGGCTGACGCGAGCAGGATCCGATGTCGGCGTCTACGTCACGGTAGCGCTGGCGTCGTGGCGCCGGGTGCACTACCGCGCCTTGTTCCTTTGCATATACCCATTTTCGTGTCGCTCAGTTGACAGATGTCAGTTACATATCACGCACGTTCGTTTCGTTTCGCTCCCTTGTATTCCATGACATTCCTTTCCGTGATAGCATATGATTTTTCCTTGCTTTTCTGTCCGGCAAACCTGATCCGTACGATACCGAGCATCTCGCCAGAGTTGCACTTATACCAGACGATTAGTTACCGTCACCTCAGCGTTCGTTCCTCGCACGACGACTGAGGTGAGACTTATTCTATTCCGACGCACCTATACACATACTTACAATCCTTTGTAGTTAGCTGACCTTGTGTCTAGGTGAATACATTATTAGCGTTCGTTCCTCGCACGACGACTGAGTTGGCTGACCTTGTGTCTAGATCGTGCTGTTGCTGTAGTCGTAGCCTTGTAAAATAGTATCACTAATATTAGGCCTCTCTCATGTGCTTTCTATGATTACTCTCGGCAACAATACTGCAACAAGTATGAGAGCATGTCTATTACAAGTGAGCATCATAAATTCTGTGCTGATCATCAATGCCTCATCATCACGACCAAAAATGGCTATGCACCAGTGCCATAGGCTGTCAAACCTATAAAAAATTCTCGAGGTATTGATACGGATATAGATATAGGACACACGCCCACGTCAGAGTGATGGACATTTTTCTCATGCTACCTCCAGCACCTACCACTCTACTCTTGGCTTTAATATCATTTTCGGGTCTCTTGGGCCACACACATGATCAAGGCAACGTAACCTGCACGAGTACCTTCACAAGTTGGTACTCGGATATTGTTGGAGAGACACCGTGTGCATTTCATCTGAAAAGTCACAATATTATCGCCCACTAAATTATCTCATCCCTTTTACTAGGTATGACATATAGCCGACTGATGTCCGTATGTGACCTTCAATATACGATGCTCCTTCAATTTCACAGCTTTACCTGATAGCTCTGGTGTCTACCTAGATGAAGTTCCGACTCTTCGCTCAAGCGCACCCGGAGACAATTGTAGCGGTCAAGTCGGTAAGGACGGCTTGCTGATTATAAGCTACAGTCGTGGTTTTCAATTCGGCTGAAATTACAGCCGACTGCTGCTGTAACTCTGTATCGTGGGCTCTTAGCATGCTGTGCATGAAGTACGTCCGCTAGATCGTCATACCATATTCCTTCTCTCATTCAGCATTGGAGCTGTCAGCAGGAACAGAATCAAAGTCAAGGTATCAATGCCGCAGACGGAGCGTATCAGAAGTACTTGACCTCGAACTACGGGATGTGTAGTCCCAGCTCCAACCAAACATTACCCTATAATGTTTCAACACTGGCATGTTATGAGGGCATCAAGCTTCCGAATTTTCTATATGAGCTCTACTGGGAAGATGGTGATTGGCACTAGTAAGTTATCAAGCTCCCTTCGTTCTAGTATAGCTAAACCTGAGAATGTAAGTGATTACACAGCTCAATTTGCAACGGAAGCTGCACAGGCAGCAGGATCGAATGAGTCTTCCCTCTTTACCCTACAGGTTTGCCCGTCTACCTCTATACTAGTACCGAATAATGGAGGGGCGGTGTCTACCATGACTTCTACAAGCGTCTCCGATCCGAGTGCCAGTGTATCAGGTATCAGGTTGACCCAGCACACGAGCATCGGCTCTGCTGTAGGAGGAACAATCGGGGGTCTTGCGGGGCTTGCAACAATTGCAGGTATTGTACTACTTTATTCAAGGAGGCGCATGAAGTAAGGAAAGCGATGACGCCCAGCGTATGTCTACTCCACGTCCTGCAGGATCAGCCCCTCACTGACCATGCTATGATCGAAGTCCGAACGGTTAACCTCTCAAAAATCGTCACTACTTTCGAAAATATCCACCCCCGGCTCATGATACCCGACAAGCGCTCTCGGATGCATGCGGCGGAACAGACGGCGCGTGGTGGCGCTCCTCAAACGACAGAAAATGTAATAAACCCCGTTCATCCAATTAGAGCTCACGGCTCTAGTCAGTCTCTTCCTCGCGGTCCATTTCAAGAAGAGGATTACGGTCCAGTGGAGGAGCAGGAGCTTGGGGAAACAGGGACACTCCGCTTGCCGCCCGCATACGACGAAACGTGGCTACAAGGACGGTTGTCGGCAGCAAGACGGGCGCTAAGCTTGCGGCGAGGGCATAGAGCGAGCCGCTTACCAGCAATTCCAGATGCTGAGCTTGTCAAAGAACTTACTCAAAACTTGGTAATGCTGCCAAAAAAACGCGTGAGCCCGAGTATGCTATGGTATACAAGATATAAAACTGTCGAGGTAAATAGGGGCCAACTAGCTTGAGATTGATATTATCTTTAGACGGAAATAGATCTTACAAACCAGCACCAACATCAATGCCTTCAATAAATATACCCGCCTACACTTGCATATTGGCTTGAAACTAAGAGGGACTGAGGTAAAACTTCGACAACGGGGACAGGCGGTAGAAAAAAAAAGAGTAGCACAGCAGGACATGTTACATTCACTGTTTGAGCATTGGCTGTACCTAATCCGGTGACAGAAACACTCAGAGAGAGTGAATGGAGGTTATCTGATGTAAAATAAGCGGAAAATGATAGACAGATGATGAGCCTTAAATTGTTAGGAAAACCTTCGTTACGAGTGGAAAAAAATGCCTAAATTCCGACGTGTGCGTTTGGTGTGCGTTTAGGGATACAGATGTGCAAGAAGAAAAGAGCGCATTGAGAATGATTGAAGTGGTGTAACTTGTGTTCGTGTGGTAACCATGCAGCGGCCGACACACGGATTTCGCTGCTACGTTGTTGGCGTGGACTGGAGATCGCGCTAAGTTAAATATCGAAAACATGGGTGCATCCTGCTCAACAGGCCAGCGGACATAGCTCAGCAGTGTTTTTGCGAGTTTACGGAGATGAGCTAGCAATGGACGAGAGCACAACATCGTAACATTACTAGACCGTTTCCTAATGTCGGAAATTCCCTTTTTGTGTCGCAACAGCGACTTTACCATTTGGGCCATTGAGGTCATCGCAATACGTTTTATTTCCGCTAATCCCGTGGCAACGCCAGCAACGTTGACCATAATCCCGTCGCAAACCCGTTACAATGTATTGGAATGGTCATTGCGACGAGCATTGCAACGGCAACTTTGTCATCATAACGGCCCGAATTCATTTTTGCCATTTTGGGCATCACAACGCATCACAATGACAAAAAGAGATTTCCGACATTCGCGATCTTGCTGGGAGCAAGACCAAATTCCTGTAAGTACACCCTCGAGAATTGTTTGGAAGCTGGAAAGAACACAATGTTCACCGCAAGCCCGAGGTGTACATAATCAGAGCCTGAGAGTCTATGTTACACCTCAGAAAGCACTCACATGCGCAAGCCACGTATCGGGCTATATTTTGGACAACCGGGACTACGGCTGGTCAGACACCCTTTTTTGCAGCTTGAGCATCATTGTTAGCGGTGCTCGTGAAGCAGTCCCCCAGTAACTACAGCTGACGATAGCTATGTTAGTACCTGTACTTTTCCATTGGTGCCCAGGTTTGATCATTGATCGGACATTGATGCATCAGGAAAGGACAGAGCGCCCTCGCGCCAAGGATTTTTGTTGGAGTTACGGAAGTTCCGTAGGTCACCGGTCACCAGTCAGAAACCATCTGGTGTTGATGAAGTTGGCTGTTTGGATGATATCCAATACATACACTTCAGCTGTGAAACGTTGGTGTCAGCTTCCGCAGCTGATTAAAAGCTCGTCAGATGACGATTCAATTTGGCGACTTGTTTACATGTGATGGACGTGTATAGCCCTTCTCCAACTGCTTTCATTCACTGGGTTTGCTGCAGTAGAGACAGAATACAGTACATTGTTAAGGAGAAGTGCAGTCATCGGATTGGGCGGCTTGTGGATGTCATGTCTGAAGATTTCCTTAGAGTATTCACAGTGCCTTTAGTTGCTGATACACCAATATGTTGTCTAAATGCAAGAGTCCCGATCTGACATGATGCGTATGTGATACGAAATTGTAAGGTAAGTCAGCTTCCTTTGGGTAATGTCGGAAGAGATTGGCATCAATCAGAGACGGCTGAAGTCTGATGAAAATTTTACATCAACCCCACCTACGTCAATGAATAATGGCCAGTTCCGATGATAAATGTCGAGAGTGCGCGCATGGTCACGCATTGTTTCATGATGCAATGCAATGCTGTGAAAATAGTTATACAGGTACCATATCCTACTTTGGATGGGGCCTCCTCAATGTCAAAGGCAGTCCACACAACTTTAAATGAACTCCACCCGGATACAAACACGATTTCTGGCACCGATGCGATGATCGGATAGAGACCTGCTGCGTATGCACAGGATGGCTAGTTAACGTTTAACTCAGTATTTCTCAGGGTGGTACCTTTTAATCCTCCCTTCTCGATCCCCGCCACGAGCATCGACTCTTCTAACATCTCGCACATAAATCCAAGAATGCCATATCGTTCACATTCCTTGGTTCTTGGCACCATTCTTTTCGGCGTCATGGAGGGCGCAATTGCTCAGGGGAATGTAACCTGTTTGAGCAAGAGTACAGATTGGTATTCGAACACTAGCAATGAGTCTCCATGTGCGTCATCTTTCTCCCCTTTCCAATACTTTGGCGCTATCCTCATATTTGTTCTATCAATTCAAAGGCATGACATACTACAGACTGCGTTCCATATGTAATCCAGACTGTGCGCCAGTCGGGAATTACTGACTAGTCATAGAGACTAACCGACAAAAATATATAGATCAGGTCCCGAATTTTGTTAGCGGTCATAGGAGTGTTCCCGGGGATACATGCAATGACCAAAATTGTAAGTGGGGTAACTTACAAATTAGACATACAAAGAGAATGATACATGCTCCACTGCTTTTCTTAGCTGAATGCTGTTGCAATTCTGTCGCTTTCTCACTCAGCATGCTTTGCAAGAAGTAAGGACATCTTTCTAGACTTCGCAAATTACTATATATCTGACGTGTGTACCTAGCTGCCAGCAAAAGGATAGTGACGACTTGTCTTCTGACAGCCAGAACGCGCTTGCGGGTGGTTATGCACTGTACACTCATAACTATACGTGCACCGAAAATAAGAATTCGACTTTACCAGCAGATATCAAGGATGCCGCATGCAAAAAAGGAATTCAGCTGCAGAACATTCTGTACCCAAATTTTTGGAGTGCGGATGGTTCCTGGTGGTAGTAGGTCCTTCGTTTATCAATCCTCGTCTGGTACAAGCATGAGAACCTGGAAACCTTTAGCACGTGGTTTTCACAGAAAGGAAATGAATGGATCCAAGCCGCTGGTTCAAACAAGTCGGCCTTGTTCACTTCTCAAGGATGCTCAATATTGGCCGCAGCTACATCTTCAACTCCAGGCGTTTCGTCGCCCTCCAGCGTTACTTCACCTACTCCCAATGGGTCCTCGCACCCAAGCGTTGCTGCTGCGGTTGGAGGCGCGATCGGAGGCACCGCATTACTCGGTTTCGTAGTGTTGATGTTTTGCCTATGGAAACGTCGACGAGCAGAGAAGGACCGATTTGCGTATATAGCGAGCATAGCTAGGCCTGGTGAGTAATCAAGTTTTCTACTCTGCCTCAGTTCGGATATTCAATAAGGCCAAGGTGGCTTTTCAATGAGGCAGGAATATCCTACTCTCAGAAACTCGTCATCTGCCGTCATGAATTCAAACAATCAGTCTCGCCGCAGCTCAAACCACCACGAACCACATCCTCAAAATCTTGGATTGAGCAACGAACCCGCGCAGGGAATAGAAAATGGCCAAGGAAACGATATTGAGTCGCTTCAAACAAGAACGACTTTGCCGCCTGCTTATAACTCCATGTAACGTCTGCGCCGAGAAGAGCAATGCACGACGATGGGAAGGCAGCTACAGTAGAGAGGGTCCAGCTGGTGTTTCCAGGAGGGTACCTCGCAGGAAGATGTTGGTATACCGCATGTTGTATTCGTAGGCAGCCAGGTAGGACAGCCATAGAAGAGTGACATCGTGGTGAGAGAAGAGACATGTACGGATTTATCTCGTCAATACTTTGGTTGATTAGCACAAGATGCATTCCAACTGTAGAATTAAGACATGTTCCTTTACGCCACCCGCTACGATACGACTCTAGTGACCTCCAGATATTGCCTTGAGGAAGTACGACTTGACCTCTTCGTAGCTAGAAAGCGTGACATTAGCCCTTTTCGATCAAAAATTTAGGGTACCACTTACTACTTCGGCAGACCCTCGATCTATCAAACAAAGGTCAGCTTCCCACGTCATCACTCCCTACAAAGCCCATTGCACGCACCTGCTTGCCCCCATAGCGAACCGCAGCATCGTTTAGCCACCCGACGAAGTATCGTATATCCTCTGCAACCTTCGCTATCAGCACTCATCAGGAGTAGTAACATATCGAGAAGACCCACGTTTGAACCTGCTCGATTCGATCAGATGCAGCCCGTGACCGTGTCCACCCTGTGCGTGCACGCGCTCCTCGTGAATCCTCCACATCTCGTCTTGGTTCGGGAGGAACGCGGTCTCTGACCAGACCTTGGCAAGCGCGAGCGCGAGATAGTCCGTGAAGAGGAATGTTTGGACTCCGGGCCCGAAGTTAACTAAAAGAGAGGATCACATTAGACCACGTTTTAGCAATAGAATGTGTACCGGCGAGGACTCACTGCCAAGGAAGGCGATTGTAGGGTCGCGGATCCAAAATAGGTCCTGGTATAGCTCGCGGATGTGCGTGCCGTCGAGGGGTAAGAATGTCGTGCTCGACGAGTTGGGTGGGATGCTGGGCGCTAGCGACGAGGACACGTCGTCGTCGTAGTATTGCGGGAGGAAAGGGAAGGAGTAACGGTATCCTGTGGCGAGGATGAAGTGGTCTATGCCAGTGAGAATCTATTTGGTGATTAGCTTCGAGTAAACAAATCGCGAGAATGAGTGACGTACTGTGCCGTTGATGAGTTCGACGCGAGCGTCCCGAATAGAGGAGGCGCCGTCTAGAGGGAGAAATTGTTTGATCTGCGGGACCTTGGTTGTATTTGCTGGAAGACGGAGGATGTAGTTGATTGCATCGTCGCTATTGGTCTCTCCAGAGGCTGCAGCACAGTTACGAACGAAGCTTTTGACTTTGACAACGACGTCAACTCACTGTTCGCCTGGGTAATTAGTCAGCTGTGCGCGAGAATGAGCAAGCTCGGGGGCCCCAACGTACCTTAATGGACTGATAGACTTTGCCTGCCCACCGGTTAATGTCCCTTGATATCTCGGCGCCGCTGGTCTGAGGACCTCAGTACGCTGCGCCCACTTGAATCGAGGTCAAAGACGCACCGCTGCACCAATAACCATGACTGTCTTGTTGGCCAGGGACTGAGGACGGCGATACTGGCGCGCATGCATGATCTCGTCAGGGAAATGCTTGACCAGTTCTGCGAGGCCAGGTATCGGCGGCATGAATGGGGCCTGGTATCGTCCTGACGCAATAGCAACTGCATCGAAGTCCTGGAACCCACATCTAAGCGAACCGGCGTGAGCTTCGAATACAAGGCGATGCACACCTCGGTCCACCATGACGCCTCTGAAGTTCCATTCCTGAACACCTCCAGCTTCTTCAACCATAACCGCCATCCCTCCTCTTCTCCATCCGCGTTGACCAGTTTCTCAACCAGCTCCACCCGCGTGTTATACGATGCAGCGGGGTTATCGTCGTTACTGTTGACTCCGTGAAACGATGCAAAGGCGCGGACGTAGTTGCGAAGTTGGTACTGCGTAAGCTCTAGAGTGGATGCATGAGATGAAGCAGGGCAAAAAAAAACACGGAGTCGACGTACTCCAGGGTGTTCCTTCTGGCCATGGTAACTCCGGCACCTTCAACGCCGTGAGCATGAGAAGACAAAGAAGAAAGGGATGTCACACCTGTTGCAATGGCTACCGGGCGACGTGTCCCAGTTAGCCGCCAGCGTTGGATTACATCGAGGACACTTACTGCTGGCGCATTCGACGTCAACGTATCCCACACGGGCTTTGGCCCGCGATGATCTATGCGCATCCATTCGGCGTTTTGGTGGATCTCGGAGTAGGGGAGAATAGCATATTTGGGAGGTAGAGAGGGTACGTAGTCGCCGATGGGTATATGCGCGTTTGGTACGGGTGCATCGGCGGCGGTCTCTTCAGTATAGTGCCAATTTCCTCCGGGGACGCCATCTCTCTCAAACAGGCGAACTTCAAAACCGGCTTGAGCGAGTTCACGGTATGTTACAAGACCACTTTGTTGAGCCAAGCTTAGTGGAGACTCGATATCATGCCATGGGAGCTCACCTTGGGCCGGCGCCGATGATAGCAACCCTCCGAACAGGCCGTCGCAAATGATATTCTTCGTCTTGAAAGATAGTTTCGGAGAATGGATGCTGAACGAGAGCGAGGCTTTGTCCGACGAGAAGAGCGATGAGAGCAACGAAGGGGAGAAAAGCGGTTAACATCGCGTTTCATCGGCGCGACCACCAACACGGGCGCTCAACGTCGCTCAGCTTCCTGGGAAGACTTTGCATCCCTCTCAAGATCCCACCAGCAACCGTGGCCTATTCATGCGTCTGGCTCGTTCAAACTACTATCAGTTGTCGAGTTCTGTAGCTATGAACCCGTAACTTGCCCGACGCCCGTAGCAGTCTGCAGTTACCAGTAGCCTCGCGAAGTGACAGTCCCAGTCCTGCCAGTAGCAAGCTCCGAGCACGCATTTCTCGGGCAGAGTCCCCATTCATCCGCACCGTTGAACGTTGGACATTGAACCCCACCATCCCCTCGACAACACGCCAAACATTCAGCATCAGCATCCACCCTTTAGCCGAGTAAGCATAACCAGCAGTAACCATACATTCTCTAACCACTGATTGTTTCCTGTAAATCTGCTCAGAATAACAACATGTCTAGAGTGATGAATTGGCTCAGTTCGGCTGAGCGCCAGCTTCGCACCGATGGCAATAGCGCTTCTTCCCTAGAGGCCGTTCAGGACAGCATGCAGCGCAACACGCTCGTGCCCATCTACCGTCTCCCGCCCGAGTTGCTCGTCGAGATCTTTGCTTACCTTACGCCCCTATTCACCGTCGATCAGCGGAATATCCTCAACGTCTCGCACGTGTGCCCACTATGGCGCGAGGTTGCCGTATCCTGTCCTACTCTCTGGTCTGCCATCAAGCTCAGAGTCGGCCATCACACCCGCGGCTCCGCCGACCTTTTCCGGATTATGGCAGAGAGGGCGGAAGGACTAGCCGTGACCTTCTGCTTGGACAGCTCCTCATTTACCGTCAACCACTCCGACCTCATACGCGAGATGTGTCGACACGCTGGCCGCATGCGCCAACTCGATATGCAATTCAATCACTTATCAGTTGAACAGTTTCAAAAGACATTTGACTGCTTTCTTTCCGAATTCCCTGCCCTAGAAGAGTTCAGCTTACACGTTACCACGGATGAAACCATCTTTCTCCCCACCGATTTTCTAGTGAATGCGGCGATGCTGCGTCGGCTGCGTCTCCAGAAGTGTGCACCTCCCTGGGGTTCGGCGATTTTCAAACGCTTAACCCAGCTAGAGCTTCACGATCTGTACGATATCTCACCCACAGTAGAAGATCTCTGGTCTCTCATAAGAAGCACATCGTCTCTGGAGGTTCTCATCCTCGACGATGCACTATCACAACTGACGCCCCTTCCGCCTTTCTGGAACGACATCGACAGCTCTCAAGTCATCTATCTCCCGAATCTCCACCACATCGAGATGAACTCAACCGAAGTTGATGCCTACTTCTTCTCCCGCATCCGGGTCGCTAAGCATGCCCACATCCACCTAGTCGTTTATCCGGAAGCTCAACCATTCGGCCTACCCATCCTACCTCCGGCATTTTTCTCCGCGTCGCGGATGGATACGGCCTCTAGGGACATGGTTACTCTCAAATCAGGCATCAACATCAAGTTTGATGTTCAAAGGACGCTTTCTGAACGTCCCAGGCTCCAAGATTGTAGTCGTGTCCGATGTACAGAATGCGAGAATCGCTTCAGCGCTGAATTTATCGGCGTCGGAATGCTCAGCACCGTTGCTATCCGCCTCCTTAATTCGCTCTACGGTGGTTCTCCCTTTCTATCCGTCCATGCCCTCAACATATCCATCGACGTGGCTCACAGACGCGAGTACGTTTCTTGGAGAGAGCTGCTCCCGCTACTGCCTCAGCTTCGGATTCTATGCGCCACTGCCATACACCCTGATTTGCAGAACCTTCTTGTGGTCCTCAAACCTCCCACACAGCCACGCACACAGGGCATCCTCGTTCCACGCCTGGAGAAGCTCGTCTTGTCACGGGCAGAAAGCTACTACCCTACTCCAAGCATCACCGGGCTAGCTGATACACTGGTGCAACGTTCACAGCTAGGCTTGTCTCTCCGTGAACTTGTTGTGACGAAAGTCCGTGTACACGAGTCGGAGATGGTCAGGTTGAAAGGTGTCGTTAAAATTACAAACTTCGCCTAGATGGAAACAGGGCCATCGGCCGCACTACGTATCAACGTAAGAACTGTAGTGTGGATGCGTGCGATTTGCCCAGTAGCTTCGACGCAACCCGGAGGCGTTTGGTCTAGAAACCCTTGTAAGACATCTCCGAGGCACCCTACACTGTATTACAGGTGGAATTACATGTTTTTTCTCAGCAACCATTTCCGTTGAAGTGGTATTCTACTTAAGCACTGGGTTAAGGGTGGTTATCGGGCATTAATTGGATCTATTTGCGACATGGCATAGGGGATCGGTGTCTGGCTACCGAATGCTTTCGCTGTACAAACACATGTTTGCAAACCTCTTCAGTGCCTTTACCCACTCGATGCTGCACAATAGAGCTAACTTCAATTCTCCGGCTACTTGTAAAACGACCAGGTAGCCGGCGTGTTCGGGAGGATATACGTCTGTGTGTTGACGACCATAGTGATTGTGCTCTGTAAGCTGTAATGAGCTTGATCGTTATCGAACTAGGTGCGCCTGCTTTTATATCTGATCTGGGAACTTTGGATCCGGACAGCTGCACCATAAGCGCGTCAGGGTTTGAACATCGTTTCTGGCTTCCGTCCGAGCTCAGCTCTCTCAGGCTGGCTACCACATCAAAATGTACAGAAAAGTATAAGGACATTGGATTCTGATTGTAACGAGAATTTGGCTCCGACACGCTCAGTGTTCTCCAACCGTCGAACAGCCTTGTACTTGATGAGGTGTCAGACTATACCATCGTGTACAAGTATAAACTGGGATGTATTACGAATTGAATATTGAGGAGAACGAGTACAGTCCTCTTGGATAATTATTTAGCTTCATGGTAGAGGAGATTCGAGTCATTTAAACATAAATGGAGAAAACCTGAACGTGAAAATACTTCATGTTTAGTGCTTATACTAATAATAATACTATGTGTTCGCCAATGACCTCTTTTGTCGTCAAGCTTTTGTCGGAAGTCGGAGACTTCCGGCGGCACCGCAAGACGCGGACGTGGCGAGCGTGTGGCGAAGTAGGGGCAAGATCGAAAGTAAGAAAGAAGCACACTACTACTATATATGCGACTCAGCCACTGACTTACCCTCATTCGATTGTACCACGAGCGACAGAGGGTCTAACGCTGCCTAGTCTTAACAGCTTTTGGGGATCCCGTTCAGCTGTTAGCATCACGCATCAGTAGAGACATCCAAGGACAGGCTCACGGTCCGACGCGCCTCGCAGCGCGTTCAGACGTGCGCCTTCTCCCGATATGAAACCAAGGCTAGCAGAGATGATAGGGGCAATGTTCGCTCCAGCACAACGCCGCATCAACGGCCAAGTCGCCTGAGTTCCACGGAGCTGCCACCCTGATGTCGATTTGATCCGGGAAGTCCTACAGAGGAAACAAGCTCAAAGGACTCGCACCAAAAAAGATCACAAGGCCAAGTTGATAACCGAAGCTCAATTATCGGAGTTGATGTCAGTGCGGTGTAGCTATGTCATTTTCAATCCGAGAACTCCATTTCTAATCTCAAAATGATTATCTGTCAACCAGCTCCATCACAACGAGACGCCACTGACAGTACACATTCCAATCACACGCCACACGGATGGACCATAGCGTCGTTCCCACGTCGTAGAGTTCATGATCATACCACGCCGTCTGGATACTTAAATACTGTAGATCTCTGCAGGGGAATCCACCTCCTCGCTTTTCATTAGCTATGGTCACGTCTATCATTGTAGAGCGCTGGCTCTCAACAGCCATTTTACTCGCCTCAGTGGTCGCGGGCATTAACTTTATGCACTCCATTCTACGCCCCAGAGGAAGGCGCTGTACCATCTCCGGGCCAAGACCCTGGCCTCTGCTAGGGAATGTATTAGGTATCGACATGAATGCTCCTTGGATAAGCTACGCAGAATGGAGCAAGACGTTTGGTACGTACATCGATCTTCCATTTCGGAGACTGGAGATAACATGATCTGCAGGCAAGATATTTCTCACCACTATGGTTGGGTTCGATATTGTTGTAGTCAGTGACGAGGCAATAGCTCGCGACCTCCTCGATGCTCGCTCTAGCAAGTATTTGGGGAGGCTACCGTAACCTACAGCCGAGCCGTGCGTGTCTGCGTTATATTCCTGAAATGTCTAATCCCACTAAAACTTCTTCTGCGGTAGTTATGGTTTAGACTTTCATACGGGTCTAATAGATTACGCCGATAATTGGCGCTCTCACCGACGTCTACTTCATCAACGCTTTCGCGCGGACGCAGCGCGGGGGTATCGTGACATGCAGTTACGGAAGGCTCGTCAGCTCATCGCTAGCATTACTGACTCGCCCGAGAACTATCGAGAACATATACAAACGTGAGCAGTTGATATAAATTGGCTATCTACGCGATATCGATAAAAGACAGGTTCTCTTCATCGGTGATCCTGTCGGCCGCGTATGGATACCATGCTCGCCCCGTCAAAGACCAGCTTGTCGAGAAAATGACACACACCCTTGAGGTCATGCTTCAAGCCGCTGCACCAGAGAAGGCATTGTTAGTGGGGTTGTTACCGTTTGGTAAGCTATCCAAGGCATCCCTTTGTAAAATAACTGACCAATGTTTAGTTAAGTACATCCCGTCGTGGATACCCGGTGGAAGTTTCAACGCAGCAAGCTGTCGAAAAAGTATCAAAGAACTTTCCCATGAGCCATTTCTCTGTCTTAAAGAGACTATCGTCCGTACTTCCTACACTAGGTCATCCAAAAACTTCGTCAAATAACTTATCTGTATAGGAACCCGAATCTTCGTTGCCAAGTTTAGGTTACTCGGGAGTATCTCGTCACTCGCAGCTTTCCGTCAATATGCCCCGGGATAGTGATCAGCAACTAGCCCAAGATGTGTGCCTTTCTGCATTCTCTGGTGAGGATCAATTTTCACATTGACTGGTTTTTGATCACTTGACTGATAACATCCACTCATAGCTGGAGCAGAAACGGTTAGTGTTTCTCATGCAGGCACCTTCAGTAGACTTAGTTGGATTTGATCCGTGGCCATATCTGCAGACTTCCTCAACGCTTTTCATCTTCGTACTGGCGATGGTACTTCACCCAAAAGTGCAGGAGCGCGCCTATGCAGAAATCATGAACGTCTGCGGAACTGATCGTATCCCTATGTTTGATGATAGTCCGGAACTTCCATATGTAGATGCCATCATACGCGAGACACTGCGCTGGTATCCAGTCGCTCCCCTGGGTATACACATCTGAGTGTGTCATTTCAAGAGGCTTACATTCAACCGAACAGGTATACCTCACACTGCAACCGAAGATGATATATACAGAGATGATTTCATACCCAAAGGTGAGTTTGAAGGGTTAGTCAGCTTCAAGCCAGCAAGTTGAATAACATCTTTTCAGGCACGATAATCATTATAAATGTGTGGTCAGTCACGTCACCTACTCCGCCATGGCATAGGAATGAAGCTTATATTTATGAATATATCTAGGGCATTGGCCCACGATGAGGCACGCTTCCCTCGAGCAAACGAGTTCATCCCTGAGCGTTTTCTTACCGAAGAAGGGGCCTTGACAGATGAAAGAGTCGACTTCGCTTTTGGCTTTGGTAGGCGTGTCTGCCCCGGAAACCATTTCGCGGATGCATCGCTTTGGGCATCCGTCACCTCTATGCTCGCTACCTTCCGCTTCGAAAAGGCCAGGGACGGTCAGGGAAGAGAAATAGAATTCGAGCCCAAGTGGGCGTCTGGTACAACGTCGTGAGTGGATCTCCATACGTGAACAAGTCTTATTTGTGAAACAATATTCAACGCTTGCAGCTATCCGCGACCTTTCCCTTGTCGCATTGTACCCAGAAACCCGGGAGTCGATGTAAACACTTTGTCGCAGCTGTAGGGGCCCAAGTACTGGAAATTCCTATGCAGTCGTTCCTATTATTAGACGTAGTACTACCACCAGCCGTCGACGCCATCATAGGATACTTAGTATTCTTTCAAACAAAGGCAGTAGTCACAAGACCATCATATCACGCACTGAAACCAACCAGAACCGCCCGTGCTAGCAGCAATTACGTCTCAATGCGATTGCAATAACGCTGGAACCATTCGGAACCGCCTGCACCCAGTGCAACCGCCAATAGACTTCGTGACATTGTCATCTTACATTTGATAATACACCGTATATAAAACGCCAAGGACAATATTTGATACAAGATTAAATAAGTGTACCGCTAACGACACATAAATGCGAAATAAATAAAGCAACCGCTTAAATATAAACGAAGATCCCGACCAACCAAGCGTATGTCGTTATATCGTATTCGACACCCTCAAAAATGCCCCGTGTCAGCCCTTGGATCTGTACAGCTCCAACCTACTCCACGTCCGCGACGGGCAAGGGAGGTCTTCCGCGATGTACTGCATCGCATGAGAGTAGACCGAGGCGCATTTTGCGCCTGTGAGTACTCGCGATCCAAGGGTAGAACGTAGTCGCCGAGCATCAATAGGGCCCACGACCCGCGATCCACGAGACGTCAGACGTTCGTCATGCGAAACTCGAAGAAGAGCTGCGAGAGCTGATGCTGCCGCTACCGCCGCCGCGGACGATGCGGTACGGATGTATCCGCGCGCCCTTGGACAGCTGGCGCTGAGGGCATCGTAGGCGCTCTAGAGCTGGCCCGACGAGAAGCAGTGGTGTCTGTATGGGTCCGATGGCTGCGGAGCTGGCTGTAGATGGCGCGGGCGGGACGATGACGACGGCGTCGGCGAGGGCTAGTGTGCTCGGCACGAGGCGGATCTTGCGGGAGGCAAGAGTAGATGGGGATGTGGAGGTGGACGATGCGGAAGAGAAGCTGGGGGAGGGAGATGGGGGGCGGGAGTCGTCGGACGTTGACGATGCGATGGACGGTGACGGCGGAGGGGACAAGGAGGTCTGTATGACGAGATCAGCTGGGCAATGGGCAATGTATGGACAGCCATGACATACGTTATCCTCGAATGAGTAGTCCATATCGGCGCAGGCGGGGGAGGAAAGCTGGTGCGAGCGTAGGGAGAGCCTTGTGAAGTGTGAAGCCAGGGACGATGACGGAACGAAACCCATGCCAATCGACTTTTATGTTCAGGGTCTCGGAGAAATGGTGCGGGTGGCCGAAGACGCTTCGAGGTCCGTGACGCTGACTGAGATGATGCGACCTGGCGGGTGGAACGGAAGCAAAATAGGTCTGACGTCTGACCAGTCGAGAAAGGGATGGATGGATGTGATGGGTTCGGGGGGTTGATGGGTTCCTGCGCTTGTTCGAATGCGGGCACTGAGCTGGATGGAAATGGGATCGGCGCTCCACCGGGGATATAACCTCTGCGGACCTTTGGTTGTAGAGGCGGCCTATTGTGCGACTTATAGAGCAAGTGCGGTGTATGAGACACAAGTCCCGAGCCAGCAAGAGAAGGAGAAAGTGGAACAAGGCGACTTGGGGATGGACGTGGAATTAGAGACCGACGTCGCATGGATAGCCTTTGCATCTTATAAACGCGATGACATAAGAAGATGTTTGGACACAGGGAGGCAGGTGTGATTGTCGGTTTGATTGGCGGTGAGGAAGATGCAAACGTTGGACACAAAGCAGCGCTTCTTCCATTGTTCCTAGCCGTGGCGTACCGCGCGCCCACAAACAGCAGACAAAGGGGTTTCGTTGTTGCCGCTTGTTTGTCGCTGGTCCTTAAAGGGATGTCGGAGTCGGAATCTGTAGGCCAAACATGAAAAGAGCGAAAAGACATACACTCCTCTAGAGCATCCTAAGCTGCATTATGGATCTGTGAATGTATCGTTATAACTAAACCAGACAAACGTCTCCAGGATCAACACAACTGAAAGGCAGAGGTAGAGACGCCCCAAAGCTTTCTAGGAGACTTTCCTTTTACATCCGGTTGAAAACTCCCACGTGCACGTGAAAGGGCACCATCAACTTGACGCCTTCACAGAGCTCGCTCGAAACAGGAGACAATGGCGGACGCGACCAAGACGACTCCCAAGATACAGATCGTGAGTCTCTTCTCCCCCCTCTCGCTCGCTTTCATGCGTATTACGCGTGCTGTCTTCACCTAATGACATAGCACATTGACAATCCACGATAACTGATTGTTGATTGTATGCACAGCTCAAAGGCGCCGCGGCAGACCTTTCTGCGGCGACATATCAGATCTTCGATGAGTCGCACACGATGGGCAACGCACTCCGCTGGATGCTCATGAAGAAGTGAGTTCATTTCGCTGTTTGGTTGCTGTGTTGCAGTTGTGAGGCGGGGTTAACGGAGATGATCTTTGCAGTCCGAAGGTCGAGTTCTGCGGTTACAGGTAAGTTTCCAGTGCTAGTCCTCCCATTGTTCCCCATATCTTCGCTTTCGCTTTTTGTGACTTTCTGTCGGGCGTGTCGTCCACCGCCTTGTACTAGTTCGCTCGGCCCCTTGCATCGCAATGGACAGCGGGGTCCTAAGCCTCTTTTATCTATGCTTTTATCTTCGTCACTGCCTGCTGACGTCGGTGCCTCCGCAGCGTCCCGCACCCCTCGGAGAATCACATCAACGTCCGGATTCAGATGTACGGTGCGTACATCCCCCTCACCCACCTCCTACCCGTAACCCTCGCCCTACTCATTTGACGCTCCATAGACGAACTTTCCTCGCTAGACGCCCTCCTCGAAGCACTCTCAAACCTCGATGACCTGTGCGAGACCGTCGAGCAAAAGTACCAGGACAGCCTCGCGACGGACACCTACGAGCGGTGGGAGGAGCAGAGCTAAGTAGTGGCCGGTCAGTCAACAAGTACCAAGTACGTCTACGCCCGCACCGTGCACCCTCCGAAGCTTCCGCGCTCCATGCTCCCCGCTCGTCACCCCCGAGCTGCCGGTTGCTCTGCCATGGGCCTAACTTGGTTCCTCCACGGCGGGGTTGTATAGACCTCACACGGGAAAAGTATCGTACGCTCGGCTTGCTGGTTAATTGAATTTGAGAACCTCGTTCTGTTCAAACTCACACTCTCACCCCTCGGGGAGACGTCATATTTGGTGCTAATCGTAGGTGCGTATGTGATCGAGGAGCGAGTGCCGTCAGGGCACCTGTCGGCAGACGATGGGTCTTTCTTTCCTTTGATATTCACCCTCATGTTCTATTTGCGACTGGTCTTTAATAAAGCTCAAAGCCTCCGAGTTCGTGCGCAGAAAGGGCCCAAACGACGTCCTCGCGACGGCCTGAACTCGAAACCGCACGTAAAGTTAGCACGTCTCCTCGACGACCTCCCTCGCCCACGCGGCTCGGCGTCATATGGCCTCGCCGAGTATACGCCGGCACTCATAGGCTCAACATAACATCCTCGAAGAGACGACGAGAATAATCTTACTGTTCTCCCCCCCTCTTATGTCCCGTGGGGTTTTTCGTGCGCACGAATGTCGCCCGGCCCGCGCATGCCAGTATAAAAACCACTCACCCTTTCTTCCCCAGCGACTCCTCCGATTAGCTAGGTAAGCGAACAAGCGCACCATGCCTCGTTTCTCGCTCGCATCGCTATCCCTCCTGCTCTTATCCGTGCGCACGGCGCTCGCGGAGCCCACGAACTGCACCGGGCCGTACGGGAACTCGACCGTGGGCCTCAACGACGCGGCCAAGGCGGCGGGCAAGGTGTACTTTGGCACGGCGACGGACACGAATGAGTTCGGCGACTATGGCTATGTGACGATTCTCAATGACACGAGCATCTTTGGGCAGTTTACGCCGGGCAATAGTCTTAAGTGGGTGAGTCGGGTGTTCATGCGTTGCGCACGTTGGATGCCTTTGGGCCCGGAGGGCAGGGCAAGGCGGGCGAGGTGGGGGTGATTATGGCGGATGCTGACTGGTGCGCGTACGGGGTAGATGTACGCTGAGCCCGAGCAGGGCGTATTCAACTTCACTGGGGGCGATGAGGTGTATGCGATGGCATACGAGACCGGCAAGATCATGCGAGGTTTGTTCTTTGGTTGCCTGTGAGGCTGAGGCCTGGAAGGGGTCCGCTGATATGGGCATCCTCCGCAGGCCACAACCTCGTCTGGTACTCCGAGCTGCCCACCTGGGTGACGGACGCGACCTGGGACGCGACTAATCTCACCACGACGATCCAGAGCCATGTTACTGGCGAGGTGTCGCACTATACCGGAAAGCTGTGAGTTTTCTCTTGAGATGATTGCTGCTCGCAATTGAGTTCTAACATCATATCCTAGCTGTAAGTAACTAGCTGAATATGACCACAGCAAATATAATCACTTACCCTTCGCAAAGACGCCTGGGACGTTGTCAACGGTTTGTGCTCACTCCTTCAATACGGTCACAGTAGTACTCACTCGCACGTTGTTCAGAACCGCTCAACGACAACGGCACATTCCGCTCGGACGTATTCTACGACACCCTCGGCTCTTCGTACATCTCCATCGCCCTGAACGCGGCGCGCGCTGCCGACCCAAATGTGAAGCTGTACATCAACGAATACAACCTCGAGTACTCGGGCCCCAAGATCGACGCGATGGTGCAGCTCGTCAAGGACCTCCAGGCGGAGGGCACGCCGATCGACGGGATCGGGTTCGAGTCGCACTTTATACTCGGCGAGATCAACGCGCAGGAGTTCCAGTGGAACATGCAGAACATCACCGCGCTCGGGCTCGAGGTCGCGATCACGGAGCTGGACGACAGGATCGAGCTGCCGGCGACGGCGGCGGACCTGTATCAGCAGCAGCAGGAGTATCAGGAGATTGTGGGTGTGTGTATGGCTGTGGAGGGGTGTGTTGGCGTGACGGTGTGGGACTACACTGATTACGTGCGTGCATTATTCTTTGTGTGTGGGGATCGAGATGCTGATGGGGTACGTGGACAGTACTCGTGGATCCCGTCGACGTTCGCTGGTTACGGTGCTGCGTCCCCGTACAATGAGGTACGCTTATGCTCTTCATCGGCATGATTCATTGCAGACCATAACGATTTGTCCCCTCAGTGTCTCGAGAAGAAGCCGGCGTATGACGGTATTGCGGCCGCGTTCACGTCTACCTGAGCTTCCAATCACTCCTGGAAGTGACGACATCGATTGCTTTTGTAATGGGACTCGATAGTTAGTAATGAATAGGCGCCCTCGGTGGTTCGCTCGCAATTCACTGCTGCGTGGTGTCAGCACGTGTGATCCAGAGTCAGAGTTATCAGATAGCGTGTTTAGTCAGACGATGGGCTTGGCGTCCTTGGCAACCATCATTCGGCGACAACTCGGTACCGGATGGATCCACCGGAGATCACTGCACTACGATTGGCTGGTGTCGAGGGAGACTTGACCGCCGATTGGCCCTGAGAGACTCGCCGGCGGTATGCATGCCCCAAGTGGCATTTCTTGGTCCGGCGGATCAGACTCGGCCGTGCATTTGTCGTAAGGATGAGGTCAGCGTAGCGCTTCCGTCCGACGCGGACGATTCGTCTGCCCCCTGTCGATCGCGGCACGTTCTATGTTCGTTCGGGTCTAACCAGCCCTCTCGACTTTTCTGGGCGGTTTTTGAGGGTTGAGACGACGCTGAACACACCTTCATGCTTGAAGATACCTCTTTAGTCATCTCAGTCCATGGATGTTGCGCAATGGACGCGCAAGGTGTCAGCAGATGGGTCACAAGCGACGCGGTCTCAAATGAATTGAGTCAGCGGCTTCACGTCAAGCTGACAGCAAGCCTTATAAGAACCAGGAACGCGATGCCGTTCACACTTGCGGCCTCCATCGTTTAAAAGCCCTTGCACGGCGCCGACGACCCCGTCGATTTCTCCAACCACTCCTCCATCTTCTCGCTCTACCTCGCCTTGCCCGAGGCTCATTCTTACAGGCAGCCATCCCAGCGAGACAGGAGCCATGGCTTCAACACAAGAGCCAGAGAAGCAGGAGCGCAAGGACAAGTGGCAGTCCGAGGAGCAGGTCATCCCCAAGAACAATCTCCCGCTCGTCTTCAGTGGGTTGATGTGCGCCGTCTTCTTGGCCGCCCTTGACCAGGTGAGACATATTTTTACCCTTTTTTCATGCTTTGAATAACCCTTTTCGCTTCCGCGTAGACCATCGTCGCCACTGCTCTTCCGACGATCGTTCAGGACCTCGGCGGAGGTAACAATATCAGTTGGGTCGGAAGTGCGTACATGCTCGCCAGTGGTGCGCTCGGACCCCTCTACGGCAAGTTCTCCAACATGTTCGGTCGCAAGCCCGTTTTGTACAGCTCCATCCTCGTGTTCCTCGTGCGTTCGCCTTTTTAGTTGCTCTACTTTCCTGTTATTGACTGACAACCGTGTGTAGCTCGGATCCGCGCTCTGCGGCGCTGCGCAGAACCTGACGTGGCTGATTGTTTGCAGAGCTGTTCAAGGCCTCGGAGGTGGAGGCATCATGCAGATGGTCATCATCACCATGTCGGACATTGTTCCGCTCAAGGAGTGCGTATCTATTCACTTATCTTTCATCTTACGCGCTTAACTCACACTTTCTTGTAGTCGAGGCAAGTTTGGTGGTCTTATCGGCTCAACGTTCGGAATTGCCAGTGTCGTAGGGCCGCTTATTGGAGGGGCGTTTGCCGATCACGTCAGCTGGCGGTGGTGTTTCTTCGTCAACTTGTAAGCTTAGACTTCGAACATTCGTCGAAACCTCTCTCATGTTTTCTTGTCAGGCCAACCGGTGGTGTGGCTGCGGTCATCCTATTTTTCTTTCTGCACCTCAACCCGCATGAAACGAAGCCCCTCAGAGAGCACATCGCCGAACTTGACGTTGTTGGCATTTTCCTCTTCATCACCGGCGTTGTCTGCCTCCTCCTCGGGTTCAACTTCTCCCAGACCTCCTGGTCGACACCGCAGACCATTGCACTCCTCGTCATTGGCGTCGTCCTCCTGGTCGCTGGCACAATCAACGAGATCTACACACCACGCTCGGCAATTATCCCGCCGCGCGTGATGAAGGCCCGTACACCCGCGATCATGATCATCTCTGGCTTCCTGCACGCCATCACGTTCTTCGGCGCGTCGTACTACCTCCCAACGTATTACCAAGTCCTCGGCGCATCGCCGACGTCTGCCGGTATCAGGATGATCCCATTCTCGTTCGGCGGCGCCATCTTTTCGACTTTCTACGGCTTCCTCGTCTCCAAGACGGGTCAGTACCGCCCCGTCATGTGGTTCTGTTGGGCGATCATGACGCTCGGCTGGGGACTCATGTACACGCTCGACTTTAACTCGTCCACCGCGAAGAAAGAAGTGTACCCGCTGATCGCCGCCATCGGTGTCGGCGGACTGTTCCAGGCGCCCGTCGTCGCAATCCAGGCGAGCATGCCGGCAAAGGACATGGCCACGTCCACGGCCGCGTTCATGTTCATCCGCACGGTCGGCGCCGCCATCGGCATCAACATCGGCGAGGCGATCATCTCGAGCGTCCTGCGCAACAAGCTCGCGAGCGTCCCTGGGCTGAGCGGTGTCGTCGGCGACACCGCGGCGAGCCTGAACGACGCGCTGCGGAAGATCGCGTTGATCCCCGACGCGGCGACGCGCGATGCGCTACAGCATGCGTATTCGCGCGCAATCAGCACGATCTGGCTGATGAACACGCCCATTGCGGGTGTTGGTCTCATTTTGTGTCTCTTTGTGCGCCATTATTCGCTCAACCGCACCACCGTGCGCGGGGGCGAGAAGAAGACTGGAGACCTCGCTGTCGCTGCCGCTGCGCCTGCTACGACTGCGTCGTCGACGGACCTCGCTGCGGACCTCGAGAAGTCGGAGAAGCCCATGGACGACGCTGTTGAGGACGACAAGAAGTCGCGCCCAACGACGGCGGGCACGGAGCGGACGCACGTCTAGTCGGATTACAACGTCGGACTTTTTCGTCTTTGTCTTTGTTCTCGCTTTCCCTTTTCACATTTTGGGACAGGGGTGACATCTAGGTTCTCCGGATTACTAAAAGGCTATTCGCATCGTTACGGAACGGGATACAACATCTACCACCGATTCCCCCATTTCAAGTTTATTTCACTCTCATCTCACGACTCAGTACTCATCTATAGACCGACGCATCTCCTCATCATTTACTACGACCATATCCACGCCTGCACTATCTACGGCTGCACCGGCTCCCTCCCGCATTATACACTGTGCACTTATTATTCATTATTTCGGGTACGAGTAGGTAGTAGTCATGACCCGTTTATGACGGTTGCACAAATAGCATTAAATGAACCGTTTTGTTTTTACATATTGTTTGAGTTTCAGTTCCGAGCTCCTCAGGGACATAGATAATTTCAGCAACGTTTATGTTGCAGTAGGTACTCACGCTATGTAATAAATACTCTGGTCATACCGACGCTCAGGTATGCACCGTGTCTCCCTCGCGGCTCCGGTAGTCCGGACATTCCCACTCCGTGTCTAAGTAATTATCTACCAAAGTTGCTACAAGACATGAATGCGACAAAAGTATGCACGAACCCAGCCCGGCGCGGCCCGACTTCGGTTTAGCGCGAACACTACACATTTGCAAAGAAGATGCACGAGTAATAACATATCGTTTCCATGCATGTTTCCCATTTGGACTTGTCATCGTTAACGCCGTCTTCTTTGGCCGCTGGCAGTGGTGCGTCTTGGTAGGAATACCCCATCTCCGTGGGAGGATAAGCTGTGTTGGTCGTGCCCACCCGGGCCGTGCCAGTAGGCGGTGGGTCGTACAGCGGCTGCTGATGGTTGTTTAGTAGGCGCGTGTTGTCATCGCCTGCAACAAATGCATGCTAAAATGACAGAGAAGTTGGAGTTAAGTAGGCGTCTTGTGCGCTGGAGCAAAGGTGGTTCGCGCTGTCAGGGTGGCTCGAGGAATTCTAAGCTCGGTAGTTAGCACACTTGTCTCGTGAATCAAACATGCAACGCACCTCAAAACTTGAGTATCTGTCTGAGCATCCGTCACTGGAGTGCGGGACTGCGTCGTTTCGCATAGCTGCGTGGTGATACATGGAAGTGGAAAGTGGTAAGTAACTTGAACGAGGGATATGTAGGGAGGTATGAGAGACCAGGAGAGCACTAACGTGGCGTGATTATGATTCTCCCATGCACAGTACAGCGTCTTTATATTTCAGTCAAGGCATCCACATCTGATCAGGTGCATTGTTTAAAGGCCATCCACTAAATGCTGGGTCCCCAATCCACTCGCCGCATAAAAATACACATTTGATCCACATCTTTCTTTTCTCCCATTCTTATGTGTTTATTCAGAGCCACGATCTATACTTAAAACAAGCGCTCGTGTATGTCGCTCATGGGCTTTCGCGGGGATCTGGCCAAGTTGAAAGGGGTTTGTCTACTAAAGGCACTAACGTAACGCACGTCTCAAGTCACATGCAGTGTATTGTCTGTTTTTGATGAAACCGCCCACACCCGCGGAGGGCATGTAAATGAACGCCGAGCTATCACTTCATCGCCCATTGATTCTAGAGCGCATCATACACATTTATACATCATAACCGTCTGTTCGCTCGTTGGCTCAGCATAGCATCCATTTGGTGTAACTCGCAGTGCATCATATTACATCAGCATTGGATATCTCGGAAAATCTGGGTGGTCTAAATCATTCTTCTGCGGTGCACAGTAGGTAGTTAAAGAATCCGGATACGATTGCGGCAACATGCATGGGAAGCCGACTACTGGCACAATGCACACGTCCTAAAGTTTATCGAAAGGTGTAACCCAACCCATTAAACCGTCACCTCCCGCGTCAAAGCATTCGCCGCAAAGGTCTCCTCAACAATACATCTATCTCGTAAGCACAGTCATCCCTCGGTGTTGACCCTTCCTCGGTGATGCTCCCGTTGGTGCTGGTTTCATGCCGTCGGCGCGTAAACAGGGCCTTTCTCTGCTCAAGGAAGGATTTGATTCAAGTGAGGAAAAGGTGAAAAAGTGAAAAACGATGAGTAAAAACACATTTGCTTGGCGTACACTACTCACATTTCATCTTGGCAAGAGTGACAGTCACCAGGACCGACCGACGTGGTGAAACTCGACTCCTGTCCGCAATGCGTCGCAGGCACGCCCGCCATGGTGCGTCAGCGAGTCAGTATCGAAGCTAAACATCTTATGGACGAGCTGCGTGATTACGAGTATGAGATATAACATACGTATGACGAATAGATAATGCACTCACGGGATGTCCGGACACAATCTCGCCTGATTGAGCGTCCCAAATAGCCAAAGTAGTGAAGAAACCGCCAACAAGATAGTCTCCGCGGGGAGAATAGCATATGGAGGTCATTCCACCGATTGCTTCATCCACGCGCACGAGCGGCTCCCATATCTTTTCTCCCGTATAGGCGTCCCAGACGATGAAGCTGCCATCCTCCGAGCAATCGACGATGCGACCGCCATCCGGAGAGAAGCATAGCCCATTGAGGATGCCGTAGTGAGCGACAAAGGGGCCAGCGATCTCCAAGCCAGTCATTGCGTCGCAGATCTGAAATCCTGGGCCATACGGAGCGGGCCCAGCGATTCTCAGGCCGTCGGGGGAGCCTACGGGAGCGTATTGGTCGGATGATCCGAGCGACAAGTTTACCGTATCGATATCTCCAGTCCACACATCCACGACGCGCATCACCATGGGCATGTCGTCGTCGATCTGATAGACGAAGCGAGCGTACCGGCTGTCGGGGGTGAACGGTAGAATGGTCTCCAGCGTGCTGTTAGGGAGTAGCTCCATGATCTGCAGCTGCTCGTGCCCATTATTTCCAAGTTGCACCATCCCGACGCTAGAGTCGCTGCCGTAGACGAAGAACTTGTTGTCCGGAGAGAACTGCTCGAAGCATGCTGACGGTTTTGATTGGAAAAGAAATTCGGCAGCGCTTGGGTGCTCGTAACGCCTGAAGAAGCGCTCGACTTCCGGCTGAGCTAGGCACAGGATGAATGTGACCGCTTTTCCGGATTCGTCTGCCATGGTTCCGGCCAGCATCTGTCCATTTGGCGAGAACAAGAGAGAGCGGACCTCGGCAGTTAGGTATTCGTAAACCCAGAAAAGACTCCTTTCTGCCAGGTTCCAGATGCAGATATCCTTGCAGGTTGATGCGGTTGCGAGCATGGTGCCGTCTGGCGAATATGCGATGGCGGTGATGCATTCGTCGTGCCCGATGAGGTCGTCGCCTTCTACGAGCTGGTCTTCGCCGCTCATGGAGTTGAAATCGGATCCGTCGCGCTTGTGAAGATCGTCCTCTTCTGAAACCCTGAGTTGGACGCCCACGGGGTTAGGGACAAAATGGGACTCTAGGATGGACATGGTGGATGGAGGGGGTAGGGTTGTGCTATGCGTGATGATGTCGATGAACAGGTGAGATGCTTGGTGGGCGTTAACTAGCTCGACGAACCGCCTTTATATGAGTGTAAATGTGCTTGGCCAAGCTGTCGGCCGTGCTGTATGCCAGATTAACCATAAAGCATCGCAGGGCTGTCATGGTCAAGTCGTGGTTGCAAAGAAACGAGTACCTCGGGAGCAAGCTCAGGAGATGCCGACGTGTTTTGGGTAAGCGCGCGTTGCCAATGCAATGGCACAGCCACCTCCTCAGAACAACGACTTTGCAAGCGACGTCGACTCCCTTCCAACCCCTTCCTTGTTTTCTCTCTCACTTGTTCTCTCGTCTCTTTATGCCGCTTGACAGCTCAGTTCATGTCTTGTACTTCTGATCTCCATCGTGTAGATGATCACTTGGTTTACTCAGATTCACGAAACACTCGTCATCAGCAATTCGTCAATAGTGCCCGCCGTCCCGGCTTCCCCAGTTTCACGCTATTCCTAACATAAACGGCACAGGCTCGGAGCATGTGGCCCGCTTCAACGTTCCCAAGCCACCATTGACATCTTCAAACCCTCATGGCATCGTACGACTTTGTCATCGTTGGCGGTGGTACGGCCGGGCTCGTGCTCGCCAGACGGCTCAGCGAAGGTGGCAAGCACACTGTGCTTGTCCTGGAGGCGGGGAGAGCTCCTACTGCGGAGCAAAGCGCTATAGTGAAAATGACGGTAAGCACTTCACTCTGCGATTCCTCTCATGATGTCGTCTGACCGCTCTACTATTCCATAGGCAATGGGTCTACGCCTCCTCGAGACCAAGGAACTTACACGTCAATACCCAACTCCCCCTCAGCCCGCTCTGAACGGCCGCTCGTTCGACCTCCAGACAGGGTGGTGTCTCGGTGGCTCAAGCAATGTCAACTTTGCGCTGTGGACCCGTGGCGCGGCATGCGACTACGCGCGCATCGCAGACATCACCGGTGACGCGTTATGGAACTTCGATGCTATAATATCCTACTTCAAGAAGGCGGAGACTTATCACGCCCCTGAGCGCGGTCGAAACGGGCTCGCTTCAACGATCAAGACAGAGCTACATGGGACAGATGGGCCGGTGCATGTGCGCCCCATCGATGGTGTTGCGAGGACATGGCAGAGATCGGAGGATTGTCGGCAGGCATACATGGCTGCTGGGATGGAGTATCGTGAGGACGGGAGCGATGGATTTATTCTCGGGATTGGAGAGATGGCGTCAAGCGATTGGTTTGCGGGAGGAGGAAGGCAGAGTTCGCAGGCCTACGTGACCCCAAGGCCGGAGAAACTTGAGATCTTGGAGAACAAGCAGGTCGGGAGGGTAATATTTGAAGGGAAGAGCGCAGTGGGTGTCGAGTGCATCTCCGGGGAGATCTTCATTGCCACGAAGGAAGGTCCGTGTTCACTAGCTGTGCTCTTCGACTCTCGGCTTGATGTCCCTGGACAGTCATCTTATCGGCCGGCGCACTCCAGTCTCCTGCCATCCTTCAGCGCTCCGGCATTGGTCCCGCAGATATGCTTCAAAACCTCAACATTCCCCTCGTTCACGACCTTCCTGGTGTTGGTCAAAACCTCTGGGACCACTTCATGGTATCCCTACGGTGGCGTCTCAAACAGGAATACACCGGAGGCACACTAGACGATATAAGGGACCCCGCATTACGAAACGTCGCTCTCCAAGCCTACGTTCAGAATGGAGGGGGAATGCTCGGCGGGCCTCCGTTCGAATTCGGTCTCTGGCGTAATTTCAATGACGAGATCAAGGAAGTGGTTCGTGACGACAAGGTAAATTTCTTTCTCCTAGTTTCCCTAAGGGTGCGACTCATGTTGCAGTAGACGCTCTCACCCCGAACGCGCGACTACCTCCTCTCCCCATCCACCCCACACGCCCAATTTCTGCATGTGCATGGCTACGTCTTTGCACCCGACTCGCACCCGCCGACCCGGGCACATATATCCATCCTCCCCATCGTCGCCACGCCCACCTCGCGCGGCACAGTCCGCATTACGTCCTCCGACCCTTCCTCTGATCCCATCGTCGACCCGAACTGGCTTGCGACGGACGTGGACCGTACGATCGTCCGTGCCGGGATGCGTTTCGCGGACAAAGTTATGTCCAATGCTACGTTCGTCGAGACGGAGGTTTCCGGGGAGGAAGATCAGGTTGGGTTTGAGAGTGACGAGAAGATGGACTACAAAGTCAGCAAAAACGGGTCGACGGTATATCATTTTGTGCGTTCCCCGGTCCCTTTTACGTCCAAGGCGTGTTTGGATTGTAATGGGGAACACAGGCAGGAACGTGCGCGATGGCATCGCCGAACAGCACGGAGGTGCTCCCGGTCCTAAACTCACAGTGCGAGGTGTACGGCGTGCAGCGCCTGCGTGTCGTCGGTGAGTGTTTAGCGCCGCATTCTGTTCCTGCATGCTTTCAGCGCCAGAACGTGTGAAACGATCATGCGAGCGCTAATGTCTGGTCCTAATCGTTCTAATCATGTCCAGACATGAGCGCATACCCGGCGCCTATCTCCGCAAACACCCAAGCGCCTACGTACGCGCTCGCGGAGAAGATTGCAGACGTGATTCGCACCAAGTATGCGGATGCTTGATGGTACAAAGTAGGTATATCAAACTCTTGTCCGAGGATATGTGCAATAGATAACTGATCCCCCTAAAGCGTACAATATAGTTCGTGATCAAGGGTATACAGGAAGTAAACCCGTGTTTCTAATACAAATACAAAATCCCGTTGTTGCAATCCCCAAATTTGTCCTTCCATGAATCTCGTCTAACCCTACCCTAACACATGTGCGTCTTATACTTCGCGGGATTCGACTTCGGCGGTGATTTCCTGGTCAAGGAAACATGTTCACGCGACTGACATCGAAGATCGAGGGAAGAATAACTTTACTTGGATTTGCTTGCCGAGTTGCTTGTTGTGAAATTCGATGAGTTCTGCATACTCTGCCCTTGTAATGGAACAGGGTTGCTCCCTTGTCCCTGGGCGGATGATGGTGTACTTTGCGCGCCAGAGAGCTCGGAATTGTTGAAAAGTTCTTCATCAAACATTCCATCTGCGTTCAGCAGTTGGGTCCTTGCTCATGCATCAGCTTGTTGCTGTGTAACAAGATAGGTAATTGGGTTACCAGTGGACAAACTCTGATGACATGTTTAGTTGGTGAGTGAGTGTAATCGGATGACGTTCGTAAGTGTGAGGATGGGTGCTGAGATGATGTCTCAGATACAATCCTCGAGCGTCTTTATACTCCCAAAGACCCATCGCCTCGTGCTGTGGTAGTCACACATGCCGTCCTCGAAGAATGCAAGATTGTTCGCTCCCTTGCTTATCGCAAGTTCAGATTCTAGACTCGAAGGCACTCTCGCCTCCCTGTACACTATGCGGCGGTTCCACCGAGTACTCCCCTCTACAACTACACAGTCCTCGTCGCGTGCTTGCAATCTCAATTTAACCTCTCTCGACATTTTGGACACCGATAATCACAGCGTGGTCTTCGCATGGCATCGGAGGCGATGGCCTTCTACCTCCCTAATATCTGTAACCACCCTGTTGTATCGCCTGCGTGCTGTCATGTTCGAGGGTATTCTGGACAGGCTACCAAGCGGAGCACGGTGAGGACACCTTATTAGGCCACATACAGGCGGAGACGCCACTCCGCACTTTCGAAACCGACACAGCTTTTCGACTGCGAGTGGGCAGCCGAGAATAGATAGGAGCGGCCATAAACCTAAGGCTATAGGCTGCGGTCGGCGTTGAACAAGCAGCGACGTCGAAAGCTCGAAGAGAATGGAGAGTTGGAAGATGGATGTCATTGGCGGATGGGGTACCGAAGAGTGGTGCGGTGTTTGCCGATACCGTGGATCAGTCGTACTATCAGACGCTTAGATGCCTTGCGAGGCTGTACATTTTCTGGAGGGAAACATACGGAGCACTGACATTGCTCATCTCTGGAGTGCATGATCATTCTATTCCTGCGAAGTGGAACGTCTACCAGACACATTCATTAAACAAGACATTAATGAATTCGACTGAGAATAGTTGCAAGAGGTAGTCAGGTTATCTCAACATATAGGTAGAAGCAGTACTGAGCAAAGTATTTGCGCAAGTCTAAATGTCTGCATCTGCAGCCAAAGCCGATCACTGCCAGGGAAGTGATTAGCACACGTTACACCACCGACGTACTTAGGAGAACTGGTGTCAAGGTCTGTAAGGGAGACTAACAGGGTCAATGAGGATGTGTGGCGTGGCGTGAAGTCCGTTATTAGGACCTCGTGTATGCCGTGCACCTGTTTAGTATGTTACTGCCTATATTTAGTTTATCGTGAGGGCATTATCCATAGCAATAGAGTACACGGACATGAATACGATGATACTTAAACCCCAGTTTCTTACGCCACGATGAACACCGTCGAACCCTTCAATCAGTGAACCTCGTGGACGTCCAAAATTTCACCCACATCCGAGGCGCTATGTAGACTCTCTGGGAACGAGTCTGTCAGGTCGACCGCTCAACCAGGCCATCATGCAAGATGATTCCAGCCTTCGGGTAGCATCAACGGGCCCAGAAAATGGAAGCGCTGACTGCATGCTTGAAGAAGGAGGAGTCCACAAGGAAACGCGGCGAAGCATGTTGAGCGCTTAATTATTCAACGAATGATAGAGATCAGTCTATATTTAGGCGTTCTCGTTGAAAACATAACCCTTCTCGCGCTGGATCGCGTCGAACTTTAGCTCGTCGATGACCTCTCCCTCCGGCGTTGTGAGGACACACTCGACACTGTCTCCTGGGGCAACTGGGCCGACGCCCGAAGGCGTACCCGTGAGAAGTAGGTCACCCTCCTATACAGCACACGCACAACGCGGGGGTGAACACCGAACATAAGCGCCCAAATCACTGGAATATGCGAATCAGGAAACTCAGAAACGCACCTCGAGGGCCATGATGGACGAGACGTGTTCAATGAGTCGAGGAATGCGGAAGATCATGTCGGCGGTCGTGCCATTCTGCTTGAAGGCGCCGTTGATCTACGTTTCTCATGAGTCACATCTCGAAAGGCATGTTAAGGGTGTATAAGGAGATGCGCAAAAATGGAAGGACAGAGGAAGATAGGGTCAACGGCTCACCTTGAGCGATAGGCGGAGATCGTGAGGGTCCTTGATGAGAGTTTTGGGCTTGAACTGACTAGATAAGGCAGATGCTCAGTCAGTACTGAAGATGGAAGTGGAAGTATTAGCAAAAGAACTGCGCGACCTGACGCAGCAAGGACTCTCTGTTGACATATGAAGTACACGCGTTTATCACGCGTATACTATAACCAAAAACCAGGCAAAGCGCAGCTGCTCATAAGAGGGAAGAGAAATATACCCAATAGGCGTGAATGTGTCAAAGCCCTTTGCGGCAGTCCACGGAAGCCCCTTCTTCTTGACTGCGTCCTGAACATTACGCGCCGTCATGTCAACAGCAAGAGCTACGCGTCATAACACCTCAGCACGTTCCAGAAAGTTAAGACATGAGGTAGTGGGTCCAGGGAGCAAAGTACGGTCAGTGTTTGGTGCGTAAAGTGGACCAATGGGACGCACCATAACCAGCGATGTACTGCTCCGCGTCTGCCTGCAAAATGTCCCTTCCATTCTTTCCAATCACAACGCCAAGCTCAACTTTGCACGCATATATCCACTTGAGCATGCGTTCGTAGTAAGTAGAGAGCTATGACATACCTTCATGGTGCGCAAGAACGCCGCGTGGAATCTCGACTGGGCTACCCGACGGCACGTAGGACGACGTGGGCTTGAGGAAGAAGAAAGGCTCCTTAGGCGCCGTGTTGTTGAGCTCCTTGACATGCTCCATGTAGTTGCGACCTATGGCGACAATCTGGTTGGAGGTATTGAGTGGTACTGACAACTGGTTGACCTTGGGGAGCGCAAGCGTTGAAGGGTAGCAAAGGGGTGTACTTACCTTCTTGCCATTGCGCACGAATGAGGATGCAGTCGACATGGTGGTTTTGAGGTGACTTGGGAGGTCAAGAAAGCTGCGGACTGATAGAGGTTGTCCGTCAACGTCCGACGCAGCGCGGGGACGGAGCGGTCAGCGGACACGGCGCGGCGGTCCGTGGGGGACATCGGATAAAGTTCGGATTTGGTTTTCGGGCAACAGTTACGCGTCGTTTTTTGGGCCTTGTTCCAACTCCAACGTCATCATTTCAGGCTTGAATCCAAGTGCATACCATCGTTCGTCAACGAAGGTGCGCCATTCATCGTGAGCAAACGCACACGCCGAGATCTAATGTCGAGTAAAGCATGTTGAAAGAATGGATGCCCTCCAGTCATTTGCAAGCGACAGACTGTCAACATCTCTGCTCCCAGATCGACCGTGAAATTGATGCACATTATGAAGCAATTCAGGAGCTTCGTACTCGTCGCAATGCCCTCTTAAAGATCTGCTGTCTTCCTCCAGAGGTCTTGACCGAGATTTTCATCTACGTCACGCCTATCCTTTGTGATACCGCACGCGACCTTCTCAACATTACACACGTCTGCCACCACTGGCGCGAGATAGCCCTCGCATTTCCTCAGCTTTGGTCAACTATCAAGATGGATCGCAAGAATACGCCTCGAATACGTTCGTTGATGCTGGAGCGGGCAAAGAATGCCCCACTGACCTTCGCACTAAACGATTCATCCCTTTACGAGCCTCGACCCACCCTCTTTGAAGAACTTTCCCAACAGATCCCTCGCACTCGCTCTCTATCTTTGAGGATGTACGGCATACAGACGCCTGACGTTGTCTCCGCCATCAATCGCATCGTCTCAAACGCTACTCTCTTAGAGCACTTCCGGCTTTGCGAATCGCGAGGTGTCCAAACTGCAATGCTTCTGCCTAGGGAGTTCCTAGGGAATGCACTTAGATTGCGCAGTTTGACCCTTACAGCATGCGTTCCGCCTTGGGACTCGCCCATCTTCCGAGGTCTCACTCATCTCAACCTCTCATCCTTGTACCAGTTGTCGCCTACACCAGATGAGTTCTGGGCTATCTTGCGCGGATCGCCCGCCCTCGAAGACCTTTGTCTCAATGACGTCCTCGGAAAATTTACGTCCGCACCATCATCGTGGAGCTCTATTCCTGATAGCTACATTGATCTTCCTAGGGCTCATCACGTTTCCATCCAAGCGAAAAGCTTTGTTTCCTATGCACAGCTTATCGCGCGAATCCGCATTCCTGCCCACGCACACCTTGACCTGCATCTCGATCTCTACGAAGATGACGCACCAAACAACCTCGCCATGTTTCCCTCAACATTATTCGAATCAATCCGCGCTCATGAGGAGCCTGGGTATACCATCTCTCTTAACCTTTGGCCTCTTTGTTTGGTGATATACAGGGAGCGTTTTCAACAACCAGAATATTGCGACCGTCGAATGGGCCTCAGTTGCGGGAGACGGATCACAGCGCATTGCTTTTCTCAAGCCTCCATCGATCCTTTCAGCTCCTTTTGCACCTCCGCACCCTTGGTGTCTGTTCATACATTGGTACTCAGTGCACGATATCACAAAGAGGAGATCCCCTGGAGCACCGTGCTTGCATCTCTTCCTCGTCTTCGTTTTCTTGATGTGAAAATCGAGCGACCGACGTACCTGTCACTGACAGATGCTTTGACCCCCCGTGCAGAACAGATCCTCGTGTCTGGTCTCAGCGAGCTCCGCCTATCATCGGCTTCGGAAGCCCTCCCTCATGGTGATATCCAAAGATTGATCGACGTCTTGAACAGACGCATACGGGCTGGAGTTCGCATTGATACGCTCAGTTGCGCGGACATTCTGATATTTGGCTCAGAGTTGGAGCAGCTGATGCGTATGGTACGGAACGTAAAAGCGACCGGGAGGCTTCTCAAAAAGAAAAGATCATTCTTGGAAAGCCTGGCTCATCTGTCAAGTAGCAACGAGAGTGATGCATAGGGGGCACGACCAATAGGTATGTGTCCTCGACTAATATTCATTATGCTACCTAATCTATTATACCCCCAGTGGGTTAACTCATATGTTGATTGTTCGAGTTGTTTCCCAAATTATACGCAATTTTGCGCGACAAAATGTTATCCTCGAGTAATTTGAAGCCTCGAAGCCTCGAGCCTTTGCGCCCTCCTTAGAAACTTCCAGCACTTGGATCTCTACAGCCGTGACAAAGTGTTTTCATCGAATCCCGGATTTCTGGGTACTATGCGACAAGGGAAAGGTTGCGGATACCTGCAAGTGTTGATAATTGTTTCAAAAATAGGACTTGTCCACGTATGGCGATCCACTCACGACGTTGTCCCAGACGCCCACGCGGGTTCGAAGTCTATGTCTCTCCCCTGTTCATCCTTGACCTTTTCGAAGCGGAACGCAGTGATCATGGAGGCAACGGCTGCCCAAATTGATGCATCCGCGAAATGGTTTCCGGGGCAGACACGCCTACCAAAGCCAAAAGCGAAGTCCACTCTTTCGTCTGTCAAAGTTCCTTCGTCGGTAAGAAACCGCTCTGGGATGAACTCGCTTGCTCGAGGGAAGCGCGCCTCGTCATGGGTCAATGCCCTAGAGAGAGATATACACGTAAGTATGATCAATATGTCACAGAGGGCTAGATGGCGTGACTGACCACACGTTTACAATGATAATCGTGCCTGAAAATATGCTATTCAAGGAGATTTAAGCCGAATATCTCTTTAAGCTCACCTTTGGGTATCAAATCGTCTCCGTAGATATCATCTTCGGTTGCGGTATGAGGGATTCCTGTTCGGTTGAATGTAAGCCTCTTGAAATGACACACTCGGATGATATACCCATGGGGACGACTGGATACCAGCGCAGTGTCTCGCGTATAACAGCGTCCACATAGGGGAGGGCCTGACGATCATCAAAAGTAGGGATGCGACCAATGCCGCAGACGCTCATGATTTCTGCGTAGGCGCGCTCCTGCACTTTTGGGTGAAGTACCATCGCCAATACGAAGACGAACAGCGTCGAGAAGGTCTGCGGATATGGTCACGGATCGAATCCGACTCAGTCTACTGAAGGTGCCTGCATAAGAAATACTGACCGTTTCTGCTCCCGCTACGGGTGGATGTTATCAGTCAAGTGGTCAAAAACAAATGGATGTGAAAATTGCTCCTCACCAGAGAATGCAGAAAGGCACACATCTTGAGCTAATTGCTGATCGCTAGCCCAGGGTGCGTTGACGGAAATCTGCGACTGACGAGATACTCCCGAGTAACCTAAACTTGGGACCGAAGATTCGGATTCCTATACAGATAAGTTATTTGACGAAGTTTGTGGATCACTTAGTGTAGGAAGTACGAACGATAGTCTCTTTAAGACAGAGAAATGGCCCATGGGAAAGCTCTCCTATACTTTTTCGACAGCTTGCTGCGTTGAAACTTCCACCGGGTAACCACGACGGGATGTATTTAACTAGACATTTGTCAGTTGCACTACAATAGGAGGCCCCGGGTCGCTTACCAAACGGTAATAACCCCACTAACAGGGCCTTCTCTGGTGAAACGGCCTGAATGATGACCTCAAGTGTGTGTGTCATTTTCTCGACGAGCCGGTCTTTGATGGGGCGAGCTTGATACCCATATGCGGCCGACAGTATAACCGACGACGCGAACCTGCCTTGCATCAACATTGAATAGACATTCAAGTGAGATCAACTGCTCAAGCGCTCACGTTTGTATGTGTTCGCGATAGTTCTCGGGTGAGTCAGTAATGCTGGCGATGAGCTGATGAGCCTTGCGCAACTGCATGTCACGGTACCCCCGCGCTGCGTCCACGCGAAAGTGTCGATGAAGTAGACGTCGATGAGCGCGCCATTTATCAGTGGGATCTATCATAACCGTATGATAGTCCAAACCGTAACTGCAACAGCAGAAGCGTTAGCGTCAGTTGTTATTTCAGGAGGATAATATTGCAGATACTGCGTACGGCTCAGCTGTGGGGTACGGCATCCTCCCCGAATACTTGATAGAGCGGGTGTCGAGAAGCTCGCGAGCTATTGCCTCGTCGCTGATCACGACAATATCGAGTCCAAATATAGTAGTGAGAAATATCTTGCCTGGAAACCATGTCAATTCCACTCCGCGAAATGGCAGATTGATATACGTACCAAAAGTCTTGCTCCATTTTGCGTAGCTTAGCCAAGGAGCATTCATGTCGATACCTGCTACGTTTCCTAGAAGAGGCCAGGGCCTTGGCCCGGAGATGGTACAGCGCCTTCCTCTGGGGCGTAGAATGGAGTGCACCAAGATAGTACCCGCGACCACTGAGGCGAGTAGAATGGCTGTTGAGGGGACGCGCTCTAAATTGATAGGTATGGTCATAGCTAATGAGAAGAGAAGAAGGGAATTCCCCTACAAAATGCTACAGCTTTTAAGTGTCGAGACGGCGTATTATTTATTCATAAGCCGACGAGCAACGACTCTACGACGTGGGAACAAGGCTATGGTCCATCCGCGCGATCCGTGCGATTCGGAACGCGTGCTGTCAGTGGCGCATCCTTGCTGTAATGTAGCCGGTGAGCAGACAATCGTTTTGAGACATAGCATTGGCGTTCTCAGGTTGAAAACAAGATATAGCTAGGCCGCACCAACATCAATTTCGATCATTCACCCCGATGGAAGAGAATCGCTCAGCTGGAACCCCGTGCCCCCGGTTTCATGACCCTCATAGACGCCCTTCCACGCCCATGGCACGCTACGATCATATTCCACCTCCGCACTGGCCACGTCCAACTCAACAAACACATGTCCCGCATTGATCCAACCATCTTCCCGCTGTGCGCAGCCTGCGACACAGCTACAGAGTCTGTCCATCACTTCTTGGCGACATGCACAGCCTACCGCGCCCCCCGCAAACGCCTCCAGGTGGCGATAAAGTCACGTCGCGCCCTCGACGTGAACCGCCTCCTCCAGGGCCCTGGCCTAGTACGACCGCTCCTTTGCTATATCAACGAGACCACCCGCTTCGAGTCGATCCTTGGGAGCCTCTACCCACCCACCCACCCCGCTGCTTACTCCTCTTCGTGTCCATTGCAACCAGAAAGGTGAGGAGACGATCGCAGGCGATTTCAAGCGCAACCCATCTTTAACATTTGCGACATTATCATCTTCGCCTTCTAACTGATGTCCCTCTGAGCTTCCTGGAACAAGTCGACATCAGGGTGGCAGCTCCGCGGAGGTCAAGCTACCTTGTTCATTGATGTGGCGTTCTGTTGGAGTGAATATTATCCGTGTGATCTCTTCTAGCCTTGGTTTCATACTGGGAAAGGGCATCAAACACGAGTAGACATATTGCCTGTCGATATCTGCCATAAAGCCCAGAGCCATACATCATATACAAATACTGAACACTAACGTCAAAGCGGGAGACATACCACAGCCACAAACCCAAAATTTTACAATGCCAAGCCAGGCATAACCTTGAATATACGAGTGATCGACTCCAAGGGGAACCGAAGGCACATTCAGGAGTACTGGGTCGATTCTGTGTCCTCTCCGCACCCTGCTTCACCTCATGCATGCGCTCTAGAGCTCATTCGGTATCAACTTCGCGAGCGCGTCTACGTCTCTGTATTGTTTCACGTAATAGTAGAAACAATGACCTGGCGACATAGTAAAATGCGTGGGTGGAGCTGTTTGAGAAGCTGGATGACACGGACGGAGAAAAGGAGGGATAGAGGTTATGGTTTATGAAGCTGTATGTGCTCAGGAATAAGACGTCTGAGGCGACATGGTCGACTGAGGTGTTGCATTATATTGTATGCGAGGTCCATTCAATTTTGTTCAAACGGAAACTTCAGGACATTGATTCAGCTGCCGCCGTGTCGGGACGAAATCAAGCCCTGTTTATACCTCCTACCGTGTTTTAAGTTGTTGATACGATAAACCTGGATAGTCATTGATAGTAGTACTACGTCTAACACTAGCATTAGATCTATAACAATGTGCAGATTTTGGATCGCTAGAGCTACAACAAAGTGTTTACATCTATTCCCGTATTTCTGGGTACAATGCGGCAGGGAAAAGGTAGTGGATACCTGCCAGCGTCGAGAGTCATTCAAAAAGAATTCGCACTTAGGGAAGGGTTATTGAACTCACGATGCTGCACCAGATGCCCACTCAGGTTGGAAGTCGATATCTTTTCCCTGTTCATCTCTCGACTTTTCAAACCGGAGTGTGGCTAGCATAGAGACAACGGCTGCCCAAAGTGATGCATCTGCGAAATGGTTTCCGGGGCAGACACGACGACCAAATCCAAACGAGAACTCGACTCTTTCATCTGTCAAGGTACCTTCGTCTGTGAGAAAACGTTCCGGGATGAATTCGTTTGCTCTGGGGAACCGTTCCTCGTCGCGAGTCAAAGCCCTAAGCGAGCAAACTGGTGAGTAGTGCGCCACGGAGAACTAGCTAAAGTGACTGACCATACGTTTACAGTGACGATTGTGCCTGGAGCATTCTTAGCTGGTCTCCTGCATTCCGGCCAACCTTAACGCACCTTTAGGTATAAAATCTTCTCCGTAAACATCATCCTCGGTAGTGATGTGAGGGATTCCTAGTATGCACAGTTTACCAAATATCAGCATTACAGGAGACTTCATAACATCAATATGCTTACCGAGAGGAATGACTGGATACCAACGCATCGTCTCGCGTATGATGGCATCCACATATGGAAGAGCTGGACGGTCATCAAATGTAGGCATGTGTTTAGCGCCGCAGACGTTGATGATCTCTGCATGGGCGCGTGCTTGCACTTCTGGGTGAAGTACCATCGCTAGAATAAAAGTGAGCAGCGTCGACGATGTCTATATGTGCGAATGAAAGCAATGTCAACGTAATGAACGCGTCTGACAGAGAAATCTCACCGTTTCTGCTCCAGCTATGATGTAATGGTAATGTCAAGGTGACTGTGGCTACGCATGGGCGAAGGTTTTGCCTCACCTGCAAACGCAGAAAAACAAACGTCTTTTACCAGGGACTGGCTGGCGGTCTAAATCGCGTTGTTCTGACGAGATACGCCCGAGTACCCTACGCTTGGCACCGAAGATTCGGGTTCCTAAAGCTGGAGATGAGTAACGCATCATGCAGTTCTGGTCGTCAAAAAACGCGAACAATAGTTTCTTTGAGATAGAGAAATGGCTCTTGGGAAAGTTTTCCGATATTATCTCGACATGCCGCCGCATTCAGGTTTCCACCAGGCAGCCACGATGGGATGTATTTGACTAAACTATCTGTCAGTGGTTTTTCTATCGTAGACCCTGTGTTACTCACCAAATGGCATCAAGCCAACCAGCAACGCCTTCTCTACCGCAGCCGCCTGAAGAATTACCTCAAGTACATGGGTCATCTTCTCGACAAGCTGGTCTTTGATAGGAAGAGCCTGATACCCATACGTGGCTGCCATGATGACCGAAGAAGCGAACCTGCTATGCATTAATACCGGGTGGTTAAAATAGACAGACAAAGGCTCACGTTTGTATATGTTCACGGTGATTGTCCGGGGACTCTAGGATGTTGGTAACAAGCTGGTGCGCCTTGCGTAGCTGCATATCACGATACTTCCGAGCTGCGTCCACACGAAAGTGTTGATGGAACAAACGCCGGTGAGCGCGCCATTAATCGGTATAGCCCATTACAGCCGTATGAAAATCGAAACCGTAACTACCCCGGCAACGGCATTAGCAGATTAAACTAATAAAGAGGCCAATGCGTGCACGTACGGCTTGGCTGTCGGGTACGACAGTCTCCCTGAGTACTTGCTAGAACGAACGTCGAGAAGTTCGCGCGCTATTGCCTCATCGCTGATGACGACGATATCAAGTCCGAATGCGGTGGTGAGGAAGATCTTGCCTAGTGACCGTGTTATATCCGATTTCACTCGTCAGGAATCAAAGGACGTACCAAACTCCTTGGTCAAGTTCATGTAGCTTAGCCAAGGTGCGTTCATGTTGATTCCTACAATGTTCCCGAGCAAAGGCCATGGTTTAGGTCCAGAGATGGTACAGCCCCTTCCTCTGGGACGTCGTAGAGAGGACAATATGAACATCCCACCAACCACTGAAGCGAGTAAAATGGCTGTTGAGAGCCTGTGCTCTCCGATGATAGTAGTGATCATAGCTAATGAGAAGCGAGAAGCGAGAGGATTCTCATACACCACAGTATTTAAGTGCCAGGTGGCGTATCACGGATTCATTAGCCGACGTTCATAATCTTTTACGACGCGGGAACAACGTTACGGTCCACCCTTGTGACGAGTGAGTCGGAACGTGTGCTGTCAGTCGCGCCTACTACTCGTCATGGAGCCAGTTCACCGGGAACGACATCAACTATTTATTCCGCTCGCAAAGAATGTGGATCTCTGACTTGAGCTAGCTTGGAATAGATGGATTCCGTGAATGGTGTTCTTAGGCGTTGTAGGAATATGTCCGAGATCGTGATGTTGTGCATGAGCCTGAGCCTGTTGTGGCATGCGGCCTGCATGAGTGAGCCACTGGCAGCTCCGTGAAACGTTGGCTACCCTGATCGCCTAATAAAGATGCGGTGTTCTGCGGAAGCGAACATCACCCCGTCATCTCCTACAGCTTGGATTCATATTTGAAATTTCGAAAAAGGCGCATATCTTAAACCATCGTGAAATATTGACGACAAAAAATGTTTCAACGGACACAGGTCGCACGAACCAACTTGAATACTTCAGTATTTTCACTGCGTATGAATCCAACCCAAACTGAAGCTGTGTAATGATATAAAAGCACTTTGTCCGTGTTAACTTCAGCCTAGTGGTTAGTTTGCTTCGAGGGGAGTTCACTTGCACTTTTAGCAGCCGGCCTGTAAGATGTACGCCAATGTCCCCGTATCTCTCCAGTTCTCAATGCATTCCAACGTTTATTGTTTTACGATGGTGGAGTCTGACAACATGGGCGAGTAAAATACTGTTTGACAGTTCAACGTTGAAGGGTACTGCCAAGCGTCGCGGAGCCAGATTCCTGTTACGACCGGAATCCAACTTCTCGCCATTCTACTTTTCCGCAAATTTTGGTGTGACAGCCCCAGGGCTGAACACAGATTGTGGCCGAACTCACTGTCAGAATCTCGGCGTCCTTGTGGTGCAGCTGTCCGAATCCAAATCTCCCTAGCCAGATATAAAAGCTGGCGCACCTAGTTCAATAACGACCGAAAACATCACAGCACACAGGGCACAATGGTCGCCAACGCAGAGACGTATATCCTCCCGAACACGCTGGATAGCTGGCCGTGGAAGCGTCCGATCAATCCCTACTATGCGAAGGTGAAGGCGGAGGCGACGGCGTGGATGCATGCTTTGCAGCCGTTCAAGAATCCCAAGTCTCAGGCCGCGTTCGACAAGGGCGAGTTCTGTGAGTCCGGGCCGAGATCTCGTGTTCCTCAGGCTGACCCTAGTGTGCTGTAGGCCTCGTCGCAGCACTGGCGTACCCTCAGATAAATGAAGGTGAGCTACTGTCTTTCGAAGGCTTATATACGGGTTTGAACGATTGACATACCGCCGCTTCTAAGCGACTTACGTACCGGGTGCGAGCTGATGTTCTTCTTTTTCATCATCGACGAGTATACGGACGTCGAGGACGGTAAAGTGACACGCGAGATGATCGGCATCGTGCGCGACGCTCTGGAGCACCCATGTGACCCTCGGCCGGAGGGCGAGGTTGTCCTCGGAGAGATGACGCGCCAGTGAGTCGAATGCACTCTTCGTTAATGGATCGCTGGGTGCGCATGCTAATCACGGCATACCATTCGCGCCAGGTTCTGGGAGCGAGCGTCCCAGCTAGCAACGCCCAGCGCTCAGCACCACTTCATGTTCCAGATACAGCGGTATCTCCAAGCCGTGGTCGACCAAGCCGACGACCGGGATGCCGGACGCTGCCGTTCGGTCAAGGACTACCTCACCGTCAGACGCCCCGGATGTGGCGTCGACGCGAACCAGCTGCCCTACGAGGCGGCGCTCGACATCCCTGACGACGTATACTTCCACGCTCAGATCGAAGAGCTGAGATTGCACGCTACAGATATGTCGCTCATCGACAATGTAAGCAAACCGTCAGCTCTGCGCAATCGGTCTGAGCAAACTCACTAAGCATTTGTTGTTTTGGGGCTGAATTTCAGGATATGTTCTCCTACAACCGCGAGCAGTCGACCGGAGACGAGAACCATAACCTCATCACCGTGATCATGCACGAGCGCGGCTGCAGCCTGAACGAAGCGTTCCAGATAGCAGCCGGGTTGCACATGGATGCGCAGAGGGCATTCCAAGAGAAGATGAAGAGCTTGCCGTCGTGGGGGCCCGAGATTGACCGGGCCGTTGGCGAGTATGTCGAAGGGATGGCGGTCTGGACGCGGGGACACAATCAGTGGAGCTACGAATGCGGGCGGTATTTTGGCAGCAGGGGCTTGGAGATTCAGCAGACGGAGGTTGTTCCGCTTCTTCCCAAGGTTAACAAGTCAGGGCGTCCGAAGGGAGACCAGGTTGTGGTGGATGACATACCTCTCTGAAGCACAGTAGTGAGACGGTTTTCTTGAGCAAGTAAAGTGAGACGTTAGAACAGCGAAGTCCAAATGCGACAGGATGAATATACGTTTTACCCGGTCGAGAGCGGTGAGGTTACAATCGATCGTTCGGGAGATCGAATGCAAGTAATACATTACGCTATATGTGTAGACCGCTTTTTCCGAATAGCTAGCAGAGGTGGAGAGGGCTGATAGTCACGGTCATTGACGCGTTTAGGGTATATCTTGCTTTGTTTGACTTACATTAAGATGTTCACTTAAAGTACTAGGGCAGTTACTAGATAAGTGATGAGAGAACTCCAACGTTGACTACAAAGAAGGAATTACTGCACATTGTAGCGCGGCATCTTCCGAAGCCCCTGTGTATTACATGTACAATCCACACCGTCTCGCGCGCCAGCCACAACCGCGTCCGAGTCCGATAACATGACGACCCAAGCCACAGCTGCAGCGGGCTCGACGAGCGTATACGCGACGCACGCGCACGTCCAAACGCATATCAACCACCTGCTACACGCGAGCCCCGTCTATGGGCACTTCTTCGCCAACGTGTCGCTGCACAGCGCCTCGCCCGGGCGCGTGGTCGTGCACCTCCCGATCGAACGGTGCCACCTCAACTCCAAGGGCAGCCTGCACGGCGCCGTCTCCGCGACGCTCGTGGACTTTATGGGCGGGCTCGCGATCGCGGCGTACGACAGCAGAGACCACACGGGTGTGTCGACGGATATGCACGTCAGCTTTCTGGGGGGCGCGAAGGAGGGGGAGACGCTCGAGGTGGAGGGGCGGGTGGATCGGTGCGGGGGCACGTTGGCGTATACGAGTGTGGTGGTGCGGAAGTTGGATGGGGAGAAGGGGGAGGGGAGGGGGGATGTTGTGTCGATGGGGAGTCATACCAAGTTTGTGAAGCAGAGGTGATGTGATACCAGGCTTGTAAGTTATGACTCCAGGGATTTGTTGGTGGTTTGCTCGGAGATGCTGAATAGAAGGCGTACTTATTCGCGATTTTATGCACAATAACCGTCAAGCCATGTATCCTGCGAGTATGGACGCGCCAATAATGGTGGTTTGTGGGATCTCCTTTGTACACTCGAATCCTCGCACACCGATAGGCCAATCCGCCATGCGCTGCTGTTGAGATAAGGTGCTGGACATATTTGATTCCGTGGGTTGTGGCAGCGGGAAGAAGCTGATAAGCCCCAGTGGAAACGTGCTGTGCTCAGATGGGTGGGAATCCGGGCGGATTGGTGAATCGAAGCATATCTCGTGGTGCTTCTTTGATGCACCGATACACACCAATGCGAACCGATGGCTGGACTGTTCACCGATTTTTTGGTGTCAATTCATGACGCCCATTGGCTCGGATCCGGGCACATCGGTTCGTATTGGTGCACGCATTCACGAGTACGTGAACTCAATTTAAATACCTAATTGATATGATAGAATACGACTCAATTCGGTTTATTCCGTCCATAGCGAAAATTCCAAAGCAGCTTGAGATTATCTATTAAAGGCTACTAAATATACATGCTGGCTATCTTTACAAATAATGAGCAATGGCATTAGTCGGATGCGCCCGACCGCGAGCCCGTCGATGGAATGAATCACGATATGTGATGGCAGAGGTAGCAAGTACGTACCACACAGAGGACACACTTTGTGCAGTCGCTGAGCAAAGGCAAGGTAAACCGGATTGCGGGAATCGACTCACCTGAATGTTCGATCACTTCCTACTCGTGAACTCGACAATCAGAAGTAATTTCGAGTGATGCAAGTTAAAGAGGTTGACTGGAGTGGTGAATGTGGAAGAGTCATGTTGCGGCAACTAGGAAAATGTTGTAGTAGACGTACCCAAGTGCGTACGGGCGGTGTTCGGGGTGGTGAAGAGGATGGTGGTGGTGGTGGAAGGAAGGAAGGGAGAGCTACGTACGCGCTCACGAACAAGGCTGTAACGTTGTAACACGCGGGGATCAAAACTGCGGAGTTTCCTGACTGTTTTCAGAGAAGTCACAGCAAGCAGAGCCAAGCAACAGCTAACTTGAATATTACAGACCTACTGAAATGTGGTTTTACGGGGGCATTGAAATTGCCTATTTAGCGGACAAACACATAACTACTGCAAGGATATCACATTTAAATTCACTGTCCGAGCCAATCAGGACCTCTGCATGACGATTTGTGTCGGTTTCAGGACTTATAAAGACTTGGCATTTCACGAAGCAAACGCCGCGGCAATACTTCCTTTCACCAGGACCGCTGCTGAGAATATTCCATTCATGAAAAAGACGATTGATGAAGCAATAGCAGGAAGTCCGGGCCCGTATCTAGTTCCCTGAGTGCCATATGCGTCGAACTTTTTGGTATTCTAATCGCGTCAATGTCACATGCACTGGCTTTCACCAATATGCCCGCATCTTATTGATGAAAAATCAAAGATGTACCCTACTATGCTTCGATTCACCAATCCGCCCGGATTCCCACCCATCTGAGCACAGCACGTTTCCACTGGGGATAAGCGTCGGTGCGTCATGGGGCTGTCAACTGTGAACCAATCCCTATCTTTGCGAACGGATCAATATGGAAGATGGAACGCCCAGGGCGTTATCGCGATTCACGAGGGTGGATGGTTATAAGGACAGTGCGGAGATATAGCAGCGACCGACCAGCTTGCTTTCCCCCCGCTCCCTTCCCCGCATCCATGGCCCAGATCTCCTCACCAGCTTCCCAGTGTCCCTTTGCCCCGAACATCTCTCTTTTCCTCTTGCACCCTCCAAAGTTCGAGTGAAACTTGTGGGCGATGTCAAGTCGTTTGGAACGTTCATTTTCCCAGTTTCGTGGACCGAGAAGGACGGAATCCGTGTTGGCGGACCGGTGGCCGAGGGACATGGCCAAAGGTGGCAGTTGTCGAGCCGGGATTGACAGAGGCAATGGAGCAAGCGTTCGGAGATCATCGGAGATACCAAATATAGCAAGTCCGAAATATGAAAGTGGCTGGCACGAGTCATGGCTTTGCGCCAGGGACAAAAATCTCATGCGAGGCCATAAACTTTCTGTCGTCCGCCTTCTCTCCTCCACTCCACTTACTGGGCTCTGACTCACTCCTCCTCGTTCCAGAGGCACACTCTTTTCACGGCAAAACGAGCATAAAACAACAGTAGTCCTTGTCTCTGTTCCTCGCAAAACGGTCAACATGCCGCTCTCCCCCGCCATCCATATGAGAGGTGCCAAGTCCTCCCTCGCTGTCGCCACCGTCTCTGGTGTGCGCTCGAGGTCCACCGTCGCAGGCTCGTCCATTATTGACGCAAAGTCAAGAGTACGCGAACATGCTCGCAACATCAGCAGGTCCTCTGCTCGCGAGGCCAACGCCGTACCCCAGTATGCCCTCATCAGCCATGCGCTGATCCCCATCACTGACTCATTCATCTCGTTCCAGAGAGCCGCGTCCAACGCCCGCACCAGGTTTCCAGCAGGTCCCCAGCCGGAATAACCTCCCCTTCCATCCCCCAGGCGGCGCCGTCGACATCAAAGCCAACCCGACGCTTGACCACTCCTTCGTCGGCCTGTCCGGTGGCCAGATATTCCACGAGATGATGCTCCGCCACGGTGTCAAGCACGTCTTCGGTTACCCAGGCGGAGCCATTCTCCCCGTGTTCGACGCTATCTACAACTCGCCCCACTTCGACTTCGTCCTCCCGCGGCACGAGCAGGGTGCCGGCCATATGGCCGAGGGCTACGCCCGCGTCTCGGGCAAGCCTGGTGTCGTCCTTGTCACCTCCGGGCCGGGCGCGACAAACGTGGTGACGCCGATGCAGGACGCGCTCTCGGACGGCGTGCCGCTCGTCGTGTTCTGCGGGCAGGTCGCGACGAGCGCGATCGGCAGCGACGCCTTCCAGGAGGCGGATATCATCGGCATCTCGCGCTCGTGCACCAAGTGGAATGTGATGGTCAAGGACATCGCCGAGCTCCCGCGCCGCATCAACGAGGCGTTCAAGATCGCCACCTCCGGCCGCCCCGGCCCCGTCCTCGTGGACCTGCCCAAGGACGTTACCGCGGGCATCCTGCGCACGCCGCTGTCATACAAGGCCACTATCCCGGGCAGCCAGGAGTTCCCGACGAACCCGCTCACGCAGAGCCCCGCGGACATGCTCGCGATTCAGAAGGCCGCGGACATGCTCAATGGCGCGCAGAAGCCCATCATCTACGCCGGCAACGGCGTGCTCTCGTCCGACCTCGGCCCGAAGCTGCTCGCGGAGCTCGCCGCGCGGGGCAATATCCCGGTGACGACCACTCTCCAGGGCCTGGGTGCGTTCGACGAGGAGGACGAGCGCAGTCTGCATATGCTTGGCATGCACGGGAGTGCGTACGCGAACCTCGCGATGCAGAACGCGGACGTTATTATCGCGCTCGGCGCGCGGTTCGACGATCGCGTGACGGGCAAGGTCGACACGTTCGCGCCTGCTGCCCGTGCTGCTGCGCTGCAGGGCCGTGGCGGGATCATCCACTTTGAGATCCAGCCGAAGAACGTGAACAAGGTCGTCAATGCGCAGGTGCCTGTCCTGGGCGACGTCGTCACGAACCTGGCGGCGCTCGTGCCGCTCGTCAAGGGCGCGCCGCGCGAGGCGTGGTTCAAGGATATCAAGAAGTGGAAGAAAGATTATCCGTTTACGTATCTTAAGAGCGGCGAGGCGAAGCAGAGCGGGCGGATCAAGCCGCAGGAGGTGATTGAGGAGCTTGATAGACAGGTCAAGGGCAAGAAGGACGATGTTGTGATTACGACGGGTGTTGGGCAGCATCAGATGTGGGCTGCGCAGCATTACCGGTGGACGGCGCCGCGCTCGATGGTCACCTCGGGCGGGCTTGGGGTGCGTTCTTCTCCCTCCCTTTTTCGTCGCGACTCCTGCTAACGCGTATATTCATTTTGTTCAGACGATGGGCTTTGGCCTCCCCTCCGCCATCGGCGCGAAAGTCGCAGCACCGCACAAGACCGTGATCGACATCGACGGCGACGCCTCGTTCTCGATGACCGCGATGGAGCTCGCGACGGCGTCGGCGCACAACATCGGCGTGAAGGTGCTCGTGCTGAACAACGAGTTCCAGGGGATGGTGCTGCAGTGGCAGGACCTGTTCTACGACGCGCGCTACTCGCACACGCGCATGGTGAACCCGGACTTTGGGATGCTCGCGCGCGCGATGGGCGTGCACGCGATCAGGGTCGAGACGGCGGAGGAGCTGCCTGCGAAGATGCGGGAGTTTTTGGAGTGGGATGGGAGTCGGCCGGTGTTGATGGAGTGTTTGGTGGAGACGAATGAGCATGTGTATCCTATGGTGCGTTCTTCCCTTTTTCCTCTTGGGCGGAGAGAGGAAGGATGCTGATGGATGTGTTGTGCGATGATTATTAGGTCCCGGCTGGGAAGGCGCTGCACGAGCAGGTTCTGCACCCGATGCTGCGTGCGCCCGCAAAAGCTCAGTCATGAGCACGGTCTCCATTGCCTCTTTCCATTATTCCGCACTGATTTACTTACTTACATATATCGCTTTCGCCGGGTTTTCCGTTCTTCATCGCTTATTTTTCCATCGTGCGCGGGGTGGGGCGGGGAGTTTTGCATGATCTACTTAATAGACGGACGGGGGATGCAATGCGGCCTGACGGTTTTACTGCATGGCCGAACTAAAATGCTTTTGCCCTTTACACAATGTAACTATATTGCGCATATACACAGTTTCTTCATCTAACTGTCGGGGGCTCAACAAACGCCTTACCTCGAGAAGCTAACCTCACTATGGGCTGCGCATCACCCCATGTAAGTGAGAGAAAGGCAAATGTGCAAATTGTGGGAAGTACCTTGCCACGCATCAGGCCTCAGGCTCAGGTCCAGCTGGATCCCATTCTGGGTTGTTTGAAGTCCATACAAGATGCGGGCGGCGCCAGTGTTCGATCCGAGTCCACTCCGAGGATGTCCCAAACGACTGCTTTCATCCTATACACTCCGTGCCTGCGGGCTCGTGAAGCGTTATGACACCTACCTATGGACATTGCTCCAACTTTGCGTCAGTCAGGCTGGTCATCGTTACTAGAGTGTGAGAGACCATCCAGTTCACGAGGCTTTGGATGGGTCAAACGGCTATAATAAGACAAGACTATCTTCTGGGGTCTCTAAGGGCCTAGCTAGCACGGGAGACTATTATAAACGTCTGACAGATAAACTAGTTGGCTTGTCTTAGCGCCGTAGAGATTGTATAATCCGGGCTCGGGTGACTTTAAGTGAATTGCCCGTTGTGCGACTTCCGGCTGGAGACAAGAGGTAATCGACTAATCCGTCAGGCATTATCTTCGCTGTTATGAGAATTCCCGTTTACTGATGCGTCAAGAGCTGACAGTGGCTGCAAAAATTCTGCAGTACTGATTGTGCCTCTATCCATGCTGGACACTCCATTTGACTGACTTAATTGGTTCTGGCGCATCGACAAGATCAGCCATGGTCCTAATATCGATAGCTGTGCAGTTTGTGCAACCATAGAGAGAACGTTGAGCGTGTTTCTTGTCGCGTCGCCCTAAAGCAGAAGCGTCTCCCATTGAACCCATCTTTATAACGTCACTGCGCATGTTATAGTGCTTACCACAAAAATGCTTGCTGGAATGATGATACTCATCGTGTCCAGTATTTGGCTTGCCATGGCCCTAGAGAATGCGAACATGACTCGGTCCTACGGGATGGGCTCATAGAGACAAGCTTACCACAGAAAGTATGTTAGGCCTTGTCCTACCATCAGTTTAATCAGTCCGCTTATTTCCAGTGCGGGAGTTTGTCTTCGATGTTCTCTCAAGTATAGCGCCGTACGATGGACCAACATCACAATGAGAACCAGCTCGTACGCACAAACACTTCCGTTAGCAACAACGTCGATCCAAAAAGGGGGCAGTTTTGAAGAAAGGGTTATACATGTTCGGACGCCTAATATAACACCTTCTTCGTCTGGTATCGGACATGAACTTGGCAATGAGGACTGGAGAGGTGATATTGACGCACAAGAGAAAACAAAAGGCGGCAAAAATGCTGCAACAGATACTGAAACGTTGAGCAGCTGGACAAAAGTAAAAGCAATGCCGAGGGAGACAATAATTTTCTTCGAATTGTGATAGAGTGCGCAGACTCTGGCGGACATAATTCCTGCAACCACTGAGTTATCTGATTTAATGCATGTTACACCATATTACCTTGAATAAGCAGAACCAGCAAGGCAGGGAGAGCGGTACCGTACAGTATATTAAAGATGGTGCCTGAGTCGCATGATGAGAACCAGTAAGGTATCATTAGAATATGACTTACAGCTTCGGAAGTGTTTTACCATCCATCAGCCTACTAACCAAGTACAGGAAAGGCACAGATAACACGAAGGCAAATGCGCTCACCCCTGTCAGAGCCGCAGCCATCAGTTCAATTAAAGTGTTTTAAAGCCTTCTTATATTGTTAACTTACCTTGTCTGACAGAATAACGGGAAAACAGAAGGCTGGAGAATATTTTTGATGTCAACATTTTCATGATATATTGTTGATTTGGAGGAAGCAAAACAGACCGTAAAACGCCCTGATAAATGGATATAACATAAGCAACCATGGTGTAGAGAAGTCTCCTTCATAGCCATGACGCACAGAGGGTAGAGCAAGCCAACATAACAAAGCTGAAACCAATCTGAATTTCCGTGGAAATGGGAGTTACAACGCGTTAAGCACTCACAAGTAGGTAACAATATGTGAGATGTGATCTTCCATATTGCTGAGAGAAGACAAACCAAGAAACATGGCGTAGTGTTACTGTGACAGATAAAGGTGAGGAGCATCAAGTACGCACCCATATTAGTGATATCTAGCGTGGTATACATCAGTAAGGAGACCTTATGATTGAATGAGGTATCCAGCTTACCTCTCTGTCCAGCTTGAGAACTGGAAGAATAAGAATATGAGTGTACTTGATATAAATTAGCGGTTACTAACTATAATCGTAGAATACCACTGTAAGAAGAGATACTGTAGCACAAGATTAATGTTAACAGACACGTGGCAACTACAGCAAATCCATCTACTTACCAGCGAGGTAATTGCTTATCTGGAACTCAAAAAGGTAGTTCATAAGTGCGGGAGAGTTCGAGGCAAAAGGCATGGTGAGTATTGTTCCTTGGTGTGGTGCCCATCGATGACTACTCTGAGCGACCTTTATAAACACATGCGATCAATTAGGATTCCTAATAGGCGGCCCCACGTGGTGCATTACAAGAGTTCCATTCTCCGTCGTGAGAATTTACTTGAACAGATCAGAGATTCGCAGTCCAACTTCAACTATCATATGACGGCGTATGCCACTCCCAAAATATATACCGCGCGTGTGCTATATCTCATGATTATGAGATCTCACTATGTAGACTGAACAGTCAAGGGAATTGTCACAGTGACTTGCATACGGATTAAGCCAGTAGTCTGGTTGCTCTTCACAACCACCTCTAATCTAGAGTATTCATACGTAGTGTATTGATACTAGAGAGACTGCGTGGCAACTTTTCAACGCCGGAGCAGTAATGATGATGTCTTTATTGGGGAAGCTGACTTTCATTTAATCCTCACACGACGTGGACAACGAAATTCAAACCAGATATATTGTGCTGGTCATCCAAGTTTGGTCGCCATTTGAAATCATCAAAGCAATGGAGAATGATACGAAACAAATAGCTGCGAGGCTCAGCGTTTGATAGATGAAGTTGGTAGGCTGAAAGATTAAGCAACCATGTAGATATAAATAAGGTCAACCATAAAGCTGAGCCACAGCTTTGGTGCGAAAGGGAGGCCTTTGATCGCGCTGTTTTTATCGTGGAGAAGAACACTTCATACGGGGTGCACTGACCAATACGGATGACACTCGCGTGGGACATCTAAAAGCACAGGCTGCATTGCTCTAACACTCAAAGCTACTCGGTCTGGAATGACTAGCTGATGGTTTAGGAAGAGAAAAAGTTCAGATCACTCGAAACAATACATGTGAAGCCCATCAACTTTCAGGTCAATGCAAGGCCAATGATGGACCCGGGATTCACGAGACACTGCACGCCCTCACAGGTTCCCGTTATTGAAAGAGACTCAACGATTGCATTTTTACTTTTCCTACACTTCCTCATCGTGCTGAGATTCGCAGTCCATCCTCTCCATCTCTCATAATCAAGCGGATGAATCACTTGAAAGTGTGAATGTGATAGGCATCAGTGTATGGCCTCCGACCTTCATTATGATCTTGTTTGTTCATTGGAGAATGGGCACGTAGAAACAATTGTTTGACCATCATACCCTGGATTGATCTCCACTGAGTTTACCATTCAAGTTTTTACTTATACATCAGCCTACATAGATGGTGTATTCCGGTTCGAGGGGTACAGGACGGTTATGAGGCGACTAAACAAAGAAAGACAATGTTTCTCTAGCAATGCGTCGTGATTGGCCTTTCGGAAGTGGGGAGAAAATGATACCGACACGCCAGGTGGCGACATGCAGGAGTAGAGGCTTAAACTGAATAGCCTGGAGGGTTGCAAAAGTGTTGCCGAGTAATTCAATGGAATGAAAATGCTTGATGATAGGAACGTCAGAAACGAGGTGGCTGACAACGGCACGACACTCGTCTGCAGGAAACGTGAGTGAAAGCAAACGCGAGCGATGGAGCGCCTGAGAAACTTCCTCGATGAGACATATAACCCTCATTGAAGTCTTCCCTGGGAAAGTCAACACTGAGGGCTGCTCCCTTTGACCTTGCGAGCATTAGTCGGAAGATGGGTACAGTGGTGTGTGGTCCTGTAGCTTGATTGCAGACCGGAGATAAGGATACGCGATCGCTACTTCGTGCCAGCGCTAACAGACATGGGTCGCGGCAAAAATATCACTCCCGTTGCTCGCGAACAAAGGTGAGCGAGTTTCGGATGGGAATCCACAGGCTCCTACGCAGCCGTCACTGAGAGGAGAGTAGCTTATCCTAGGGCGCGGTAGACTCAGCAGAATCCGCGATAAGTCTTTCAAGTAGCGATTGAAACTCAAGCCGTAGCTATTAATCGCCGATTGAAAGTTTTGAACCTTAAGCTTCTCGTCCTCTCAGTGACGGCTGCAAGAAAACAATTTGAAATTCAGGGTCGGATGGTGTTCCGAGCGGAATGACCCGTCGCTTAAGAGTGGACTTCAAAAAAAAGCTACACATCTCTGTTCTAATAAATAGGCGAGTATTTAATAGAGTAAATGAGGTTTTAATTGCATATCACGATCAAGACAAACCTTGGGGGTGTTGAATTCGTGAGCCTGTCATCGTGTTCACGTAATCGGCCGACGCCGAGATAAGATAATTAGACACGAGATGGGCGGATAGACCACCAGACGAGTCACAAGTCCCGGGCCAAGGCTTGGGAAAGCAGAAGCTATTTATTAGAGAATCAGAAGCTAAATACGAGTACAGGAGCTACAGAAGTACTCCTAATGTATTTACTAGTATAAAGGAAGCGAGAAATCATACCTGAGCGCGATCAGCGCATCGCACACCCTTTCTAAGCGTGAATCCCAAGAGGGGGAATGTTTCGACACAAGAAACCTTACCAGAACCTTGAAGGGACCTAGTCGTGAGATGCCGCGGGACCTTGCAGCATATACTAAGGGCGCAATCCTGCGGGAGCCTTGGCATAACCTTGACTTGACCTTGACACAAGGTTGTTGAGTCAACAGCCTTTCAACAAGGTTTCAGAATAATAGGGGCACCCATTCTTGAGACTAGAGAAACACTATTTCGCATTTAAACCTGGTTCCTAGGTGACAGTAGAAAGCCTGAGGTACAAAGAATAGCTACAAGAACACCCAGGATTGATACTAACTATGCAACAGGAGCTGCTAGTCTGGTGCATGGAATTTGTGTTCAGATACCAAACACGAAATTTCACTAAGTCCGGTGTTGCTGTTCATAAACCCAACACATCAGGAACATCGTGAGCACCTGGTCTGAGCTCCGACAACCTTGTCTTAGCTTGTACAGCCTTGTACAAGTACGAAAAGCACAACCTGACGGAAAGGCCTTCAGAAATTCCAGGAATCATACCAGAATGCGACGCGAGGCATCATCCAGGACGTCAGCCAGACAGAACAAGGCAAACAAGTCTATTAGCTATCTCGAGGTCTGTACAGGTCTATAAAAGTCTAGGTACTCGTGCGAGATAGGTCGTGATTCGTCTATAATCGAGAAAACGAGTAGAGTTAGAGTTCGAATTCCACTTCCCACTAATCCTCCGGCGCCGGGCTGCTTGAGGGCATCAAGAATCGACGTGAATTCTCGAGAGAACCAACCGCGGCTGCCGTGTTAGGAGCCACTGGCTGCTCCTCGATTGTCGAGCCCCACCTCTGCAGGAGAGGCTCCCACCGGTGGGGCTTGATGTTGTTCACGACCCTAGTATAATCGTGCGTCACCTGCTGATACTTATTCTGCGAGAATGTCTTCACATTGCCTTTGGTACCCGATCGATAGCTGTCGAATGCACGCTCAACCTGCGTGAATATATTAGACAATAGAAGCCAGTAAAGGAGACAAAAACCTTACCGCAATCATCGTAAGAACCACCGCGCCCTTCGGAGGAGGGTATCGAATGCGGGAGCCAACCATCCTGCGCATTATTAAGCTCATGATGATGTTAATTAACGGGGACTGGAGGAACCCCAATGGTTTCTACGGAACAGATGAGCGATGAGAATGAACACAAGATATGCAAATTAAATGAGCTCACATCATACCACGGATGCTCACGCGTCATTGTCTGCGTCTGATCCATCGGGGTCGGTTCCTCCCAGAAAGCAGGCCCATCCTGGTGCAACGCCCACGCGACGTGCTCTCTGATGGCTGCCGGGTTGTTAACAAATGATGGGGCAGTGTAGAAGGTGTCGACATATTCGAGGGCGAGACGCCCGATTTCAGAGCGCTTCTCGTACATGCGGTCAACGGTCTAAATATAATGATGAGAATAAGGTCCGTCTAGGCGTGATGATTAACATACCTTGTTGAAGATCTCGTCGCCAATGCAGACCCTGTAGGGAGAGCCTGGTGTAATGGTATCGATGATCTTCTGAAGGGTGATGACTGTCTCCGGGGATTTCTTGAAGACATTCCAGATGTCGCTGGAAGATGCGAAGCAAGCGTGAATGGTGGGAAGGAGCGATGTAGTCCAGTAGTCATTGATAGTGAACGCGGGCATGAGTGTGGTGGTGTTGGGCTCAGACTTGATGGCTGGAAGAGCGTCGGCAACAGGCTCGGTTTTGACAGCTTGAGCACCCATGGCCTTTGCACGGGTGGAACGAGGTTTCTGGGCTTTGGTCTTGCTAGCAGTGGGTTTTGCAGGGCCCAGCGTCTGCTTTTTGAGAGCCATCGAGAGCGTCGGCTCGTTGAGCTCCTGCGACGTGTCGCCCGATCCGGTGTCCTCGCCGCCGTTTGAGTCCGAGTCAATCTGGATGACCTGGGATCGGCATCAGCATCCATAGCACTGCAAGAGCAAATGACCTACCTCATTACACGGCAGCCAGCCGTGCTTTGTCGCCGCCGGGACCATGCGAGATCTGGGCCGAGCGCCGCCAGCGTCATCGTTGTTGAGGCCACCGACAGCTGGCGTATCCTCACAAGAAGTGCTCGAGGCAGCTGCCTGAGTACCGGTGCGCCATCCCGGCTTGAGGCCAGCTGCGAACGTAGTTGCCTTCGACACCTTCTTTCCGGTGGTCTTGCTGGTGTTCCTGCCAGCGCGTGGGTGAGAGCTGAAAGAGGCAAGTGAGTGACATGACCAGTGATAACGCGCAAACATGTGACACTTACTTTTGCGACACCGACACAGCACTCCCCTTCCCCTTCGTATCTTCCTTGGGTGGAATCAGCTACAACGATAAGGTAAGTCAAACTTGGTTAGACTGGTCACCGTGTATCTGAGCTCACCCCAGGCATGGTCCTTCTGTAGTATACAGGCTCCTCGTCGTCACTGTCCATGTACACAGCCTCTCGCCCCAAGGTCTGGGCCATGGCTGGGTTGTCGGAGTCAGGCTCCGGTGTTGGGGCATTCATCGCAGCCTCAAGCTGGTCCTCCCAGGTAAGCACCACAGCCGCGCCGTCTTCGAGCTCCTGGAGCTCATCACGTTTAGCTTCTTCGGCTATCTCCAGTGCCTGCCGCTCTCTGAGCTGCTCCAGACGCTCAAGGCGGCACCTCTCCTCCTCCTCGTGCGCCCTCACCTCCTTGGAGGTTCTTCTGGCTTGAGGAAGGTCAGGATGACCCGGGTGCTCCTGTCGCTTGCGACCGGGAAGCACACGCCGTGCTAGAGCTGCTGCAGGTGGAGGCAGGCTCTCAGTGGTGGCAGCGGCGGGAGCAGCGGAAGGAGGGAGGAGGTGCTCAGGAGCAACAGCAACAGCAGTGCTCGCTGCAAGCTGTGCCGCTGTCCTCGTACCTTGACGCTTCCGTGACTTGGACTTTGGCTTGAGGTGCGTAGTCGGCGCAGCATCACCATGAGCAATGCTCAGCTCACGCGGCCGCTTCTGGTTGGTTGGTGCTGGGAGAACTTGAGCGCTTGCTTCCAAGCCGGAAGAAGTGTTGGTGGTGGTCAACGGCAATGTGGATGTGGTGAGTGCATTGTCCTTGACGTGCCTCTTCAGCCTATCTGATGCTCGATGCCCGCCAGGCATAGTTGTTGACGAGGGCGTGGTGGAAGAAAAAGATGGGGGACGGAATGGACCTGACCAAGCTGCGGCGGTTGAAAAAGGTCAACGTGTCAGCGGTGTCTTCAACTCATTTACGTATGTGAAGGGTAAGTCAACTCGCTAAGTCCTGACACATCACCCAAGTATTTTCCTCCTTTCTTACCATCATGTCCTTGCCTCATGCGCGTGTTCCAACCTTTCCGTGCCCTCACTGCCCTCGCAAATGCCTCTCAGAGGCTGGTCTTGTTCGACACCTCAACATTCAGCACCGGAGTGTATCTGAGGACCTCCCTGACACTCCAAATGTCCCTCGCCCGAACGCTAGCTTTGTCCGGCATCCGTACTTGAACGGTACGTATAGTCCTTATGTCAGATGTGCGACCTCTCATTCTATTGTCCAGGGCGCAAAACCACTGAAACTGGCAACTTCATCTATGAAAATGATCCACCGCCGCCGCCGCCTGCTGCTCCACCACCACACACACCCGAGTCGTGGGCACCATTCCAGTCACGAGTCGAATTCGACTTCGCTTTTGAACACTACGTGAACGCCGAGTCTTCGGCTTCCGAAATCAGGCGCTCGCTTGATTTTTGGAATGCCGTGCTTGCTCCATATGGTGCCACAGCGCCTTGGAGAAACGAACAAGAACTCTACAAGACTGTCGATGCCATCCCTAATGGAGGCATCCCCTGGAAGTTATACAAGATCCGATACCATGGCCCCCTCCCTCCGTCACCTCCAAAGTGGATGACAGAAACGTACGAACTTTGCGCCAGGGACACGCGCTCTGTCCTCCATCAGCAACTTGCGACACTGGACTTCAAGGACAAGATCGACTATTCACCGTATCGTCACTTCAACGCTGACGGACACCGAGTCTTCTTCAACCTCATGTCCGGTGAGTGGGCCTGGCATCAAGCAGTGAGCATCATTTATTCTATGGTCAATACATCCTCTGACATGAGTAAACTAGGATCTACTGGCTGAGGATCCCCGGAACCACGGAGCGACATTTGTCCCCATTGTTGCCGGGAGCGACAAGACAACGGTCTCTGTTGCTACAGGCCATCAAGAATTTCATCCCGTCTACATGTCGCCTGGTAATTTGTCAAATTCCGCTCGCCGAGGGCACAGCAACTCGGTGCTCCCTGTTGCGTTTCTTCCCATTCCTCGGAGTACGATTTTTCTCTTATTTTATGTGGTCTTCTTCACTGACGGTCACATCATACTCTCTAGCTAAACGAAAACATCGGAATAAACCCGAATTCCGGACTTTTTGCCGCCAGCTATACCACGAGGCGCTTCGCAAGGTTTTCCATCCTCTCGCCGCTGGGATGGAGACGCCAGAGGTGGCTAAATGCCCGGACGGTCACTTTCGTCGGGTTCTTTACGGCCTTGGCCCGTATATTGCCGATTATCCAGAACAGGTGTGGTTGTCCGGAATAGTACAAGGGTGGTGCCCGAAGTAAGCTCCCATTCCAGCATCCCGCATTTGATCACTGATACTCATTCATTTAGATGTGACGCAAGGCCGGAAGCGCTCGATGATCCGGGTGCACGACGACGAACATGTGCGAAAACAGATTTCTATTGCGCTCGACTGTCAACGAGTGAGCTCTGGGATCAACACGGGATTCGAGACGACTATCGGGTGAGTATTCATTCTTCATTTCACTACCTCGAGCTGACTATTCGATAAAGCCCTTTATGCATCATTTTCCCCGAGCCGACATTCATGAGCTCCTCGCGCCGGATCTTCTCCATCAGGTCATCAAGGGGACTTTTAAGGACCATGTTGTCTCATGGGTCAACACCTACCTCAAGATCATTCATGGCGAAGCCCGAGGGAATGCAGTTATCGACGAGATCGATCAACGGTACGTGCACTGAACTTTTCACTCGGTTTTGAAGCCTGACTGTAGTAGGATCAGCCTCGCCCCTTCCTTCCCTGGCCTCCGACGATTCCCCGACGGTCGTGATTTTGAGCAATGGACGGGTGACGATAGCAAGGCCCTCATGAAGGTGTGTACCTTGCTCACGTTTACCCCGCTTCATGATATTAATTTGAAATCAACAGGTTTACCTGCCCGCGATTGCTGGCTTTGTCCCCGCTGAGATGGTCCAATGTCCATCGGCGTTCTTGGAGTTTTGCTACATCGCACGGCAAAATAGCCTCTCCGCCGAAGACCTCGACAATCTCGATCACGCGCTTGCCCATTTTCATCGCCTCCGAGATGTTTTTATCCGCGTGGGTGTTCGCCCGAACGGCATTTCCTTGCCACGTCAACATTCTCTCTGCCACTATCGGTACTCCATTGTCCTCTTCGGGTCGCCGAATGGGCTTTGCTCGTCAATCACCGAGTCAAAGCACATCGTCGCCGTCAAGAAGCCATGGCGTCGATTGAATCGGTTCAAGGCACTGTACCAGATGCTACTCATCCTGGTCAGACTCGACAAACTCCAAGCAGCAAGACGATCATTCGAGGCAAGGGGCATGATGGCTGGTACAACATCGGGTTACCAGCATGTCATTCTTGGCGGAAATGCTCCTCCCAGCTCAGCCGACAATCATTCTGCTACTCCCAAGGATTCGGAGGACGATCACGCGCCCTCGACAGGGCCTAAGGTTACATCATCTATCGAATTATCACGTACTCGAGGTGAGTCGTGCATTATCTCAAAGTCGTCCCATACTGATGCAGTGATTAGAACTCGCCCGGGTATACCCACGCAACGCTGGCCTCCTCGCCGCTGCCATTGGCCAGCCCCGGCTCCCACAGCTCATCAGGCGTTTTCTATTTGACCAGACGCATCCGAACCACGACCACATTACCCATCCCGTCGCAATCGAGGACTGCCCCGTGGCCTCAGGGCCTGTCTTCGTTCATCACTCGGCGATCGCTCGTTTCTGGGCGCCCAGCGACTTCTGTGGAGCGGGCGGCATGCGTCGTGAGTGGATTCGAAGCCACCCTCATTGGCGAAACCAGTATGCGCGACGTGATACAGTGTTGATTGAAGTCGACAGTGAACAACCAGGGATGCGAGGGATGATGGTCGGGCGAGTATACCTTTTCTTTTCATTGCAATACGATGGTATTCTTTATCCGTGCGCTCTGATACATTGGTTTGTTACCCTAGGAAATCGCCCTGATCCCTCAACCGGGATGTGGGTAGTTCGTCCGGAGTATTTGGGGAACCAGCGACATATGTCCGTTGTTCATTTAGACTCGATTTCTCGCGCTGTACATCTAATGCCGGTTTATGGGACTGCTACATTACCGGAGGACTTACAGTTTCACGAGTCTTTAGACGCATTCCGTTCATTCTATGTCAACCGTTATGTAGATCATCACATGCATTCGTTTATGTACAGTGATGGTTAATATGTAGCTACCTTTACTACTTCTCGAGCCGTTACTATACTACTACTGCATAAGCTGTTTCATGACCAGTCGACAGCTGGTAGACTTGTCACCCTTGCGCGTCTGGTAGCTTGGTGAGCCAAGTTACAAGTCTCACAAGGTCGCGAAAGTCGACCCAGAAGGTCACGAAGTTCCTGATGCATCGCTGCATCTTGTTCATGGTGACGTCGTGTAGTGGTTTTGGCATCAGGTCATTTTTCAGGTGGTCTTGAGTTCGACCCTTGCCTGGGTTTATTTTTTTGCCCACGCGTGTGTCCTCGCTGGGTTGCTTATCCGAGAAAATCCTGCCCTTAGTATATCTGACGAGGTTGCGGCAAGGTCCAGGCAACCTTTGGGCTCAGAACCTCCCTCGAGCTCCAAGGCTTAAATCGATTGACAGTGTACTCGAATTTCCCTTCGCTTACCCAGATTTCTCGAGCGCAGCCGCGCACTAAACTGATTTTCAAACTCAGATTCTTTTGGGACTTAGCCGAACTTAGCCGACCGTACAGCCACTAGTCACGTGAAGGTTTTCTTGCAGCCGTCCTGGAGAGTGTGAGGCCAACAAGGTTGCTGAGATTGAAAATGTTCGGGTGGATCCGTAAGGGTCATGTACCTCAGATTCCGCTAAGTCCCTCCGCACTAGCAATTGCCTCACTAAACTCGGAATGACGGCTGTGTAGGAGCCTGGGGAATCCACAGTTTTCGGATGGCTTCATAGTGTACGGAGATCTCCGAGTATTGCAGCAGCCGTTCTATAGGGTTCGGCCAAGTTACCATGACTCATTCGGGAGCAACTGTAAGCTGTTTCAGAAACATCAGTGATTGCAAGCAAAACGCTGTGGATGTGACTCACTTGTATACTAGATGGCTGTCGTTGAAACAAGCGATGAAACGTTTTACAGCACCCTCAGCGGCGCCAATCAAAGTGACACGTGCTTTTCATCGGACGACAGCCATCAATTCTGGCCAGTTTCAGAGTCAGAATGCACGATTAAGGCTACGAAGGAAGAAAAATGTAAGCTAAAGCTACGTATGTACACTGTATCGAGCGAAGACCACCACGGCATCGCCTCACCACTCTAGTGATATCGAATCTCGATGACCAAGCTCACCACCCGCTCTCAAACATCCCCGAATTTCTAGAATGTCCCGATGTGTGCTGCGATCCCGACGACGATCGAGCCTGCGCCTGCACGTCCGATGACGGATGGTCATCCAGCGAAATCGTCTCCAAACCGCGACTGCCGAACTCGTCGTCCTCCGACGACAGCTCGCTTGCGAATGTCCAGCTGCCCGTTGGCGTCAGATCTCCGTCTCCGTCGTCGCTGTGCTCGTTGTGCTCCGTGCGCGGACTCGAAAACTCGCCGAATTCACCAGACGATTCGCCGGAGGAGTCGGCTGCCTGGAAGTCGCCAAAGTCGAAGTCATCTTCACCAAAGCTGGCAGAGGGTGAGGAGAATATTGAGAAGGGGTCGGCAGAGGAGCTGGGATTGGTGCGGGCTGGATCTGCAAACGGTCCGAAGGCGTCGTCCTGTAAAGGATGGACATAAATTCAGGAGGTTATTGTAGCGAAGAAGTTAATCACATACATCATCAGCAGGCACGTTGACACCAAACGGATCGTCCGACAATGCTTCTCGTAGCGATCCTGTTGAGCTGAAAGCAGCCCCAGTCGGACCCGTCACAATCGGCGTCGGCGCCGCCTGCCCAAGCGCCGCCGTCATCTCAAATGCATCGTCGAAACCCGTGTTGCCAGAAGTCGCCTGCCGCGTGTGCTGACGTCGAGGTGGCGGCTTGCCAAGGTCGAACCGCGAATGTGCCAACCAGCCGCCGTCCTCCTCGTCCTCCTCGTCCGAAGACTCCGACGCGTTCATCTCCTGCGCGAGGTAACGAGCAAACTATACCACATCATCTCATCTCAGTACAATCAGCCCCGGCAAATACACCCAAAGTACCCACCTGAGGCGGCGCAGACCCGTCGTCCTCATGCTCCTCCGGCTCCGGCGGGCCAAAATCCGCCGTATTCCTCGGCGCACTCCCGCCACCACTCCTCTTCAACTCACCCTTCATCGGCCCACCCGGACTCCCTCCCGGAGAGCCCTTCGCAACAGCATCCACGCCCTGATCCTCCTCGTCGATCTTCCACCTGGGGCCCCCCGCCTTCGCCGCCGGCACACCACCGCCGGCAGCACCGCCCAACCCGGCAGGCGCGGCGCCCGCGACGGGCTTCCCGCCGCCGAGCAGACTCGTATCGCGCCTCTTCGCCTCGTCGTACCGGCCCGTCACGTACTCGTCCCACGCGGGCTGCGGCGCGTACTGCGCGACGAGCAGGCGGAGGTCGGGCGGGTAGTGCTCCAGCGCGGTGATGACGTCCTCGGAGATGAGCGTGAGGTGGCCCATGTAGCCCAGGCGGACGCCTTTTGGTTTTGAGCTAGTACGATAGGAATTTCAGGGAAATTATTAGTGACGAAGGTGATGAAAAGAGTGGGGTTCACCTGGCGATGTCGTTCTGCTTCTGTCCTTCCACTATCCGGTGCATAAGCCGTGCATCGCGGAACAGCGAGACGTTGAGCTCGCGGTTTGTGCCCGCGTCGACCTTTCCAGTGAGTATCTGGTGTATAAAGTCATACACAGCACTGTGCAGAAAGTTGTTCCACGGGAAGTCGAAGAAGAGGTCCTGTTCGCCCGCCGACGCAATGCATATAAGTTCAAACCTGAAGCAGACATGACGACACGCACCAGGAGAGTAACGAGCACGCCAGTGTCCAAGAAGCGCTGCTTCAGCCGCTCCCCGACAGGCTTCTCCGTCGATATAGGCTGCCCGATGAGGCTTATCCTGCGCGAGCTCCGCTTCGAATGCGCAGACGTTGGGCGCGTGATAGGGCTCCCTGGGGACAGTATTCCCGCTCCCTGCACCGCGAGCTCAAGAGGCGACGGCTGTCTGACAGCGCTCGGCGACGATGGAATACCCGTGGGTGGTGTACCATCACCCGCGTCCTCGATCGGCTCTGGAGATGCAACAACCATCGACGCCTCATTCGGATCCATCTTCGTCACCGGGAACCCTCCACTTTTGCGCTCCCCCTCCTCCTCCTCCTCCTTATCAAACATCGCAATCTCCTCCATCGCCTCATCGTCCGACCCCTCCGCGCTCATCGCAGCCATATCCTCATCCTCATCGTCGTCTTCATCTTCATCGTCCGAATCCAACAACGACGCCTCCCTCGACGCATTCGTCACAGGCAGCTCCAACGCCGGCTCAATGTCGTCCTCGCCCATACCCCCGCTCCTGCCCGCGCCGCCCGCGGCCGCACCGTTATCCCGATCGGGATCATCGCCCGACCCGATCGCAATGACGCGCGCGAGCTGCTCGAGCGCGCCGAGGCCGCCCTGCAGGCGCCCGTCGGCGTCGTATAGGTGGCTGTACTCCGGCGCGCGGTTGAGTAGCGACATGTTGGAGCAGTGCAGGAGCTCGGCGTAGAGCTCACATATCCGGTAGCGTTCGAGCGTAAGCGGGATCAGGAAGCCGACGGTGGTAGGGACCGGGTCGCCCTGCGTAAAGCGAGATTAGTGCATCACGAACGAACGCATATATGCGTGTGAGAGGGAAAGTGAAGGGAGGTGTAGAAGAAAATATGCCAGTAGATGCATGTATGCGTTTAAAAAAACGGAAGGGGGAGGAGGAGAAGAAACGCACCATCGACCTCGGCACCCTCAAAAACCCCTGAAACGTCTCCAGCCGCTCGCACATGATCTCCAACACAGGCCCGAGATGCACGACGCCCATCCTGTCCACCATCTCGCGCATCGCCGCCTCGAGCGTCTCGCGCGCGTTCTCCGCGCCCGCGAGCTGCTGCTGCACCTGGATAAGCCTATTGCGCAGCGTGTGGAACAGGTACGGCTCAAAGTAGTCCGAGTTGTTCTTCCGTATCAGCTCGATGATGATCGAGATCGCATGCGTCACCGACGATGCGCACGACTGGCGGTCCGGAAGCGCAGCCCCTTCGTCGTCGTCGCCGTCCATGTCATCGTCCTCGGACGCCTCGGAGTCGGGGCGCGGCGGCGGGAAGTCGCAGAGGATGTAGTCCACGAGGCGAGATATGCTCGCGCGGCTCGCGAGCTCGCGCGCGAAGCGGTTTGAGGCGGGGCCGTTTTGGAGGCCGTCGGTGAGGCCCGCGGCGGGGGAGGGTGCGGCCATGGAGACGATGCCCTTGACGAGCTCGGAGACGATGACGTGCATGTCCGTCGTGTGCGCGGGCGAGAGGAGCACGATGAGTTTGCCGGTGAGGTCTTGCGATGAGAGCCACTGCGTGCCGTGTCTTCACGAGGGAACGGAAGTGCGACAGAGGGGAGACGGGCAACGTACCTCGAGTACGCCAGAGCCCGCGGGCTGTTCGTCTAACTGGATGATGCGTACGATGAGGTCGACGATGGCTGGGGACTCGACGTGGCGGAGTAGGCGGGCGACGACGTCCGGTTGCGATTGAATAAATTGAAGCATCTGAAAGCAGAAGCGGTAAACGGTACGCCATGTCCGGTGTATGTGAGCACCCAAGCATTACAAACAGGGAACGGAGGGGCGATGACACAGTGGGGAGCAGCGAAAGGGAGCCCACCTCAACAGGCTTCTTAGAGAGGAACACAGAGTTGATCTTGGCAAAGTGGGAGGCCATAGTGAGCTCGCCCTTCATCTCGTCGGGCGGGCGGTCGAGGACAGTCTCCCAGAAGGGCGTGAGGAGATGGTCAGACGAGCGGACGCACGTCTCAACGATGGACCATATCTCGCTGCAGAGCACCTCCGTCGCGACATACGGGTACCTTCACGCCGCACACGCCATCCATCCACCGAGTCCACCGAGTCCACAGGAACAGAGCGAGACACCAGAGCGCAGGACAGCCAAGCAAGCACCTGCCGTCAGCCATCCCCGTCACACAGGCGCAGGCGCACACCGTGCACTCACTTGAACCGCCCCTTGTCCTCCTCGCCGCCCATCTGGCCCGACACGTACGCAAACAGCCGCTGCAGCACGTCTTCCCGCTGAAAGTAGTCCATCAGGCGCGTGTTCTGGCTCTTGCACTCCTGCAGGAGGTCGTCCTCGTCGAGGATCGCTTCGAGAGAGACATCGTCCTTGTCCAGCAGGCTGTCGATCGCGCTTGCATTGTGGAATCCGAACCTGCATCGTGAAACAGGATAACACAGAAAAGAAACGGTGATTCAGACGACGGTTGCTAGTGCAAGGGGAAGAGTGAAGTGAAGGAGAGAGGGTGTACGGATGAGGCCAACGTGCAGGGGGTAATGATGTGTCATTGTGTGCATCATCTGGTGTGATCTGGGAGTGGAAGAGCGCACAAACGCGTACCTCCAGAACATCGTTTTCGACCCCTCAAAGGAGGATTTGGGTGGGAGAGAGACAAGGACACTGGCGCTGGGCTCGGGCGCGTCTGTCCCAGTGTTGCCTATAATGGTCCGCTCGCCCCGGGATCGCAGATTCCGATGAGCCGACACACACCCATGGGCGGTCAAACACGGGATGACGAGCAGAAGTCCGTTATTCAATGAAATGACATGCAAGACTGTGGTATACTGTTAACAACGTCCCTATCTAAAGCTAAGGATCCACCACCACCATCCGAGCTCTCCCAACCAACCCTCAGAACTGCCAACCGGTGCAAAAACACAGATCAGCATCCACCACGCATCACAACGGACAGCACACGTACCCGAACCTGATACGTCCCACTCGCCTTCGTAAGATACCTCACCCACTTAATACTGTTATACCCGCCCGCCTCAAACACCTTGAGGAACCGCACGATCAAGCCCGACGCGGTGAACATGAGCACCTGGAAGTCGACGTCGATCGGCGGGCGCGCCCACACCTGGCGCACCGTCGTGCTCGTCAGGTCCGCCGTGGCAGTAAACGTACACTCCTGTCCGCCTTGCACACGCGGTATCCTGTGTTCGTTTGCCCCCATTAGCTTAGCTTCTCAGAGTGAAAACAAGCTGGGGAGTTTGGGATACGCACTTCCAGCTGACCACGTTCTCCGCGGGCACGTACTTGGCCTTGCCCGTCGCGACCTTGCACTCGACCGACGTCGTGTTGAGCGGCGTGGGGATGCGCAGCACGACGTTCGTGGCGGACAGCTTCGCGCCAAAGTTGGCCTTGACAGCGACAATGTACGTCACCTGCGACGTCCCGACCTCGTTCACGGTCGTCATAATCCGCAGCGGCAGCTTCACGTTCGACGTGCTCCTGTACCTACCACCCCCACCGCATCCTGTGTTAGCGAAGTCGCCACTAAACGAGGGGAAAGGCAGGGAGGGACACACCGCATGAGCTCAAACTCGCCATCGGGCGGGACAAAGCTGATCGTCCGGTCGCTGTCAAACTCGGTCAACCGCACGCACTGGTGGAACCGGCAGTCGTCGAGCTCGACTGCGTCCGCGATGCTCCCGCGCTCGGCGCGGTCGATCACGAGCTTATCGTTCAACCCGAACTTGCACTCGGGCGTGCCCGTGAGGTAGGCACGCATCTGGATGTGCCCGTCGACGTCCGCGCGGAGGACCGTGCCTACGCATGGGTGGACGGGAAAGTCGGGTCAGGGGTAGTTTGAGGGCGAAGTCGAGCGGTGTGAGGGGAAAGAGGGGATGGAAGGAGGTGTAAAGGCGCACCTTTGGCACTCATGCTCAGGTTCACAGTTTCGACTACATCCACGAACGCCTCGTTCTTCTTGTACTTGACATCGCCGCGCCGCCAGCTCGTATTGCCCGTCGCTTGTGACGTGATCTTCGAGGACTCCTCCTATTGACGAGCCATCACATTTAGCTCTTTAGCTAACAGAGGCCGTCAAGATGAAGATAGACCCACAGCCTGGAACGCAGACGAGATGATGCTCTCGGTGGTGATGTACGTCTTGAGCGTGTCCGCTTCGCTGTTCTGCGGGTACCCAAAGTCGCATATTTCTGTGCGGTGCCGTGTGAGACCAGCTGCGTAGAGGGCAACGCGAAGCATGGGCGCACCATCAATGAGCTCATATATGAGCGTAAAGTTGTTCTTGACCGCCTCTTCGTCCACCTTGCCAAAATACGACTTGGAAATCGAGATGAAGCGGTAGCAGTACTCGAACACGAGCGCCGCGTTCGCGTTTGTCCTATTCAGCCGTCGTGTGGTCAGCACAGTCCCGCAAGAGCATGGAAAGACGCGGTCGCAGCAGGGAGTGGAAGAGCAACGGCGGATGGAGAGTACGCACTTGGTGACGCAGACGACGTAGAGGTTGTTCACCCGCACATGGAAGAAACTCGTCGAGCCGAGGGTGATGATGGGCGAGCGCACGTCGCTGTTGGACACGACTTGTATTCTGAACACGTCCGCGATCGAGCGTCTGCCAACAAGAGGGAGAGTGCACGTCAGCAGTCATCGTTATACGGCAATCTGGAAGGAGGAAGTGAAAGGGAGCGCGACGCACTTGAAGTCGGGGCGGTACAAGCGGGAGATGAGGACCTCGAGTGTGCCAAACGCGTCAATTCTGCTGGCCATGTATGTGGACTAGGGGCGCTCACCTCGCCCTTCTGGTTGAACACAAAGAATGCCTGCAACCGACTGAGTAAACTCCAAGGCAAGGAAATCTGACACGCACCGATATCATGTCTGCTCGTCGTCGTCCACAGCGTCCGTCTCCTCTGTCGCCTTCTCCACTTGTCGTCAACGGCCCGCAACTTGCCGCCTCGGCCGACACGCGGCACTTTAATTCAGGGGCACCTCCGCCTTCTCCACCGCGTCTTCCGGCTCACACCTCCCCCTCCCGCATAAACATCCGCATAAATCTATGGAAATATTGTTCACGCTTTCCGCAGTCACAAGACCGCCTTATATTCAGCTTGCTAACAATATGCCTCCCCTGGATGGTGGACAATCCTCGGACATGGCCCACGGCGGTCGTCGTACACATGGTCCCATCCAGCGAGAAAAATCCTCGCTGTAATGCTGGATAGTGGCTTTGTATAAAGGCACAGCAGACTCTCAGAGCACGTCCTCCCCCACCAAAGAGCGCAATTTCCCTCCTCGCCTTCAGCTCAGAATGCTCGGACGCGCCCTCCTCTCGACTTCGCTCGGTCTCCTCTCAGTAGGCGCCGTGTCCGCGAGCACGCTCTCGTGGAACGCGACCGAGTATCTGTTTGTGTTTGGCGACTCGTATACGACCGACGGATACAACATCTCGGCTGGTATCGACTCGCCTGACCCAGGATACGTGAGTGTGGCCGTCGTTCAATCAATCATTGCGTTCTTATCCATCCCTCTGTAGACGTCATCCAATGGACTAAACTGGGTCGAGTTTCTTAGTAAGTCGTCTTGGAACTATAAAGTCCCTGCCTTTTCAGCCAGAATACGACGATCGATACTTATTACTTCATGCTCCGCAGGTGGCACGTACAACCAGACCGACATCACGACGTTCGATCTGGCCTCTGGAGGCGCGACAATCGACGCTGCGCTAGTTCCTCCCTACCTGCCCACCGTTCTGTGCGTCCAACTGCCTGTGTATACCATACCCACTTTTCTGATCGCACTGTCTCGGTCAGGTCCGTCGTAGATCAAGTGTCCCAGTTCAGCGAGTACCTCGCGAGCAAGCCCGCCGACGCGGAGTGGGACAGCACCAACAGTCTCTTCGCGATCTGGATCGGGATCAACGACGTCGTACGTACCCTCACGAGCTATCGTGTACCCTCTATCCCGTGGCTGACAGCCTGCTACGCAGGGCAACTCCGAAGGCTGGGTAAGCCCTCTCCCCCCACCGCACCATCCCGCATGCCCACTCACTCCCATTCCGATTCACAGACCAACATCACCCGCCCCGACTTTTACTCCACCCTCATGGACCGCCTCTTCTCCCAAGTTGATACCCTCTACGCCTCCGGCGCACGCTCCTTCCTCTTCCTCACCGTCCCGCCCACGAACCGCGCGCCGCTCTTCATCGAGCAGGGCCCCACCGCCGCCGCGACAATGGGCGACAACATCGCGGACTACAACGCCCAGCTCACCGCGCGCGTGCGGAACCTCACGACCTACTACGCAAGTGATTTGGGCAGCGTGACGCTGTTCGATACGCAGCCGGTGTTCAACACGCTCCTGGACAACGCGGAGACGTTTGGGTTCGTGAACAGCACGGGCTACTGCGCGGCGTACGAGAACGGGACGCCGACGCCGACGTATCAGGTCGAGGGCTGTGCCCCTGTTTCGAACTATTTGTGAGTTTTTGGGTTCTGTTTGGGGCTTTTGTTTGCTGAAGCGGATGGTGAATTGTAATAGCTGGTTGAACACGCTGCACCCGCTGTTTACAGTCCACAAGTGAGTGACCCGTCCCTATACTGTTACTACCTCGAACCAGTTGATCGAACACGCGCCATAGCATCCTCGCAAAGGCCATTACGACAGCGCTGGCTGGCTACCCCGCCACACAGATCGCAGTGTAGATGTACAATCCCACGCCGAGTCTATTGCGTGTTGAGTCTGGTTTTATATAGTCTATGTCCTCTGGTAAACAATATTTTCTTTGGCACCAATAATTGCCTCCACCTTTCCCGAGCACCCACAAGGCACCTGTATACCCGTCGCTCCACTTTGTACATCTCGCCCTTGGCTCCCCCGAAAACGTCGGTGTGCGTAGCCGTCAATGTCCCTATGTCGTGCTGCATTTTGCCCGGCTCGGCATAGCTGAAACAAACACCCCATGGACCTCAATATGACAGCAGGGGCGGCGCTGCGCCGAATAGACCGCCCTGGCCACTGGTAAGTAAGTGTGCCCTTTCGCGAGGGCAACGTCAGGGCCAATGGGTGCCACTCAGGCTGGCGCTTGGCCAGTGGCGCTGGGTCAGCAACGCCCGACGCCTTGTCCGACGCGGTCCGCAAGGGAGGCTAGCACTTCGCCTACTTTCGGGTGCATACACGAAGCTGCCTGTTGGTCTGTCAGTAGGACGGACTGAATGACTTGATAACTCGTTTGATGATAGTCGGCTGGGGCGTCCTCAATAAATGTCGCAAAGTTCATTTTCCGGCTGCAGCCGGTCGCAATCGACTACAATTACTGTTCAGTCAGAATGATTTAATAGTATTTTATATGATTAGAAGCACATTGCAATTGACACGGGCGATTGCAATCCACTTTGAGGAGCGTTGCAACCGCTTGCAGCTTAGACGTAATAAAATCTCAACCATAGTCGCTAAAAATACTCTAAAATCCGCGAGACCTCCGCTGCGTTCCCGCTTCAATTAAATTGCAGGCTGGTTGCAGGGCACCAAAATCGGAAATGGCTGCAATCGAACTATTAAATTTGCGACAAACACGGGGATATATCTTCGCCGGAGTTTCTTCGGCGCTTGTTGACGCTTAATTTTGAGCGTCCACGTCGCCAATGTTACACCAATGACAGCGTTACCGTTGCCTTTTGTCCGGGACACTAGACCATCACGAGCGCGGCTTTCGCCACTCAAAACTCGGGTCAGTACCAGCTCTCTTTCTCTAGGAATGTCTTCCTCTCATAACATCATCTTTGACAACATCGACGATGGTGCCGGCGACCACCCACTCACACCAATGCTCGACCGCATCATCCTCAGCCTGGCGGATCACTTCAAAGTGAAGCACTCCACCCTTCCGCACGACTTGTGGAGGGAGCAAAGCCTCTTCTACGAGACAGACTCGCGTCCTCCCGTCCTTTCCGAGGCCACTCTCGAGATCGTTCTACCAGACGCGCGCGCTGGAGCCTCGCATCCGACACACTTCGCGATCGATGTCCTCACGAAAGAAGTCAGCGAGACCTTCACAGATGGTGACGACTTTGCTGCGCCCGGCGGGGCTCAAAAGGCTCTCGATGATGTCAAGAAGTGGCTAGACGCGAAGATACAGAGCGATTGGGAGGAATTTTGCGAGCGGGATCGGAGGGGACAGGAGGAACAAGAGAAGCGGATGCAGGTAGGTTGTTCTCATTATTCTGACGAGTGTTCATCTGACCGTTTCGTCCCAAGGATTTCATCGTCAAGCTGGTCAACTTGGGATACATGGACCCAGCAGAAAAACGCCCTCAAGCGAGTCTCAATTGCCCTCTTTGCGCTCTTCAGCTGGTAGATTGTGTGAGTTGCAGCATAATCGCTTGCACTAGCCGAACCTGCAAAGCCGCAAAGATTGACGAGATCGAGGTGTGCGGAGCGCATCGGGACGTCTTCTGCTGCAAATCATGTCTAGAAACCAACGATCCGACCATCAGCCATCTTGCTCAGTGCCCCAACTGCGTGGCTTGGTTTTCCTCCAACGAACTTTCGTGGTGCATTGGCCGCCCTCATCCCACTCTCAAAAATCGGCGTCTGCACCCTCCAAAGGCTCTCGCTTGTGGCGAATGTCGGCCCCTCATACGACGAGCCCGAGGATTGAACAAATGCTCCGCGTTCAAATGCTGGTCTTCTCGTGGTTTTGGCTCCTCATCCAACTCGTTCGAGCACGTCATCGCTCTGTCCTCCGCTATCTGCGCAGACTGCTCTGAAGGCGGTGTCTCGTGTCACGGCTGCGACAACAGCTGGCACTGCCCGTCCTGCGCCCCCGCAACCTCAGACCTGCTGGCATGCCCGAGGTGCGGGTCCTTCTCCTGTAGGAGTCCGGAGTGCATCGGTGTCACCGAGTGCGTTCGGTGCCGCACGTCCACGCTCTGCGGGGACTGCGTTGAAGAAGACGGAGAGCGCTGCGGGGCCGCGGTCATCGCATACCTCTGTGAGCGGTGTGGCCTACCGACATGCACCGGCTGTTTTGACGCGAAACGGAGCAAATGCAGAGGGTGCAGGAAAACGGTCTGTGCCACGTGTATCGAGAAGTGCCCGGGCGAAGGTTGTCGGCTGTGGTGGTGCGATGCGTGTTTCCGACGTCGCGGTGCGTACCGGTCTTGCAAGACGTGCGGCTATGTTCGTCCCAAGACCCCGGAGTTACAGGATTCGGATAGTGATATGACTGGGTCCTCCGAGTCCGGGTGAAACGACACTGAACTTGAAGGATACGGAGTAGCCCCAAACTTCGCAATTGGCATTGTTTGTTACTAAATTCTAAGCAGCCATTGTCTTGTTTATCGTTGAAATTTGGTAGCAATTCTCGCTCTTTCTGTTGCTCTTCATTCGAAAGCATACATCAGGTTTGGAAACTTATGATGTAGCAACAGCTTCTCCTTCATCGCACCTCTCGACGTCAAAGCTAGGACTCTCTATAGCAATAGATACTATCACAAAGTTTGATTTACTGAAATTCAATCTGGTCTATTGTAGAGAGATCTAAGGACTCATGTTACTCATCTTTTTGATGATAGTCGATTGAACAATTAATCGCCCAGTACATCGAACTACATATAAGAGCTGGTCGGAGCTTTAGCGGGGCTTGAAATCGGATATCAGCGCAAGCGCGAATGAATAGACGCCGCAATTACTCTCCCGCTCTCCCTCCAACGTTGTCAAACCTTGGATCTGACATGCCGCGTTCTTATACCATCAGATTCGACGATCATAGCAACCATCCTCTCCAACCAATGTTCCTACGCGTAGTGGATGGCGTTCTTGCGCATTACGGCGCTCAAGAGCATTCCCCTCAGCGTGGATGGTGGGAACAACAGCGTATTGTCGTGGAACATGACACAGAGTCCACTTCCGTCAATGCTGCCACTTTAGATATTTCTCTGTTCAGTTCATCTGGGAGCTCCCATCCCATTCACGTTACGGTCGATGTGCTCACCAAGATTATCAGCGAAGACGATGGATTCTTCCCCGCCTCTAACGAGGTCGACCAAGCGCTCTGTGATATCAAGGAATGGCTATCTAACAGGGTATGCAATCAGCGGTCGATGTTTAATAAACGAATGAAGGAGCTGGAGGAGCAAATTTCTCGGGGAGTGAAGGTGAGATGCTTTGCTCATCGATGCGAGTTTGCTCATATGACTCTCGCGAAAAGCTGTTTTTCGAGCGCATGGTGACACTTGGCCATGTCGACCCCAAGGATGCCGAGGAACTCGGCAAGCAGCACCACCCAACGTGTCCTCTTTGCAGAGGGGGCCTTCTTGGGTGTTTCCAATGCCACACATTCACCTGCGTGAACGCATCTTGTGACGCCAAGGAGGCGGTCAGCGGCGAGTCTTGTCGAATATCTTTGCCTGTTTTCAGCTGTTATTCATGCTTGAATAACAATGATCCCGCCAAAAGCACCATCGCCAGATGCCCATGTTGCCTATCCTGGCAATCTGTACTTGAAATCTCATGGTGCATCGGCCATCCTGGTTCCACCCTCAACGAGCGTCGGCACCCTCCCAAACCACTTGCCTGTCAAAACTGCATACCCCAGATCTCAAACTTGAATTTTTGTTCGAATGCTTCTTGTTGGTCCCGCTATGGCGAACGTCTGTCCCCAACCTCATTCGAACACATGATTTCAAAGCTCGCTTCCGTCTGTGACGATTGTTCTCCACAGGGCGGAGTAGAGTGTCATGGCTGTGGATGCGAATGGTCTTGCGACGAATGTACTCCCACCGCAGCCCTTGTCACCTGCTCTCGATGTGCGTCCAAGTGGTGCTTAAACCCCACGTGCATCGGCATCGGGATGTGCGTACGATGTCGCAAAGCCAGTCTTTGCGGGGATTGTATTGAAGAAGACGGGACACAAGGGAAGCCGCCATCGTTACTCATTTCTGCTACTTCTGCAGCAACGCCGTGTGCACCGATTGCTTCGTCGCAGACATTCCTGTGTGTCAAGGATGCAAACTAGAAACCTGCGATCAATGTACCAGGAAATGTTCGGCAGAGAAGTGTGGCTTGTGGTGGTGTATAGATTGCTCTATGGACTATCCCGGCAATCCGCGATGCCCCGCCTGCGGCAGCGCTCTTGTTTAAGTAACGGTCTAGATGCAAAGATTCTTTAGTGAGCGAATCCTCCAATTTTTCTCTATCAGTGGGCGCTGAACCAGTATCATACACCGCAGGTTCTTGGAGTTGTCCATTCTCCTCACCTTATCTTGTCTTACTACTGCCGGATTTCTAGCTTCAGTGTAGTCCTTGTGTTTCATGGTTGCAGTCATCCGCACAGTTTCACACCTTTGTTCGGCGGAATTCTGCCATATCACCTATAGCGAAACCTACGATGATCTCAGGCACGGCAATCGCACCATACGCTTCTCTCGAAGACAGCCATCGGTCGCGAGTGAATGCATACTTTGATACCACGCTCTTCAATACATGGATGTTTCATAGACGGGCCGAGTCCTCGGCATTGGGCGTCTCTTGCTATCTTTCTGCTGATAAGCTTCACCCTTCGCCTGTTCTCAGATACGGTGCTCGGCCACTGTACGGTGTTCATGTCGGATGATGCCTTTCACACCGATGTGGTACGCGTACCGTTAGATCGGTGCTGATGTCATCGCCGTCATTATCTGCAATGACACGCGTCTTCTCTTCGACATCACCGCGACCTTGATTGAAACGTTTGTTGTACCTGCTAAACCAGGAAAGGCCGCACGCACCTACTTCGGGTTTAAGCTCGCGATTCTTTGGCCCAACGAAGGTGAGAAATTCGTGCACAGATGACGCAACGTTGCTGATTAGATTATGATTAGATCAAACAAGTAACTCTTCTCGTTTCTCGGGTTCTTATATATTCCATACGAGTGCACACCGACTGACCACTTCGACGCCACTTAGCTCATCCACTTAGAACCTTGCCCAATTTTATCCTACGGGAATGAGGCGAGAAGAAACTTGGTAGGCAATATCGTCGTATGCGTCAGCTGTGCTCCCTAATCTTGTACGTCGTGTATCACCTCGAGGGAGGACACGCCTCTGACAACGAGGAGAAGGTATGACCGGTGTATAGCGAAGACTACTTGCTGGTTCATAACTCTACAAATAGCGCTGCAGAACGTTGCCACAACACATACGGCGACTCGTAACCGCCCATCTTATGGTGCTTCGATCCATACAAATGACAATGTGGCTGACACGAATGAAACAGGTACCTGCCGTCGCAATATGCGGATCCCCCTTGACTCCCACAAGATATAGCTTTGACTGCTTATCTGCGCTCACCCATTTCTGTGAATGCCGGCGGACAAATCGAAGCTCTTAGGGTATAATTGAATGAAGAAACGCAGCACCGCCGACAACCCATCGAAGGTACCAACCGAGGAGGACACGAAGTCGCTGCTGATACATTCTACCCTTTGCCCTTATTTTCTATGCGCTTCTTCAGCTTCTGCGGATATCTTCTTGTTCCTACAGAACGCTTCAATACCACTGTTTTCGTAAGTAATTTGCCATTCTCCGCGGCCTCGTCAAAGCCTCGCGGTAGCCAAGTGGCAGATTCCCGCCATGGCAGACCGAAAATCTTCAATGTCGACAATTCAGAACATTTATATAGTCACGGACGTCATCACGCGATTTGTCTACGATAAGCCTGTTCTCGACTTCGTCTCCACCGACGTCGTGTAATGTTCCTAAAGACAGTTTATAGAAGTCTCGTATTGGAGGCCATCAACCGGCCACGTGCCTGATAAACTTCGGTGCAATATGATGCATCTATGTCCTCCTCCGCAGCGAGACGCATAGGTGGACCCAGGACCACCGTGCCGCGGATCCAGCACACTTCAGCAATGGCGTTAACTTGAAGCGCCGAACTTCAGGTGATCCTGGTTCGACTCAGCTCACCTGCTCCCGGATCAACACCATCTATCAAAGAGCATCGTCCCGGCGGGGTACACCGTACGCGAAGCTCGACCTGGAGAAGACCTGGGGGATCACGGGGCGTACGCTTTTTGACAAGTATTAAACTCATACCCAGGATACGTTCTCCTGTCGCCCACATGACCGCCCCCAACGAATTTCCTGTATAACCGAGAGGATCGAGACAGCCGCAAGCGACATCTGGATCGGGCGAGACCACTACCGTGTCATCATGAATCAGGATTCGAGGGCGGCGCAAGCGGCGCGGGACAACGCACAGGCTCGGGAATGGCGCGAAGCTCGAGAGCGCAGCGCGGTCCCCCGGCCTTCACGCCCTTGTTCGCCTTTTAGAGGATTTCATTTGTTCGCTCCTGCCTCTTGCGTACGCTTGACTCTTTTATAGCCTTTTCATTTCGTGGCGTTTCTGCGTCACTTGGCACAAAATTTGTTCGCACTTTCCTGTTTCGCATGCGCTGACCGCTGGGCGTTTTCATTTCTCGCTGCTGAGTTGTATCTTTGTTGCATCATCCTGTAGTTCTGGTGGGAGAAGGTGGGAGACGTGGGAGCTCATCGGATCACATTCTGACGTTCATCGCCCGTTCTGTTCATTTGGAAGCGTTCAAGGAGGCACATGAGCGCGGAACGGAGTACTGTACTGACAGCGCCAAACACGTACCACTTACAAGCTGCTCAGTGAGTCGGGGTTTAGCTCTGCCCGCCATGTGTAAAGTCGCAGAGCAGAGGCGCGGATCCAAAGGTGTATACATCAGGTCGCAATCACCTCGCTATCGCCTCGGCCGCCCCAAGACGCATTCGTGCAACGTAGACACCCCAGGAGTTTAAAGACGGGTTTCATTTCGGAGCTATGTAGCTACACATGAAAGTAGCGACGTCAAGAGCATCCGTACATCCGTGGTAATCTTCTACGCTGTACCGTTGCGCCCCCCAAAAGTCTGTGAAAATGATGTCAGGGGGAAGAGAAGGAGTAGTTGAGAGCAAGAGCAAGAGCAAGAACGGAGCGGGAGATGTATTGCAAGATTGCATGTATGTGGCATCAAGACAGAAAAGTAGAGTAAGGTAAAACAACTGACAAACGCGTATATGAAAGTTACTTTTGCGCCTCCGGGTGATTGTTGCTAAACTAGAAAGAAGCAGGCCAGCGGGTAGAGAGGGATTATTGCTACAAGGCGCGTATCGTTGCAAGAAAGGTAGGGTAACTTCTATCCCAAGTCCAAGATCCAAGTTGAGCGAGTAGAGATAATAAGGCAAAGAGCAAAGATTGATGCATAGGAGGGCCAACGAGGCATGTGTCGTGGGCGAGTCTAACGGGCATAGGGTTGAAGACGCATAGTAAAGTTCCCAGAGTAACCGAAGAAGACCGCATATAGAGGGGACGGCAACCTAAAACCCGGAACAGAAAACATAGTGCGAAAATCGAAAGGAGTGAGGAGAGAAAGGGGAGGTAAGGGTCTCAGTGAGTCCTCCCTCGTGCGCCGTCGAGAGAATACCGCCGCTGCAGTCGCTGGCCCTGAGAACTATTGTTCTTTGAGGTTGCGAAACTGAAAAGACGGCTGAAGAAGGGGCGCTTTTGGCTGGTGCGAGATTGCGGGGACGACCCGCCGCTCTTCGTGCTCGAAGAAGCGGTGTGAAGAGATGGGGTTCCGGTGTTCTGCATCGTGAACAAAGAAGCCCGTCAGATGCGACGTGAGAGTCATAGTCGGGTCGGCGGTTGAGCGTGCATGGGTGCAGAGTGGCGAACATGCATAGCCGAGCGCGGGCGGGCAGGTGGGTGCACGATCGACGATGTAACGCGGATGGCGGTATCCCGGAGAGCGCGCAAGGGGTTGAAGGAAGACTGTCTCGTCAGCTTATGTACATCTAGCACGACGAAGGATAAGAGGCTCACCACAACTTTGACTTTCTGACCGGGCGTCGGGATGACGTAATAAGTACTACCGCTCGCTGCGCTGTGCCCGCCCTCACTCGGAGCGGGGGTGCGCGACCTTGGCCCGTGTGGCGAGCGTGTCCTGTGCCTTCTCGAACGCTGCTCGTGCTCGTGCTCATGCACAGAGCCAAGGCCACGCGAGCCTGTGCCTGTCTTCACGCGAGGATACCCTGGCACCTGGGGGCCCGTGGGGTCGCTGACAGTATATGTCATCCCTGGGGCTCCGTGGGGCGCGTACACCATCGTGGGGGCCTTGTGGTGGTCTCCGTGGCGGCGTGTGGAGTACATGGCCGGTGGCTGTCCACGTGTGATCGGACGGCCATGGTGGTGGGGCGGGTGGTGCGCGTACTGCGCAGGAAGGGGGGCAGACTGAGAGTACGCGACGGACTGTGCGTGTCCGTGATGAGAGTGAGGTGGTGGCTCGCGAGCGGCAGGGGGCTCGGAGACGCGTCGCCGACGGTCTGAGAAGGGTAAGACGTTTGGGTCTGAAGGAAATATCTGGATGTCTTCTGGGCCTTCGAGAGGAGAGGGGTTTACGCTGCGCGTGCCATGACTTGAGGTATGCCTGTGCGACGTGCCCCCAATAGAGCGCGTCCGATCTCGGCTAGCTTGTTCATCGCGGTGGTGGCCGGGGTCATAATGCCAATGAGATATGGGAATATCTGGTCGGCCATGACCATACTTGAGCACCATCTTGGGAGGAAGTGAGTGGGTTGAATCGCCGTCAGAGTCGTCGTGTTCGCCGTAGTCCTCATAAGGGGTAGCGGATGGTGGAATGGAGGGAGAGATGAACTGATTGTTATAGGGGTCATGCGAGTGGACCCAGTGCTGCGTGCGGTCTTGTGAGTGCGTGAAAAGACGAATGGCCCCTGGCGAGGTTGTGTATTCGGACATGTTGAGCGAAATTTTTCGGTGGGTGACTATGGGAGTATATGAGTAGCGTCTACAGCAGAACGCAATGAGTCGTTGGGGATAAGCGCTAGAAGGCACGTCAAAGGGAAGCTTCGATGAACGTCAAATATGAGACGTCGTAAACGTATGCTGAGAGATATGAAGGAAGCCAGGGAAAGAGGGAGAGAACTTAGCGGAGAGGAGAGCGGGCTTTATAGAACCGGTCTCATAAGGAGTCATCAGGGCGGTCAAGGTTTATGAAACCAAAATACGCTAGGAACCATGGCGGGTATGGCAATTAAACGTAGCGGGTGGAACTCTCCCAAGAGCGTATACTATTCGGGCTCATCGCCTTTTTCGCGGCCGAATAGTCCAGGAGCGATGATGAACCATGTCAGCCAGCGAGCCAGATATGCAACACCTGCCTAATCAGCATCGTCTATTTCCGATGGCCCACTCACGAAAGTCAAACTTATCCCGGAACTGCCACTTCAAATCGGGACAGCATGAACGTGGGTGTAACGTAACCAGTCTAGGTGCGACAGGGCTCAACGAGGCAGCGGGAGAGAGACAACAGCGCCCCGACCTGGTCCCGCAAGGTCCTCTCCGGGAAACTCCGAGCAGCAAGAACACGGGCCATGGACCTCCTGGACCCCCACTTTCTCTCAGGCGTGCATCCACCGCCGGGAAGACGGCCGCACTGGTTCGCCCTCTGGAACAAATCTTATTCTCCACCACTCTCCCGGCCTCCTCTCGCCATTTCCATCCAGTGGAGTCGCCATCGTCGCCATCGCCCGTGGCCGCATCATCCGGGTAAGCATGGCACCTTCATCTTTGATCTTTTCATTTGCGACGCTCAATGACACCTCGCCCTGTGCGTGTAGCCCTCGAAATCGATCTCGGAATGTTCGACCTCGAACATGAAGCTTATCTATCGTGCGATGCTGTGCGTCATAACAGCCCATTTCCGCCAACAATGTTTCACAGCTACAGTGCAGTCCCGGCTCGTAATCTCCACCATAGAGATTGAGGCCGTTTATCTGCAGCCTGGAACTGCGCGATTTCCAAGGATATCCACGCTTCTCTCCTCTCCTGTGCTCTATCTGAACACGACCACGGTTCTCGCCCGTGAATACCGGTTGAACTCATCTACACTGCCTGGTTGGCGACCGCGGCATGTCGGCGATGCAACAACGCGCAATGCCTACGGCATCGCATGTGAGTAAAGATCAGATAAACGAGGATCCACTCAAGAAGACTCGCGCGAGAACATGCTTCTAATTGTGCCTTCGAGAGCGCCAACTTGCATATGTCCACTCGACTGCGCTAAAGAAAGGCGCGCATATACCCAGGACCGTCTACCTGGTCCTTCGCAAACCATTGAACCGCCCACTTACTCCTAGGGGGAACGATAAAAAAAAAGAACCACCTGATATGCATATCTATATCCCTTGCTTCTCAGTCCAAGGAAAGCCTGGGGTAAGTTTACCGGAGGCCGACTTACTCATGCTACGTGGCGCGTTGCTTCGCAGGACCAGGTCAAGTTCGCCTATCTTCAATGCCAGAGCAAGGGTCAGGAACTTGCCACATGTCGGAATACATACGCTTGATCTCAAAGTGCGTCATTCAGACGCTTACTTCTTTGCTCACCACAACAGCGCTCCCACACTAGAGCCTGGAACGACAACATAGAAGAAACCCATAGCTGAACTTCTTATACACCCCGAAGATAAACAAAGACCCAATGAAACAGAGTGGACACACGCAACGCCCAATCTAACCCATCTTGATTGGCGCGATCACCCGATCACCGAGGGACGCGCGACCCCGGTTTAGCACTCGTGGGTCGCCGCCGTGGCTGCCAAGGCTAATAAACTTAGTAACTTCATAGCATGGCCATAGCGAAAAGTCCGGCCGCGGCACCGATCAAGACGCTCGAAGCGCCGACGACGGCGCTCCCGACGGCCGCGTTCGCCGTGCTCGTGGGCTTCGCGCCAGACGCAGTGCCCGAGCCCGGTGTCGCGCCGTTGCTCCCGTTGCTGTCCGAAGACCCAGACCCAGAACCGGACCCCGAGGAGCCTGTGGGCGTCGCCACGGCGGCGTTGCCCTGGACGAGAAACGGCGACGCGGCCTCGACCTCGACGATGGTGGTCTGCCCGGGGATGGCGGCGGTGCACGTCGCGGAGCCGCCGGCGAAGTGGCACGCCTCGACGAGGGTGAGGCTGAGCTCGGGCTCGTCGGCGCGGAACGAGGCGTAGTCGGAGCCTTCGACGAGCGTGCCTGTGCGAGGAGATTCGAACGAGATCAGGACGAGATTTGATCTATGTGGTGGGTGTAGAGTTTGGTGAGGGGCGATTGGCTTACCGGTCCCGACAAATCCGATGTCTTCGCTCGCCCAGGCGCCGGTCTGTGCACCGGGGACTACTTGGTATGTCGTACGGCCATCTGAGCCGGCGCCAATGATGGACACGCTCAGGGGCTGCGGGTCAAAGCCCGGGATGTAGAGGGACATGTCGGCGGCGACGACTGTCAACATGCGTCAGAAAATGATCAACATAATCGTAGAGCTGATCAAGTACGCACGCTGAGCGCCAGCAACGATCATGAGTGTTGCAATTCTTGTTGAGGTGAACATTTTGTGTTGAATAGAGCCCAAGAAAGTTATTATTTTGAAAAGAAGATGAAAAATGATTGATGGATTAAAAGATGGTCTGTGACAAGGAATGGAAGCTTCTCGAGCGAGGACGAAGTGCAGACGCAGGGCACGGAGGGCAGGAGAGGGAGTTAGCGAAGCACCCGGTTTTTTGCAGCGCTCTTTCTTATAGTGCATGCTTGTCCTCTACGACTCGGGCCTGGTACCTAAGACGATCAGGTACGCGCATTCGTCCCGACTCACCTCGCGCCCATGTGGGTCGCCGAGAGATCCGGCCTTTAGTGAAAGCGAGCACATGAAAATGGCGGCGAAGACACAGGAGAAGACACGGGCCACCATTTCACGACAAGGCTCATCACCAAGCCGGCACCACGGATGCAACTCCCAAGCAAGTACTATGGAGAGTTGCGGAAGAGTGAGGTCCGAGTACTCTGCAGCACTGACGGTTAGCCCTGTCCATGACGAAGTTGACACTCCGACCGGTGTCGCATGTTCCGGACGGTTCACCTCGTGAGTGGAAGCAGCCATAACAAGCGGAAGAATCACTTCCAGGCAACACATTTCTCACCTCAATTGACGCCAGTCATGACTCGGCGTGAGGCATATTGCACAAGCGCCAATTCAACTAAGCGAAATGCTGGGAAATAACGCACTCATGCAACTCACGCATACATTGGGAGTCGCTGGAGATGAGTCATTCTCGAGGGTTGACGCAATTTTATCAACCACATGATAGGCTACTATCAACGAGAGCTTTAATTTGATGATGCCAGAGAGAATACGAGCGCCAGCTTGTGGATACAAACATATCACGCTGGGTTTAGTCCGATGGCATGGCAAGACGGCGCCCGGAGTACACGTAGATGTTTATATTACCCGCGCCTTATGGATCTTGACATCCTCTCGTGGTCTGTATTGTTTCAGTAAGCCTTGTATCTCAAGAGCATAGGAGTATTCAACATACTTGTCTTGCGGGTCAACAGCGACCGCGCCCAAACGCTGCAGCACGCGCATGCCTGAGCTAACGCGCCCGAAGATCGTGTGCTTGCCATCAAGGTAAGGCGTGGGTGCGAGCGTCATGAAGAATTGGGAGCCTGGTTCAAGACTTCTGAGAGGACGCGTGAGAGGGGAGCGCTCGGACGTACCATTGGTGTTAGGTCCGGAGTTGGCCATGGCCAGGATGCCGGCACCCGTGAAGCGTAGCTCGGGGTGGATCTCGTCCTCACTAGGTAGGGGTCAGCGGTGGGGTAATATAGACACGGCCCGCTTGGAGAAACACTCACAACTTCGGCCCGTAAATGCTCGTCCCACCTCGTCCTGTGCCCGTTGGGTCTCCACCTTGCACCATGAAGTCCTTTCCAACGCATCCACGAGTCAGAAATCTGCGAGCCTGCGCCGAGCCGGTGGGACAAGAGGAAACAACCCACGGCGATGATGCGATGAAACACAACCCCATTGTAGTATCCTCGTTTCGCTAACTCTGCAAAGTTCTTGCACGTCTGTTCATCTGTTATTGTTTGTAACCAGGCGCCATAGACGACAACAGGCGCTTACCCGTGGAGCATGGTCCCAGTAGAGCTCAAGCTGGACATCGCCGAGACTTGTCTCAAGCACAACAGATTCACTTTGAGACATGATAAATGCAGATCAAGTTCAGTGGAAGGAGACAGGCGGGGATCCAGATGGAGGTCGGTCGTTTGCGAGGAGGAAGCGAGCTAGGGGGTACGGCGTCGGATTCCGGATCCTCGGGGGTGACCACGTGGCGATGGCTGCTCCCTCTCCTCGGACTTCGACCACAACTTGCTTCCTGGTCGCCATACGCTGCATGTTGGAGTGGGTACTCCTGGAGAAGACGACGACGAGTGACCTCGTATAGCAGGGATGAGTGACTACTGACACGCGCGAACACGCTATGTACCGACTACGCTGGCCATGCCGGCCCTAAACTACGCATCGTGCCTTCCTCAAGGCTTTCTCACATCTCAGAAAGTCTCCTTACTTGTGAGATGAGTACGTGCGGCACACTTCTTCTAGGCTTGTTTCGAAAGATGGGTCGGTCATGCTTATTGTGCAGAACTGTCCTAAACCTTGATCCAAACCTTATCTTTGTCCGTCTGAAACACGTCGAACCGTTCTTAACGATTGTTATGTTCAGCTGTCTAGTTTCCAATGGCCGCTTTATACTATGACTATTCCCTGGAGGCGTGGACTCCGGGCGACATAACCCTGCGCCCATAGCATGCGAGACCTACAGCAATCGGCCACCTGCTCATAATCTACTCATCTCCGCGAGTGTGGCTCTGCCGCTGCCGTCATATTGCCATCCTCGTGAATTTGGGCGTCTCTATGTGGGCTTCTCTAGAAATTCGCGGAGTTGCCTGCAATCTCCGGGATTTGGTCCCTTAGGGAACTAACTATGCGACTTCGTGACCATGGGCGAGTCCCCCGGTCTTTCCAGCCATCGCCCTTTCTGTTTCGCTGAGGATTGCCTCTGGTTCACGTCTAAACAAGCGCGTCGATGGGCAAAATCCCGTGTTGGTTAATGATTGTAGAAAAAATGGCCATCAGATTATCTTCGGAGGGGCGGAGCGCAGAATGGTATATTGTACGTAAACCACAGCCATCGCGCCGCCCCAGGTTGAAATGGTGAGCGAGGACAATTCAATCCATAAGTGTACAAATATACTCATTAGCGCCCACCAGTGTTTCGCGCCCGACAATGCTTCTTCTCATGCCTCTTCTCTTGATTCCCCACGGCAACCTCCCTCAACGCTGTGGTTATCAATCCTTGGGGCATGGACCCCACCTCGAGCGCCCCGGAAAGTTCGAGTTCGAGCCTAGCCAAGGCGAAACTCGGGGCTAGCCTCCAAATCGTCGGCTCAATGACTGTTGGCGGGACCTTCTACGGCTTCATGACGGTAACCGCTGGGCTGTGCGCTCATTCTCTCATCCAGACGCGTCAAACGCGGTCGGGGAAGCACCTCGTGTTTCTTTTGGTGTACATCGGCGTACTCTGGACTACGGGAACCGTGATGATTGGCGGAGTATCAGGAGTTGCAGTCGAGACGTACGTTATCCATGCGTCAAGCTCCCTCGAAAGCCCATACGCGCAAGAACCAATCCCAGGAGGGTCTACATTAGTGGCGACTGCTGCCTACTGGATGGTTCTTATACTTTCGGATGGGATGATGGTGCGTGTTCAAATCTGATAAACCGCCTCGGTAGGATATTGATGTTCCATGCTTCTTATTAGATTTGGCGGTTCAAAGTGGTCTGGTCAACATCACGTTTTTATCGCTACCTTATAACCGTCCCTGTTGTCCTCTACGCGGTAATATCAGGTGTGTGCCAAGATATAGCCCAGGGCTCGTATAACCAATGATAGTCTAGTTTTCGGCTTCCTCTCTTTCATCATCTTTTGCAACCGCCCGTTATGGGGCAGCGCCAGCGTTAAACAAGACCTCATCACCGCAATGATATGCTCCTCGTTTTGCCTTAACGTACACGTCACTGCCACCATAGCAGGACGCCTGTTCCATTACAGGCGCCGATTTAAGGCCAATTGGGGTGCGGATTTCCTTAGCTCGGCTCCTCCCGTTACTCATCCCTACGCTGATCTTTCCAGGTTCACCAGATACGGGGCACTACACTTCTATGGGCTCTATACTCATCGAGTCTTACCTCCCACTGACATTTTCCACCATCCCGCTTTTGGTCACGTACACCATTGATAATCCGGCTGTGTACATGTTGGTTTCGATCCTCGGTCAGATGCAGATTATTGCATTGCTCATGGTGATGCTCCGCGTCTCGCGCGGAGTCGCATGGAATTCGTCGACGGCTCCGCATTCGGTCGAGAGTGCGATAGACAGGGCACTCGCAGCCCACGATGAACAATTTGTGCAGAGTGCGGTTTGACGATGCATGTCGACAAAATGAATGTGGCAGAGGCGAACCGCCTACCAAATGTACAATGACATGCATATTACCCATTTAATCCCAATATCGTACTCGCATGAACATACACAAAGGCTAAGATCAATACAAAGCTACCTCCCCTACAGCTTTGCGTAACTCATCAACATATGCATTGGATGTGTCGGTATCAGCGCCCAACACGATTCGCTTGAGGTAGAGTCCATTCTGTGCACGTTCTCGGAGCGTATCAAGGAAACCGGTAACCTCTAGGCGGGGAGTGAAACCACCAAAACGCGAACGTCCCCGGTAGCCCAATATGTGAAGCTCATCGAGGTGTTGTACAGCCGCCGGCGTCGAGGATGACTTCGACGCCAATGCGCCAAACAGGTGGTGGAGGTGAGTGTCAGGAAGTTGAGTCGCGAGGACACGTAGCTGTGTGGTATGAGCGAACAGATCGCGCCACGGGATTTTGCCTAATGGGAACACCGCCTTGACATCGAGACGGAGGGTTCGAATGTGGTGGAGAGGTAAGGCGATGCAGAGTGGGATGATGAATTTGCGCAAATCGTCCTCGCCGTCATCGCTAAAATATCCGAAGTTACCGTCGAATCGACATGGCCATGGACGGCTCCCCTGGTGCGACACATCATCATACGCTGCTTCCCCTTGGTGCTCGAGCGTTAGTCCGAGTGTGAGTGGATGAATGGAGATTGTTAGGCTGTATGTGGAGGACTGAACAGGACAGAAGATATGAGGTGGTACGAGAGGAAATGTGTCTGATAGACCCGCGGAAAAGGTACTGTCGAGGAAGGCCGTGATGCCTGTTCGAGTCATCACGTATGTGTCTGTAGGGAAGTCTAACTGAGACACAAGATCTGCGAAGAGATCAAATCCGTCGTATATATAGAGCTTTCGGAGAGCTGGAAGGGATACGAGAGGTGCCTGGTCCCACGAGGAAGGCAGTACTCCTGAGCTAGATAGAGCATTGTAGAGCTCGAGCACTTGGAGCTCCGGGGTGTTCCTCAAGACGCCGATGAACTCGGGAACCGTGGGGGCGTTGGCGCAGTGTGAATCGTCAAGCTTAAGATGAGTGAGACAAGATAAGAGACCCGGGTCGGAGGAGATTCTACACCCGCGAAGCGATAGCTTTCTCAATGCAGGAGAACCTTCAAAGAAAGAGCGAGCAAGGCGGAAGTGGGAAATGTTCGTGTCTCTCGATATGATGCGCAAAGATAGAGACTGAAGAAAGGGCGATGGCGAGAGTGAAACATAATTTTGCAACTCGATCTCCCGTAATAATCCGGTCCGGAGCGTCAAGTGTAAATCTTGAAGACGAGGATGCTCGCGAGATATTCGCGAACAGACAGCTGTGAAGTTTCTCACGAGTTCAGTGTCATAGACGACTGTGAGCGGCAGAGTGCCCGATCTACCGAGCATCAGATCTACTGCGTGAATTAACGTGCTTTGGCTGATATTGATATTCGCCCAAAGGCGAGGGAACGAGAGGAATACGTCCCGCCACCAAGTGCAGACGAGCATGAGATGAAAACATTCTTTGATGGATTTCACGTCGCTGTTCGCCCGGTAGTGCGAGAAGATACTAGCCAGAAGTTCATGAGGGATTCTGTAGATACCAGAAGGATTTGGTAGCATGGATAGCGACGAGACGGCTTTCTGTTCCCGGATAGCTGATATGGTGGCCCTTAAGGCGTGACTGTGGCTATTAAATAATTATCCGTGAAGCCCGTGATGAATACTCACGTTGTCCTCATGGTCCACAAACTAAGGCCAAGGAAGTCATCCGATACCTTCGGGAGCGAGATGGAAGGCATTTTCAACATCAAAGCGTGCATGCCCTATTGAAACCATCGCGTTCGTGTAAGCAGCCACGTATAAAAGGTTAAATTATCAATCCAGATTCTATTTGTATATGTTAAACGTACCTGATCAAGCACGCAATGTACCGAGTTCATCGGCGAAGGAGGAAAGGCAAGGGGTTTGAGCGTATAACCTGATCCTTTAAATACGCTGTGGCTAAAATTGACTACGCCATATAAGGCTGATAAGCTTGGCAGGTGAAGCGGAGTGCCTCCTCGACGTCACCATCATCAAGTATATTCTTGCCAAGTGCATCTTACACATAACGCGCTGATTGCCGTTGACAACGTTCTCGGTCCACGCTTCCGGAGCTTGACTTAAGCTACGTAATGACCTGGAGCATCGAAGTGGGAACCTGAGCAATTATCGCAATGAGAAGGCACGGAAGGCGGCGATCAATAGAGGCACTGCGATTGGCGTCGCCGCTCATTAGACGCTGCCTACTCACTCAGAAACAAGATCCTGGAAGCTCGCGCTCGAGCCTGATGCAACCCTGATATGTCGCCAAAGTATGTATTTTTGATCCGTCCTTGAGGTTGATGAGGCTACCATGATATTTTGTGGTAAAGGTATGATAAGTATGGTATACTTCCATCATTATGACCACCTTGTAAAAGGTCCCATGTTGAAAGCTGTAAACTTACCTGGCTGTTTTACGTTGCAAGCTTCTAAAAACATGTTTTGATTTCGTGGCGGAGCGACACCGTGACATCAATGAATGACAGGCACCGCTTCTAGTCGGAAACGTGAACGCCTAGAAAGCCTCATGTTAGACATCACAAATCTAAACCTTACCGCCCATTCCAGTCGTACCTGCCTACCTCAGGCTGTCTTTCGAACGTGTAGGTTGTTCGCATGTTATGGACGAGGCGAACACTCATGTAGCTCAAAGCCCTACAGCTGAACTTTTCCAAGTCAGCCTGGCGGAGTTTAAAAATGTGGTCCTAGGTTCCAACCACACATCGCCAAGGCCAGGAGCTGGGTTCAGGCAACCTCCTCTAGTGTAGTCCATACTTGTCAAAGCTCTTCGATGACTCTTACGATCTCTGATTGAGGGAACATAGTGACGACGCACCATAGCTGGGTACCTTCGTCGTAGCTTGCGTCATCTGCAACCTCGTCGTTACTCACGCGCATAGTGACATCCAGTCGATCGTCATGGTTGTCAATTGGTTGAATGCTGGTCAACGCCAACTTCAATACTCCCAGATCGACGATAAAATCCGTGAGCATTGCAACGCCATACAGAAACTCCGCACCCGCCGCAATAACCTTGCCCCGATCTGCTGTCTCCCTCCCGAGGTGCTCGGCAAGATCTTTGTCTACGTCTCTCCAAGTGTCCAGAAGGCCAGAAAAGACATATGTCACCTCAACATCGTCTGCCGTCACTGGAGAGATGTAGCTCTTGGAACCGCACAGATCTGGTCGACAATTGGCATCAACCTGCCCCAGCAGTAGCCTCGGATGGACTTCATCCGGTTAATGTTCCAGCGATCTAAGCAAGTGCCACTCACAGTCACGGTGACAGAGAGCCCGTATAACGGAGACATCATGAAGGCAGGGTATTACCAGATGTTTCTCAAAGAATTCTCTCAGCATGTCCATCACACGTACGAGCTCACTCTGTCCTTCCCCATCATCGACTCTCTCTCGGTTTCCGACCATCTCCTCTGTGACGCCCCTATGCTTAAACAGCTTCATCTCTTCCCCATATACCATCCCACGAACCATGGGGACCAGGTTGGATTGATCGCTTTCCAGAGGAAATGCTAGGCGGGGCTATCAATCTGAGCAGTCTCAAGATCAGCGGCATCGTACCACCCTGGCATTCGTCAATGTTCAGAGGGCTAACGCGTCTTCACCTTGGAAAAATGTTCAACTTATCACCAACTTCCGAAGAGATGTGGAATATATTGAAAGAATCGCCCGGACTTGAACATATCTCCTTGCGTGGTACTCTATCACGTCTCCCGACGTCACCTCCATCTTCCTGGAACGTCGGTACAGATATCAACCTCCTCAGTGTACGTCACATTGAGCTACCAAATGTCACATTTGTGCAGTACGCGCACTTTTTCGCACACGTGCGTGTTCCTTCGCATGCCTTTCTTTTTCTCGACATGCATGGTCCATACCCTCAAGAAGACGCTCTGCCCCTGCTCTCCCCAGAAATTCTCGCTGCTTATTGCGCAGAGCGGCACTCCGGAGATCTCGTCCTTGAAATTAGCTTCCGTCATGACTTTTTTTGCAAGGTGTTTGAGTATTCCTATTCACGGGGTCATCCTGAACGTTGCAGACTCGGGAATAGCTTTCATTGCGGAGGGTGCCTTACCGCCCGCTTTGACGGCCTCATCCATATTGGGGGAGCACTCTTCCCTGCCAGCTTCCTCTGTTTCGGGACACCTCTCACATCTATTCGCCATCTTTGGATTACCCTGGATGACCGCTGGTACGAACAAGAAGCTCCCTGGCATGATATCCTCTCAGCTCTTCCAAACCTTCGCAAAATCTTGTATATTGTCGTTGGGGCTCCGCCTCTCGCCGCATTTATACATGCTCTCATCCCGACCAATGGGCATACTTCCGTGCCCCACCTCAAGTCAATTGAGATAGGTCATAAAAGCGAGTGCCACGGAGACGAGCGTGATGACATAGAGATATCGGACATGGTCGATGTCTTTGAAAGACGCGCGGAGGTGGGTCCAAGACTTGTTGACTCAACTTGAGATATGTTTCTGCCAACGAGTCTACTGTAGAAAGGTTGAAGCGTGTTGTTAAGAGGGTCTGTCAAATATGATTTAGTAACTATTTGTACAACGAACAAATGCATTACACTCCAACTAGTTAGTATGTAGTAGCACACATCAAAACAGAAAACGCCGCGCTTTTATTATCCCCTCATCATGCGATGCCAAGCATCCGCCCATGTTCGACCGGTCGATAGCTTCTTGGCACTCAGGACAGCGACCCACTTGACTAACCCATCCACTGTTCCCTTTATTCCTCGTCCGATTTGCGCACGAGTCACACATCTTCACGTTGCAGCCTTCGCACACACCCGTCATCCGCGCTGGAGCTTCATCACTGCTTCCCCTCACCTCGCTTTCATCGTCCGCCTCAACCTCGATACAATCGTCGCACAGCCTTGGTCTCCGACAGCCCTCGCAGGGGACCGCGCCTCCACACGCCTTGTGAACTAGACACGTCAGCTGCTTGCACCTCGGACACGTCGAGAAGTGCCCCGCCCAGACATCGGGATCGTCCGAACACGTCCCGCAGAGCCACGTCCGCCCACACACGCACTCGCATGGGCCGACATTCGACGTTGACTCCGCCGAGCCTGGGCCTGCGTGCGCGCAGTCCGCGCAGACGCACAGCGCCGCGACCGCCTTGCGGTACCTGTCCTCGTTCGACCAGCACCCGTCGTTCACGCAGAGCCTGACGCGCTCCCGCACGTCCGGCTTCCTCGCATAGCACATCCCGCACGCTGCCGGTCTCGGGTTCGCGTGACCGGCCGCGCCTGGATGGCCGATGCACCACATCATGTCTGTCGCACAGCAGACACTGTGGCATTCTGGGCACGTCGACAGAGATTGGCGTGACGGCGGTCCGCCTGCGACCGTGCCACGAACCGGGGAAGAAGAAGGGGATGTAACGGTGGGGGAAGATGAAGGCCAAGATGACGGTCCCGCAGAAGTAGAACTTCCAGAGTCACGACGGTGCAGACACGAGCTGCAGCACCGTGTCGTAGGGTGATACACGCATCGCACCATCGGTCCCGGCGCGACCTGCGAGACAGGGCAGCTCGAGCTGGAGCTCGGGCATGTCACGGCACGGCATAACGGGCATTGGGTGAGATTGGCATCACAAAAGTGGCACGTTCCCGTTTCTTGGTCTACCAGCTCGGATCGTGTGTCCTCGTCCAGGAGACCTAGGGTGACGAGGTGATCACGGAATACCTGGGGGTAGAGTCGTTAATTGCTGCAAAAATGGGCTCCGCTAGGGCGCTTACCTGAATCCTCTCCTTGAAATCATGTAGCTTTGAAAGCCTCCCGAGACCGCTTTCCAACATGTTGGTAGTTAGGGACAAACCTCATACTACGGCGCTACACATGACAGCACATGACAAACGTCATGGACAGCGCCCAATAGGCGCCGGATGGCCGTCGGACCGCCCGGACCCATCTTCCAAGCTGCCAGACCATCGTCTGAACTTGGTCTGAACTACGCCCTTTGAAACTTGCGCCTCCCTTGCACCACTTATCGTATGCAACGAGTGAGAAAAGCAAAAATGAATGCATATATTCCATCCTAAACTTCCATCCTTCCTTCCACGAACACATGCGCCTAATCTAACCTAACCTATTAAGTAGATACCACTAAAACGAAAAATAAGGTTCTGTTGTTATATTCCAGAATGCGGAAGAGATTTATAGCAGAAAGCAAAATCCACGAGTGGATGGATGGTGTATGGTGGGATGATCCCAAACGATTCTCGGGACGAGAACACCGGGGGGTAGCAGTGGGCATAAAATCAAGAAACAGCAGCAGAAAATGGAGAAGGGATAGTAAGGGAAAGGGGCGGGCAGCAAAGCCAAAGCAGAGTAAGCAGGCGGGCGTGTAGGTATGCACATTAACATTTATCGTGAAAAAAAAAGACAAGGGTAGACTGCCAACTAAGAAAAAAACCAATAGATATGCGCGTCGGCTGACGAGCTCACGCGTTCTTGCTCGAACCCGGCACAGATGGGAACGCGTCCAGGTCGAACTTGGAAGAACGAACGGCCTCAGAGTCAGTCGCGGCTTTACCGTGGGCGGACTTGCCCCGAGCGCTCTTGGACGAGAGGCTGGGGGTGAGAGAGGAACCGTACGAGTGCACAGATTGGTTGTCTATCAAGCCCGGTCAAACTCAGAGACGTATGACAGAGGGAAACAGAAAGGAACTCACCCGCGCCCGACTGGTTCGACCGGCCCTTGCTCCTGTTGAACAGCTTATCCGCAAACGACGACGACCGGCCAACACTCCCCTTCCTCGCCGTAGGCCACTGCTGCACCGCGGCGCCGTCCGACGGCGGGGTAACCACGACGCCCGAGTCCTCGGACGAGAACGACATGCTGTCCCGCGCGCCGTTGTACGTCGACGAGCGGCGCGAGCTCCCACTGGCGCCCGACGCGATCCGCCGCAGGCTGCTGAAGTAGTGGCGCGTCGTGGAGCCCTTGGAACGCACGCTCGCGCGCTCGCTCGCGTCTCCGGCCCCATTGCCGCCGCTGACAACGCTGCCGCCGTAGCTGCGGATGCTCTGGGCGCCAAAGTCAGGCTCGCCCTCCTCGGGGATATCCTGGTCGATCGCGGGCTCGCGGATGGACGGGATCGAGCGCTCTGAAAAGCTCCCGATGGACTGCTTGGGCGAGAGCGCTTTCTCTTCTCCTTCGCTCGCACCTGCACCTGCACCTGCACCTACACTTGCACCCGGCGCTTTAGGCGTGGGCGTGGACATGAGATCAGGCTCGGCGATCCTCGGGGGTGGCGGCAGGCCCGCGCCGGCGGGGAACGAGTCCGCCGTGGGAGTCTTGAGCGACTGGCTGTCCGACGAGCTCCCGGGTTCGCCCAGCCTTGCCTCGAGCAGGAACGCGTTCTCAAGCAGCGCTGCGAGCTCAACGGCTGGGCTGGAGGGCGTCTCGACCGTGACGGGGACCCTCGCGCGCTGGGCTTTCGGAGTGACGATCTGGGACTGCAGAGTCGAGGTAGTCGTGGAACTGGGGGGAGGAGTAGGCTCGGCAACCTTTCTGTGTACGACGGCGGAGAACTGGGCAGGCGGAGAGGTGGTGCGAGTCACATTCCTGACTACTGTCTGCGAAGGGCCTGAAGGCGGCTTCACGAGCTCGGGGATGGGGGACGGAGGCGCTGGCGAGACCGAGGTAATGGGCTTAGTGATTGGGGCGAGCGTCGGCGCGACGGGAGCGGCAGCTGGAGCCGGAGTTGGGACCTTGGCTGGCAGAGATGCTGCAGCAGTAGTAGGGGTTGACTCCGATGAAGCCTTGGTGGGCTCAGAGGATGTTTCTTGTGGCTCCTCGGCAAGCACAACTGTGGGCGCATCACCCGATGATGCGCCCACGGGGGTACTGGGCACATCGGCCGCGGCTGGTGAACCGTCAGACTCCGCGGCAGGGGGTGGTGAGGAAACCTTCGCGGCACCAGGGTCAAGGGTTAAATCGCGCGCCTGAGGAATGTCCGGCGAGCTGACCGACCGCATAGTGGCAAGGTCGACTGGGGGGATTAGCGAGTTGCTGCGTGAAGGAGTGGTGGACGCAGCCTTGGGAGGGGGGGAGACCGTGCCATCCCGAGGTTCCTCGCCGACAGCAGCAAAGCTGGACGAGGAGCGCTGTTTAGGCTGACCGTCGAGCAACTCGGGGGACGTCGGCCTGCTCGACGGCTTGCCTAGTCCCTGGATGCGGTTCGCATACAGCTCTCCCGTCTTCTTAGACCCGTTCTCCACCGGCGGTGCGCCCATGGCGAAGCTGCCGCGCGGGACGGGGACGCTCCCCTTCTTCTCGAACCTGGCTATCCTGTCGCGGAGGCTGCCCGCGCCCGGTGGTGCGGCGCCCGCCTTTTCGTTCGGTGGTGAGGACAGGCCTGGAGGAGAGGCATTGCGTTGTTGGAGCTGGGCAATCCGTTCCTTGAGGTTGGTGGGCGGGGTCTGGCCGTCTCGTGAGGAGGAAGCCCTGCGAAATCAAATTTAACGGGTTGAACCGAACAACCCTAGACGCGGGGCGACGGCGGATCGAGTGGCACTCACATTGGGAGCTATCAGAGAGGGAGAATGATATCAAAGGAACGTCGAGCGAGAACCGGGACTGGACGGTAAACGCGGTGGTGAGATGGTGGATGGATGGGCAGACGACAGACGGGAGCGGAGAAATTGGAGATCGGACGGGAGCAGGACGCGTGGTAATAAAGTGCCGACGGCAATTCTGACGCGACGCGCAGTGGTGAACGGAAAGAAAGGAGCGACTATCGAGCTTGTTCGTCCAAGCTGGCAAGGAAAAGATGCCAGTGGTGTCGAGATGGACGACTCGAACAAGGTCCAGTCCAAGGACGAAAACTTTAAAAACAGCGGTGCTCGATGTCCGGGCTCTCGGTTGTCAACTTCAATTGTCATCCCACCTAGCGCCGGGGTAGGCTACACTAGAACCGGGGCGACCTTCAACGTGGACCATCACTCTCCCCAGGGTCGCTTCTCTTGCTTGTCAATGTCATCCACTCATGTGCCTCACCGACTCTTCTCTTCTCTTCTCTTCTGGGGAGCACTCTACTTGGGCTTCTACTTTTGTTGGTTTTGGAGTCACCGACAACGCTCCAAACTGAATGAACGAGGCTCCCGAACAATGAAACGGATGTCTCCAGGGAAACGTTACTGCGCAATTCATTTTACAAGAAGCTCATCGATGCATCAATTGTTCAGAACGTTCATCATCGATCGCCGTCGACGCCGTCGCATGTACCACTAGCGCCCCTTACTGACGAAGGAGTCGAAGGGGAAGTCGAGAATGACAATCGTGAGCGATCATGATCAGTGTTACACTCTTCAGGCTCATCGTTTCCTGTACCTTCCCGGTCGGGATGTTTGAGATCGTCCCAGAAATCGTTTGATGTGAGCTCATGCCTTGATACCGTGCCTATCAAGGTAGCTTTCCTTGTTACGCCACGGCTTGTCTTGATCAAATCATGGATTTCAAAGAAACAGTATCAGAGTGAAATATGCTAGCCCAGGAATCTCAAACGAGGAAGGGCAGCTTGGTTAGTCTGCTATCGTCGTCTTTTTCACTCCTCGCTACTCGTCAAAGCTTCAAGCATACAATCCCCCTTCTCGCCAACCCCTTCCTACTTTCTACCAGATGAACTGACAAATTGGTGCACAGTTCTGGCTGCCAGAAGCCTTTGATGGGTTGCGGTAATGGCCGCTTGCATTACGCGATGATGGATTAGCCAAAGAGAGGCGCATTGTGTTTTGCAGTACATCGCAGTTGCTGCTACAAAGTATTGCTAATATACCTGGTCAATAACCCGCTTCAACCTTCTTAGCATAGACCCGCTGATCGACACGTATCTTAAACTAAACCTGCCAAGCCTTGCGCCAGCCTCTGCGCGTTTCTCAAACACATCCGCAATGTCCGGTACCTCTATGTCCCTGTATTCGTCCTCGTAAAATTCGTCGGTGCGACCCATCTCAATAGACTTGAGGTGGGTCACTGGAATGTACCCGTTGGTGGGCGACAAAGCATGGATAAATGCGGGGTAAGACTTCATCCCAAAGGTGAGGTACGACGTTTGGCGAAGATTCGGAAGGGCAGAGAGAATGTCGCGCCAGGGTACTTCTTGCCTGTACCAGCCATCATCTAGAGTGATCCAAAGGGTGCATATAGATGTAAGAGGCACCCCATGGTTGATGAAGCTGAGTGGGACAATTGTCTCCCCGACATTTGCGAGGCCGCTGAAATGAGCGGTAAGGCAACCTCCGCAATAGCCTCCGACAGTACCATTTCCATGCAAACAGCGTTCAGGGTGACCTAGCAAACGGCGCCCTTCAAACACGTTACAGTACATGTCGTGATGAAGGTCAATCTCAAGGGTGAAATCTTCGCCGTTATCCGCACTACAATCAGTAAAAAATGCCGGAGGAAGCAAAGGCAGGTCGTCGGGAAGACCTTGTCGAGGGTACGGGTCTTGTATGTTGAGGAGAACAAATGCACTCGAGGGAATGCGCACGCGTGCGAAGAAGTGTGCATACTGAGCAAAGGTGACAATCTGCAGGTCAACCTGTTGCGCATTGGGAAGGTCAATAGTCGTACCCGCATCCCAGGAAGAAGGGGGTGCCGTCGGTAGACGTGACAAGACGCCACTCAAGGAGATGTACTCCAGAGTTGGAGATGCTCTCAGGATGCTCCACATCTCATCGGGGGTAGGAGACAGGTTAAGCGTCGGCCCGAGGTCAAGATGCGTTAGCCCTCTGAACATCGGCGAATGCCAACTCGGTACGCCGCCCCAGAGATGGAGACTCTTTAGCTTGGGCGCCGAAATCAGCGTGTCCTCCGGAAACGCTATTAACTTTGTCTGTCTCCTATTATCTGAGTAGAAGTCTTTTGGGGAGAGATGAAGATGTTCCAGGATAGGGGCATCGCCTATGAGGTGTTTGACAACAAAGAGAGGGTCGGCAATGAGGAAGGGCAGGGTGAGCTTGTACATGTGATGGATATGCTGAGAGAGCTCTCCGAGAAATTTTTGGTAGTACTCCACCTCCTTGTCCGCGTTCTCCAAGCCTTCTGACACCGTGACTGTAAGAGGCGTCTGCTTAGATCGCTGGAACATCAGCCGGATGAAGTCCATCCGAGGGTGCTGCTGGCGTAGGTTAATGCTGATGGTCGACCAGAGCTGTGGAGTCTCCAGAGCTACATCTCGCCAATGACTGCAGACAACGTTGATGTTACATACATCCTTTCTCTCCCTCCGGAACATTGGAGAGACATAGACGAAGATCTTGCCGAGCAGCTCGGGAGGGAGACAGCAGATCGGGGCAAGAGCATTACGACGGGTACGAAGTTTCCGGATTGCACTGTAATGCGCGGCGATTTCACCGTCAACTTGGGAGTACTGTGTCCGGCGTTGACGAGCATCTAACCAGTTGACAACCATGATAATCGGCTGCAGTACCTGTGCGTGAGTACCGACGTTTGAGGCGATTCAGACACAAGCACGAACCAAATTACCCAGCCACGATGGTTTGTCACTACTCGCTCAGTTAACGAGAGATATGCGGGGCCTTTTTCAACTATGGGTTGCGCTAGGGGAAGGTTGCCTGAATCCAGCCCGACGTCTTATTGTTTGAGCTCAAAGCTCACCAGAAATCGCATTCTCTGTTGACCACGTGTTTGAAGCTCCGCTCGACGGACTTGGAAAAGCTTACTGCCGTGGCCACGACACAAACAATGCCCTGCGACATTTGATGAGAAGAACCAAACGTAGATGTCCACGCATGGGAACCATTGCAAGTTTCGGCGCGCGCGAGGACCAACACCTTCGCCGAGAGACAACTCGAGAGCTCACACACGGTGAGCTCCCTCAAGTGCTTTTTGCAGAAAGCATACCTCTTGACACGGACGTAGAAAGTGGCAGAGTACACTTCAGCAGTTCAAATAGCCCTCTTCCCCTTGAATCCGTGAGCAAAAAACCTCACACTAGGCTTGTCGATGCTAAATGACTAGCCGATCAACGACCATTGCGTTAGTCAGTATCATGTCAACCTCCCATGAAGCTAGTGTCATCAGTACGGGCTCTTCGAGTCCTCCACAGCCTCAGCATGTATCCGTGTGCATTAAAAAGCTTGCCCCCGAGCTTTTACTCGAAATCTTTGCCCATTACACAACCGACAGAGACGTCAAAGCCACGGACTGCGTTCACCTCACGCATGTCTGTTCCATTTGGAGGGTTCTATCTATAGCACATCCCCACCTTTGGGCAACAATCAACGCAGATCATGAAACAACAGCACGGGTCATAGACCTGATGATCAGTAGATCGAGAATTCTGCCGCTTACATTCATCTACGACGACATGTTCACTGACACTTTCGGGCATAAATGGACGACAGTCACCTCAGTTCTTCACCGGGTTCAGGTTCTCTCTCTAGTGATCAACTCGCAAGATTTCCCGTACGTTAGCATTGCCTTTGACTCTGTGGCGGCGCCTGCTCTCCGGTATTTGAGTATTTATCTCCGGTCAATGATCGAGGATGATACTCTCTCTATATCACGCCCTTTTCTTGAGCACATGCCCGTGCTCTGTCAGGCGCATCTGCGATATTGCCAGCTGCCCACTCGTGCATCGTTCCCCCCTATTACCCACCTCACGCTCGATAAAGCGTATCCGTCGGGCTACGCACCTTGGAAACTCTTAGACTCGTTGAAAAGTCTCCCCTTGCTCGAACACCTAGAGCTTATCGACAGCTTGTTGGCGTTTGGGAGGGCCCCTCCATCGTGGGACACCGGCAGGGCTCACGAGGTCACGTTCGCTCGTCTTCAGACGCTCAAAATCTCTCAAGCCCGGTTTGATCAATACGCAGATTTTATATCCCGCGTACATTTCCCTGCAGACGCCTTGGTGGAACTACAGACTAGGTTGACTGGGACCACTCTTCCCATTTTACCGCCTTGCATCTTTGACAGAACCATTGACACATCCTCTACCCACTTTTCTATCGAATGGCTCGATTCTATGTCATTCAGGCTTCTTTTGAATAGGAAAGGGGAGACTGATAGCGAAGACACCACCGCTTTTTGCAGTGTGGCATCGTCGTGGCCGTGCCGCCTGAACGCTACATTCTCCAGCTCCGGTGAACTCAGCCATTTTCGAAAACGCGTTGTTCCACTCTGCGCGCAGCTGCCCCTAGAATGCGTCACGCATCTTTCTCTTATCATGACTGACGCAGCTGTCGAAGATGTAATGATATGGAAGAATCTGCTGGACCACACACCTCAGCTGATCACCATTATGACGCGCCTTTCAACGTACAACCTTCGAAGCCTATTCAGCGCACTGGCTCTCCAATCAAACTCTCTATCCGGTGCCCATCCGTTCCTCTCCAAACTCCGCACGGTAGTGATTGGTATCGACCGTCGACGGGGGCCTGCACCGCATCTGCCTTCCTCAAGGCTTATAGAACTGGCCAAATCGCGTGCACAAAGTGGTATCAATCCCCTCACTGTTCTGATAGAGAAGGGCTGCATCGCGCCTGAGCCGTATGTGGCACAGCTGCGTGACTTTTTGAGTGTAGTGCGGTGGGCTCCGACACCGCGTGCATAGAACACAAGTGCTGAGAATAAGTAATAGAACTTGCGTTGTACTGTTGATGATACGTGCGTATCTATTTACAACCAAGCGTTTTCAGACTGTAATGTGGCAGTGAATATCCCCACTTAAGTATCGAAAGTCAAGGACTTTGTAACAGTGAAAAGAGAAATGGACGAACCTACTTTCGCTGCTGCTCCAGAAGAAACAATATCTACTATCGAACATATGCGTGCACGATACATATGTAGACGTGGCTTGAGATTATCTGGACAACTAAGGAGGCAGACCTTAACTTGACGTATTATAATACTATGGTAGTTTCAGTTAGAAGTCAAGTAGTGTTTTGTGGCGCTGTTGTATGTACCATAGGCTGTCTTTCTGTTTACAGCGAAATAAGATGACTTGAGCTTAAAGGGGCCTGATAGAAAACTCACACTCATCTTCTCAACTCCTTATCGATAATGATGATTCATGGACCGTACCCCGTGAGACAACCTCCCTTTGGTGGATTGGGTAGTTTAGAGCAAGCTTTGGAGCTCACCACACCGATGCAAGGGACCGTGAGAATGTTATAACAGTGCCAGCCCTGTCCCGTGGCAGAGACAATCGACTCCCACAACCAGCAGCTGCTCAAGATAATCTGATACTCTCACTGGCACTCTTCTCTCCAATGACCACGAAGAAAGAAATCAACGTATGCATTTCGTGCGCGACGACTATGATCCGATGCCCAATCTGCGAGGTACCAAGCTGCAACGCTGACGAATGCCCCACCGCCGGCTCTCGGGACAAAGGGCATACAATAGTGCACTGCACCTTCCATCCAGAGTCCATGTGCTGTCAATCGTGTCTGGACGACTCGCGCTACTCACCCTCACCCCAATCTCTCTCCATCTGTCCCGAATGCGAGCTCATATGCTGCTCTCGTGATCTCCTCTGGTGCTCTGGACGTCCGGAGGGCGACGGGTGCAGGGTACACATGCCGAAGCCGCTCGCGTGTAACAACTGCTTTCTCAACACGCCTCAACTTCAGGAGAAGAGCATGAAACTATGCCACGAGGAGGGGTGCTGGTCCAGGGCGCATGGGTCAGGGTACAAGCGCTCTGTCTCAGCGTCACTGGTTTGCCGAGACTGCGCGCAAGATTCGCTGGGGCATGTGCGCGAATCGGATTGCGAATGCGAGCAGAAGTGGCTTTGTGGGATCTGCGCAGATGATCCGGATATTTGGGAATCACACTTTTCGAGCTGCCCGAGGTGTGCGAAAACGTCGTGTGGGAGCTCTTGGTGCGGAGGTGCAATGCGATGCACGAGGTGCGCAGGGACACGTCTCTGCAATGATTGCATCGAAGTTGAGCCTGGAAAATATGGGGCCGATGGCGACGAATTTGGAGAGGGCTGGGAGGATACGCATCAAGGGGCGAGCGAGAATGACGATGGCGTGGATGAAAAGGTTGGGAGCGGCAGCAATGTGAGCGAGGATGGACTTGGCACCATGGTCAAAACCAAGGAAGAGATCTCAATGGGCGGCGAACAAGAGGTATATGAAGGAGAGGTAGGCGATGAAGCTGAAGGTAACGATGAAGCTGAAGGTAACGATGAAGGCGAAGGCAACGATGAAGACGATAGCGAGGAGGAAGACATCGATGAAGACGAATTCGAAGAAGTCCCATATGTTGAGGACGAGGTGCGCCTGGTAGGGTCGTGTGACGTATGCGGAAAGAAGTTGTGCGAGTCATGCTGCACTCACACTAGGCATAGTGGCCGAGGCTACCACGGGCTGGTAGGGCGGTGCCCAGGGTGCAAACATGACCTGGAGATATGGAAGAGGGAGATGCCTTCCGGGAGATGGGGTTATGACTCGGAGTCCGATTAGGGTGATGAAGTACGATCTTGGGGAAATAGTAGGACCATCCATACCTCCCTAGTGTATCCTTTGAACTACATTTAGTGGCACTCAAGTCACACTGCCGAAGAGCCATCTGGGCATCGATTTTGTCCCAACAAACCAACAAAAAGAAAACGTCAAGAACTATCCTCATCATAGCCATTCGGCACGCCCTTCGCGAGCCAATACGACCTCCGCGCCGATGCCCTCTCGACCTTCGCGCTTTCCCGCCCCTTCACCGACGACCTACCCCCATCCGAGTCCGAGTCCGAGCCCGAATCTAAATCCGGTGCGCCTCGGGCGTACTCCGCCTCCTCTGCTGAGAGCCCCGAGGTGTGGTCGTCTTCATCGCTGATGAAGACGATATCTGGTTGATGGGGTCTGGACTTGCGCTTCTGGATGCCGTAACGCCCTTCATCGTCGTCGTCGTCGTCGTCATCTTCGCCATCCTCGTCATCTTCGCCAGCGCCGTCCTCAATACCCTCCACCGCATCCTCGCCCACGAAGTCTATTTCAGCCTCTCCCCACGCCTCTTCGACGCTCGCAGCGCCGCGTCGCGAGCTCTCGCCTTGGCGTTTGTTGTTCCGCGAGGCCGTAGTGTCCATAGATACGCTGGGCTTGGGAGAAACACCGAGAAGCTCGTGCAGCGCGCGATCATCGTACACTTCTTGCAAGAGTCTGCGATTGTTGATCGTCTACACCGCCAAATACTGCATGAGTTAGATGCCATTGTATCAAGGGAGGACACGTACCTCCTGCGTGACGCCGAGAATAGTCGAGAGTATGCTCATCTCGGCGGGGTCGCTCTTGTCCTTGCCTTTGCCGTTCCCTCGTAATGAGACGGAGCGACCTTCACGTCGTGCGCTGAGCGAGCCGGCGCGGAGGAAGGCGGTGGTGGTCATGATCTCGTGTGCGCCGGCGAGGGTCTGGCGAACCTTGGCGATAGCGTACGAGCCTCTCGATATGTCGTTTGCTGCATGCATTCCATAGATTAGAGCAATGAATGAATGCAGAGGGCAGCAACGACGCACATGAGTCTGTTGGGTCCTCAATCGAGAGCAGCCCGCGCTTCCCAAAGTCGAGCCACCCACGCTTCAGCTTGCTGAAGTACTTCCCGCCGTTCTTGATAGAGATGCCAACCTGCTCGTAGTTGAAGTAGCGCCCGTAAAGCTCGAAGAACTCCATCACGAGCACACCCAGATTCCGCTCCGCGTCGATCTCGCCCCTCCGTATCTTGGGATGCATCTGCAGAAAGCTAATCGCCATACAGACGATCGAATAGCTGCCCAGTCCGCCCGTGTACACCTCGTTCATCCCCCGCTGGCCGAGAAACGCCTTGGCGACCATGACGAGCGCGCGGAGGGCGCGCCCGCAGCCGCGCATGTCCGCGAGGAAGCCGTTGACGATCTGGCCCGCGACGAGCCCGTTGGACTGGTTGATGCTGATGTCGACGTTGAGCCGGCCGTGGCGCGTGATGAACTTGACGATGGGCACTTTGGCCTTGGCGATGATCGTCACTTTGTCGGCGATCCCGGCGCGCTTGAGGACGTTGGCGAGTGAATGAAGGACGGAGTTTTTGGGGACGTATTGCATGGAGTCGGATTCAATGACAAGATCGATGTCACTGGTAGACCAAGAAGCGAAGACAGAGACAGATATTAAGGGATTGACGGAGGGAAGAGAAGTTAGGTAACGGGCTCACCCGCTCGGGAGGTAGAGTTTTGTGCCATAGCTTCCAAAGGGGAGAACTTTGGCGTCGGGGAACGCACTCGTAACAGCCTTGCCTACGAGCTTGACCACAAGACCACGTATCTCGTCCTCAATACTTGTCGGTGACATGTAGTCGACAAAGGCCTCCACTTCTCGATGGAACCTACAGCACACATAAGGATGTCAAAGAATGGAGAAATGCAAGGACTACGTACATCTCTGCGACGTTGTGGCAACCGTCCCAGTCGACCAAGTGCACCCAAGGCGTCTTCCTTGACGGCGCGCGCCCTCGGTCGTGGCCATATGCGCGGCCGACAAGTTCGTCTTCATCGAACACGAAATCGTAACTGCGCTTCGCGCCACGGTCTCTCTCCCTGTCTCTATCTCTGTCCCTCGTCCTGTCTCTATCCCGATCCCAATCGCGCCTGTTCTTGCCCACATCCCATTCTCGTTCCGGCGCCCTCTCCTTCCTAGTTGACCTGGGTGACTCGTCGTCGGCAAAGAAGGGTATAAAGTCGTCTCCCTGGGCAAAAGATTCACCCTCCCACTCGAGCTCGCCATCCTCGGGTATGGGTTCGTCGTCAGCCTTCGCCTTGCCCTTTCCCTTGACATCGCTGTTCTTGCGCGCACGCTTGGTTGGTGGTTCGGAGGCTTCACCGTGCATGGCGCTTGAGCTGCTGCTCCCCGCCACAGCATTAGCATTCCCGTTCACGGCTCCATCCGCGTTGATGTTGACACCATTGGCGGCAGCAGCGGCTTTGGCTTTCCGTTTGGTTCTCTCCTTCTCCTTCAGGCGCCGTTTGCGTCTATCAGTTGCAGCCTCTTTTTCTGATATTGCTCTTGAGTCAGAAGGCATAGTGCGTGCTCCCGAGGGAGTGTGGAGAGAGAAAGTGACGAGGTAATCAACAGCGGCGAAATTTCTGGCGTGGGTGGTCCGGAGGCTCTTACCGTTTATGATGAAACCCCTGTCGGGTCCGCGCTGCAGCGGGGATGACTTGGCTCGCGTCGTCAACGCGTCAACGCACTTGCAATGAACATTGGACTCGGACCCGTTTCAGCGTCACTCGACGCGAGGTTGAAAGGGTTTTGCGGACTCCTGAAAACTCGAGTATGTGCTTTAATACGGTATTAGCTGGGTATAACATTAGAGAATCCAACTGTCAAAGCCCTAGTCAGAATTGAACCCTGCACAACTCCGTTCGCATTGCCCGTCGGACCCGTCCAACCTGTAAACCGTCTTCGCCTGCATCCATCCCAGAAAAGAGATACAATTCTCTCCTCTTTCCTTCGGCATCCTGACCAGCGACCACCGAGAAGGCCCTCCCCTTCAACCGTGACACCTCCTTCAACGCGTCCTCCTCGCCTCTCCACACCTCCCATAGTAGACTCGAGCGCCCCTCTCCGTTCGGCCTTATAACCCGGCCAAAGACCTCATCAAAGTCCACGTCGAGGTGTAAGAAATCCCTCACTTCCAGCATCTCCTCCGCCATTCGCAACAGCTCCTGATTCCGGTCGCTCGCGATCCACGTGTGATGTGCTGACACGCTTGCCCAGCCCGAGATGAGGTATATTTCCTCGTCGGAAGCGGGCGGAGAGTAGAAGAAGAGAGGGTACCCAGACGCCTCAGATTGCCATTTGGCGAGTTTTTGGAAGAACGACGTTACGCATGGATGCGTCAGGTAGTAGGCAGGACCGAGAGCGAGGGACGCGAATTCCGTGACGGGCATTACGGTATGGGTGAGCTTTTGTTTGCTGGAGCTTGAACCGTTGACGAGTGGTCAGAGATGCGGGGCGCCGGGTGGGACTTGGAAAGCGTCCTGCGCGCGGCGTTTATGTACGCCGCCTGATTGGGTACGCGTCTCACAACTCCTTACGCGTACGCGAGTATATGTGGTGTCACCGCCTTGGCGAGCGCAGCCACTTCGGCTTTCCGGATCGTTGACCGAGCTACTTCCGTGAGATTTATTCATCTGTGGCGGGGGTTTTCATGATGAACTTCATGGAAACACACTCCACCCGGGACGAGGCAGTAATCCACTGACGTTCGAGTCCTCAGGCAGGCTCAGGCCTCACGCTTCAGCCTGATCACCGCGAGGTGAAGAATGCTGCAAATAGGTATGCCAGCTCAGCGATTTACAGGTTCGTACGAGTGCTTATCAGGTGAGCATTGCCATCCCGAAACTGATCCTCTCTGGCCTGTTCATTCGATAACCCTGGTAAGTAGTATGTTTCAACCCAAATCCATTTGTTTTGAATACTATTTATAACTTACCGACATCGACCGATCGGAAGATTTGGACATAGATGGCGACGACAAACACATGTGTTCGATGCTGGTGAGCCTCGGACACACAGCAGTCTTGTTCATCACTTAGAACCCTTGGCGACCTTTGTTGTGATTGGCTAGGGATTCTTTGTGAATGAATAGCTTTGTGATGCCCTCTGCTGTCGCACGAACAGGCTGGTCCAGAATGACCTTCACAGCAGGTACCCGCCACACTTGAATTACCACATAAGATGCCAAGTCCTTACTCGAGGCCGCAGAGACTCAGAATCCTTTTGCTGACTAGTACCAACGTCCATTGACATGCTTCGCCCGGATCTTCTTATAGGCCCTGCATTGGTCGGCGTCATATTCAACGCCTTCCTCACCGGCTGCTTCTCGGTTCAAACATATGTTTACTACACACGGTACTCCAGTGACCGATGGGAATTCAAGTCTATGGTATGTGCTATGTACGCATGATCTCCCCCGTGTTGCACTCACCATCTTTCCGCCAGGCTAGCTTGTTGGCGTACGTTTGGTCCACTACTGCCAGCTATGGTGTTATTAACCATACATCTAGGATCTTCGAGTTTGTCAAGTTCGCTTCCGAGCTATATGGCATCTGGGAGCTAACAGTTGCCGTGGTGGAGACAGGGAATACGCCTCTTGTCACCACGTCTGCAGCAATGAAAATTGTAGCACTGCTGACTCCACTCACGGATGGAACAGTTCAGGTGAGTGACTTCCTACAACGCCGATATAGCAGCGCCCACTGGACACACGAACCACTTTTCCTAATTCTAGTCATTCTTCATCTTTCGCCTCTGGAGGATCTCTCGCTCGCTCGCGCCAGCTCTGGTGGGCATCTTGCTGCTTGTGACAAGCCAGGTCAGCGGGTACATGGCTGTTGCACGTGTGTTCAACGCGACCAGCGAGCTCGTCCTCGCTTCAGAGGTGTCCATGCGTATAATCATGGGGCTTGCGTTTGGCGCTCGCGTCATGTGTGATGGTTGGACTTCGGCGTTCGTCGTGCTTTACCTTCGGTCTATTCGGCAGACGGTCAGGTTTGGGACGTAGGTGACGAATTTGACCATGATATTCTTATAGTGATGATGTTCTATTATTAGGGAACGAAGCGCATTTGGCAAACTCATTCTCTGGACTGTCGGTATGTCATGCTTCTATGTTGCTTGTATCCTTTCAGTGATGAGCCCACTTCAGAAACTGGTGTACGCACTAGGTGAGTGATCTTGGCACACATACATCTTACTCTACCTCTGACGACTATATTCCACCACTCAACTCAAAGCATAGTCACAGCCGTGGTCTTAGTCACCGTACGTTCTCTGACTTATCTTAATCGCTATTCACTTGACTTGATTGAACACAGTACCTGGTTTGCGGTCCCACAAACTGTGCGTAGAGTTGGCTCTATTAAAGCCAATTTTCTTTCTCATTTCCAATATCTGTGGACCATCAGACGTGTGGATGGCGCCTTTCGCAATTATAGGGTCTGGTGAGCCGCTGTGATGTAGGATGCTTAGTGGCTGCTATAACTGACCAATTACCACACTCTCTTCAGTATACGCGAATGTACTCTTAGCGACGTAAGTGCCACCTGCAGTATCTCATATGAATAAGCAAGGACTAACGTACGAAAGCATGAACGGACGCTGGATCCTCCAGGGTCATTGGGCCGGGGATGAGGAATGCAGAAGTAAGGGTGTGAATGCTTTGAGCCCGACATAGAATTTGGCACTTGTCGCCGTGTGTACAGCGTCCTTCTTGATTATGGGAGGTTAGGAGACCATTACTGTTGCCGCGCATGTACCACTCACAGCATCCCTTCCGGTTACAGTTTCTGTTGCCACATAGCTCCTTATACCTACGTAAATGATACATTCCTCACACCGGAAACCATTAGCCAAGCAAGGAATAAACGCACAGCCGAGACGATTTGTGCGTGTTGATCGTGTTCAACAACGACAGATGGCGCTATCCAAATCCATTGCACAGCGGTGGACATGAGAAACAAGCGCCCGAATCGGACATTTGATAGCTCACAGATAGTACTTACTACATGAAGAACGAAGTGGACCACAGTCCAAAGGATAAAGACCCTGAAAGTTCAATAGAACGCAAAGGTCAGCGTGTTAAGTTGTGCTGGCTTTAACTGTGTTCTGCGACTGCATTGAGTTTAGCGCGAGAAAGACGGGTACTCTTTTGGACATCCGCGAAAGAACACCGAAATATTCGGGACCTGTGCCTCTGGCTGATGACTCTGAGTCTGAGAGCAGTTCTGCGACACAGTTCCGAGATGGAGAATCTCACGAGCTCTGCAGAGCCTGTGATACAACATGCTATAGTCATTGTATAATGCCCTCACAGGCGCTCGCTGCCACAGTGTAGCTAAGGCGATCTCACTACCAGCTGTACAAGCGTATAGTACGGGTAAAGAGGCTTTCATCTCACATCTATCTTCGCTACCACATTGCATCCTCAATTATACGCTCTAACCTTTCCCGCTCGGAGTTAGAAAGAAAGACGTTGGTCCCGTAGCTCTCAACGATACGCGATCCTATCTCATATCGCTGCTCTAGGATGTCTACCAAACCCTCGATGCGGACGGGATTATGGATGTTCGCCGTAACTACCGTGACGTTAAGAAGATCGAGTCGATGCATGGGAATGCCATGTTCATTAGGGGTAAGCGTGGCGAACAGCTGTGATAAGGCCGGTCCAGAAAGCGACACGTGGAGTTCTTCAATGTGCGGACACCACAGACATTTTCACATTTATCTCCGGGAAATATTGCTGAAAAAAGGCACGAAGATGGTAAAACTTGTCTATGAATTTTCGCACCGGGGATAGGTGTTTGAAAAGGGTAAAAAGTTCAATAGCAACCCGCGTATTTGAGCACAGAAAAGGCTTTTGAGAATGCGTTTGCCATTTTGGGACGAGAAATTTCACACTCCGACCCCAAATTGGGTATGCCGGTGCCAAAGCAGTTTACCTCTTCAAACACGAAATAGTTGTACAGAAAGTTTACCATCTTCATGCCTCTTTTCAACAATATTGTCTAGAGTTAAATGTGTAATTGTCTGTGGTGGGAAGCGTTGTGACCAAGTCGTGCCACGGAATTTCGTACGTCGGGGGACGATAGAAGTTGATGTGGAGGGCTTTAAAGGATGTGAGAGGCGTGCCGGAGCAGATGGAAGGGAAGAGGTCGACTGCTATGTCGGGGTGACCGGCGCCTTCGAAGGCGGCATGAAGGTGGCTCCCGCAGTATCCTGGCTTTACGCCTGAACCGTGCCTGCAATGGATAGGATGACACCTCGGAAGTCGCGTCTCGTATATATCCACCCGGAGCGTCCCTTCCGGATCCTGCCAGTCTTCTGAGTCTAGTTCTAGCTTGAGAGTCCACGGAAGTGGTGATTTAGAGCAGCAAGAGGCGAAGAATGTAGGGGGAAGCCGTAAACATCAAAGGTCAGCGGCGCGTCCTTTGCTCGCAGAAGCATGCACCGGATGATCTTAATAGAAGGATAACGTGCCTCCAGAACAACTTCGATGGTAGACCAGAGGCGAGGATGCGCCAGTGCCACCTCACGCCAACGCAGACACACATGGGTAAGGCCGAAAATATCTCCGTCATGCTCGTAGGGAGGCTGGAAGGTTACTGGGAAGAAAACAAAGACTTCGGAGAGTACTTCTGGAGGGAGTCGGTGAACAGACCTGAAAGGAGTGAAGACTGCGTCGGAAGTCAGCTATCGAATAAGAATGAACCTGGTAATATGTACGCACATGGTCTTGAGCTGTCGTCGACCGTCCGTCCTGCGCTGCTTCAATGACTGCCCTGGCCCTGAAGTAGGGTCACTTGGCCTTGAATGTTCGATGTATTGGTGTGCCTCTGAAACTTGAGAACGAAAACGATGTGGTTGTTGGGTTAACGCACGCGCGACACTCACCCGAAGCCGCGTGCGCGTTCTGTGAGACACTCCCGAACCCAAACATAGGATCGCCCCTAACGCCGTATAGTCACCATCGAGCAAACTTCCGTTGGCGTTGACACGAACATTCATCCAACTCTCAAGGCCAGATCTCTGAAAATGCGCGAATCCGATTTTTAGTAGGACAGTTTCGGGTCATCGATCATGGTCAGAAGAAAGCATGGTTGTTTTTGTTTATTTGCACTGCACCGCTCTAAATAGGGGCTTCATGCACCGCTTTGCTCTTTCCGCGACCGTTTTGACGCAGGGCGTGCGCTGGACTCCGGACTCTCACTCTCCTTGGAGGCCGCCGAGAGCTCCATCCTCCTGAACAATTCCTGCTTACTATCTACTACCACCGCACATCTCTGCGTACTTCCGGGAAACGCTCGTCCCTCGGTCTCCACGACGCGAATGCAGGGTTATCCGGGTCTTGAAATCCGTGGGAGAGACATGTATGGTTGGGGAAGTCCAGACATCATCGCATGATGGATTACTCTAGCAGTCAATGTCAAGATCCACTTGATGTCAGGACGTCCTGGGATAACGAGGTAAGAAAGGGGAAGGCATAGAAGAAAGGCTGACTACGCTCGACTTGGCCTGAGAGAATGAGGTCGAAAACGAGAAGGTGGGTTGGTGAGCAGGAAGCAAACAGCTGACGAACCAACATACGTGTTTCAAACCTGTAGCCAGACAGCAAGGCCGGCTAAAGTGCTCAGCTCGCCCCTACATTCCCGTCAAGTGGGTGATTAATAGTATTCGCCAGTGTCAGGCAGGCGCAGTATAAAACGCTCTTCAGCAGTTGCTCGGAAGCACTCAACACCCCGCCTCTCAACGTACTCCTCTGCTTTCGCTTACATTTTTCCATCTCCGTAATGGCTGACGCCTCATCGACCGCCAAGTATGAGGCACTTCACAACGGCATCGAGCCACCGTCGTTCAAGCTGCCGCTGATCGACAACCCCGAAATTGTCACTGCCAACACGCTCAAGCTCGTCGAGCAAACTCCCGATGCTCGCAAACGTTTTCTCTTTACAACTCTCACGCGTTACCTTCATGACTTCATCAAGGAGACGAAGTAGGCCCTTCTGTTTTCCAGCATCGAGATGCGTTGTCGGCTAACTTGAGTCCTGATTTTCAGACCTACGACGGAGGAGTGGCATGGTACCCTGAAGTTCCTAAGCCGCGCGGGGCAGTTGAGCACGCCCGACCGCCAGGAGATGGAGCTCATACTTGACATCTTCGGCGCGGAGGCGCTGATAGACACCATCAACAATCCACCCAAGGACAGCGTAACCGAACGTGCTCTGCTTGGCCCCTTCTTCACGGAGCACACCCACGATGGTGCGTCGAGATCAGTTTTCTCGTCAACAGTGGTGCAACGTACTGACAAATCGCGCAGTTTCCAACGGTGATTCTATTGCATCTGAGGGCAAGGGCGAGTACATGTACGTTGACGGCCGTGTCGTGGATACGGAAGGAAAGCCTATTGCCAACGCTGTCGTCGACGCTTGGGAGGCAGACGATACTGGTATGTCTTCTTCGACTATGCTGTTCAGCTACTCAAAAGCCCTCTCGCTGACAATCTCCGTGTAGGGCACTACGACCTTCAATACGACAATGGAGTTCCTGACTGCCGCGGTCGCCTTCGCACAGACGCCGAGGGGAAGTTCAACTTCCGTGCCATCGTTCCCATCGCATACCCTCTCTTATCCGACGTAAGTTCTTGCACCACCTTCGCATAACTCACTCATCTGACTCTTGATTGTTATTAAGGGCCCTCTCGGAGAACTTCTTCTCGCCATGAATAGGCATAACATGCGTCCCTCGCACCTGCACATAATCGTCGATGCACCCGGCTACGAGAAGCTCGTAACGCAATTCTACCCTTCTGAGGACAAGTGGATCGATAGCGACTCAGTATTGGGTGTGAAGAAGAGTCTTGTCGTGGTGCGTATATATTCTTCGTTTTGTCGAGTGAGAGCACAGTATCTGACGAGTGAATGATTTACGCTTCAGGACTTGGAGCAGGTGAATGATGTGGAGAGCGCGAAGGCTCTTGGTTTTCAGCATCCTGAGAGGGGCTTCAAGCTGTTCAAGCGAGACATTGTGATGCGTAGGAAGGTGGACGCATGATAGTATAAATCAGGTCCCGAGTTGTAGTAAAGCGACCTAGCTATCATATCTGATCGGATGAGCGCTAAGTATTCTATGACAACATCAATAGCTGGATCGTATTTGAAAGTGAGGTTAAATTCCGAACTTCTAACTCCTTGACTCCCAACGTCAGATAGCCGGTGATGCGGGTCATTAAAGCCTAAATAACATTGTACTTGTAGGATACGTCGATACATCGCCTCGTTTTGAGTCATGCCGGGCAAACATATCCACCCGACACCGATCATCAACGACCACACGGGCAGCAAAGACAATACCGCACGACATCCAGAGCCCCGTGGTTGCTCACCACGCTCTCCCTCTCCTCGTCAGCGGCTGTATTTGGGTCTAGGGGACCCGGTTGTGCCTGCGTCGCGACGGGTACAGAATGGCTGCTCGAGCTGTCGCTGTCAGAACCAGAGTTTCGACGCGTAGCTTGAGCGTTTTCGGAGTCTGGAGCGGCCACATTACGCTATTCCAAGGTTGTCAATATAATTGTTAGCATATTCAAAGGACAATAGATCAGCATACCGGTTTTGATTTCGCGATGCTTATGAGCTTGAACATGCGCGACGGGTGGTGCCTCTCCTGTCCGTTTGCGTGTGCGGACCTAAATCCAAGACGTGAAGCGAAACGCAGCAGGACGCCCAAGGGCGAGTTGTTCGCAGAAGGTTTTGGTCGGTTTGTGTTTGATTGTTGATGCAAAGACATGGTCTGATTTGTTTGGGAGCGTAAACGGGCCGCCCCGCTGAGCGTTGCAGGCATCTAAACTGCGTTAATACATAGGGCGTGATCAAATTTTGTCGGGACTTACGTTCATTATTGATTCATCGTCGACATCTCCGAGGCCAATCCTTGCTCTCCGCTAGATAACAAAGTGATTGTTTGAGCAGAACACAGCGATGTTGACAAAATCCAAACCTAGGTTTGCACTTACACTTTGTATATTGCTTGTCAAGTCTTTTGCCGCACTCTGCAAATCATTCTGTAAGACACGGTACATGACTTAACAAAGCTACAGATACATGTCCAGCTCACCTGAGGCAAGATCATCTGGCCCGTTGCGGTGTCGTACAACTGGAGCGGGCCGTCTTCGAGTCCAATGACCACCTTGTCTCCTCCCGGAGAAAACGCGAGTGCACTAACGCTTCTGTTTTCTTGCAGAACCAAAAGTTGTTTCCCATCCGACATGCCAAACATACACATTCTCGCCCCGCCGTCTGCTGCATGGTTGCACAGAAATGTGCGTCCGTCAGGAGAGAACGCTGATAGCGCAAGCCTTGAGTTATCAGGCTCTGTTTCCGAGAGCGAAAAAACCATCTGGCCTGAGACAAGATTCCAGAGTGTAACGCCGTCTCCGCCGTGGTTATCTAGAAGAAACTTCCCATCTGGCGCATACGACAGCGATCGATTGAATCCGGAGCCATCGACAGCTAGTCTGAGCGTGATCGCAGAGGTGCCGATGTGGTAAATGCTGATGCAGTCCGCGCAGGCGTATGCAATAAACTGTGCATCTGGCGAGAAGGTGAAGTCGAGGACGGTTGAAGCGCACTCGACGTGGTCAATCTTGCGGTCGTCCAGCAGGTCGCTAGCTAGATGGAGACGACTGCTGTCCTGCGCCACAATTGCAAGAAACATACCGTGGGATGCGAACTCTAACTTGTGAATGCGTGAGGTTCCGGTACGAAGTAAAGACGGAGTGTATTCTTTGCCAGTCCTGGAGTCTAGAAGGACGACGGTGCCGAGCCAGCTTGAAGATCCCACTGCCAGCAACGCGCCGTCGGGAGATAGTGCAATGCGAGAACCTCCGTTATATGGAAATTGGCTGACTAAGTTGCCTGTCTTGGCATCCCATGTGCGAATGAAGTCGTCGTTCTTGGAGCTGGTGACAAACTGACTGCCGTCTGGGAACCATTGGATCACGTCGGCTCCTCCTTCGGCCAGAAACAATGGTTTTTCCTCGCTGGTGTTGTCTGGCACCTTAAAACACCCACATCACCAAAAAGATCAGGCCTGAAACGAAGAAACTCAGCGCACAGAAGAAAGACAGATTTGGCCCGTGTTGAGATTCCAGACGTGCACCATATCACCAGATACACATGCAATCCGGTCGTTAAGGGGTGAACAGTCCATCAACGACACACCAAAGGATGATCCAAGATACAACGGCCCTTTGACAAGCTCTCCGGTTGAAGTGCTCCAGACGCATATCGTGCGGGGAAGCGACGAGGCATCGATAACGTGTGTCCCATCCAGCGAGAAGCATATGGTCGTGCTCATGTTCACATGTCCGAGAAGCGGGCCATCATGCATGCTTTGTCCCGTCTCGGCATCCCAGACCTGGATGCCGCCTGTGGAAGTAGGCAGAACCCCAGCGATGAGTCTGCCGTCGCGCGAGCAGACGGCGGGTTTTGATTCCAGCTCGCCGGACGAGGCTAGGTTGAGGTAGAGCTTCTTTTGTCTCTGGGAAGACAACTCGAGGCTGCGCACATCGCGGTCTTGATAGCTGTTGCATCCAAAGAGAATATTCTCGTTGTTGGATGTAAAGGAGAGCAAGAAGTCGAAGGAATAGTCATCGCAGGGCACATCTGTAATCACGTCGCCTGTTTTTATGTTTTCAACGCATATTCGGCTAGGCGTCATAACGGCTATCATCGCGTCGTCGGACGAAAACGCGACCATGTACGAGCCAGAAGGGACTTTGTGCCAGTCAACTCCGTACTCCGCCTGCTTTACCAGCGGTATCTTTGCATTTGGACCCTTCTCCGCTATGATACTCACGTCCCAGACAAAGACATGTCCTGAGCCTCGGTATTCGGCGCATATAGCTCCGAGTAGTCGCCCTGAGCCAGAGAATGAGAGCCAATGGAGCGGGTGGGTGGCAGGTGTAAGCTGACATACTTGCTGGCCTGTCTCTGCGTCCCAGAAGCGGATGGTTCCATCCGTGGACCCCGTTGCGAGCAAGAGGCCGTCAGGCGAGTGCTCGATGCAGGTTATGTTCTTGGAATGACCAATGAAGGGACGATGATCTTCAGGTGCCAAAGGACTTGAAAAGACAGCATCAGGCATGAGTACGAGACGGTGCGTCAAGCGGAAGTTGGCCGGGTGTAGGGACCATGTGTGGATGACGCAACGTCATGGCGGTCAACAAGCGCGCGTCGCGATACACGCGATTTGCTTGCTTGGCCAATGCCGCCCAAGTCGGCCCGACCACCAACACAAGTACCGCGGTCTCACGTCGATCTGACAGCGAAATCAACGAAATCAACTGCGGTTACTGCGGCTTCGAAGGCCAGGAACGCCGTTTCTGATCCCGCGAGATGCCAGACCTCGTTGACTCGTTCAAAAGTCCTCGCACGGTACCGAGGATCCCGTTGATCCCACCACGCCCTATTCGCGGCCTAGTCTTAGGTCTGCAACCAACACGGCGAGACAAAATTTATGGCTTCAACCCAAGAGCCAGAGAAGCAAGAGCACAAGGACAAATGGGAGTCCGAGCAGCAAGTCATCCCCAAGAACAACCTCCCGCTCGTCTTAGGCGGATTGATGTGTGCCGCTTTCTTGGCCGCCCTTGATCAGGTATGTGACATTCTTCTCCTGGGGTTCACGGTTCGAATAAACCCTCCCTTTGGTATAGACCATCGTCGCCACTGCTCTTCCGACGATCGTTCAGGACCTTGGCGGAGGCAACAATATCAGTTGGGTCGGAAGCGCATATATGCTTGCCAGCGGCGCGCTCGGGCCACTCTACGGCAAGTTCTCCAACATGTTCGGTCGCAAGCCAGTCTTGTACAGCTCTATTGTCGTGTTCCTCGTATGTTCACTTTTCCATGTTTTATTTCCTGTCGTTGACTAACGACTGTGTGCAGCTTGGATCCGCGCTCTGCGGCGCTGCGCAGAACCTGACGTGGCTGATTGTTTGCAGAGCTGTTCAGGGCCTCGGAGGTGGGGGCATTATGCAGATGGTCATCATCACTATGTCGGACATTCTACCTCTCAAGGAGTACGCGTTCACACATTCACCTTCCATCCTACGTAAATCGACTCACTCTTTTCACCAGTCGAAGCAAGTTTGGCGGTGTTATAGCTGCAACGTTCGGCATTGGCAGTGTTGTGGGTGCGCTCATTGGAGGGGCATTTGCTGACCATGTCAGCTGGCGGTGGTGTTTCTTCGTCAACTTGTAAGTTTTAGACTCCACATTCTTTCACCAGCGCTTTTAACGGGTTTTTTTTGTCAGGCCAACTGGTGGTCTCGCCGCCCTCATCCTCTTTTTCTTCCTGCACCTCAATCCCCATGAATCAAAGCCCATCAGAGAGCACATCGCTGAACTTGACGTCATTTGCATCTTCCTCTTCATCGCTGGCGTCGTCTGCCTTCTCCTTGGGTTCAACTTCTCGCAGACCTCCTGGTCGACACCGCAGACCATTGCGCTCCTTGCCATTGGTGTTGTTCTCCTCATCGCCGGCGCGATTAACGAGATCTATACGCCACGCTCGCCAATTGTCCCGCCGCGCCTGATGAAGGCCCGCACACCCGCGATCATGGTCATTATGGGCTTCCTGCATTCCGTCACGTTCTTCGGCTTATCGTACTACCTGCCGACGTACTATCAAGTACTCGGCGCGTCGCCGACGTCTGCCGGGGTCCGGATGATACCGTTCTCGTTCGGCAGCTCAATCTTCGCGACATTCTATGGCTTCCTCATCTCCAAGACGGGCCACTACCGCCCCGTGCTGTGGATCTGCTGGGCGATCATGACGCTCGGCTGGGGGCTCATGTATACGCTCGACTACGACTCGTCCACCGCGAAGAAGGAAGTGTACCCGCTGATCGCGGCCATCGGCATCGGCGGGATATTCGAGGCGCCCATCGTCGTCATCCAGGCGAGCATGCCCCTGAAGGACATGGCGACGTCCACCGCCGCGTTCGCATTCATCCGCACGGTCGGCGGTGCGATCGGCATCAACGTCGGCGAGGCGGTCATCTCGAGCGTGCTGCGCGGTAGACTCGCGGGCACCCCTGCGCTGAGCGGCGTTGTGGGCGACGAGAGCGCGGCGAGTCTGAACGATGCGCTGCGCAAGATCGTGCTGATCCCCGACGCGGCGACGCGTGACGCGCTGCAGCATGCGTATTCGCGCGCGATCAGCACGATCTGGCTGATGAATACGCCTATTGCGGGCGTTGGCCTCGTTTTGTGTCTTTTTGTGAAGCGTTATTCGCTCAACCGCGTTATTGTGCGTGGGGGTGAGCAGAAGGGGGATGGGGAGGCGCTCGTCGTATCTGACGCTGCGCCTGCGACGACTGCGCCGTTGGCGGATCTCGCTGCGGATCTCGAGAAGGGAGAGAAGTCCACTGAGGGCACTGATGATGACATCAAAGGGTCGTGCCCAGCGACGGTGGACGACCAGGCCCAGGACTCAGAGCGGGCGCACGGCTAATTCAATTCGTCTGTCTTCGTTTTCGGTTTTGTCCTTCGTATTTTTTCGTATTTTTGACAAGATGACATATAGGTTTTCCAGCTCACCAAGGGGCTATACACTCATCTTTCTTCATCTACCACCAATTTTCCCCATTCCATATTTTATCTCCCTCACTCCACGGCTTAAATACAGCCCTCCCCTCCCCTCGTCATCTACCGCGACCATATGGATGCTCGCACTCTCGACGGCTGCACCGGCTACCTCCCGCATTTTACACGTGCGGGTCGTTCCGGCGTTGTTCCCGCTCGCACGTCACCGTTTCAAACTCGAAGCGAGATACACGCTGTCTGCTGTTAACAACGGTGAGCTGCTTATCCTACAGTAACACTCACGCCGAGTTCTGACATCGAGTATAGCAAAGCAAAAGAACGGATATCTTCCAGCTGCTTGCAAGCCAGATTGTCAGCATGTCCACTACTAGATCCACCGGGAAATTGGAGCATGTCATGGGGCCACCCGGCAGCTTCTCTACTCATCGCAATGCTCTCTTGAAAATCTGTCGCTTTCTTCCAGAGGTCTTGACCAAGGTATTCGTCTACTTCAAGTCTATGGTTTGTGATCCCGCGTGCGACCATCTCAGCAAGTACACGTCTGTCACGCGTCACGATTGACAGGAGGTAGCCCCCACATTTCCTCAGCTTGGATAACGATCAAGATGGATCGCAAAAACAGACATCGTATGCGCTCTTGGTGCAATTCAAACAGATGGTATGGACCGTGGAAGGAAATCGGAGGGTTCTCAACAAGAAGAGATCATACGTGGAGAGCTTATTATATTCATCGAAAAGCGATGGATAGGGAGAATGCACGATACTCACGTATCCTTTACCAATATGTACTTTCCAATGTGATGTTTTATACCGCAATTATGCAATTCAGATTTTACATGTTCATGTGGTCTCCCAAATTCCGCGCGGTTTTACACAACACAGTGGCTTTCGTGCGTTGTGAAAGTTTTCCGGGATACTCAAAGTCGAGAGCCTTTGCGTGCTCAAGCTTCCGGATATCGAGCGGTATCTCCAAGTTGCGATCGACCAAGCCGGCGACCGGGATACTGGACGCTGACGTTCAGTCGAGGACTACTACCTCGCCATCAGATGTCCCAGCTGTGGCGTGGACGTGAACCACCGGAAGTTTGACAATGACTCTATTGCAAGCTGTTGCCAAGCTACTGCACCCAAGCCGCCCCGTTGGGAGAGAAGCACATCTCACTAAGCTTAAAGCACGTATATTAGGAGAACATACTGTATCTGTAAAGTATTATAGCCTGACATCTATTGGCAAACGTTGTCTCCACGCTAGCATCTTGTCTAAGTCGTGATTTGTAAGTATACGCGGCGAGGCTACCGGTAAAAGAACTTCCGTTACCACCTAGCGTACTTCAGCACGCAGTCGTCGCAGAAGCGCGACGCAGGGTTACGCAAGCTGTCACGTGAGCAGTTGCCGCACACCGGCGTATCGCATCCAAAACTTGCGCATGTCTGCATGCATTTGCTACACGCGTCGAAGATCATCCCGCACTCGTCACATGGATTGAATGAACTGCGGCTGCAGTTGTTGCAGATGCCGTTCTTGCACAGCGGGCAGTGATACATGATGGCTGTAACGTCGTCGCCGAGTCCCTGCGGGTCTTCCTTCGCTGTGCAGTCCTTGCAGATGTCGTCTTCTTCGCCACACTCTCCGCATTTGCGTTCCCCGAAACACGGATTGCCTTGGCCGCACGATGGTGTGTCGCAACGAATACACGTCCAGAGGTCTTTCGTATCGGAAGACATGCACATGGTGCAGTACCACTTGGATCCGCATAGACAAGAAACGTGGTACCGAGGTGCACAGTGTGTGCATCCAGCGGGTATCGTCGGCTCCGAGAACCTCCTTGAACACAAGCCACATTGCCAAATAAACATCTAGCTTTCGTCGAGCTAAACAGGACATGGTAGGCGATTCTGAGATATGTTCACATAGAGAGGAGTGTGCGTCCGTACCTTCACCGCCGGTGGCTTACCGGGAGTCTGTTGGGTAAAGATACCTCCACCCACCAACCTGCGCATGGCGAACCCGGAGAGCATCTGCTTTATCTCGAGTAGCGCACGAACGATCTTCTCCGACGCAGGGAAATGTGCATTCTGAAAGCGATTAAAGACGGTCTTGGTCGCAAGGTCAACCGTGCAGTATACAGGCCACCCAACTCGACCGTTCGACTGCGGGAGCATGATGTTCACGATGACTGCGAGAACCTGCATGCCGTCGTTGCTTGTGCAATAGGAAACCGTCTGCTGTGTCCACCAGAATGTCGGAAGAACTTCGTCGTTCTTCAGGTGAAGCTGGATACCTTCCAAAATGTGTTCTAGAGGATGCCTCAGTCCCGCAAGCTCGCTCGTTGCAATGGAGCTGTCATGGAACAGTATTGTGGACCACAGACAGCCGGACATTGTTCTGTAGAGTTAAAGGTCATGTCAAAGAAATGTCTTGAGTAAGTCACGAAAGTCAAAGGTACCAATGTGAAGTAAGGCAAGAAAAAGAACAGCCAGGTCGGGAACGGACAGGCGATTAGTGCCGCTGCATGATCGTTTAAACGTCAGTCTACGCGAGTGCTTACGACAAAGCTTGCGATTACCTAGTAGACACACTCAAGACTGGTGGTGCTGAGAAGCGTAGCTGACAACAACACCTAACGACGTGCAATGATGACTGTGAACAATCCAGCAGAGAGGAAGATATCGTTGTAAGCCAGGAAAACTTCACTCGGAACACGCGTGCTTACATAAACCCCGTTGTGACGATGAAGCGAGGCCGACCCTGAGCTCTCACTGGGATCGTCGCAGGCGTAAGCGACCATGAGGTGTCACCGACGGTGGGTGAAGACCATCGCGCTCTTCTTCACAACGGTGAGGGTGTGCGCTCCGAATCAAAGTTCGAACACAGGCTTAGGCTGATGGGAGTGAGTGTGAAAGGAAGGTAGGTGGGATTTTAAACTCCGTTACCGGAGAAGCAAAGACAACGCTTGCCATGGCTTGTGTGCTCAGTAGAACGAACTCTTTGCGCACTCCTGATCTGAGAGCTATGCTTTGCCCAGTCGGGTACATTTAATTTGTATGTCAGCGTATTAAAACAAGAATTTGAGCATGAATTCAAGAATATTGACTAAGGTATAAAAGGCTGCCGCCGCCGGGGTGCCTGCTGATTCAATAAATACGCATATCCACACGTTATGCCAAGACGACAGAACTCTAAGATCATTGTTAACATTGGTGTAGAAGTCCCTTGAAACTTGAAGAGCCGCAGACGAATTTAGTCCTCAAGTACAGCCCTCACACTTCCATCTGCGCGCAGATTTGGGGGAGCAGCCAAAGCAATACCGCTCCCGGCAAGTATCACAAGTCCGAGAGCAAGTAAGGCAAGTGGTATACTCGCATTGAGTGCATACCATTCCTCTCTCGATGCATGAGCCACATACATCGCTCAGGCACATCCCACAGCGTTCCTCCTCTTCATCACCTTGGGTGGCATATGCGCAATCCCTGCAGAGCTTTCCTTGTCGACAGACTACGCAGGCCTTGGCATCGATGCATCGACTACTGTCAAGGCAGGAAGGGCGACGGCAGTCACGGCACCTGGTAATCTCGCTGGAGTTGGAGGCGACACAACAGTCACAAAGCCAACATCGCCCACACCAGCAGCGCAGCCCGTGCCTAGGAGAACAGAAGTCGCACACGACCTCTTTACGCGTCCTGTAGTATTCAGGAGAGGATAGAGGATAGACACCCATGTTCGCGAGGAGAGCCGGCTGGCGGCAGCGCTCAGAGCCACACCTCCTGAGGTGAGACAGGTTTGGGTGCTGCTTGCAGGTTTGACATGCGATCGGGGTAGCGACGTGTCGACCCGAATGCCCGTTGCACCAGTATAAATCTGTAGCAAAGAACGATAGCCTGCAAATCGGGCAGGGATACACGGGGATCTGCGACGAGGCTTGGGTTGCCATTGCTTCGGAAAGTGAGCTATAAAGCGTCAGAGATAAGGGATACTAGTAATTTGCGGTAAGAACTTACTTGTAGCGGTGATGAGACAGCGGAAGAGCAGAAGGCTTTGGAGGCAGACAATACTATGAGGGGAAGAGGAACACGAAGGCGACATTTATACCTGGGCACCCACTTGGACCTCTACAAGCGCAAGCAAGGGCTGTTTCGACCGAAATGGCAAAATTCTATAGCTTTGACGCCGCTTATACACATGCTGCCAAAACGTCAAAGCCATCCCTAACGTGCATGATCCTCCCTTTAGCCCCGACAAGAACCTAGACAAAAGCGTGTTACTGACAAACAATTAATGCTACTAAAACGAGCACCCGCTTAGACGTTCATGAGGGTCATAGCAACCCGATTGCAACGTATCCTTCACTCAATCAGATACCCTAGGGCCACGAAAGCCGATCATAGAAGGTTATTAACCGCCATCCACTGGCGCTCGCGAAGGTGGACAACGGTCCGTGTGCATATGAGTAACAGCGTTGAGCAAGCGCCGGTGACACATAGAGAGCATTGACCGTGTCCTCTATGAGGATTCGCAACAGGCAGTGGGGCGTAGCAAAGACTGGTCTGAAGTTCTCCATGGGTGGTTCCTGAGATAACAAGCGGTCGAGTAGAAGATCGAAGAGCAGCGGGTAAATTCGGGCCTGCGACTCCGAAGCGGGCGGTTGTCAAACTTACGCCCTCAACTCTGAAGTCCGACCAGACTCCGACGAGTTGGCCACTGTGGCTACTTCGATGCTAGGACATTCAAGATCTAGCTCGATAGCATATCAGAAACCATGCAGTATGGATAAGAAACTACATTGAGTATCTGGACGTGGGGGGAAAATCTGTCGAACAACCTAAACACTTAGCCCGTTCTCGGCATGAAGGCAGCTGGCTTATAATTTTGAGATGCCGACCTATGCCCACTGTGGGAGTATCAAGGCGTCCGCCCGTTCGCCGTTAGCTTTGTCATGTCATGCTGCTCTCAGCATACATTCTTAAGGTAGGCTGCTTCTAAATTGCTGATCTTGCATGTGTCAGACTCAAGCTTATCATGATGTCAATGCAGACCATCGTGACTGAAGCACTGATACCCGCTTCAAGGGCGAGTCGGCCTATCGTTAGCCTTCAAGCCGATGACAGCGTGACGTACTGAGCGCGCTGTTTCTTGATCCCAAACGCCGCATTGCCCACATCAAACGACTAGTGCCTGCACCGAGCGTCAATTTTGCGTGGAACAAGACCAGCGAACCGGGCGCTTGATAAGGCAAGCTCTATCAATACATACGGAGCTTGCACGATAACCCAGCCTCTCATATAGACGCAGCTACCTTGAACTCCATCACTACCACAGTTGGAACTCGGGGACGGATACTTGCGGAACTTGGGATGCTACAACAACCGGTATCCGTTATCCCTTTCTCTCAAATAACATCGGAGAGCTGCCCCGGCCCCGGTCTCGACACGTCTGTTATAAAGATAATGTAAGTGCCGAATATGGGCTTTCGCAACGATTGTTTTACTCATTCACTTTGCGTCCTCAGAGACACTGCACTGACAATGCTGGGACAGAAAAGCGGAACATTGTCGCCCATTCCATCAACGTCAGCCTCAACTCCGTCGAGCATTCACAAGATACCCCCAGAAGTACTGGCTAGTATCTTCTCACACTGCAAGGTAGACGGCGTCGCATCCCTCAGGGACTGCGTCCGCCTCATGCTCGTCTGTAAATGGTGGCGAAGCGTCTTCATCACATTCCCATACCTGTGGACGAGGGTCGATGTCAATTGCAACACACCAGCTCCCACTGTGGACCTGATGCTCAGCAGAGCAGGTACCCTACCCCTGATGCTAGTCTACGAGGGCGAGACCGACAGCAACTTCCTGAGCATGTGCTCACGAATATTGCGGGAGCTTCCTCGTCTCCGGGATCTGCAGCTGACGCTACGAGCTCAGTCGTCGCGAGGGATCGAGCTTCAAAATCATCTCTCTCTTTCCCCGTCTCCCTTGCTGCAATCTCTATCTTTACGCATCCTATCGAAAGATACGAACATGTCTCGCTTCCATCTGCCTTGTGTGTTTTTCGAAGGCGCTCCCGCCTTACGCAAGCTATCGCTGCGAGGCTGTAATATTCCCTCCAACACTAGCCTCCTATCGCATCTCACCCATCTCACTCTCGACGAGTTCTCCAACGCTGATACCCCCACAACTCTCGAGTTCATCGGTTTCTTGAAGCATACTCTAGTACTCGAAGTGCTAGAGCTTCACAATGCTCTCTCCCGCTCAGGAGGATTGCCTTCCTCGTGGGATCAATACCCTGTCGTATCTCTCCCGAACCTCAAGAAGCTCTCTACGTACCACAGCTTTGATCTGTTCGCGGATCTCGTCTCGAGGCTAGATTTTCCCGCAGACACCTGCGTGACGACGCGGACAGGTATTACCGATTTCCTCGACGTTTCTTTCTCCACAGGTCTATCGAATACGTTTCCGCTCGTACCTTCTCGTATCTTCTGTCCTACCCAATCTCAGACCCCTGCTTACAGTTTGACGATATCCCTTCATCCCACGGCACTCGGCCTAATGCTCTTGTATCAAGGATACGCATCGTACGATGAAGCCATCTTAGAACGGGGAAGCTGGCCATGGCCTTGTCGGTTTCACGGCAATTTCGGCTATTTCTCCGATGACGATGACGATGGCGATGACCTGTGCAAGTTCATCGTCCCGCTCTGCATCGCACTACCTCTCCACCACATCCAAAGCATCCGTCTCGACATCAAGGCAGTGTTCTCGGGGGTAGTTCCGTGGAACGAGCTTTTTGCTCATACGCCAGAGCTGCGCGTTCTCGCGACTCAACTTCCTGACGACCACCTCCGTCAGCTGTTCGGCGACTTGGCGTCGAAGTTGCCCTCAACGGGCATGGTTTTGCCGCACCTCGAGGAACTTCATGTCCTAGGTTTCAAGGGGCGCGGGTGTTTCGATGGTTTCGTCCCGCACCTACAGGTTACCGGCCTCGTCGACGCACTCGGAGTACGCGCGAGGAGTGGGTTCCCCCTCGAAAGGATCATGCTGGGGGCTGACTGTGTGGCATCCGACTCATACGTCGAGGAGCTTCGCGAGGTTGTACAAAAGGTACATTGGTGTTGATTAGGGCCCCCGTAACTGAAAGGCAAACGTGGGCTGGAAACAAAGGTGTGCGGATACGAAAACATGAGTTTGTACAATACTATGTTATTAGCGTAGACGAATCCCATGATTCTCGAAAAGTAATGTACGACAAGTCCATATGTGCTCTGAGCCGGCCGCGTCACGCGTCCACCTATTGCGATAGAGCCTGCTGATTGGCAGAATACTGCTCAGCACGAACTACTGCAATACATGGGGCAGGACTCGAAGTGTTGTTGTTTACCTGTCTCCATGACCAAGCGCCAACCGGGTTCACTTCTTCAAACCACCTCCTGCGCCGTTCGCAGCTCGTGAGCTTCGATCATCCTGTCCACCGCGTCCTCCAGCGACTGTGGCGCCGTCGACGAATCCCATGCAACCCCGCGCGAGACCCGGATCATGACCACAAGCGGTGCGATGATCTGCATCTCGCCGAGAATCAGCGCTACCATAAACTCGGCTGGGTGGTTCGTGAGGTACGTCGCCAAGAGCGGGATGGTGCAGATCGTCAGGGGTACATAAGACTCGATTAGTATGACGCCCATGGACGAGTAGTGGCGTGAGTCGGGTGATCCTAAGAACAAGACACAACAGGGTAAGCAGCAAGAAGCGGGCAGAGATGAACAGATACACACCCCAATTTTCTTTGAAGCGACGCCTGTAAAGATAGAGACGACCTGCTATAAGGGCGGTAACATATACATTGAGGCAGAACGAGGATACAAACATCCCGGCGACGAGATACAAGTTGATAGTACAGTTGTTGGCCGTGACTGGGAGGTTGCTGTAGATAATGAATGCGAAGAAGCCGAGGACTTTGGGCTTCAATTAGTTATTCAAAAACCGCACTATACCCTGATACGTACTTGACGTTCCCGACCAGAGAATTACGGGTCCAACCATAAGGTAGCGATAAAAACGCGACATTGACCAAACGACCTTGAACCGCCAGACCTGGCAAAAGCAGTCGCAAAGTATCAGTACACGCGCTATGCAAAATGACACACCCGAACACGCACCATCATACCGTCCGAAAGCATGCAGATTATCCAGAAAGGGATATCCGAGGCCGTCGTGAAACCACCCGGAGCGAGATCCTGCATGTACGGGCTCTCGAGCGAGGTTGACGCGTGAATTACGTACGTCTCGATGGTTATTCCTGACATGCCCGCGACCAACGCCGTACCCGCCAACCAGAGCGTGCCTACGTATACAAGGAGGAACGCGAGGCTTCTCTGCGAGCGTGATTGCCGTGTCTGGATGAGCGAATGCGCACATAGGGCTGCCGCGGTGGACATGAAACCGTAGAATGTGCCGCCAACTGTCATTGAGCCTATGACACGGAGGCTTGCGGTGAACGCCGCTTGCGCTCTAGCTTGATCAGGGTCCGAGTCCGCAGGAGTGCTTGAGGTGGAGGCCATGCCCCAAGGGCTGAGGACGCGTTTGAGGGAGAGTAACGCGGTGAGGGGGGGAGGCAAACGGACAATAGAAGCCTGGTGCAGAGAAGAAGCATGGTCGTGCACGAGCTAGTAGGCGCTAGTTGTGCCCGGATAATTCAATCTCGAATAAAGCTAGAACGAGCCGTGTATGTCACCATGTGTGAGCCCGTGTCATTCAACTTGGTGTGGCTGTGTTCTACTCTCACGCGAACACGCACCTGCCAAAGCGTCTGAATCGGACTCGAGGTGTTCAAGTTGATTGGGTAAAGGACCCAGCGTGTTTTCTAAAGACGTACCTTCAACCCATCCCTTTGGTTGCCAGGCTCATGCAGTTTCGTCTCCTGTCGCCGGTCGCAAGGTTATTCACTTTACAGCTGGTAGAAGCGGGGAGAAATTGAGCCCGGAAGCAGTTCTTTCCTCCGGGTCCGACAGTCGGCATTTACCGTACTCGCCAGAGTTCTCCCTCATTTCCGCACCATCAACTTGGATTGGGTTATACCATGTTGGACTAGCTCGTCGCCGATGGAGTCCTGTCTTCACTCGCTTCAATGCGTGCTATGATTACAAGCTGGGTCTCTGCCGTGATAGCACGTGTGCTCCCAAATCTAGTCGAGACCATGCGTTATCGGCCCTGACAGGCGTGCAGCGTAAGAGCAGGAGCTGCAGCAGCCTGACCAACCTCTCGTCCTCTCCTAACTCTCGGGGCCGACACGAGGGCGACGTCCCCCTGATCGGCGAGATGCAGCAAGGGTGGTGGGTCGCTACCGACACTGCGGCTCGGTGTTCTCGGATTGTCGATGGGTTAGAGTGTAGTTGTGGGCATAGGTTGTGGACCGTGCATACTATTCTTGACAACAAGAATGTGTTAAGGTTATGCTTTAAATTTTCCCTGTCGCCGTAAATATACAATAAAACGTCACCCAGCCATGGTCAAACCTCTGCATGCACCGCCCATAGGTCGTGAGCTTCGAGCGCTCTATTGATCGTGTCCTCTACCGACTGTGGACTCGGGGAAAAATCCCATGAGACACCGCGTGAGACCCGAAGCATGACCATGAGCGGGGCAGAAATCTGCATCTGACTGAGGATCGCGGTCGTCATGAACAAAGCCGGATTATTGAGGAGGTACGTGACAAAATACGGGATGGTGAAAATGGTTAGAGGGAGGTAAGACTCAAGGAGTATCGGGCCAATGGACGTATAATGCTTTTCGTCGGGTGATCCTAGAAAAGCATAGGAGATAAAAATGAGCGGCTGGGAAAAGAGGGGTAGAGCTGAAGTAGCACATACCCCAGTTGACTTTGAACCGACGTCTGTATAGGAAGAGACGTCCTGCTATGAGGCCGGTGATATATATATTGAGGATAAACGAGGACATCATCATGGCGGCGATAAGACGCGGGTTAACGTTGCTGGGGCCAGCTATGAGTGGGCGGGTACCAAAGATGACATAAGTGAAGAAGCCGAGAACTATGGGCCGTTGTTAGTGAGCCGAATACTGTACTACGCCTGAACACGTACTTGAGGCTGACAGGTAAAAGGCGATAGGAACTGCTATGAGGTAACGAGAAAGACTCGAGGTTGCCCATATAACTTTGAAACGCCAAATCTGACGGTAAACCATCGCAGACATGAACACTCGCGGGCAGAAGTTATGTTCGAACATACGCACCATCATCCCATCCGAAAGCATGAGAATTACCCAATACGCAATAGACGCGATCATCGTAGACCCTCCTAAGGCGGGATCCTGCATGTACGGGCTCTCGAGGGAGGTTGACGCGTGGACCACGAAAGTGTCGATGCAGGTCCCCGACATACCCCCGATTAGCACTGTCCCCGCCGCCCAAAGCACACAGATGTATACCAGAAGGAAGGCCAGGTGCCTCCGCGAGCGGCTCTGGCGTGTCTGTACGAGGGAGTGTGCACATAGGGCTGCAGTGGTTGTCATGAAGCCGTAGAAAATCCCGCCGACAGTCATCGTGCCGACTATTCGGAGACTGGCCGTGAACTGCGCATGTGCTCTGGCGTCGTCAGGGTTTGAGTCTGCCAGGGTGGCTGGGATGGAGGCCATGGCCCAGGGTTCAATGTCCACAAGGCCGAGGGATGATGTGGTGGAAACAAAGGAGCGGAGTTGAACGTTGAGAGAGGAGGGGAGAAAAGAAGCATCGTCTTCAGACTCGAATTGCACAGCGTAATTCAGTACTTCAAGCGCTTCAGTTCCGAATTGAGCGTCTTTATTCGGTTGGTCAGTCTGTGGCGGTAATTTACCTCACATCGCACAGGGGTTTCGCTGCGCATTGGCTAGATCTCAACGTCAATTCCCAATATATATGGACCCATTATGAAAACGCACTTTCTCCCGTAACGGTTTACTGTTCCCGGCGTCTATGCGCTGAGTTTTCTCTGACATTGGTACGCCGGTGAAGCAGTGCGAGTTAGAAATATAGAGTTACTTCATCGGCACCTAAGGATTATCGTGCACGTCGCAGTCGTGCGGTATTCTACTTGGTAGGGCGCTTTGCAATGCAGGCACCTGCTACGAGTCGCCTACAGCTAGTAATGACGTCGCCCCGATCGTCTAGACGCCGGTGGCGTCACAGGGCCCACCAGACATCGCTACCGACACAGTGGCTCTGTGCCATCGAGTCGCTGCGCAGCTGTGGTTACCGCCATGCACTGAGTGTTCACTTAGTGTGTGCTGTCTAACATTTCTTCGCTTCCATCATTATTCATGTCTGCCTATAGTAAGCTCCCAGCACATATAAATATTCAAGTTGTTGCCTGCAATACTTGTAGTTCGTAAGTTTCAAGTGTCCTATCAATCGCAATCTCCACCGAATGTGGGCTCGTCGATGCATCCCATGCTACTCCCCGCGAGACGCGGAGGATAACCATAAGAGGCGCAGTAACTTGGGTCTGTCCGAGGATCGCAGTCAGCATGTACAAGGCCGGATTATTATGGAGGTACGTGACAAGATAAGGTATGGTGCAAACGGTTAGAGGGAGGTACGACTCCACAATTATGGGCCCTATTGATGTATAATGTTTTGTGTCGGGCGAGCCTGAGAGGATGTGGAGACAAGTTGTGAATGGGGAAAGAGAAGCGGATTCGAACCGATGCGTACCCCAGTTTTCTGTGAAACGACTCCTGTGAAGGAAAAGGCGTCCTGCTATGAGGGCAGTGGTATAAATATTGAGGGAGAACGAGGATAGGATCATGGCGGTGATAAGCCGTGGATTGATACTGGTACCGTCTTCTACCAATGGGCGGTTATTGAAAACAATGAAAGCAAAGAAGCCGAGAACTGTCGAGTAGAAATGGTCGACTCTAATGGTGCGCATATCTTGACACTCACTTGAAGCTCCCAAGTAGAGAACAATAGGCATAACTATGAGGTACCTATGAAACCGTGAGGTCGACCAGACCACCTTGAAGCGCCAAATCTGGCAATAAGACGACCGTCAAGCTTTAATACGCGCCTGCCAAGGCAAGATGTTGTGCTTGACCACGCACCATCATTCCGTCTGAAAGCATAACAATAAACCAGTATGCCACAGCCGCAACTATCGTGTACCCTCCTGGGTCAACATCTTGCTTGTACGGGCTGCTGAAGGTGCTTGACGCGCGTAGAACATACGTGTCGATGCAGGTCCCCGACATCCCCCCGATCAACGCTGTACCCGACGTCCAAAGCGTACCAACATACACCAGAAGGAACGCGAGACGCCTTCGTGAACGACAATGACGCGTCCGTATGAGAGAATGTGTACATAGTGCGGCTGTCGTCGTCATGAAGCCGTAGAATGTCCCACCAACAGTCATAGTCCCGATGATTCGCAAGCTAGCCATGAACCGCGCCCTTGCTAGATCACTGTTTGAACCGTGCGAGTCCAAGGTACTCAAAGCAGATGCCATTCCCAAGGGGTAAACGGCCACTGGTTGGGAGTGAGAGTGCGAGGAAAGAGAAGAGCGAAGAAAGAGGCGAGAGTCGAGACATGACTGTAGCACTCGAAGCGAACGTAATTCCGTGTTGGATTCATATTGGATCAACCTAGTGTGATCCGCGTTTACTCAACTGGTCGTCTGTGGCTGTGTTTTACTTCAAACATCTTGCGCTGCATCAGCCCTCCGAATGAATACTTACGGAAAGAGCCGAAAGGGTAGGGCAAGGGGCCCTTCTTTTACATAGAGTTACCTCAGTACGAATCGTCTGACATGGGGAATATATCCCCGATGGACGCAAGAAGGATTTATGACAATGATACTTACGGAAGAGCGCACGTTCCACTCGCTACACCGCCAGAGCTTTATTCCACGAAGCAAACGGACGGCCGAGCATAGATTGATGTCAGACTGTACAGTCTTGTGATCAGTTAATAGGGCTCTCCAAAAGCGGGTGATACTATAGCTGTTTTGGCTTTGGCATACCTGGACATAGCTCGGAGCTAAAGTGGTTTAGTATTATCAATTCAGAATCATACCTTGTAGGAGAGGACTCCAACATCTTGGTTGCGACGCAATCGAGCGCGCAGGTAAACTACGAAAGACTCGGATTATTCCATCCCAACACCCAACGCTGACTACGGAGACACAGGCGCTTATTTCTGTCCCAACTTGAAACTACGTTGCCGTATGTGGCACGAAAGTTTCAGTCCGAAAGGTAAAAGAGTACGATAGATTGGTTCGCGGTTTTTTTTAAGCATACATATACAGCGTGTGGTAACGGAAGATTATCCTACTACGTATCTATGTAAGTAGTAATACACGATTACAGTTCAATACGGCCATTTGCGTTCCGAGACCAGCGTTTTGGCGGAAGAACAAGATGAGTCAAAAACAAAAGGCAAAAACAAGAAGAAAAAAAGAACATGAAAGAGCATAGATACTAAAGCAGCTTAAAAGGGAAGAATTTTGGATACGTAGCATGGGGAAGACCTATTATGTAAGTAAAGGGGGAAAAGAGCAGGCAACAAGAACAAGCAGCGTACGTCGCGCGAATCCCAAGAAGATAAAGCAAAGGATCATGCATACATGAAATGTACATGGAAGCAACCGCCAGCCAGCGAAAACTCGAGACTATTGCCGCTGCTGCTGCAGCGCAACACCCATACCCTGACCAAAGTCCAACGGCCCGCCATCGCGCTCGGGCGACCCGGACGGCATCGGGGAGTGCAGCCATCCGGGGGTAATCAGCCCGCTCCCGCCCGCGCCGAAGACGAAACCGCCACTAAGACCCTCCATCGTCTCCGAATAGCCTGCATCACAACACCCACACGCAATCAGCAATCGGTCTCCACACCCACACGACAAAAGAACAGGAGCACTCACCAGGCACAAGCACATTATCCCAAAAGTTGTTCGTCAGAATGCTGTCCATCGGGAGCATCCCCGCGCTCTCGTCCATACTCGGCATCTCCGCCATCGTCGGCGGGAAGACCGACATGTCCGCAACGGGCCCCATCTCGCCCGCGAACGAGTACTCGTTGAACGTGCTGCCCAGCATACCGCCATTGGCGTTACCCAGCGCGCCGCCCAGCGAGCTGCTGCCACCCGCAAAGAGGCCGTTGCCGACCATACCGACGTTCGCGTCGCTGGCATTCGCAGATGCAGCGCTGGCGTCGTTCAGGCCTGACGGCATCTGTGCAGATCCGTCCGTCTTGATATCAGCGCTGACGCCGTCCGTCGTGCCGTCTTCGCGTCCGGCCGCAGGGCCCTCTGTCCGCGCAGAAATGAGCGCCTTGATGAACGTGCCGTACAGCGCAGGCGTGTGGTGCTCGTCGACGGAGACGCTCTCGAGCGTCGCAGCGACGTCCTTGACGAGGTCGATGATCTTCTGCTCGCCTTCGATGAACGTCTGAAACTCGGGCCGGATGAACTACACGACACCGTCGCGTCAGCTGTGTGCAAAGAGTATCATGCCTTGTACGGAAAATAAACGCACCTTGAGCAAACTCAGCACCGCATACGACAAGAACACGAAATGCGAGTCCGGCGAATACCGGAGGTATCCCATCGGCCCCAGTATGTCGCGCGCAACAACCGCGACGGCCGTAGCCGCACCATAGCACCGCACGAAGAAGTGTCCGATGTCCACCGCCGAGCGGTCGATCGCGTTCTGCAATCCAAACGAGTTGATGACGAGCATGTAGTAGTTGTAGTAGAAATGCCGCATCGCGCGCGAGTACCGGATGCCCGCGTCGTCCTCTGCAGAGATAAGACAGATGTATGTTAGTGTTAGACGAGGACAGCGAGGCTTGAATGGCTCACTAAATGAGCCTCTCCGCGTAACAGACCACTCGTGGTCCCACGCCTGAATCTGCGTCTCGATAGTCTTAATAACCACAAGATAATCACAGTCCGTCTGCAGCCCCGAAGGCGTGTTCGTGCCCGAGTAGAGAAAGTCCAGACTCCGCGACACTATCCGTTGAAGCTCCTACAAACAAGAAACCAATCTACGTCAACACACGATCATCATAACGCTCGGAAGGGTGTGAATACGCACAACATAAGCCGCCAACGGCGCATCCCCTAACGTCCCCACCGGCGAATCCACCCACTGCGAAATATTCCGAATAACGAAACTACACCACCACCGCCACCAAAAAGTCAGCCAGAGCGTCGCCAAAGCTGCAATCAACCACACAGAAAAAGAAAAAAACGTACTCCTCTTTAATCGAATGCGGCTTCCCCATCTGCGCGCTAATACTCCGATCGAGCGCAAAGCAGAGATACCACGTCCGCTCGCGATTATGCACCTCGCGATCGCGCGCCCGGCCCTCCTCCGTGTCCTGGCTCGCCACCGCCGTCTTGCGGTGCAGATTCAGGTCCGTCGCCATCCTACAAACAAAAATATTGTCAGCCAACCTCGCTCGTTATCTCGTATTTGGGAGATAAAAGACAGGCGGAGAGTGGATGGAAGGGAAAAGGAAGGAAATGGCCCACATACCGCGTAGCCATCCCGAGCAACAACCACGTCTTATCGTACTCATACCGCTCAACAGCGCCGCACCCCCAGAGCGTGAGCAGCAGATAGGCCTGGACGATCTCGAGCGACTTGTACCCCTTCAACGGGACACTGAACGCGAGCTTCTTCGCGAGCTCCATGAGCTGCCCGTACAGCTCGGGTTTCGCGCTGTAGAAGCGCGCGGCGATGGCACATACTGCAGGGGGTGATTTGTGGTTAGATTTGAAACGGGACGGTGTACTAATGCGCAACGCACTTGTGGTCAGGAGGAACGGCGATCGGGAGCAGATGAGCGAGGGCGTGTGGAGGTCGCGGTCGAGGAGGCTACAATGCGGCTGCGAGAAAATAACGGTCAGTCACCCGCAGACACAGATAGATACGAGATAATGAGTCAACACATACGTTCATATTGTCAAAGTAACTACACCATCCCAGTCAGAACACGCCAGAAATCGCAAAACAAACACAAAAGACAAAAAAAAAAGAGGACGCACATATCAAACAACGCAACGACCTCCTCCGTATTCACGAAACTCAGCATCTCCGGCTGAATCTGCCGCTCGATATACAGCCTCCTCAGCGGCAAAATCGTCATCGGCCCCGGCCGGAAATAGTTGTCGCTCGCGACGCCCAGCACCAGCTCGTTGGGGTCCGACGCGCGCGCCTGGAGCAGCGGCGTCGGGCCCATCGCCCTCCGGTTCGCCAGACTCGCCTCGGCGAGCAGCCCGAGCGGATTGAGCGCGTTGTCGGGCAACGAGTGCAGCTTGGGCGACTGGTGCGGCTTGCCGACCCCTCCTCCCCCTCCTCCTCCTCCTCCTGCGCTTCCGCTGCCACCGGGGGTGCTCCCGGACGCGGCCGCGGCCTGGTGGTAGCTCGGCGGGTGCTCGGAGGGCCCCGCGGCGTCGTCGTCGGACGAGGGGGAAGCTATGAGCGCCTGGGTGTGCTGTGTGTTGCACGGGGACGGGGACGGCGAGCGCGAGGTCATGCCGGACGCCATGCTCGGGTTGCCGATCGACTTGAGCACGGTGTCGAGTGTGCGCTCCATCTTGCGCAGCGAGCGCGTGAGCAGCTCGTGTTTTCTTGGGCTGGGAATCAGTCGAACCGTGCGCGAGCAGAAGGAGATGCGAGGATATGAAGGGACGAAGAGGGAGGGAGGGGGAGGGTGGACTCACTTGGAGGACCGCTTGCCGCGGTTGGACTCCTCGAAGATGCACTCGTGGTTGCCCGCGATGCAGCGCTTGCACGGAGGGCCCTGCTCGGCGCCGACGCACTTCATCTTGAGGCGGCGGCAAACTGTGCATGCTCTGCGGGCGTGCAGCAGATGGTCAGATGAGCGACAAGGGGCATCACGGGGACGGGCGCGCTCGGCAACGCACCTAGATCCACGTGTTGGTTTTGGCTTCGAGTCGTCCTTGTCCGCGGTGGGACTCTGTCCGTCGGGCGTGCTGTCGTCCGTGCGCTGTTTCTTGCGACTGGGGTCGTTGGTGAGGGTCGAGGCTGGGCGCTTGCCGTTGGTGGACGGTGTCTGAAACGAGTGCTGGTCGGCGGCCGGTGTCCCGGCGAGGGACTCGGAGCCCTGCGAGGACGGGGAAAGGCTGTTTGACGGGACGAGGTGCTGGGCCATGGTGGGAGGTTGCTGGTAGCCGTAATAAGGTTGGTACATGGAGAGGGCAGGGTCTATGGGGATCTGCTGCGCGTTCGAGTTGGCCTGGTTCATGGCTTGTTGCTGTTGCTGCGTTGGTTGGTGCTGCTGCTGCATGGTGGCACAATCGTTATCGTAGATGTAGCCGTAGCTGTCACGGTGGAAGATGAAGTTGTTAGAACGTTGGATGGGGTCGTAGAAAATGTGTGGGTAACATGGGGTTGGGGAGAGCGGGGTTAGTGTCACCATGCTCAGGTTACTGCGACCGCAGCGGAAAGGGATGCTTACCTGGGTATTGGAGGTGGTAGATATATGAGATCTGAGGGCGACGGAGGCTGGAGCGAAAACGCGTAGAGTTCACGTGCGATGGGATACCAGGCAAGCTGGGAGGTGTGAATGTGTTCCGGAAAGGAGCGGAGGTGGCGCGTGGATACAGCAGATCTGTCGAATAAGAATATGGGTACCGGTGTTCGTGTGCGGGATGAGACAAGTTTGGATCGACAGAAAGGCGCAATGAGGCAAAGCTAATCTTCTGTTTCTTCCCCACAGGTCTTTCGTAAGGGGGAGCAGGAGAAGAAGAGGGACTCAGACGCCCGTCACCCGCCTGGGAGTATCTCGTAAGACGCCATCACACATCCGCCCTCGGAGTTTCAATCTCCCTTCTGCCCGCGCCCCTACTGACGCGCCCCAGATACATGGCTTCAATCCCCTTTCCTTCACCACTTTCTAGTTCTGTACAACAATTCATTCATCATCCGCCGGTAACCTCGTCTGTCCTCGGACCTCTCTTCAGTCACACAGTCTAGATCTCGGGATACCACTTGCTCTCCCTGCTCCTCTTATCTTTCTCGCGGACCGGAACTACCTCTCTAGCATCATCATATCGTAACATCATGCTCTCGTCCGACCTCATCAACTCAAACCCCTCTCCTTCCTCATCCAGACTGCCTTCTTTACCCAACCCCCCGTGCTCCCCGATCTTTTTAGAATACACCCGCCTCAAATCATCAGAATTAAAGCTTTGACTAACCTTACTGGCCTTCGCTGTGTGTACCTGCTTTCTATCATTGGGCACTCACCATGCGTAGCGTGAGGAACAGTCCCTCAAAACCAGCCACTCGACTACTTCCGTCATATGTTAGCTCACAGATCGGTGTCTTGTGACATTCCAAGCCCGATAACGACGTGGCTCGACACGGATTCGCTGACATGTCGTCGAAATTCATTAAATCTCAGATTATAGAAATCGCCTCGGCCCCGCGAAGTCGTCTCTCTCCTCTGCTTCCTTGACCTGACTGAACTTTCGTTTCCTACCCCGCTCCCCCGCCCATCCTATCAGGACCCCTGGTAATACACCCAAGACTCTGGCCATATGCACCGACCCCCATTTTGTACCGACCTTGACCAGACTAAAATAGACCAGAATCCGCCGATTTTGTCAGGACTTTGCATATGAACTCGTGGAATGTCAACAATATGTCCAGAAATCGCATATGGCCTCGAAAAACCGTTGTTTCTTCTCCGCCTCTTTTTCACCCTTGAAAGAACACCATTGCTTGGGAAATGCATCATGGCACACGGCGAGAGCGAAATTTTGCGTTAGCTGGCTTTGTCATGAACTACTGAACGAAGCTGATACTGCAATGCTCTTGTAGACCTAGCAGCCCAGTCGCTTTGCTTCGGCGGCTGGCCACTTCAATTGTGGTGACCTCGTCCGGACTTTCGATATGCCCTCCTGGGCTAAAAGTGCAATGGAATCACCAAATTTCCAGACCCAAATGTATTTTTTTTTGCCCGGACGTATATAAGGCCCATAGCGGGATTATCAGGGGTCCTGTCCTATCCCATGCCTGACTCGCCGCTCACTTCCTCCTTTTATTATTAGAACTGCGAATGCTGATCTCTGCATGTGGAAGCTCATGGTCGCGCATATAAGGACATGTAATCAGGACACATACGCGTGGTCTGCCCGTCGATAAGTAAACAATTATAGCTGCTCCCTTGGCCAGCTGTCGTCTTCGCTTGTCCTGGAACAAACCTAAATTCTCTGCGCTGGGCAACCGTCGGACACAGAAGGGCCACTGAATATTCGCGGGGATCGAAATTCTACGGTATTCGCCATGGTTCTCATGACTGCTTCAGAAACGACTCGACACGCTCCCACAAGGCAGGGGCAGCCCATGGCTACCTTTCTTCATATCTCGCTTAGCCGTCTCCATGAATTTGCTATGTCTGACGGACCTCCGTGTGGACTGACGTTATCACTTGGAGTCTGGTCTATGCTTATGTCACTGTGAGTGGCAATGTTCCTGACCTCGTCCATGACGCTCTCGCGACTATCGTTTGCATGCGGATTGGCCCTTGCAAGCTTATAGCTCGTCATTACTTGCGATAACGTCCAGCCATAATTCTGTCTTTGCCTTTGCATGCAGCGTTCAGTCAGGTTACGTCTGGCTTTCCGCCAACGGCGTTTATCCTCCTTCATCATCTGGTTTGATAACAACTGACCATTATCTCCCACGTCGAGATTCCGAACTTTCAGAATGTCTCTCGATCTCAAAATATAAATAAACATGGTTAGACCGTCATCTTCAGCAAACGTTTGCGCCATGACCAGTTCTGATAAAGATCGGAAACACCCTTCTCCATCGAGATCCATCTATCGACTTACGACACCCCCGCATATATCGAGGACTCGCGGTTACACGAACGGTGGAGTATTCTGATGCCTTGGCGGCGCCCCTTGCACCCGCAGATATCATGTCATCCCGTGTACGCCAAAAGCGCTTTAATAGATCTAACTCTACTTTGACGGCTCGTCGTACCCCTTCTTGATCCCCCCAATCTCGTTGACTGAAACTTCTACGAGCAGGGGTAGCAACGGCATGTACACGCGAAGTATCGAACCGCGCCATCCCTCCGAGGCACCGCACCTGGGTGATTGCCGCCGGTCGCTGCTGAGCAGGCGGCGTTGAGGGTGAACTTCGCGCTCGATGCTAAGGAGATGAGCCACAGGGCGTGCCACCCTGCTGCTAAGCGATTGAATGCCCCCGTCCGTCAAGCGGCGACGAGACTCCTCTCCGTTGGCTCAAATAGATCTCGACCTCGAGATAATTCACTAAGACCGACTGATTCGTTTCTCGCGCCCAACCTTATCAGCCAACACAAAGAAAGAAAGGAAATCGAATACGAACCGCCGCTCTAGGATATGACCCCTCAATCCCAATCTCACTTGAAACCCATAAACCTCCAGTTACGATAGACACAGACACCCTGATTATGCACGTTCGGAATGAAACACCCCACGCTGTACTCTACCATAAGCACCTAATCCTCTCTTACGCGTGCATGCGTGCCCAACCCAGCGTAAAGGGCCCCAGGCGACACCGCGCAACACCCCCCGAAATTGCATTACTCGTTCGGGGAGTTTGACTTTGCACAGTGTCCCTGAGCACGCGCCGCACCCGTCCTCAGGCGTATACGTATCATACCGAGCACGGCACCCAACGGGCGTGCGAAGCAAGATATACAGTATCATGGCCGCTGCTGCTGTGCCGAGCTTATCGTCCCTGTGGGGCTCTGGGCTCCCACTGGGTTCACCCGCCGTTGGTGAATTCGAATTTGGGCCTCAGTAAGTGCGCTGCGGCGCTATACGCTTTGCGTTTTCCGGTGCTGGATCATCGGGTGGGGCAGGGCTGGGTGGCTGCGCTCGATCGCAGAAGCTCGCGCAAGCTCTCGGAGGCCGCGCGTCCGCGTGCAAGAGTGTTGTTGTGGGCACGCGGCGGACGGCAGATGATACTAACCCCGCGAGCGGGTACAACGTACAGTCAACTCCCTCTTAACCCATACCTCTTCGTGGACACCCACAGGTATGGGTTAACGGGGAGTATGGGTTTGGAGAATGTACTAAAAATAGATGTAGAAAATACGGAGAAAATAAATATATTTGGAAAAGGCAATAGTAACCTGATCATGTAGATGAGCAGCCTTAGAAGAAGCACAACTATCAATCTTTGATGTTGACATTCTCTTTGATAGCTCTGCCCGAAGTTGACGCGTCGACAACCAGGAAAACATCACAATTTTGAGTGCTTGGATCGTTCATAAGTTGTCGAGGTACCGTGCAATCACATACCGCTTCAAACCCCTCTTGGCGCAAGTTCGGATGCTTGGCCGAATACATGGAAGAAAACACGTCAAAAATACAGTAGACCTCGGTGATATTGGCCACTTCCAATGGGTTTTAGTACACTTTCATAAAGTTTTTTGACAACACAACCAAATTTTCCCCTAATGACCTGAAAAGTATGCCTTTTGGGGACATTTGGGGATAGTTATTACTGCTAAAAGTACCGAATGTATGGGTTTTTTCACCCTCAAACCCATGGGGTATGTGGTATCAGGGGATTATGGGTTTCGGGACCCATTTGGGTGGGACAAAACACGATGGGTAGCAAAACCCATGGGTTAACAGGGAGTATGGGATTGAAGGGGTATGGGTTAAGAGGGAGTTGACTGTACTCCTGCGAGGAAGCGCGCATGATTTTAGACTATTCAAACCAGTGTCAGGGATAGGCGTCCCCGGGAGCTACTACAGTAGAGGAAGGACTTCTCAACTCTCCACCGTTCCTTTGGCAAGGGGACATGCACGCGAGAAGCGTCACCGCCGCCGATGCCTCGGACGAAATTCCCGGTCCGTAGTCGTCTGTGTAGTACTATGCTCGAGCTATCACATCGATAACCTTGAACTTTCTTCCCTTTCGCGCGTCTTCTTCTGCTGCGTACGATTATCATACACGATCATAGGAGCAAAGAAATTACTTCATAAAAGACAATTTCAGGCACCGTCTGCGTACAGTTGACTACTGAATTAAAAGCAATGCACCCCACGTCTACCATCTCCGAGACAGCAACAAGCAGCCCTTAGATACATACAATGAACACATCTGAACCATGTAATCATTGTTTATTGAGGTACGACATTGAATTTCCACCGCCTTAGATACAGCACCGAGCTGCTACCACGTTAGCATGGTTACTACCAGGCGCTTCACGCCCGGGGATGTATATTTAGTCTCTAGATCTGCTTCCGTGTGCTTCGGGCTCGATTCCCTCGATCAAACAGCGCTGTGTGCGATTTACTGAACACAAATCGATACTCGTAGAGATTCGCGGGCGTGCGGGCGAGCTCGGGGGATCTCGTGAGTTCAATCTGTACAACATCTCGGGAATTGAGGATATGAGAGCTGGTGAGAGGAACGGCCCGGCCGGTGGCGCTGTCGCTGATCGGAAGGCGACTTTGGTTCTGGCTTGGTTCTTGTTGAAGCGCTCGGCGCCGCCGGTTCGCTTCGCTTCGCGTCACTTCCACTTCGGTGCCTTGGCGAGATGTTAATATGCTGTCCATACGCGCTTTTGATATGAAGCTCTTAATGTCCTGGGGGGACATGTTGCCTCGAGATGAACAGCGGTGCTGTATCGACTCTGTTATGTAACGTCCACACTGACACTGTTCGCATCAAGGAGCCTGGCCTTGTTCGAAGTTTCTAAGGCATTGTCAGGCGGACACGTGCCATGCGATCTTTATATATCCTCTCAGTACGGGTGAAAGTAGAATACTTGGTGGTGGAAGTAACCGTCATGAGGCGTCTGGCGACCTCGGATATGAACCCCATTACTTACACACACTCGCTCGCCGTGCTCATCGTGCTCCACAGCGGCGATGAGGACTGAATGATTGCTGGGGATGCGGTACGTTCTGACCGCATGGAGCGCTCGGTGCTGTGATCGCTCTGACCTCTCCCTCCTCTGTTCTCTTGGCCGCTAGAATAAATCAAGTCGCAAGTCGCCGTCGAAGAGATCACCGCGGCGAAGGATTTCGTGGGTGAGCGTCAAACGCGTGGTACGGCGCAGCCTGAGGTGATGTTGATGATCTCGAGAGAGTAGTGCCTCATGCCGTCGGGTCATGCTTCACTCGGAATATCTTGTTCATGGAAGGATAGATGTGGACAGAAGATCTTGGTTTTTTGACCACTCCGTGAGCTCTTTGGCTTCTTCTTCTAGTCCTTACAATATGCCGTCGCCGCCTTGTGAGCGCCAAATTATTATAAGCGCTTTGCGCCTTCAGGACATGTACTATATGTGACCTAACTTCTAAGCTAGACTGCGGCGTCCTCGGCGAACGCAGTACGGTACAAGATGCTTGCAGTAGGACAGTGGGTAATATGTGACTGAACTCGATGTTCCTCTTCTGTCGACCTCAGGAGTTAGGCTTACACTACTGTCTGATCCCAGAGAAAAGAAGGGCGCGAACATGTGCACACACACTATCTAAGGATGTTAGTCTCATGACATGAGATTATATCGAAGCTTTGAGATGTATCGATTGAGCAATATTCCCGCACTAGAGTTCAGTACCCATGGCTAATTATTCGAGAGACCCGAGACAGTTCTGAAAAAACGGGGAGGTCCTACTCAACCCGAAGAAAACGAATCTGGGTGTTAGAAAAATGTACAAGTGTTCCCGCTCGTTCTTTAAGAACTGTATACTGGTAGAAGAGCCGGACTTTCCAGAAATACTAGAAGCTGCTCGAGTCGAGCGCACATCTTACATACGGTGGGGCATTTTCAAGACAACTTTGATTTTATTTTGGTGAAAAGTGGTTATATCACCTAACGATCACCTAGTCTCATTGATTACACGCTCATCTACGTGTTCAGGAAATGCATAATAAGTCAAACAAGCCGTGCCGGAATTAAACGCTAATAACCCAAAATAACCTAATGATTAATATACGCCATATGACTTACCCAAATTTGACTGGAATGGACAGCGACAAATGGCACCGCCGCGGTTGGAGGTCATATCATGGGTGTGTCAATAAGACAAGGCACAAGAGAAGCTCCATGGTCTTGGACATACAGTAAACGCGAACTGAGCTCGGATGACGCGGCCCATGTGCCCCCTCTGCATCATCCGCCGCCGCCGAGATACCAACAGCTAATTGCTATATTATTGTGGAGTACAAGTGGGATAATCTCTCGCGAGGAATAGGACCTCTGGAGCCCGCTGTGATGTATGACGGTGGGAGGTGAGTCGGTGGAATCCGAGTGAGCATACCGTCACATGTGCGGGCAGAATGCGTTGAGTGATCGAATGCTCAGTAAGCAGTCATTGAGTAAGCAAGCGTCCAAAATCCCGTCCTGTGGAATATGGTACAACACATACCACTTATATGACCAACACAGCACCTTTTCCAGTCACGCACCGAAACGACCCGGCGGCGCCGGCGAGGTTTTGCCAAAACCAAGTCCTCCGCGCTCGAACGGTGATCGCTTTGGCCATTCCCTCAGTCTGCTGGCCCCCTGGAATAAATGGCGGTTCATTCAAGTCGCCGCTCGACAAGATCACCGCGGCGAAGGGGGCCCGTGAGCGTCAATGTGTCCCGCAGCTGAGACTGATGAATTCGTGTGCCTCATGGCGGTGTCCTGATCCGTTGAGAACTTATGCGAGGAGAAAGGAAGGGAAGAGAAGAGAAGAGAAACGAGGGTAATGTCGACCTGGATTTTGGGACGGCTATTCAGCTCCTTGTTTTGTTGACGGTGTTTCCTTGTCCCTCGTCTCCCAGTCACGGGGGGCCCTGCATACTCTCATAGCCATGCATTGCCATAGCGAGCATGTCCGGGCAGCCTCGTGTTCGAGGCATGCTTGAGAGGTCTTTCCCAGAGAAGACGCAAAACCACGCTCAAAGTCACTTGGTCCGTGTTATACGCGACATGCTACAACACCGCCGTCCCTAGTAGACACTCTGAACTGAAGTTGTCTGCAACAAGCCAAAATCTGCTCACAAAAAAATGAGACAAATCTTGACGTAAAATACGAATACGCCCCGGCAATAGCCCAGTCGCAGGCGGAAGTTGTCCATCTGTGCGGTCTTTACGCAAGGTATCGCGGCCGAGTTGACACGCGAAAAAGTAACAAGCACGCGGAGTACGCGCTACCCCCACCGACAGACCTTGGTCGGTGAAGGTAACACAAAAGTTATTGTAGGCGTTTACTTGTGAGTCGATCATCATACTTACCTAGATGACCTCGTACAAGCGAGCGCATCGAAAGGCGAGTTTGGCGAATCAATGTGTTATTTGTTCATTAGACTTGCTCTTTGATGATGGCGTCGAGGTTGGCGCACATAGAGTCGAATGCCATCGCCGCCGCCGCCGTCTCATACGCGACCCTGCGTACTCACATAGCCTGGCATCGCCATAGCAAGTGTACGGCCTCGTGTTAAAGGCATGGTTGAGATCTTGAGACGTTTCCCAGTCAAGGCGGTAAAACCGTGCATGCTCGCGAGCATCCGGCTCCCGTCGCACTCGGCGTGCTACAGCACCGCCGTCCCCAGGCAACACATGTCGAGGGAGACAGCTTGTTCCAAAGAGGTCAGATAATTCTGCATAGACGTAAAGATCTGCTCACATAAAATGAATATAAATCTTGAAGTACCAGCGCCTGCCATTGATTGCGCACTCCCGGGTAGTAGACATCCATTTGCACGGTCTTCACGCAAGGGATAGTGGCTGTGCAAACACGCTACGAGTTGCAAGGCACGCGAAGCACGCGCTGCTGGCCATAGCGACAGATCTGGGTCGATGAAAAAATAGCACAAAAGATGTTGAAGGAAGCTCGATCATCATAACATGTTCCTACCTCAAGCGAGCGAGCTAATCCATTAAACAGTCATTAAGCTGGCACTTTATCATCGGAGACAGGGGCCTTGGTATGACGTCGAGGTTGGCGCACAGAAAGCTGTGATATCCGTCAGCTGGACTCTGATCAGGCATCCTGGAGCGTCATGCGATACTGCGTACCTATCCTCGGTGTGCCATGGCGTTTGCTGCGGATGACCGGGGCTAGGACCGGGGCTATTCCAGACGGCGAATGTCTGGTGACATCACCTATGGCATCAACAAACAAGCGAACACGAGTTTCTCGGAGGGCGAGCCATAACGATATTCCTCAGTCGGCACGCTTGGAGGAAGATAGCCTGTGATAAAGCAGACGATAGCAAGGTACAAAGAACGAAAGGGATTGTATTGCTTTCAAGACAAGCCGAGGCCCGAGGGAGCGCTCTGTGGGGAATTTGAGCGGCGCCCGAAACGGGTGGGTGTGCTTGTGCGTTGAGTGTGGCAGTCATTGTCAAGGACGCGTCCGTCCTGCTCACCCAACAATCCGCCATGTCCGCCCAGCCCCGTCCCTCTCTCGTCTTGGCCCCATCAGTCAACACTACAACGTAAGTCAATATCCTGTATATGCTTTGTCAATGATGCTTTGTCATTAATCATCCCAATGCTTACCCAGGGTGGTCACCACGACCACGACGACTACCACATACGCGCCCATACAGCTCCCGCCCCTCCCCCCACCATCCGAGCCCAAGGATCCAAAGACATACCCCCTCCTCCAAGCACATCTCCCACAATCGCTCCGTAACTTTCAGCTCGTATTCCCCGGCGGCTCACGGGCTACCTTCAAGGATGGAGAGGACGGAGAAGATGAGATGCAGGAGGAGGACGAGGTCGCGAGCGGCGACGGCTGGCGCATGCTCCGGCGCGACGAGGCCGGCGGGGAGACGAGCAAGTCCGTCGGTCTCGCAGAGGCGGTAGAGCGGTACGGCCGGAAGCGCTCCCATGGCGTCGGCGTCGATAGCATGATGGAAGGCGTCGAACCCACCATCGAGTACGACACTAGCACGCCCCCGCGCAAGAAGGCCCGCGCTACACATCTCCCGCCCATCAGCACCGTCAATGCCGCCGCGCCTCCGTCCCCGCTGCCGTCCCCGCATGGATCGCCGCCGCCCCAGAACGTCTGGCCATCCGCGCCCCCTAGCGGCGCTTCTTCCCCGCAGCCACACGCCCCATTACAGCCCGATCTCTCGCTCACCACCCTCCTCACCCTCCCTTCCCTCCTATCACACTTCAACAGCCTTCCGCAGCAGCTGCAGTCGCATTTATTGCTCACGCTGCTGCGGCACTCCCCGCTTCCCGTACTGCGCACGCTGCACTCGGTGCTGACCCCTACCCTCGCACGCGACTTCCTCACAATCCTTCCACCAGAACTCGTCTCGCAAGTCCTTGGCTTCCTCCCGTACTCGACGCTCGCGCGCGCATCCCGCGTCTCGCGCTCATGGCGCGCCATCATCGACTCGGACCCGGTTCTCTGGCGCGATCTGCTGAAAAGCACAAAGATCTGGTTCGGCGGTGACAGCGAGCGCACATTCGCGCGCTCCATCTACGCGCGGCGGGCGCGCGACCCGCCGCCGATACCGTCCTCCCTCCCACTACCGCACCCGTACAAGTCTTTGTTCAAGAGCCGGCACCTGACGCACAAGCGGTGGATCACGAACGAGCACCCGACGCACCGCTCGTTCCCCGCGCACGGGAGCAGCGTGGTGACGTGCCTGATCTTCTCGCGGGGGCGCATCATCAGCGCGTCGGACGACCACTCGATCCACGTGTACTCGCCGCTCACGGGCGAGCTGCTGCAGTCGCTCGACGGGCACGAGGGCGGGGTGTGGGCGCTGGCGGCGAGCCGGGACACGCTGGTGAGCGGGTCGACGGACCGGACGGTGCGGATATGGAATTTGGAGACGGGCAAGTGTACACATGTGTTTGGGGGGCACACGAGCACGGTGCGGTGTCTGGCGATTGTGAAGCCGGAGTGGATCGAGGTGGAGGGCGAGAACGGGGTGGTGAGCAGGGAGAAGTGGCCGAAGCGCTCGGTGATTGTGACGGGGAGCAGGGACCATTCGTTGAGGGTGTGGGCGCTGCCAAGGCCGCGTGATCCCGAGTATAGGTGTTTTACGGCGGAGGATCAGGAGGCGGATCCGTCGGAGGTGAGTGGCGCCGTTTGAGCACTGGTTTTGGTGTAAGGACGGTGACTAAGTGGTGTGTCAGGAGGATGTCGACGAGAACCCGTATCACCTTATGCATCTCGAGGGCCACGACCATGCGGTTCGCGCGCTCGCTGCGCGGGGACGGATATTGGTGTCGGGGAGCTATGACTGCACGGTGCGGATATGGGACATCGTGACGGGCGAGTGCAAGTGGGTGCTCGTCGGGCACACTCAAAAGGGTAAGGTTACGCCCATACAACATACATCCGCGACTTTTCTTTGTTAACGACAACCCTCAGTGTACAGCGTCGTACTCGATCTCTCGCGGAACCAGGCCTGCTCGGGCTCGATGGACGGGACCGTGCGCGTGTGGAATCTGCGCACGGGGCAGTGCCAGCACACGCTCACGGGGCACACGTCGCTTGTCGGCCTGCTGGGGCTCAGCCCGAACTTTCTCGTGTCCGCGGCGGCGGACTCGACGCTGCGGATCTGGGACCCGGACACGGGCGAGCTCAAGAACACGCTCGCGGCGCACACGGGTGCGATCACGTGTTTCCAGCACGACGAGTTCAAGGTGCTGAGCGGGTCGGACGGGACGCTGAAGATGTGGAATATCCGGGACGGGAGCGTGGTTAGGGATTTGTTGACGGGGGTGATGGGGGTGTGGCAGGTTGTGTTTGAGGGGCGGTGGTGTGTTGCTGCGAGTAATCGGAATCCGCAGACGGTGTTGGATGTGTGGGACTTTGGGGTGGAGGGGGACGAGGATTGGGTTGGGGAGCCGCCTGGGGGTGTGTATGATGAGGATACGGAGGAGGAGGAGGAGGAGGATGAAGATGAGGAAGAAGAAGAGGGGGAGGAGGAGGGGGTAGGGGGAAGGGAGGGAAGAGAGAGGACGGAGCTGCTCGAAGAGGACGATGAGGAGGCGGAGGAGCAGGCGGATGTGGATGCGATGGATGAGGATCTGGAGGTTGCGCCGTCGGAGGTGTCGTTTGAGGACGATGCTGCGCCTCCCCAGCAACGCCAACAGCGTGTATATCAGCATCGACATCGGTACCAGGACGAGAGCACGACCGAGGGCCAGGAAGACACGTCGACAGTCGCGCTCGAGTCTGACGAGCCGATGGAGCGCGATACGAGCGCGGATCGGTCCGAGTCCGCGGGCCCGTCTGCGTCGGCTTCGGTGTCGGCGACGACGAACGCGTCGGTCGCGTCGCTGTCGAGTGTGACGTCGAATGCATCGACTACTAACACGACGTCGCGCGCACCTGGCCATCATACGCGGGGCAAGCATGTGCTCTTGGGCGGTGGCGGGAACGCTGTCGCTGGGTCATCGAACTCGAACTCGAACCCGAGGCGGCGGCTGGGTGTGGGTGCGACGGGGCCGCCGCTGGATGGTGTGCCGGCGAGGTTGCCTGCGAACGACGAGACGCCGACGAGGCCGAGGGTGAGGCCTGTGAATAGGAGTAAGCGGCCGTAGGTGTGGGTGTGTAATTTTGTGTGGTGGAGGTTTGGGAGGAGGGGTGTTATGTTTCTTTTTCATTCTTTTTTATTCTTTGTTGGCATTGCATTCATCACACATCGCTATCGAGTTCATGTTCACATTCAAGTGCATTTCGTTCGACCATTCCGTTCCGCTTCCGGCGCTACCCCTTCCTTTCTTGATTTTTTTCTTTCTTGTTGGTCCACTCTTTGCGCTCGAGCTGTACTGTACCATGATACCGATATCGAGCGCTGAGCAGGGACAGGGCCGACGGCGTGGGGTTCCTTGAGCTGTTATTCAGGCCAGATGAGATCAGATTGTATTCTATATTTTGCTGTTAAAGCGATGCGTTGGTTGTATGGGACACGGTCTCTGTAGAATATGTGTTTATGGTTGGTTCAGATTACGAATTTTTATGATGGCTAGTATTAATATCTGTTTTTGATTAATATGTTATTCCTTTATCATCCATTCTGTAGCCTGGGTTTTTTACTTTTCAAGGAGAAAGTTTAGACGGCATGAGGCGAGCGTCTTGAAGTAAGACAAAGGAGTGTGGGAAAAAGCATTCGAGCGTGTCGCGCGTGTCTGTGGCTGTGTTAGTGTGACGCGCCCTAGTTCCGCGGCGGACGGTATGTTCTTCCGTCAGCAACACACACCACCACCTTCCCTGCCTTCTTGACGGAACATAACAATATAGGAGAGAAAGAGAAAGAAAGAGGACGACAAATGTGAGTGGTTTGCTGGGAATGGCTCGATGTATGCGGCTGACCGCGCAATTTCCATCTGGACGTGATCAGCATCCATCCCCTTTGCCTGTTTACATTCAACCGTCAACTCAACCATCCCCAGCTTTGTCCCAAGAATCGCACCATGTCCGGCTCGCCCAGTCTCGCAGGCCGTCTCATGCCCCGGCGCAGCGCGGCCACAAAGGCCTCTGCCAGCTTCGCGGACCAGCTCAGCTCCCCCGGCAGCTCCAGCCCCAGCGCGCGCTCGGATGACTCGTTTGGAGGCAGCGGCGGCGAGAGGCACGCTCCATCCGTCAAGGTCCGGTATGGCGGGAAGCACAAGTATCACGCTTCGCCGCTCAAGGTCACGTCCACGTCGTCTGCGGAGCAATCGCCCACCCGCAAGCCAAGGCCAACGCCGAAGCCAAAGCCCGTAGGGAAGCGCGCTGGGAGATCTGGGCAGAGTCAGAAGAAGCGGAGAAGGTCGCGCTCACGCTCGCGCGAGCCTGCGTCGAGCCTTTCTTCGTCTCCGTCGCCTTCTACCCCAAAAGCGCACGCGACGAAGAAGGCCAGGGTGGAGAAGCCGAAGCTGAGCCCGCTCGACACGGCCGCGCTGAGCGCGCCACTGCCCAGCAAGAACGAGGGCGAGGGCGAGGGCGAAGGTTCGCCACTGACGGAGCCTGACTCGCCTCTCACTCCCGTCTCTGGCTCGCCCGCCGTCGCCACGTCCCCCATCTCCCCCGGCTATGCGAGCCCGCCGCCGTTTATGAAGTCGCTTTCTCAGGCGTCTGCTTCTGCTTCTGCGAGCGCAAAGAAGGCGGTGTCGACTCCGTCTGCGAAGAACGGCGCGAAGAGGAAGCTCACACGGCCCCACACTATTTCAAAGGCTCCGCCTGGGTCGGCGAAGACATTGGCAGAGATGGTGCATACGCATACGCATACAAACGGAAAGGGTAAGGGCAAGGATAAAGGGAGAAGCGCGTATACCGAAGAACTCGGCAGCTTCGTGTTCGTGCTCGTCGGTGAGAACGGCAAGGTGGCGGCCGGCGAAAGGGACGGTGCTAGCGGGAAGGGCCAGAGGGATGTCAGTGTGCAGATCATCGAGAGTGTGACGTGGTGGCCTGCTCGGGTGCGTGACTACTGCCTTTCTATGCTAACTAATTAATGACATACGGACACTATGTACTCTAGGTATCGCGCATGCGCTCAGAGACGTCCGGTGCCCTCCAAGTACGCCTCTTCGGTGACAATACTCCTGGATCCTCGTCTTTATCCTCGTCAACCACCCCCTCCTCCTCCTTCCCGCTCGCTTCTTCCTCCAGCCTCCTTCCCATCGAATCGCCCTCCCCCGCGAACGTACGCCCGATGCGCACGCCTAGCGGAGAGCTCAGCTTCACAGACAGCACCTGCCGGTACACCTCTGGCGCCACGAAAGGCGACGACGGCCCACCGGACCCGACGTCCAGCTCACCGGGACACGAGCCGCCGCCGCGCCCCAAGAAGCGCCCGAAGTCGGCCTGGCAGGCCGCGGTGGACAAGATGGTCGAGGCGGAGGAGCAGGACAAGGACGGGATGCCCGCGTTTATCTCGTCGTTCCGCCTCGACTCGGATCTGGACGAGGATCTGGACGAGGACGGTGATCTCGCTGATGGTGATGGGAACGGCAAGCATGCGCCTGCTTCTTCGGGCAAGGACAAGGTCACGAAGGGGACAAAGGGGACGTCGAAGCGGGTGTTTGTCGATTTGCTGGATGTCGACGACGACGACGACGATGTGGACATGGACTTTGGCGACGATGACGACGACGATGATTTGGACTATCTGAGCGTGCGCGTTGGCGACTTTGTGCTCTCGTGGTACCCGCGCACGTGCGAGGCCTATTGGCCTGCGAAGGTCATTGGGATTCAGGAGCCAGTGAGGGAGCCCGGCGGCGCGAAGGGGAAGGCGAAGGGGAGGAGGAAGGGGCGGATGTATGAGCTCGAGTTTATGGATGGGGTACGCAAGGCGCTGCCGAAGAAGAAGTTCTTCACGAATGACGAGAAGGGGTTCGTGACTTGCAAGGTGAAGCGTGCTGTCATTGTGAGGTGTGGAAGCTAACGGTTTGCTTCTATCATTTCCAACGAACCGATAAATAAACAGCTCGGAGAGTGGACGAGCAAAGTCAAAGACGTCGACGGCCCCGACGACGACGACGACGCGAACGACAGCGCTAAACCCCCTCCTTTCTCCTCCTTCTCCCCCTCCTCTTCCGATCCCTCGCAACAGCGCCCGCGCTCGCCCAGCCCCGCACCCGTCCTCCCTCCACCCGCGAAAGAAGCGTTCGCAGACCTCCCGCTGCGCACGCAGCTCGCGTACGTGAAGCCCGTGTTGCTCGCGACCCTGCGCGGGGCGTACGCGCCCGCGCTGGCGCGCCACCGGGCGTTCATGAAGGGCGGCGCGGCGCGCGCGGGTATACAGAAGGACGCGGGCGTGCGTGGCGAGATGGGCACGACGGATGTGGCGGAGCTGAGGGCGCTGATTAGCGAGTGGGTGTTGAGGGGGGAGACGCGGGGGAGGCCGGGGGTTGGGGAGGACGTTGAGGAGAATGAGGGCGGACAGGGGGTGGGGGTGGATGTGGTGCCGATGGATGTTGATAGGCGAGGGCCAGAAGTGGGAGAGGAAGGCGAAAACGTCGACGTGACGAATGGGAATGGGCATGTCGAGGCCCCAGGCCCAGGGACCGGGGAGGCATGTGTATGTGTTCGCGCCATTCTCCTTCTGTCTTCTTTCTTCTCGTGTCCTCGTATCTCACAATCTTGCGTTTTCGCAGCCCGATACCAACCACCCGCTTGCGATTGGCGGTACCGATTCTTCTGCATTAACTTCCGCAAAACCAAGCGATGCATCCCACCAGCCCGATGGCGAAGCACAGCAGGGAGGCAATGCTATCGGTCAAACTTCTAGCCAGAACGATCCTTACGAGACGGTCAGTCGTCCTTCTCTTTCTAGCTTGATAAGACCACGCAAGGTTCTGCCCTATCGTCCCTCCCTCGCTGGCTTGCTGCCCGGGGTTCCGAGATAAGGTTTGCGCAGCGCTGTACTGCGTAACCTCCCTTGCGTTGGTCAGAAACTCCCAGCCAAGCCGAGCCCGAGGAGGCCAGGGCTGCTGCGGGCCCGGGCCAAAGATACCGCGTATCGCTGCCTCTCGGGGCGCTCCCGAGTCTCTTTCGTGATTCTCGTTATCTGTGTTTCTTGAATCGTCAGATATCAGAGCATAAGCGGCAATGGAGCGTGGCTGACCATATGCTTGCGGCTTCGCGGTTCACAGGTCGAGGTGGGGGCTGTTCCGTCGGGAGCACCTGGTCTTCCGCGCGAAAGGGAGACTGAAGCCGATGCGTTATCTCAGGGCCGAGCGGGGGCGGAAGCCCAGCATAAGGTGCCGATAGAGGTAGAGGCGAAGACGGTGGTGAAAGAAGGTGCTGGTCATGCGGTGCGTTCCTGGTTTATTTTCCCTGCGTTGGCTTTGGCAGGGATTGTGCGATATGATGCAGTTTCGCTGATAATAATCGTGCTCTTGCGCCTTGGATTTTTAATTAGGACGAAGAGCGAGGCGATGCGACTGCAGAAGCTTCGCAGGCCATATCCAGAAAGCCGTTCGGGTGTGAGGAGTACGAGAGTCTCGCTGGACACGAAAAAGTCGCTGTGCGTGCTGTTTCACTCGTTTTCTCTACCCATGCTTACACATTGACCGCTGCATCTCGCCCGCTTCGTCCACCGCTGACTAAATGCCATTTTGACACGCGTTAGTACTGCACGGACGTCCTCCTACGCGAAGCCGTCCAACAACTGCACCTCTGGCGCGCGGGCGACCGCACGTCAGTTGACCTGCTCCCGGAGGCGGAGGAGGCGCGGCTGCACGCGATTGCGGTGGGGAAGATGGAGTACAGGGACTGGGTGTGGGATGTCGTGCGCATGCGTAAGGCGCAGGCCAGACTGCATAGCAAGCGGGAGGAGCCGAAGAACGCCGCCGCCGCCGCTAGTGCTAGTGGGGGGACGCGGTCGAGGCCGAGGACGTCGACGGTTTCGAGGCGGTAGTTTGATTTGTCTCTATGGTGTATCTCTACAGTTCTTGAGTCCAATGGTAATGCTGATTCAATGAGTAGGCTGTCAGTGCTGAGTTTTGGCCTGCTTTCAGATATGTTTTCGGAGCTGTTTGCTCATTAGACATAGGGATGCCTTTGTCGGGGTTTTCAGGGGGGGTTATTAACATTGATAACTTACTTGATTCTGAATGTCTACGTCGGCAATGACAGCACCGCCTTTTGTCCAGGGGATGAAGGTGAGGTGCCCCGACAAGCAATGCGATCTTGCCTATACTGACACTACTTACTACGAAAAGGGATGTCGGGAACCTGCATCGACACGTATGTTCTACGCGCGTCAAGCACCTTCAGCAATCCAAACGAGCAGGATACCGCCTTAGGAGGGTACACGGCAGTTGCGGCTGTGGCGTACTGGTTTATTATTATGCGTTCAGATGGAATGATGGCGCGTGGTCAACCGGTCAAGTACAACATCCTGCCTTGGCAGGCATGTATTAAAGCTTGACGGTCGTCTTATAACTAGATTATGGCGCTTCAAAGTGGGCTGGTCGACCTCGCAGTTTCATAGGTAGGTCATGGCTGCGCCTATTGTCATCTAATTGGGAGTTTCAGGCGAGTGTCAAGACATCGCACACCACTTGAGTGGCCCATTTCTACCCGACAGTTCTCGGCTTCTTTGCTTTCATTGTTTTCGGTAACCGTCCACTTGAAACTAACAAACGAGTATTGCAGGCAGCAGTTTGGCTACCTACGTGCGCCAGGAGCTTACTGTAGTCAGACGTAAATAACGGCAGAAGCGAAGAAATATCAGACAGCGAAAGCGAGGACAGGGTTCCCTATCGTCGGCGAGCTGGTACCAGTATAATTGCAAGTCAAGAAGTCAAACCCAAGTGAAAGGCCGGAAATGATGGAGAACCGACTCCGACGACCGCATGGCATATAGCCGACGACTCGGACGGAAGAATAGTAATTCCGGACTGAGTTTTTCCTCACTTCGACCAGTTGTGGGACGGTGCGTGATCAAACCTACGACAGGGAGAGGAAATGAAATGGCATGAACCTGGCAACCGGTGGGATACTCTGAAGGTACGTTTTCAGAGCAAAAGAGATGGATCCTTAACCAACAAACCAACAAACAGGTAACCCTGATGACATGGACAGCGGCCGATGCGGCGCGGTATGAAGTAAACCACAGCCACGACAAGTTGAGCTAATTCATTGAGTTATTCACGGGTTCACACGACATACGGCTCAAACTATAATTTATTCGAGATTGAATCAACCAGCGCCCACTAGCTCATGCACGACTATGCTTCTTCTCTTCGCCCTTCTCTTGCTTGTTCTCTTCCCTCTCCGCAACGCGCTCCCTCAAACCCCTCGTCGCCAGTTCCTAGGACATGGCCTCCGCTTCAAGCACACTGACGGACTCGGACCCTGATCAAGTAAGAGCGCAGGCGGCGTTCACAGCAAACCTCCGAATCATAGGCTCAATGACAATCGGCGGCGCGTTCTACGGGTTCATGTCCACCGCGGCAGCCCTATGCGCGCATTCGCTCATCCAGACTCGCCAATCCCGCTCGCGGAAACATCTCGTGTTCCTTCTTGCATACGTCGGCACACTTTGGTTAGCAGGTACGACAGCGATTGTGGGCATGTCTGGAATCGTCATTGAGACGTACGTAATTCACGCGTCAACCTCGCTCGAGAGCCCGTACGTGCAGAATCTCGCTCCGGGGGGGTTCACTATGGTTGCGGATATCCCTTTTTGGATAATTTGCATGCTTTCGGACGGTATGATGGTGCGTGGTCGAATGTGTCGTCTTGCTCCTCATGTATACTGATGCATATACGGCGGTTTTTCTTGCCAGGTCTGGCGGTTCAAGGTTGTTTGGTCAATGTCACATTTCTATCGCTACCTGATAGCCGCACCTGTTATCCTCTATCTGGGAACATCGAGTACGTATCAAGATACAGTGTGATCTTCATTTGACTAAATGCAGTCCCGTGCCATAGTTCTCGGGTTTCTTGCTTTCATAGTCTTTGGTAACCACCCTGTCACGGCCGGCAATGATACCTACAACTTGTATCTTGTCACTACCATGTTTATATCCTCTTTCTGCCTCAATGTCTACATCACCGCCTTCATAGCGGGCCGTCTCTTTCTGTACAGGCGCCGCTTTAAAGCTAACTGGGGTACGCGTCTGTTCATCTCCATCCCTCTTTCACGCTTATACAACCATGTCTCGTCTTTACCAGGGTCACCCGACACAAGCCACTACTCATCTATGGGTAGCATACTTATCGAGTCATACATTCCCTTAACAATCTGCACCATCCCCTTCCTGGCGACGTATCTCCTGAACCATCCGGCCGAGTATATGGCAGCCCTAATTCTCGGCGAGATGCAGATCATCGCGCCACTCGTGGTCATGATCCGCGTTTCACGCGGGGTTGCATGGGGTTCGTCGACCGCGCCACAGTCACTAGAGGACGTGGTGGACAGAATGATCGAAGCTCACGAGCTGCGAACGGTGCAGGGTGCAGTTTGAAGGAGTGAAGTTTGTTGGCGCTTGGTCATAGGGAAAAGCAAACAGTGACACCTCGAGTCTTGCCCATGTATTGCCATCGTTTGCGCTGTGTTGTGTTATGATATGCTACGGCGGTTTCTATGGCAATAGGTGGACGCATGACATAGCGGCTTAGTGCACACATGGGCTCGTTTTACGTTACTACTCGAGAATGATGAGATTCTTCTGCACTAATCAATCCAGTAATGTACAAACTCGTTTTTTCATATCGTTCCACATTCGTTTACAAGCTGTACCGCCTATCATACACGGAGGCCCTAACTTACACCAATATCTCTTGTACGACCTCGCGAAGCCCCTCAGCATATGAGTCTTAGGCCACACAGTCAGCCCCCAGCATGATCCTTTCGAGGGGGAAACCACTCGTCGCACGTACTCCGAGTGGATCGACAAGTAACCTGTAGGTGCGGGACAAAACCATCGAAACGTCCATGCCCCTGAAAACCGAAGACATGAGGTTCCTCGGGAGTCGAGGTGCGGCAAAACCACAACCACCCGAGGTGGTCGTCAGGAAGCTGCGTTGCGAGAACGCGCAGCTCTGGCGTATGAGCAGAAAGGTTGTTCTATGGAATGACCCCCCGGGAACGCTGGTTTGATGTCGAGATGGATGCTTCGGATGTGGTGGAGAGGCAGTACTTGCGATGCAGAGCGGGACGATGAACTTGCGCGGTAGTTTGTGTTGTTTTTACATGGTGTATATCTACAGTGCTTGCGTCCAATGGTAATGTTAGTTCAATGTGTGGGCTGTTAGTGCTGAGATTCGCCTGCTTTCGGAGAGGATGTGTTTCAAGGTTGTTTGCGTTTGCTCAGTAGACATGCCTTTGTCGGAGTTTTTCCGGAGCTTGATTGGCACAGATTGGCACTTGCTTCTAACCGGCCACGTTGATGATCATTGACCCGTCCCGAGTACGGGGTTTCCACCCTCAGACCTCCGTTCTTTAGTGTCTTTGTCTCACCAGGACTGGCGACGAACCTATCATCCCAATCCTTAATGCCTTGCGGAACCTCAAGCCCACTCAAGCTCAGTCACGATTTCCGGCAAGTCTTTGGCTGCCACGGTGACCAAGCAACGACCCTTCAAGTTTGGAGTTTTTTGTTTACATGGGCAGGGCTCGTCTCGTCTGAACATGTCTCCCTGAAAAGAACAAGCGAAGCGTATTGTTCATCAGGCCTACTTTGAAGCGACGATCAATTCGCTTTGACGTCTGGTCTAGCACTCGGGTGCTATCATATCGCCCACTGCGTATAAAAGCGACGCCATCGTCTAAGCACTGATCCATTACCTCTTACCACCCGCCTCTACCGCCAACTTCTTGCGGCTCATCGGTAGGCATTTTGCGCTCGTCTTTGGCCTTTGATCTGAGCGACGTTCTTTACTAGAAGCTTCAGGATGTCAAACCGTCTTTGGTCAACAGTACTGCTCAACGACGTGCCCCCCGAGCACCCCCTGCCAGGTTTCATCGAGCGCATCACGCTGGGTCTCAGTCAGCATCTCGGGATCGATGAACCTCCCCCGCCGCACTGGTGGAAGCACCAATGCGTATCCTACCAGGCCAACAACGATCACTCTCAAGTGATAGACGTCACGGCCAACATCATGCTTCCGCAGCCCAATGGTTGCGGGAGCCCGCTCTTCTTCACGATCAATCTGGTATCCGCGCTTGTTTTCGACCGCTTGCGCAACGTTCAGTTCCACGCGTCGCGTGCGGTGTACGAGGATATGCTCGGGCTGCATCAGATCTTCTCTAGCGAGGTCCGGCGTAAATGGGAAGAGGCAAGCGCTCAGGCGCGTCAGGCTCAGCTGCACCAACACGAGCTGCGTCAAGAGCAACTCCGTCAAGATCAACTGCATCAAGAAAAAATGCGCCAGGATCAGCTCCGTCAAACCCAGCCCCGTCAAGATCAGCCCCGTCAAGATCAACTGCATCAGTTTCAAGTTCACCAGCCTGTCGCAGTTCAGCCGGATAACGATGTAAGTGCTCTAGTTTCGGTATCCACATAACTAAGCCTTGCTGATGGCGGTATGGCACAGAAAGCCACAGTGTCTTGGGAGTGCTCTTCATGCGACGTTCCGTTCACCGAGCGTGTTTCTCTACCAGAGGATGGACATGCTATTCCTCAGGGCGGAACACCGTGTGTCTGCGGATCCGAATCGTACTGTGACCCATGCATATCCAAAAAGGCCCCTCGTTTCTGTGCTCGCTGCGGATCTCCTTGCTGCGACGACTTCCGCTGCATATCAAGAGACGAGTGCACGGAGTGCGGTGCAGCAGACAACATGTGCTCCAAGTGCCGCGACGAGAATGATGAGCATCCTATCAAGGACCTGGACGACTCGGAAGAGCTCACGACCATCACGTACATGTGCCCGCGTTGCGACAGAGAGTTTTGCAACCGGTGTTCTGTAAGCGCATACGAGCCGTGCCCTGAATGTGGCACAATTCTGGATGCCTGCACAGACTGTCAGCAGATATGCGAAGGTCATGGTTGCGATGCCCCGATTTGTTTTGAGTGTCTTGCATCGTCGAGAGGTAATTCTGGGCGGCGCTATTGCGAATATTGCTCTGGGCAGGAGGATTGGTAGCGCTAATTAACATCCATATATCAAACGAGATTTGATAATGTAGAATTAGATTAAAGGCGTCAATGTGTGCGCATATCTGAACTGACGTTGAGGGAGGAGAAACATCGAGGGAGTGCGTTATGTCTAGGAAATTTATCATGACGTCATGCTCTCGTCTTGCATATGAGTTCTGGTTTAGAAACTTGTTCTAATTTGGGCGTGCCCCTGTTTGGCCTATACCGCGTGTTCGTCCTTTAGCTTTCTCCTCCAACCTGCATCACCGCAACTCATCGCCCCAGTGCCTGCGAGATTCTAGACGATCCATCCATGAACCATGTTATCCCTAATCAAGCAATATCGGACGCAAACACAGTCGACTCAAGCATCCGTGTGAGCAACCATTGTTTTTGTGCTCAGATAGCTTATCTCTAGGTCTTGTCTTGTGAAAAGTGGTGGCCCGAAGCAGCGGCTAATACCATGATACACAAAGCTCGTACCGGACTTTCTAACTCCTCTCAGGTTAAAGCAACTTGCTGTGCATGCTCAAGTCCACTTCTTGAATGTCAGTGGTGTAAAACAGTATCATGCAGCGGTTCCAAAGATCCCCAATGTTCCGAATTCGCTCGAGCAGCAGTTAAACTCGGGGAAATTTCCAGTAAAGTGTTATGTCATGCTTGCTCGTCCGAGCAGTTCTATATTTCAGACCCCTCTCAATGTCCCCAGTGCAAGGAGATGCGACCACCGGAGCAGTTTTCCAAGTGGTGTATCGGAATACCGCTACCTGCTGTACCCCACAACATAACCCCCGCTCCCCGTCGTCATCCACCTACGCCAGGACCGTGCGACACCTGCACTCAGAACGGGCCTCTACCCCTCAGGACTTGCGTCATGTCCCGTTGCTGGTACAATCACCCTGTCCTCATGAAACTCCTATTCATCAATTCGGACTCCACCTCACGCTACTTCACAGGCTACGCATCTTCTGGCTTTGTGTGCTCCGAGTGCTCTCCCAATGGTGGAGAGCATTGCGCGTGTGGTTGCAGCTGGGCATGCGACGCCTGCGTAGACGAAGGCTCGCTCCAAGGTTGCTTGGGATGCGGCGTCCGATTCTGTCATGTCGAAGAAGATTGCAGGAACACAGAGTGGTGTCATATATGCAAGATCCCTCGTGTCTGTGATGACTGTATCGAAGAGGAACCCGAGAACCCAGAAGAAAGTACAGGGCTGCGCTTGACCAGGCGCTGCAAACAGTGCTACCATCCGTATTGCGGCGATTGCTTCGAGGCACTGTTTGCTTGCATACACTGTGATGCGCGCATCTGCGAATGGTGCCACCGGGATTACCACAGCCAAAAGTTCGGGGGAGGCCCTGTAGGCTTCGTTTGCAAACGGTGCCAACCGTGCGGTGCAGAGGTCTTGACCCGTAACAATTGGGGTGGTGGTTTTGTGAAGATTGAGCATGGTTGGCTGGAGGTTACAGGCTCTGTCGTACGCTGAAATGATGTATATGTTCATAGTTCAAGTACGTAACTTTGTGAGTCAATCGTGTATTCGTATCTCTGCTCTGTCAACTCGAAATCGTCACTCGTCATATTTTGAGTTTTGGATTACCTCTGTTGGAATACAAGTCTGCAGGATATGCATAGGTTATACTTGCGCTGTTTCATTGTGGGCGCAATATTTTGCTACAACGGCCCGTTATCAAAAACCCGTAGGAGTTCAGCCCTAGTGGCGAGATGGTGATGCGCCTGGTCCGCACAATTAATACCAAATATAATCAATAACGTAGAGAAAGATACTATCAGCAGTAGCCAACGCATGGCTGAAGGCAAATCCGCGATGAAACTGTAGAATGTTGCAGATGGACTTGGTTAATTGGGATAAAGATGCACCATTGTCACGCAAGCGCGTTCTCTTCATCGCTAAGAAAGTTCAGACGTCGAAGGGGACCTGAGGGATGCAGACAGTTTACATACGTTGAAGCTCGTAGTTATCCTACATCGGAAGAACGGCGGTGATCAGCACGCAACGTCGAGTCGCCGATGAATACGACAAGGCGAGCCCAGAACGAAGAATCGATAGCGGACGTGCCTTTCCAAGTGAACAGTGTGTCCGCAGCTGAGGGTGCACAGGATTGTCTTATATGCCAGAATGGCAGTAGATCTCATCGGAGCATTGCAATCCAGACTATATAGCGACACCTTTTCCCCCTGTCAATCCAGAACTAAGCTTAAAACGGGGGCACGACGTGAAATTGTGAATCAGGCAAGTTACGCGGCATCTCGGACATGCTTGATGGTGTAAGGGGTTTCTTGGACAGGCTGCCTGCCAAGCTACGTCAGACTGACATTAAAGGCATTGTCGTAAAGGCATTGACTAACCGAATATATGGCTACTATATCGCTAGAGGCATGCTATGCATAAGACCAACAATATTAGCGCGTCGCCAGAGACAGGCTGAGGGTTTGTGTTGCTCGTTCACTGTTGGGCCGCGCGTATTGCACCCGTGTCAATGCTATTCCCACGTGCTCCAATTTATTCCCACGACTACAAGCAATTGTCAACAGGATGCTCTCGTCACTTGCAACATTGCTGCGATCAAAAACTTGACAAGGAAACTCACTAAACTTCGTTCCACGCTCCCCGAGAGTCGTCAGTGGCCACTACCCCCAATTCTGATACTTGCATGTTACTTGGGAAATGTAATAGGTTCTTAGCAAGAAAACTAGGCATCACAACTTACGGCTACACCTCACATCAACCTCACATATGCACGCATTCAAGGACACATCATGGGTCGCGCTAATGCTCCACGCCGGAGAAGCAGTGTTATGTCTCGGTCACTACTGGCCGGCTGATCACAACAGCAGCGTTACGGACAGCCTCAGCCTCAGCTAGCCAGCTCTGCCAAGCACACGACACGGCACCTGTCGACCGCATATAAGAGCGTCTTTCGTGCGTCTGTGATTGGCGACAACCCCTCCGTTGAATCCGTCATGTACACCAAAGCACTCTTCGTTCTCGCTTTCTCAGCCTTAGCCGCGTCCGTCTCTGGTGAGTCAACCCGTAGCTTCATCGACGCATTCAGGCTCCTGACTGTCTTTCGGACTGCAGCGACAGCACCAGCGCCGAAGATCACCCCCGCACCTTCCCTCAAACGCGATTCCCCAACATGCGGCTCCGACCCGGGTGCATGGGTGCGGAGATGCCTCGTCGACGCAAACGATAGCAACGGCAACGCGTGCTCAGAGTCCGTCGTTCCATTTCCGTTCCACTCTTGCGGCTGATCGTTATCATTAACATTCAACTGACGAACGTGAACGAACAGGAACGACTTCACATGCCTCTGCAACCAGATCAACGCCAACGGCAACTTCGCCATCTCCGAAGGCCGGTGCGTCTCGGACGGGTGTTTCAACAACCCCGGCGGCGGTGGCGGCTCGGCGGGGTACAGCTCGGCGTCGTCGTATCAGGCTTCTTTCTGCTCTTCGGGTACGTGTAGTTTGAATTGATTCTCTGCTGGGTAGCTCATGCTGGCGCAGCCATCGCAACTCCGTCCGGCACCGTTGTGACTTCGTCGCCGGCACCTACGTCTAGCGCTTAATGCCTTACACGGATATTCGTAATGAGCACAGTCTAACATACAACAATCATATGCTTTTGTGTCTTAAGGACATCCAGGAATAACAAGATAAGGCCTGTGACTTCAGGTGTGTACCTTAGACAGAGGAAGTCAGAGGGAGGCCCTGTCACCGTCTCCATAGTCTTGTTCTCCCTGAAGAAACAAAACACGATGCTCGGGATAGCGAATACAAACCGCTGATGCCAGCCGAGGATATACGGACTGAGAACATGGGGTATGAATTGCAATGAACAAGGTCTCGAAGATGCTGGTTGCTCAAGCCTTTGTTCTTTGTCTCGATACAGACGACAGTACAATGACTCCCAAAACCGACGTCTTCTTCCATGATGAGTCGCCTGTCACGGAAAATACCTGACCCCACAGGCGCCTACAGACAGATATATAGGGATCGCTGCTAGCCGGATGGCAAGATACGGCAAACATCTGCCCTGAATCCTGCATCCTCGGGAGCGTGTCGTCTCTCTCGGTACATTCGACACTCCTCCACTAGCTTAGACCGCCAAACGTGATAGATGTCCACAGCTATAGACCGCGAGCGACAGGTATGTCTTCACAAGACTGCGCCTCAGCGTCTTCAGCGTTAACCGTCCATCGGCGTTTGTCATTCGATAGGCTGTCAAGACGACGAACTACGTATCGCAGTTCACGCACGTATCGGAAGACCAGAAGAACTCCGCCAAATGCGGCTGCGGCGGTGATCTCCTCGAGTGCACCTATTGCAGAACGGCGTCCTGCGCCGTCGGGTCTGCTGGAGGATGCACCTACAGCCGCGGTGTGCCGGTCGTGTTTCGCGACGGGAAGGACATATGGTGCCGGGCGTGCTGGTCTGACGTAGACCGCACCTCGCCCGAGCAGGCACAGTGCATTCGTTGCCAGCAGATGCTACCGTGCAACGAGTTCTTCTACTGGTGCGTTGGAAGACCCGTCCCGGACATGTCGCAGCCGCGGACCTTGGACCAGCCAGCACGGCGTGTGCATGCGATGCGCCCCTGGCTATGCATCCAGTGCAGGGCTCCCCAGGGCGGCCCCAGAGTTGTTGTGAATCGCAGCTGCGGCAATAGGTGTTGCTGGAGCGAGCCGCCTACGTTTGCGACGATCAAGTGGATCGGCAAGTGGAAGCGCGATCGGCCGTTGTGTCATCAATACGTCTGCGAAGAGTGCTCGCCGGGGGAGTTCTCGCACTGCGTCTGCGGCTTCGGGAGGGTGTGCCACGAATGTGAGGGCGTGCGATATCTCTCGCCATGCCAGCGCTGCGGCGAGCGGTACTGCACCGACCCCGATAGGGTCGAATGGGGGTGCACCAACACGGCGCGATGCTGCAAGTGTGGTGTTGCTCGCGTCTGCAATAACTGCCTCGAGGAGGAACTGGAGCCGGACGCGAATCCGAGACGGGCGGAAGCGAAGTTGGCTGGGAGATGCTTGAACTGCACGTCTGCGTTCTGCGAGACGTGCTTCGAGGAGCTCGACAAATGCGTCCGGTGCAGTATGCGGGAATGCACAGGGAAGGGGTGTATCAATTATTATTACGGCTTTGTCTGTACCGACAACTGCGATGCGGTGGGGGCCAGCAGGGAGGACGGCGAGCCGGTTGTTAATGCGGGTATGGCATGCTCTGGGTGTTTTTCAGTGACGGATGAGCTGGAGGACAAGTGGAGATGTGGGACCTGCTTGTCGTACCACGTCAAGGCGGCAGGGCTGGGGTGGCTGCGGATTCCTCGAGGAGATGTAGTGGATATGCGAGCTTCTGAGACTGTTGGGGATCTTGTTTCGTAGTTGATGTTGAGAGTATCATCTAGACTTTATGACATTACTTGCTGAAAGAGAGATGCCGTTGTCGAGTAGACCTTTGTCCATGGTGGTGAGACGAAAACAAGGTGGAAAGGTTAGCCGCTGGGAAACAAAGACGGACCGCGTGAACCGGCTGACGTGGTGTTGGTCTGGACACTTCACCATTGGCGCCCATAACATCCTCGCAAATCTCTCATTTATTAGTCTCCGGACGTCCGAGTCTCGGTGCTCGCTCAAAAGCAGGCGTAGATCCGTCGCAGTGGTCCGTCGTGCACATCGAGAGATCGCAGCTCAAGCTGGTCTATGCCACCACCGACCTCGTCTGATTCCTGGCTAGCCTCGCGGCGCTTCGGAATCGTCATCGACGCTGGCTCGTCGGGCTCACGGCTCCAAATCTACTCCTGGAAAGACCCCCAGACTATCCTCAGGGAACAGGGCGATGCCGTACGCGATCTCCTACCGCCGGTGGAGAAGGGAGTCAGGGAAGGGGACGAGTGGATAACCAAGGCTGAGCCTGGTACGTGGCACTTTTCATCGCGCACATGCCGCCCCGAGGAACCCGCCAACGGGGTTTGCTAGGTCTCTCTTCGTTCGCGGACAACCCTGAGGGCGTTGCTGCCTACCTCGAACCTCTTATCAGCCATGCACGCGCCCACATACCGCCGTCCAAAGAAGCAGACACGCCCATATTCCTGCTCGCCACCGCCGGCATGCGTCTTCTCACCCCCATCCAACAAGCTCGCGTACTCGCTGCAACTTGCAGCTACCTCCGAAATACAAACTTTCGCCTGGAAGACGCCTCAGAAGACGGCCCGTGCGGTTCGAGTGTCAAGATCATCACAGGCGAGGAAGAGGGCCTGTTCGGGTGGATTGCCGTCAACTACCTCATGGATGGCTTCGTCGGCAACTCAACATCCCCCTCAACTAACAAGACGACCTACGGCTTCCTCGACATGGGCGGCGCGTCCACCCAGATCGCGTTCGAGCCCTCCGAGCAGGAGGGCGACGACCTCGACTCGTACAACCTCGTCGACGTCCGGCTGCGCCTGCTCAGCGGACAGGAGATCATGCACAGGGTCTTCGTCACGACATGGCTCGGGTACGGCACGAACCAGGCGCGTGAACGTTACGTCGCGCAGATGATACGCACGTACGCCCCACACCAAGCCAACGACCGCTCGGTGCTCGAGGACCCGTGTCTTCCGCGCGGCCTCGAGATGACGGAGTCGCCAGTGTACGTCGAGAACGGCGTGACAAACGTGCTGCAGCCGCACAGTCTCGTCGGGACGGGCTCGTTCCCGCAGTGCCTGCGGCACTCGTCGCCCCTGCTCAACAAGAACGCGCCGTGCGAGACTGCTCCGTGCCTCTTCAACGGTGTGCGCGTCCCGCCGATCGATTTTTCTGTCTCGCACTTCATCGGTGTGTCAGAGTACTGGTACTCGTCCGAGCACGTGTTTGGCCTCGGCGGCCCGTACGATTTTTTGCAGTACGAGCGCGCCGCGACGGAGTTTTGCAAGCGCACGTGGGATAGTATTACCAGGCAGCACGAGCGGAACAAGCATCAAGGCACGCTTGGCGGCGACGGCGAGGTGCTGCAGGACGGCGAGGTTGTACAGACGGGTGTGTGGGGCGATAACGTCGAGCTGTCGCGTCTCCAGATGCAATGCTTCAAGGCGGCATGGATCACTAATGTGCTGCACGACGGCCTTGGCCTCCCCCGAATCGTCGATCCCGGCGGTAACGCGACGGCAAGCAGCGGTGGAGATGAGGTCGCGAAGCAGGCGGAAGACAAGGGCTTGGGCAAGCCTATATTCCAGTCTGTCGATACGGTCGAAGACATCGCTATTAGCTGGACGCTAGGCAAAATGGTCCTAGAGGCTAGCAAGGACGTTCCTCTCTCTTCATCTAAAGACCGCCCGCTTGTGGACCCCGTACAAGATATCCCTTCTACGGTACACGACCCGCCAATAAAACCTATTCGTCCGCCCTTCTGGTCCATCGACGCCCTCGAGGACAAGCTCTCCCCGCACCTCCCTACCTCACTCTCCCGCGAATCCCTCGGCTTCTCTCCAGTGTCCCTCATTATATATGCCCTCGTCATCTCGTTCTTCGTCTGCGTGTTCTACCGCATGCGACGGCAGGTTCGCTCCGCCTTCCGGCGCATACGGAGCCGCCCCCTTAAACCGCGCGGCGACTACGCGCTCGCGACCGAGTCTTACGCGATGGAAGAAGGCGCGCTCGACCCATCCTCGTTCTCTGCTCCACCCTCCCCAACAGCCTCAAAACACCAACACCAAGGCCACTCCGTTCTCCCAAAATCTCTTCTCCGCTCCATCAGACGCATGATCTCCTCCACGCCCTCCCACCGCCCTCATCATCATCCTCACCACCACCACTCCAAATCGCGCAGCCACACCTCCAAGCGTCCGCAGCTAAGACACACCCACTCCTCGCCCACGCCCTCCCCGCCCGGCGGCGGCGACCCACCCGCGCCGGGCCGCACACCCAGCAACCTCGTCTCGTCCGGGTACCTCGGCGCCGCCTCGCCGTATCAATCCTACGCCACCACCAACGGGCTAGGGCCGAGCTCGGAGCCCATCGAGCCGTCGGGCAACTCGTCCGCGTACCTGTCGCGCGCGCCGTCGCCGGCGGCGCCCGGGCAGCATCTTGCGCTGCCGGAGGATATGCTCGGGTTTGGGCTGGGGGTGGGTAATGGACATGGGCATGGGCATGGGTATAGTGGAAACGGGCTGGGGGTGGGGTTGGGGTTGGGACTCGGGACGTCGTTGTCGAGGTCGCGGAACTCGTCGCAGGTGAGTTTGGCGCCGGGGGCGGCGTATTTGACGCCGAGGGCGGGGACGCTGTCGAGGAGCGCGAGTGCGATGGCGCTGCATGATGAGTGAGCTGCGCAGCGCGGTGCGACGACGTTAGTGTCTGGCTGGATATTGATGTGGGTACTATCCGTACATATTATGTGTGCTCGTGCTGTAGAGTTGGGTGGTATGGGATAATATTTAGCGAGTACTTTACTGGAGTCTGGTGCGTTAATACGAGTTGGAGAGTACAGGGCTGCCAGATTGACGTGGTGAGCTTCTGCGATGGCATGCAAGGACTATTTCGATCTCGCAGTCCGCATGGCATGAGGTGCGACGCGACGCGACGCGACGCTGTGACTCGGACACACTACACGTTCATCATCGTTCAACGTTCACCGGGCGGTGTCCGACAGAGGATCATTTGGGTGGTACCTTAGTGTATTTCACCTCTTCAACTTGAGTCTTGGATCCAGCGAAGGAATGCTTGGGCAATCGAAGAGTACGAGTCAAGTCAGTATGAGAATGCGTGAACGAAGATGCAGCCACGATTTCACTTGAATAGCTGACTAGTTTGTTATATTCCATATCAAATCGTGTACCAAATGTCCGTAATTCATACTATTACAATCCCATAATCAAAAGGCCTGAGCGTCCGAGAAAAGCGATCACATGCAGAATCAATATGCTATGCTCACTCGCTTTCCCTCCCACTCGCTCCAGTTCTTCATGATCCCCTCCACCATGAAATGCGCCACATCCTTCCTCGAGATCGTCCACGCCCCACTAACGTCGCCCTCAGCCTTGACTCTGTAGGGTGGCTTCCCGCATCTGCGAGGACCCTTGTCGCCCATGCACTCTCCGTTCGACAGCAGTGCAGGGCGAACGACGACAACGCCCTTCACCTCGCCCCGTCCCGGAAGCCGCGCCTCCCATTTCTCGCCCAGGATATCCGCACCAGGCGAGTCCCGCGGGTCCCACTCCCAGCCCGCGCAGTGCGCCGTCACCTCCTCGGCGCCACACTTGTCCCTGTGCGGCATCTGGAGCATCCAGCCGTAGATGGGCTTGAGTGCCAGCGGGAGCGCGCTGTGCGACTTGTGCGTGAGGCCGTTCGAGGAGATCGTGATGACGCGTGGTTGGGGGTCGTCGAGAGGGAGCGTCGCGAAGACGTTCAGGAGGCATTGGGTGACGGTGTTGGGCGTGGAGAAAGTGATGCCCTTGGTGAGGGAGATGCCTCCTTCGCTGGGAGATATGCCTGTTCAAGATCGTGAGCATGCTAGTTGTTGTCCGGGGAGCTAAACGAACGTACCAACTGAGAAGAGCACGTATTCAACAGGCGCGCCGTCGTCACCACGTGCGGCCTCCTTCCAGGCCTGAGCGACGTCGTCTTTGCTCATCGCGTTGCCTTTGATGAGACGAGCATGGCCTGTTGCGACAAAGCCCTTGATCTCGTCATCATCGTCGAATACCTCTGGCTTCCTCAGCAGGAATGTGACTGTTGCACCAGATTCTACCAGGGTCCCGTCAGAGAGCCGACGCTAGTCAAACGCTCTACACGCAGTGCTTACCGAGGAGACGCTTGCAGGCATGGTAGCCAATGTTACGAGATGCACCGATTGCGAGAACCTTCATGGTAGATATGTGGTGACGTTGATATTGATCTAGCAGAGGTGCTGAGGTAGCAAGAGACTGTGGTTGACTCGGAGGTTGGTTGGAAGATGGTGTTTCTGATGGATGAGCATCAGAGGGATGCGTACTTATACTTTATCAGTGTTCCAGTTGAAGAAACGCATATCAGTGCAAGGCTGTTCGACGCCATCATGCGCAGAGGTGTTCGCTGCGTCGTGCCCTGTCGTGCCTAACATGCCCGACCCGATGCCCGGTCGCCTTGACACTTGGCCGAACAGCTCATTGTGTGGCAGTGTTGACTTCCCCATTTTAAGGCATACCCCTGACGACTTCCCTCCTGGTTCTGCTGTGATACTGGCATTTGCGCAAACCCTCCACACAGACATACGTACATGAGATCCACGGCGAGGCCCGAGGGCTGTCCGAAGACCGAAATTGATGTTTTCCGTAGCTATATCAGTGGCGTCGCCAGCATCTCGCCCGAAGTTTCAAGCTTCAAGGGGTGGGTCAAGGGGTGGGTGACATTGACCAACACACTTTCGAAGCTGATGCAGATAGAAGGCTGCGCAGGCTGTGAATACTTCACGCTGTCCTTCTTAGACGTCTCCGGACTACGGAAACGTCTACGAGGGGGACAGCATGAGTCCTGAGTCGCCACGCAACCAAAATTCTTATTCTTCGGTTCCCCGTCGCCGTTAGAGTTATGGAACACCTTACTAGACTCGCAAAAAGTAACATATCTATTAGGGGCCAGTCCGAAATTGGAACCCTACCGTGGGACTCCACCATGACGCGTCGCGTGGTCGACGCGTCCTGCTTTGCCCGATATTGTCCTGCAACAATCCTCTGATTATCCTCTTCTCTGCATACAGCTTTCATATACCTCACTGTCGCGAAGACCCTCTGACTGCTATATGACAATGTCCCACACCGTACGTTAGTGGACTCGTATCCAGCGCCACGGTCGTGCTAATGACGAACAGGCGGCTGGCCGCAGTGTGCGTCCAGTGCTAGTAAACGAGGAAAACGAGTATTATGATTTGTTCAACAACCTGGATGCCACTGTTTGTGTTATGCCTATTGGCTAACTATGTATGGTTGCTCACGGTTTCCACTTTTCATGTTGCTTCTCTCTAGGTCGCGCTGATCGGAAGAAAGGTCAACGTGAGTGTGTTCAATACTGGTTCAATATCTCCGCTCTCGTTTCTCCCATTGACTCATCGAGAGCAGCATACCATCCGAGAGAACGCTTTTGCATCATTTGAAGACACCAACTCCTCCACTTTCGTTTCTCCCCAGGACACAGCCGAAATTGATCAGTTCATGGCTAGAGCATCTCGTCTGGTACAACACATTGATCACACCGTGTCAACTCTATCTACTCTCAGGCTTCAGCTCGATCGGTCAAAACGTGCCTGCAGGCGTCTCACGTCTGCAATGGGGCGCCTCCCCGTCGAGATCTTGACCCAAATCTTCGTTCTGGCTCGGCATTGCTACACCAGCAACGATGCCGACATGCGTGGCCTTCACATCTCTTTCAACGTCGCTCAGGTTTGCCGCCGCTGGAGACACGTTGCTTTGAATACACCCCGTCTATGGAACACCATGTATGTACCCGTGACCAAGGACCTAGACGAAGCTACGGTCCAAGAGTCGCGGGAGATGCTCTCCAGGAGTTCTTCTGTTCCGTCATTCCTTGTCGTCGGTATTCAGCCTCCACGTGTGCCATTCCTGCAAAAGTGTAGGAAAGGGCTGTTCTCGCCTTTCGAGGAGGTATGCGTTGGGGTGGATATGTACCCTCTGAGCAACACCGGAAAGAAGGCCTTCCACTTCGACTATAGTGCCGTAAAAGGCTTTCTCGTACGGTTCAAGAAGTTAGAGCGATTGAACCTCACCAACTGCCGGCTTGATGCCGACCTTTCCACTCTGTCCACAAACTTCCGCAATCTGACCCACCTCCACTTATTCCTTGTCAGAGCTGATCACGACGACACAAGTAGGAACTTTCCTGCTCTCGCTATGCCTAGCATGCGAGTACTCATCCTCGAGTCCGTGTTCGACTGTATTCTCTTTCCCACAACATCCTTCTCGGAGAACTTCCCAAAGCTAACCGACTTCCATCTATCCGGTGATATCTCTCTGCGCAGAACTGGCGCTTTCTCTCACCCGGGGCTCAAGCGCCTCTCTCTGGGTTCGGTCCCAAATGCACTCTCGTTGCCCTTCTCGGAGTTCCCGGCTCTGACGGAGCTTGCATTACCTCTCGTAGAAGACACAGAGGAAAATTTATCGCGTTTCATCCTCCGTTCCCGTTGCCAGCTGACTCGCATCACTTTCATCATCAAAGCAACACGGTTCTCAACGAATACAGATCTTCTCGCTGTCGATGCCGCCCGATGGAAGCCGGTCGGGAACAGGATTGGTGAGTTGATGAAGGTGCCGGTCGTCGAATACAGTGGGTCTTGGACTAAGAACCAGATGATGCGGGAGGTGAACACAGAATGGTACGAGCGGGAGTACATTCCAGGACGTTGGGTAGATGTCAGCGAGTAGGGCCCAGAGTACGGAATCAGATAGATGGATACTGATTGAGTAGCTACTGAAAGTCGTTTGTGAGAGTATTCTGCTCATACATAGAGTAATTATTCGACTGACTAACAATAGCCCAGTCGCATCCCTCGCACAGCTGCATCTATATGCACAATTAAGAAACTGTGGTGATTCAACAAATGGATGCAAAAACGAAAATTTACGAGTCGCGCTGAAAGCCGACATTAGCATGGTCTTATTCCTGGCTACGATCCCCGGTATCAGCTTTTCTTCTGTCAAAATCTCAGCAAAATCTTCTCCGCTGCGCAAATTGCACTCTACAATACTCGACGCGAGGTGAAGCGCTCGTTGTTATTTCCCGATATGCAACTCCACCTTCAACGCATTCCTCATAGCAATCACGAGCTGCCTACTTGCGCTGCAAATACCAGTAACTTACGTTCCACAGCATGTGTGTCCAGCGCAACTAGCGCAGCTGCAAGCTCTGGGGCAATCGTGAACATCGCACACGCGCTGTGGACGTGGTCATCATTGTTTGTCCTGTCAGTGTGCCGTTGACAACCCATGTCTGGCCATGCGCATAAGTGTTACTGCGAGGTCTTGATGTCACAATCAATGATAGATGGATGACGAGGAGATCCAACACATCGATACAGAGATGTTGCACGAGGCACAGTAGATGTTGAAGGATCTGCGTAAAAGAGCGCGTATTCAGAAAAACATCGCCCAATCCCGAGAAGTACTCACCCGCAAGCACAAACCCACGGCATCCTCATGTAGCAACATGTCCAGTGACTTCCTCCGTTAGGACAGATCAATCGATCACCTGCCAGTGTCCGCACCATCTCATATAGACCCCATCAAACGTAGCATTGAGCAACCCATTCTTTGGGCATATTTTCCTGCGGCCACACCTCTCGCACAGCTGTCGCCATTGTGCACACTATGCCTGCCTCGAAGCATGCCCAGCTGGTGAAAGTGATAAAATTCCAACCTTGTTTTCGAGTTCAAACTGTCGAGTTGCCTTATGAGACACCAGATGAATGCTAGATAGGGTCTTGCGAAACACTGACAGTATATGATAGGTCTTGATGAACATCGAGTCGAGTTGCGGGGGTTGATCAATCTGGCAAACGCCCTCTTGAGATTCTGAGATCGCTGAGGTTCGGGTGCTTGAAGGCGAAATGCTGGGTATGTGTTGTGTGCGGACAATCCTACCATTATCACCTGTTACCACAGATGTAGGCGAGATCAACCGAGACAAGGAGAAACCCCGGAAGTGCCGGATACCACCGACAACGCCGATCCGAGTCCCGGTCCCCGACGCAACGTGACGCGCATGCCACCAGCATCCTTTGCCTCCGGCCAACTCCCGACGCGTATATGCAAACTTCAGTGAAGTCCTTTGTACCTTCAACGAACACCGGGATATGCTGAATATCTCACAGTTAAGCGCCGCAATAATACTCACAGCAAGATGAACACTTATGGTCCCACTCCCGCAACTGCTGCTGAGCTAAACACCGAGCATACTAGCAGCACCGTGCGTCAGCCATCTTCCGTGCTCTTCGGGTCCTCCTTTCCTCTAACTATGCCCTCGATGAGCAGGATGCTGCGCTTTCTAGTCCTGATCACGAGGACCCACGACATCTCCAAATCTTCAAAGAGCTCGCCAGCACTGTACGTCAATAGCACACCTTACTTCATATAAGTGCTGAATCCCCCTTTTTGGCAATGACGTTCAACAGCTCTCAATGGTAGGAGCACAAATCAACGTAATAAGTCTTGTAAGATCTTGTCATGCTGTGGAGCTAACTGAATCCTTAGGGCGCAGTTGAGTCCGACGGCCTCGTGGCGTTCGAGGGCACAAACTACAATGCTGTCTCGCCGGAAGAAACCGCCAACATCCTCAGTTTTGCGTCCAACGTGTCTCTAATGACTCACGAACTGGACCAGGCGATCGCAGATCTAACGGGTTTCAAGACAAAACTCCTGAACACCGCGAACGCACGGAAAAGGTTTATTTCTGCTGTTGGACGCCTACCCGTCGAAATTCTATCCGAGATCTTCATCTTGGCCCGGTCTAGACAGAAGACTGACCGTGATCATTACTTTGGCACGCTTCATGAGGGGTTTGATGTCTCTTTTAACGCGGCACAAGTTTGCAGAAGCTGGAGAAGTATTGCTCTCAATTTTCCACGCCTATGGACCCCTGTACATCTTACCGGATCTCAAGCAACATTGCAAAGCAAGTTAGAACCGCAGCTCACGATGCTCTCAAGAACCGCATCCTTACCTGTCTACCTTGTTGTGGGAATCCCATCAATCAATGCACGATTCATACAGAAATGCAAGAAGGGTCTTCTATCGGCCTTCGAGGAGCGCTGCAAAGGGCTAGACATATACGCCGTGCAAGACAAGAAGAGAAAGTTTGTTTCTTTCCCGTATACCAAGATACAGGGATTTATTTCCCGGTTCGATGAAGTGGAAAAACTCATGCTCATAGGCTTTGACTTTGACGCCCACCTGACAACCCCTTTTTCGGACTGCTGCAACCTCACACACCTTCATCTGCGATTGTATTTCCACACCAGTCTTCAAGCATTTTGCTCCTTTTCTATCCCTCGCTTGAATGCTCTCGTCCTTGAACTGGGTCCAGGACTGATTCTTCCAGATCTAGCGTCCATTCCAGCAAAATATCCTAGCCTCACAGATTTCTTCTTATATGGTCGGGTCAGCCAGAGCTCAAGGCCGCTTTCGCATTCGCGGATCGAACGGCTTGCCACAGTTTGCACCAGCTTCATCAGCTGCTCGAAGCTATTAAAAACAGCCATGCTACCCTCGCTCATAGAGCTCTCCACAGTACTCAGCGGCGAAGTGGAGGACCTGGTGGCTGGATTGAAATGGCGCTCGGGATGTTATCTCCGCCGACTAGGGCTTGTGAGCCACAAATTTGTGAGGGATGACATTCGGAGGGATCTGCGCGATCAGATGAGGACAAGGCTCGGAGTCCCAATCGTTGATTGCGATACCAGCTGGAGTACCATGAGTATGATGAGAGACCTGAAGGCGCAATGGTACGAACAGGAATACATCGTGTCGTAATTGGTCACCGGTCACTCTCTAGCCATAATTATGAGGACTACCTTGTTTATCTTCCAGCCTTATGTTACAGTAATCGGATTGGAGAACTGTGCTCACACTTTCGCAAGCGTGCACGCCAATGTGCACCAACTCGCGTCAACTTGATAATATATCAACGGTTAGCGTGCAGTGACCTTTTCACAAGTAAAGAAACATCACGATAATTCACCAATCCGTCCCAATTCGCTCCGATCTTAGCAGCGACCAGTAATACTTGCTCTTTAGGGGAAGCTAATTGACTTCCGCCTCCTGCATAACTGGGATTTGCGCAGTTCTGGCGCTTTCTTCCAGTACTCAGGCATCAAGCGTCTCACGCTGGGTTCGATCATTAGCGGAGCCTCGTTATCGTTAGCGACTTTCCCGGCTGTGAAGGAAGTTGCGCTCGCTCCCAACGACGAGAGAGAGGAGCGTCTGTCGGACTTCATGACTCGCTCAAGGTGCCACCTAATTTGCATCACTTTCATTATCCCCGGCTTCTCAAAGGACTCCCTCAATCATGCTGCCGCTCGATGGAAGTTAGATGGGGACAAGATTGGCGAGCTGCTTGGGGTCCCGGTCATTGAATACGCTGATTCTTGCTTCCGGATCCAGATGGTTCGAGACGTAAAGGCGGAATGGTACGAGCGGGAGTACATTCCGAGCCTTCAAGTGAATAGTGACGACCAGGAGGGCACAGAGTCTGACGGTTCACTGGATTGACATTGCCTCTCGCTTCGTTAAAATCGAGGTGTTTTCTGCTTCTTCAGCAGAAAGTCGTCTTCTTTGTTTACTATATACATAGAATAATAATCTAGTTGAACAACAACTCGTTCCTTGCCCGGTTATATCCATAGCACAACTCAGAGGGATAGTGTCTGACATGAACAAGGCTATGGACGACGTTGAAGTCCGGCATTGGCTTGGTCTATCCGCCGCTTGTTCTTAACCACGACCCCCGGGTCTAGCCCTTCCTCTGCCGGTATACTCTCTGCTGCACTAACCGCACTCGAAGCGAGGTGAAGCGCTCGCTGGTATTGCTTGAGGTTCATTGCCATCTGCGACGCATTACCCAAAGCAATCACAAGATGCCGCCTGGCCCCACGAAGCTCAGCAGCGTACATCCCTTCAGTATGCGTGTCCAACGCGACCAGCGCTGCCGCCAACTCCGCCGAGCCCATAAACACGGCACATGCTTCATTGATGTCGTTGCCGTTGTTCCTCCGTGTTGCGAGCCTATGGCGGCCCTCCTCCAGCCACGCGCGCAAGCGCAGCTGCGAGATTTTGATGACGCGGCAAATGATATCTGGGTGAGCAATTTGCTGGACTTGTCTGAGTGACGTCGAGGTGGAAAGACCGGGGAGTGGCTTCCGCAGCGCCTGAATGCCATCAAGAGCCTTGCGTTGCGCGAGCACAGTGTATAGGCGCACAAGTGCAGTTGGTCCGAGCATAAATTGGGGGGCGACAGAAAACGGGCTCGCCACAGTCGTTTTTGTGAGGGTGGCCCATGGGGGCACGCTGAAGATCTCTTGCAAGCTCTCGACTGAAGCGAAAGGTTTTGAGAAAAGAGATTCATCTGGTTTGTGACAGCCAAGGTAGGCCATGTGCAAGAGAGACTCGACCTGCGCGTTGGAAATGCCACAGGTGTCGGCAGCGTGCGTGAGCGTAGTGATCAGACGAAGGAGGCATGCGCGTGTGACTCCTACGAGTTGTGAACATAGTGAGTTGAGGAGCACTCGTCAGAAGCTGTTCGTTGGCCTACCACGCGACTCAAAGACTCTTTTGAAGTCATCATCACTTGGTTGGACGGCCGCACCATAATCGCAACCCACCCTTCTCCACTGGCTGCATGAAACGACATAATCAACAAGCACACACGGGCTATGAGACGATGTCCCTACGTGCGAACTTTTTGCAGGTCCTCTTCCTGCGCGCGCATCCATATTTCAACGAGCTTCTCGACCCAGTCGAGGCGAGACGTGAGGATAGCCATCGCCTGAGACATAGCTTTCCAAGACTGTGCCTTGAATGCCTTGTCTGAGGGCGCCCCTGGGACAACGTAGTCTGGCCATCGGAAAAGTAGAATTATTGTCTCACATGTGACCGGAACGATCTTGGTCTCCGGGTAGCACGCGGGGCGGCTCAAAATTGCACAGTCAAAGAGATCATCGAGGATCTGCGGCCTTTTCTTGAGAATTTCGAGACAGAACGTGGGTGGCTGGGGCGACGATGTACACAGGATACCGTGCATGATCCACACGGCGCTTTCCTGGCAAATGGCATAAACTCGCGGACAGTATTTGGCACGCTGTTCCGGGCTCAGCTGTGAAGCGAATAATTGAATTAAGTACTGTGAAGAGCGGGCGACAACAAGGGTCCTACATCAGCTTTGTCCACCATCATCTGGCTTTGCCATGAAGTTATAGGATCGAGAACCTGATCAACGGTGCGGTCTGGTCCGATGAATGTGTATATGCAAACGGCTTCCATGAGCTCAGCAGCAATAGACGGGGTGATGCATTCGCCTAGAAAGGACTCCGCCGCCAGCAGACGCAGAACATTGACTGCCAACTGTTGCATGACACACAACTGGTGTCGCAAAAGCTATAGTGACTTGAGGATGAGCATGTTCAATCACATCAGGCAATGAGGGGGCGCTCACCCGGATGCACAAGCCCATGACATCTTCCTGGAGCATACTTTCCATCAGCTCTCTCCGCTCAGATAAAGTACCCATCCGCATCAAGTCTCCGAGGCCCCATAACGCATGATACTGAGCGATGAACCTGTGTTTGGGTGCGGATTCTGGCCACTCCTGAGACGCGACAGCGACCATTGTTTTCACTAGGCCTGCCCTGAGACATGATTTCGCAAATGGAGTAAAAGAAGTTTGGGGACTCCTGTCGTGATTATAGGTGCCTCTGAATACGTGTTTGACCGTTGACTGAAAATTTCGATTCGAGGATGAGCAAGATGGCTCAGCGGCAGGGGAACTCACGGTGTAAGTTTTGACATAGACTGGGTCTTCTTGTGGGTTGACCACTCTAGTAAACCCTGTATTGAGTACCTGAGACAGGTATGGTTCTTGTATCTCGAAGGTGCGCAGAATCTCTTCCTCCAATGTCGTCTCCATTGGCGCGTCAACGGAGCACGAGATCAACCGGACGGCATCTAGCCCCTGTTTCGGCAAATGCCGCCGGTGGACAGATCCGTGACTCGACTTTCTCCAATTCCTCGACCTCTACCGAAACCTTCCCGACATGCCACTCATCTTACACTGTTGGCATCAGTATCTCTAAAAGCGAGAAAATAGCACACAGAGAACTTTAACAGGGCAGGCTTCTCCACAAAACTGGTGCAGGGAATTGAACCAGGGAAAATGGTAAGCATACCTTGTTCATGTCCGATGTGCGCAAACCAAACATGTAGCTGCCTCATTGCCCACCAAGGCCCATCACAGGCAGAGATACCCCCAAGAGTCACATTGGGAATCGCCGCTGAACTCATCGAAGCTCACGATGCAAACACGATCGTCTTGCTGAACGAATTGCGTGCCAAGCTCTTTTGGTCCCGTTTAGTAGGATACGCAGAAGCAGGCTGGTCACAAGTCTAGATTATATCCGGTATGAGCAAACTTATAAATGACGTTGAAGCACGGCATTGGCATTGGCCATCCGTCGCTTGTTCTTAGCCACAATCTCTGGCTCTAGCCCTTCCTCCGCTGGTATATCCTCCGCTGCGCTAACCGCACTTGACGCGAGATGAAACGCTCGCTGATACTGCTTGAGGGTCAGCGCCATCTGCGACGCATTCCCTAAAGCAATCACAAGCTGCCTCCTTGTTCCCCACATCTCATCGGCGTATGCTCCACTCGTATGCTTGTCCAGCGCTATCAACACGGCCGCAAGCTCCGCTGCGCTCATGAAAATGGCGCAGGCGTCATTCACGTCGTTTCCGTCGTTCTCCCTTCTCGCGAGTGTCTTGCGGCCCTCATCCACCCGCGCCCATAAGCGTGCTTGCGCGATGTTGATTACGCGACGGATGATACCTGGATGCGTGATCTGCTGGATTTGTTTGAGCGACGCCGACGGAGACAGACCACTCGGCGGCTTTCGCAGCGCTTGGACGCCGTCCAGCGCATTGCGCTGCGCAAGCACAGCGTACAGCCGCAAGAGTGCAATTGGGCCGCCAATGTACTCGGGAGGTATAGAGACCGGATCATCAACGGTCGTGTCCATAATTGTGGCCAATGGGGGCGGGCGGAAGACGTGTTGGGTGTTCTCGATGACATTGAAGGTGTTCTGTTCGCCTGGGGAGGTGTCGACTTTGCGACAGCCGTTGTAAGCGACGTGCAGAAGGGATTCGACTTGAGCGTTGGACATGTTGCAGGCATCGGCGGCGTGAGTGAGTGTGGCGATCAGGCGGAGGTTGCACGCTCGGGTGGCGCCTGAGAGCTATGTGTGAGCTAAGGGATGACTAGCGCTTGCATAATGAGAGCCTACCGCGTGATTCAAAAACCCTATCAAAGGCATCGTCATCTGGGGGAACAATCGCACCGTAATCGCGGCCCACCCGTTGCCAATGTCTGGATGAAGGTCCGAGATCAGCAGAACATCAATGGGATATGGTGTGAAGTGCCCACATGCGAGTTTTCCTCAAGTCTTCTTCCTGGATATGCATATGCACCTCGACGAGTCTCTCAACCCAGTCTGGTCTAGAGGTGAGGATAGCCATAGTCTGTGTCATAGTCTTCCAATCCTGAGCCTTGAATACCCTGTCCGCTGGGCCATCGACTCCTGGAACAACGTAGTTTGGCCACCGAAATAGTAGAGTGAGCGTCTCGCTGGCGATGTCTGGAACCCTCGTCTCTGGATACCACGGCGGCCGGTCAAGAACAGCGCAATCAAACAGCTGGTCCAGGATTTTGGGCTTCCTCTCAAGAATGTCGAGGCAGAATCTGGGTGGCTGAGCCGTTGCCGTGCACAGGATGCCGTGAACAATCCACACGGCACATTCTTGGCAGATGGCATAGACCCGCGGGCAGTATTTGACACATTCTTCTGGGGTGAGCTACGGTATAAATCAGTAAGTACGCTTTCAGGACGATTATATAGACGAGCAGATGGATGTCAAGTACATACGTTAAGGCGGTTTATCATCATTTGGCTCTGCCATGTGGTCTCTGGATCGAGCACTTGGTCAATGGTGCTTTGTGGTCCAGTGGCTGCGTATGCACAAACGGCCTCCATGATGTCAGCAGCCATAGTTGGGGAAATACTTTCCCCGAGGAACGATTCTCCAGCCAGTAGACGCAACACGTTGAGAGCGAGCTGGTGCATCGTGCATAAACGGTGTTTCATAAGCTAAGGTGACCAGCAAACATATTACAACACGGTGATCTGACCAAAGCTGCGCACTGACCTGGAGACACAAGCCCAAAACATCCTCTTGAAGCATCCTTTGCATGAGGTCTCTCCTCTCAGACAAGGTGCCCATTCGCATCAATCCGCCAAGGCTCCATAGTGCATTATACTGAGCCATGTGTCTGTGCTCTGGCACATCTCGTCCCGTCCATTCCTGTCGTGCGATAGTGACCATTGTCTTCACAAGGCCTGCATCGAGACATGCGTATGCGAAGTCATCCCAGGATGACAAAGGTTTCTTATCCCTGTAATACGTGCCCCTGAATACGTGCTTGAGAGTAGACTACAGATGCTGATAAGCAAGCGCTGGGATACCATGCTAGGGTACTCACCGTGTAAACTTTAACGTAAACTGGGTCCTCGTCAGGGTTTACTATTCTAGTGAATCCTGCCGTAAGAACATGAGCCCTGTAAGGTTCTGGTATCTCGAACGTTGACAGAATCTCAGCCTCTAGCTCTTTCTCGGTCATCATGGTGGTTGCGTCGGCCAGGTGTGGGACCAACAGGGACCAACCCAACAGAACATCTAGCCCCTATTTCGGCAAATCCCGTCTGCTGATCTGTCGAGACAGATTCAATGACTTGACTTTCTCCAACTCCTCGACCTCTGACAAAAACCTCTTCTCGACCTGCTGCCAGCCTTGACTTCCTGAAACACGTTTTCAAGCAACACATAACACTAAGAGAGCCGTGACATAGCAATCTCTCTCACAGAATGGTGCAGGGGACCAGGGTAGACGGTAAGCACACCTTGCTCATGTCTGATGCGCTCAAACCAAGCACAGTTGCCTCCTCGCCCACCAAGGCCCATCGCAGGCAGAGATACTCCTGAGAGTCACTTCAGGCATCGCCGCGGAACTAATCAAGGCGCACGATGCAAACACCACCGTCTCGCTCAACGAACTGCGCGCCAAGCTCTCCAAGAAGTACGGTTTTGGAGGCGTCCCCCGTCTCGTCGACATCATCTCTGCCATCCCGGACGACTACAAGAAGGCGCTTCTGCCTAAGCTGCGTGCGCGGCCTATTCGGACTGCAAGTGGGATAGCGGTTGTTGCGGTGATGTGCAAGCCCCATCGGTGTCCGCACATCGCGATGACGGGGAACATTTGCGTGTAAGCCTTCACTATTAGGCTCACTATTTTGCGTCTGGTCCTCATGTTTGAGCAATCTAGATACTGTCCGGGAGGGCCAGATTCAGACTTCGACTACAGCACGCAGAGTTATACGGGGTACGAGCCGACCAGTATGCGTGCTATCCGGGCACGGTATGATCCATACGAGCAGACGCGAGGGCGAGTCGAGCAACTGAAGAGTCTGGGGCACAGTGTTGACAAGGTATGTCATACTGCTCTGGTGCAAAGGGTCTCACTTATAGCGGAATTGCTGTCTTTGACTCTGTCGGAAACCAGGTCGAGTTCATCGTCATGGGAGGAACCTTCATGAGCATGCCAGAGGACTACAGATCCAAGTTCATCGCCCAGCTACACAACGCACTCTCAGGATTTACAGGTACAGATGTCGACGAAGCAGTCCGGTACGTCGTCCTACACCCCAGCTCTACACCCCACGATCTCTAACCTCTTCCAGCTACTCCGAACAATCCAAATCAAAAGCCATCGGTATCACAATCGAAACCCGCCCGGACTACTGCCTGCGCCCACACCTGTCCCAAATGCTGCGGTACGGCTGCACCCGGCTCGAGATCGGCGTGCAGTCCGTGTACGAGGACGTTGCGCGCGACACGAACCGGGGGCACACCGTGCGCGCCGTCTCCGAGTCGTTCCACCTCTCCAAGGACGCCGGCTTCAAGGTCGTCGCACACATGATGCCGGATCTGCCCAATGTCGGGCTTGAGCGTGATCTGCAGCAGTTCAAGGAGTACTTTGAGAATCCGGCATTCAGGAGCGACGGGTTGAAGATCTATCCGACGTTGGTGATCAGGGGGACGGGGCTGTATGAGCTGTGGAGGACGGGGAGGTATAAGAACTATACACCGAATGTGCTGGTGGATGTTGTCGCGAGGATTTTGGCGCTCGTGCCACCGTGGACGAGGGTGTATCGGGTGCAGCGGTGAGTTTCTGTGCAGCAGTCCATTTTACGTCCTGTTGATCCCTCGAATCAGAGACATCCCACTGCCGCTGGTGACAAGCGGATGCGAGAATTCGGGCAACCTCCGTGAGCTCGCTCTGAACCGGATGAAAGACTTTGGCGCCGAGTGCCGCGACGTGCGCTACCGCGAAGTTGGCGTACGTCCTGTCCCTCCCTTTCCACCAAAGAGCTGATATTGATGCCTCCGAACCATTAGATCCACGAAATCCACCACAAAGTCCGGCCTGAATCCGTGGAGCTCCTCCGGCGCGACTACGCCGCCAACGGCGGGTGGGAGACGTTCCTCTCGTACGAGGACCCGGAGCGGGACATCCTCGTCGGCCTCCTCCGGCTGCGCAAGTGCTCGGAGGAGGGCACGTTCCGCCCCGAGCTCGTGCGCCAGCGCGTCAGGCGCACGTCCCCGCCAAACGTGGACGAGGGAGAGGAGGAGTGGGAGGAGGGCGGGGCGAGCATCGTGCGCGAGCTGCACGTGTACGGAACGGCGGTGCCCGTGCACGGGCGGGACCCGACCAAGTTCCAGCACCAGGGGTTCGGGACGCTGCTCATGGAGGAGGCGGAGCGGATAGCGAGGGAGGAGCATGGGAGTGTGAAGCTTGCTGTTATCTCGGGTGCGTCGTTGCCGTTTTTTCTTCTTAGTTTGACGTGGATGGAGGCTAACTTGTGCTGAACGATGCTGTAGGGGTGGGTACTCGAAATTACTATCGCAAGCTCGGATACGAGCTCGATGGGCCGTACATGAGCAAAATACTGATATGATATTGCGATATTGAGAGGGTGATTGTGTGGTTGCGTGGTATCATGGTACATTCTATGTATGTATTGTTTGTTGTAATGATGCAGATCTGTATCCATAGGTCATTATGACATAGTGCATTATTGTGAACAACTCACTGTAAGGAAAGCAAATATCGACCTCAAAAAACGAAGAAAACAAGCAGTAACACCTCCAGCTTCATGACTGATCGCCAAGGACGAGCGTATGGAAATTGGGAAACACGAGCTCCTCCTCGACCGTTTTGCGGATCACATCCTGGATGAACCTCTCCACCCTCGTGACGTTCTTCAGCACGTGCTTGTCCGCCTGGCCAATCTCGCTCTCGATGAATATCGACGGCAGCAGCCTCTGTCCCACCGGCGCCGGCTTGCCGTCGCGCCTCCCTCCACTGCTGCCCGCTCCCCCGCTTCCACTGCCCCCGCCGAGAGGCTCGTCGATCTCGGGCGGCGTCGCCGCGTCCACGTCGCCCCCTGCCGCGTCTACACCGTCCGCTGCGGTCGCGGGCCGCCCCAGGCCCGTGAGACTCGCGATGCTCGCGGACAGATCGCCCGAGCTGCTCTTCGTGCTGTTCAGCCCGCCTCCTCCGGCGGCTCCACCGGCGCTCGTCCGCTGCGCAGACGCCTGCGACGCAGACGGGCGCCGGCACGCGGGCGCGTACGGATCGAGATCGTCGAGAATGCACACGTGCACGCGCCTGCGCGCGCCCTCGTATGCGACTGCGAGCTCGCCGCGGAAGACGAGGCCTGTGACGGCGAGCTTGATCGGGAGCGCCATGAATGCGGGCGAGGGGTAGTTGATGAGCAGGGAGGTGGAGAGCGTGAGGCGGAGGTTGGAGTGCCATGTGAGGTAGAGGTGCAGCTGGAGGTTTGGGTGCGGGGCGGGGGTGTTTGGGTTTGGGTTTGGGTCGGGAGGCGGTGGGATGGATGAGGATGCGGAGGGGTCTTGGGAGAGGGGGTCGGAGGGGGTGTGGGAGTCGATGTGTGTGGGGGAGACACTGGATGCAAAGGCGGGGTGTAGACCGCCTCCGGCCCGTGCAGCGGACTGGGAAGCTAGCGACGGCGTGGACGCGCCGCGAAAGAGGCCTGCCGTGCCCATCGTCGCTGTCGCCGACGCAGGCGACGGGCGGGGCGGGGCAACCGACGGGCGGAAGTCGCACAGACTGGGCACGCTCATGTTCATGTTTATCCCCATGCCCATGCCCATTCCCATGCCGAGCGCGCCGCTGCTCCACGGGAGCGAGGGTGTCGACGCAAACATATCTCCGCCGGCGCCATAAGGGTTATACCGCACATACGGCGGGAGATGCGCATAAGGATACCCATCCTCGACGAGCCCACGCCTCGCCGCGCGCCTGCTCACCCACTCGAACCCATCGTCGTCCTCGCACTCATCCTCCTCGCCCTCCCCATGCCCATTCCCATACACGCCCGCGCTTGCGCCACCCTGAGTGTGCTTCCTCGCGCCTGAAAGGCTGGACGAGACAGAGCCGCCCGAGTCAGAGTCGGAGTCGGAGTCCGCGTCGAGAAAGTCGCGGTAGATGGAGCGCATGTCGACGAGCTCGACGTCCGGCGGCGCGGAGCCGAAGTCGAACGAGGTGATCTCAACGGGCCCTATGAACGAGGGCCGCGAGGTGCCCGCGAGCGTGCGGTTGAGTGCGTCGACGAGCTTTTCGGCGAGGGAGGCATCGAGACGGTGCCAATCGAGGTCGATGGACATTTGGGTCCGGGGGGATGCTGTATGATTATGAAGTTGGTCTGTTCAGTAGTAGCTCAAGAACCTGGATAACTGTATGTCGTAGACTTCGTAAAGACCAACTGCTGTGAATTGATTGAAGTGCGCTGAGCTCGTCGTCGAGCACGGTGACGGAGAGTGAAGGTATAGGTCGGTAAATGCCGATCTGGATGCGCGTCCGAGATCTTGTCCTGCAAGACGCCTTGCTCACCATCCCCTTTCTACCCCTCGACCACACGCCCCGACATGATGAACGGCCGGCCAGAGCCAGAGGTCATCGCACAGGCAAGTTGGTCCCTTTACACACCCCTCTCCTCGCTCTCTAACGGCTCCCCCGCTTGGTGCAGTTCGCAAATGACCACGGGGACTACACCTTCTCCAAGGGCAAGATGGACGAGGCCATCCGCGCCGTGCTCTCGTCTGGCCCCAGCAAGCCGCCAAAGCCCCCCAAAGACACGTCGGTCGTTGTGAAGAAGGAGGACATGCTGCTCCTGGTGCGTCGTAACCGCCACTCTACAGCCAGAAACGCTGACACGCCCTAGATCAAGGAGTTCGACATGCCCCTCGCGCAGGCGGAGAAGATCCTCATCGAGCACAATGGCGACGCGAAAAAGGCGATACTAGCCATCATTAACAGCTAGCTAGCCCTAGCATTCCCTCTCGCCTAGCTTGGCCATCCGAGCATCTGACGAAGCAGAAAGTAGCGTAATATTGCGTATGGATGTACGATGATATGTCTAGGCTCTACGTATACGAGCAATTAGCATGCAACCTATTAGACCGGGCCCTGCGACTCCGAGTCCCCCCTAACAATCCCCTCCAAAATCCCAAGCGTCACCCGCGAATCACCGCCGGTGGTCTGTTGCCCCCCATTACCATCACCGCCGAGGCGCGCCGCCATCCTCTGCCGGATGAGCGCCGCCGACGCCTCGCGCACACCCGCACGGCCCCACACCGAGGCGGGCGCTGCAACGCCCGCGGGCTCGGCGGCGACGTACTTGCGCGAGCCAGGCCGGAAGTCGTTCGAGCGCTCGTGCAGCACGCCGGTGCCCCACACGTGGAGCTCCATTGTGATCTTGGCCTTCTTGAGCCCCTGGCGCGTGCGCCCGACGACGCTCGGTGAATCAGTCAGCGTAGCGCGCGCGACGCGCAGCATCGTCTCGCCATTGTGCCCTGCGCCGGCGCCGGCATTGGGTGAACCAGAGGAAGAAGGTGCGAGCGCGTCCCACTCGACCGCGCGCGCGCTCGCCATGCCGCCCTCGCGCTTGACGACGCCCGTGTAGCGCGCGTAGGACGCGACGAGCGCCTTCTCGCGCCCGCGCTCGGTGCCGCTGAGGCTGTCGATGATGCGCCCCCGGCGCGGGCCGACGGTGAGGAAGGTCTGCAGCGCCGGGACGTGCGCGTATGAGAGGCCGCGCTCGGCGTGCGGGACGGGCAGCAGGAGGCGCGAGCTGGGGTCGCTGCGCTGTGCGCGCGCACGCTGGCGGCCGTAGCGGCTGTACCATGTCTCGAAGTGGTCGTTGGCGAGGGTGTAGAGGTCGATGTTGTCTGCTTTGCTTGACTTTGACTTTGAGCCAGATGAGGGTGAACTGAAGGGGGTGATGGCGGTGGGCGGAGCGACGCCCTTGCCGCGGAAGTGCTCCTTCGCGAACGCGGAAAAGTCGCCCGCCGTGCGTCTGCGGCGGAGCGCGTCCTCGTGCTTGCGGAACTGGCCGTTCTTCATCGCGCCGGGGTTCTTGAGCGCGGGCAGCGTCCACCGCGCGGGGTCGCTCTCGTTCGGCGCGAACTCCGAGTCGACGTGGAACGCCTCGAGCGCCTCGCCTCCGCCCCTTATTGTGCCGAAGATGCTGTTCCGCTCCGCCGCATACGGGTCCTCCCGCGCAGGCACGCGCGCGTCGTCAAAGTTGCGCACGAACGCGGCCTGCGTCTCGGCGCTGTTCCACTCGGTCTGCTGTTCGTGCGAATCGACCCTCTTGACGGTGACGGCGGCGCCGCGCTTGCGCACACCTATGGGGCGTTTGAGGCCGAAGTCGCCGCGGTGAACGTGTCCGCCGTAGGAGGTGTAGAGCTGGGCGATTTGTGGGTCGAAAGACGAGAATTTGGATTGTTTGAGGAGGGCACCGAAGGGTGAGTTCCCCGGTACGAATTTGGGAACGTAACCCGCGAGTGACATGCCTAGGTTTCTTGTAGTGTTTAGGCAGTGAGATGTCGAGGAGAAGGACGAGGAGGACGAGCGCGTCGACGTCAAGCGACTGCAGAATTTCAGCGGGAGCTATCGGCGGTGGCTCGGCAGGCCATTCAATCCCCGCCCGGATTTGGCCGGGGCACCAACAAAACGCGCTCACGCGTCGTCGTCTCTTCACAAAATTTCCCGACGTCCAAATTACTGTCTATCCTCCGCCCTTGCGCATGCGCCACGGATAAACGGTCCAGACAAACGTCGCAGAGGAAAACGTACAGGCGCGGCTGAAAAACAATCTAAGCTGAGCTCCTCCCACTGGTCGAGGGGCCAGGACGCTGGATCACCTGTGGTCGCCCACATTCCTCTTCTCCCCCCTCCTCTCTTTTCCCCTTTCTCTGCTCCTTTGTCGCATCCCTCTAGAGTACGTAGCAGGCTGTACGCATACGGTAGCAATGTGAGTCGTTCTTTCTGAGATACTGGTTGGCAACAAAAGTGGCGCGAGCACCGAGGAAGATAAACCTGGTAAAAGAACACAACCCGCCCTTCATTTTCTGGAGGGTCCCTTTGGGAGGGTGCAGACTGCCGCTCTCATACGAAAGACGGATGTGTCGCAGATGGGTGTGGATGGAGAAGTAAAGGCGAGGCTGAGGTGTTCGCGTCCGCGTCGTTTCACTTTTATCTCGGCTCCGTTGCGAAGGTGTACTGAATGATTTGCATCCACAGGTCCTGTTATCTATCTAGCATCTGCGTCTGGAGGAGTGCGCTGGCGGGCAAGGTAGACAGAGATAGATGTTGATACACTCGTGGCACCTTATGAGCTCATCGTCGTATTTCGCCTTTTACTATTCTTATGCAATTCTCCGTGTGTCCCCACGTCGGCGTATGAGCTGGGGTCGTGTGTATGAGCCGTTCGCCTCCTGGGAGGTGCAATGAGTCGAGAAACGTGCGCGGTGATGATGAAACGAAGTGTAGCTAGTACGTTATTGGGTAGTAATGTTTTTAGTGATGGGGAGTGCGATCAAGCGGCTAGCCGAGAGACGCCCAAATTCAAGTGTTGCGGTGTCACCTTAAGTCGTCTCTTCGCCTCTGAGCCTTCCTCCTCCCCTCCGCAGCGCCTCTCTTTCCTCGTCCACCCCCTCGTCCACTCCACTCTCCCCCTCGCCCCTCGCCATAGATCTGGTAGCTCCAAGCGTCTCGACAGCTGCAAGAAGTTGGAGGTGAGGCAACCGTGTGAACGAGCACGCGGCATGGCTGATAATTTGCTATGCAGCCGCGCCGGCTTGCCATCCCCGCTGCCGACCACTCCTCGACCTTTCTCGTCCACTTCTCCGTTCCTCGGTGTGTCTCTTTTCTCGTCCTCTATCTGGTCTTTGTCTCCCACCATGTTGCTCACCCACTCTCAACCTCCAGCTCGTCTTCCAGTACGGTCACGGTTGTCCTTAACACTGTTCGGCGACGTGTCCACCGGAGCAAACTTCATAGCACTTCCTACATCGTATAGGTATGCCCGTTCAACCTGTGCTTCATGCTGTGGATCAAACTAATTCAAATCCTTATGGCCACTCAAGACTCACGAGCAGGATAAAATACACCTCGCGTTAATAAGCCCTTCCAAGCTCCATCGTCGTCCAACGCTCCGCCCTGGCAGTGCGAGACGGAGACGCCCCTTCGCACGCCAACCTTATCCACCACCAAGCAACACTCCCCCATTCATCATTCTCTAACAACCGCCTGCACTGCAGCTAGCTCATCGGCTAGTCGTTCCGTCGACTCTTCCAGCGTCAATCCACACGCTGTTTTCTTCCACCACCTGTCTTCCGCATACCCAACCATGTCAAGTCAGAACGTGTATCAACGCGCCTACCCCTCCGTGCGGGCCTCCACCTCGTCCTCCAACCTCGCAGCAGGCATGACCGGCTCCAGCCCGCGCCTAGCACCGCTTCTGCCGTCCTCAAACGGAAGCAGTCCAAAGCCACCCGCGCTCATGCTCAGTTCACCCTCGGGGGCGAACGGTATTCCTCCAGAACTGTCCAGCTCACCAGCCCCGCCGTCCTCGGGACCGTCAATATTGGGGCTCCCGCTCAAATACGTGTCGTGAGTGTCTCGCGTCTCATCTTGCTTCTCCTCCCCCTTGTCTCCGCCTCCCCGGCGCTGGTGGTGCCAGCGTCCTGACAACCAAAAATTCATGAAACGAATCTCGGCTTACTTTAATCTCTCCGCGCAATGTTTCGCGACGTGTCCACAGGCTACTCACGCTCGCGATCCAAAACGCGGCCTTGTCGATCGTGATGCACTACTCGCGCGTCTCCACGCCGCCGCACCTCTCGTACTCGCCCGCGTCCGCCGTGCTCATGTGCGAGCTCCTCAAGGGCTCCATCTCGCTCCTCATCGCTATCCACCGCGCGCACGAGCTGCAGACCATCTCCTCCTCCCGCCGCTCCTCGACGCTGTCGACCATCAACGCGTTCATGCCGTGGAGCAAGGCGTGGCGCCGCGTGTGCAGCGAGGTGTTCAGCCACGACTGCTGGAAGCTTTCCATTCCTGCGATCCTGTACGTCGTGCAGAACTCGCTGCAGTTCGTCGCGGTGGGGAATCTGCCCGTCGCGAGCTTCCAGGTCGCGTACCAGATGAAGATCCTCACGACGGCCGCGTTCAGCGTCGCGATGCTGCGCAAGCGGCTGACGGGCACCAAGTGGCTCTCGCTCCTGTTCCTCGCGATCGGCGTCGCGATCGTGCAGGTGCAGACGACCGCGACGAACTCAAGCACGGGCGGCGCCGCGGCGAAGGCGGTGAAGGCGGCGGTGGGGAGCGCGGAGGAGAACAGCCCGGTGCACCATGTGCATGTGATGAACCCGGTCAAGGGCTTCGGCGCGGTCACGGCCGCGTGCTTCACGTCCGGCCTCGCGGGCGTGTACTTTGAGATGGTGCTCAAGGGGAGCAAGGCGGATCTGTGGGTGCGCAATGTGCAGCTGTCGCTCTTCTCGCTCGTCCCGTGCATCCTGCCCATCCTGTACAACCGCCCGTCGGCCGCGGCCGCCGCTGCTGCTGCCGCCGCCGCGCATCTAGGTGGCCCCGCGGCGAGCACGGGCGTGATCGGTGGGCTGCTGCGGAACTTTGGCGGCTGGGCGTGGGCGACGGTGATCATCCAGGTGCTGGGCGGGCTCATCACGGCGGTGGTGATCAAGTACAGCGACAACATCCTCAAGGGGTTCGCGACGTCGCTCTCGATCGTGCTCTCGTTCCTCGCCTCCGTCGCGCTGTTCCACTTCCGCATCACACCGTCGTTCGTCATCGGCGCGAGCACGGTGCTCGCCGCGACGTGGATGTACAACCAGCCCGAGCAGGCGTCTGCGCATGCTGCGGCGGGTACATCGGTGTCGGGCAAGGACGGCGAGCAGTATGTGCTTGCGGGTGTGAAGGGCGGTATGGGCGGCGGCAAGGGTTCGGGTTCGTTCTTCCCCGAGACGCCTGTGGGCCCGGACGACCCCATCATCGGGCACATCGCGCCCGGCTCGTCAGCGAAGCGCAAGAGCGGATCGCCGTTTGGCTCGCCGCGCGCGTTGGCGAGCGCGCTGCTCGGGGACGGGAGCGAGAGCAGCAAGGACGATAGGCGGGAGCGGGAGCATTATTTCGCGCAGACGGAGGCGACGTCGCGGTATCTGCACGCGCCGTACGGGTCGCCGTTCCCGTCGCGCACGCCGACGCCGGGGCCGCCGGAGGGCGAGCATCATCGGATGTGAGCGTGTGCTGAGGTCTTGGGCCTTTCTTGTGGTCAAGAACTTCCTGCCCCTTTTCTGCGTTTGATCTTGTGACGGATTGTCGATTACCTCTGATATCTTTGTCTTCTTCCGCCTTTCTTCATGTGTGTTTTTCTTCTTCTGCTTTTTTCGTTTCCGCTTAATCTTCTGCCTTTCCTTGTTTGAGTTTGAAATGCCCCCGCTTATTACAGTATTACGCATGACCTCTGTACGACATCCACCCGCCCGCCCACCCACGCTCTTTGCTTTGTTTTATCGCTCCTTTAGCCCTAGCCCTAGCCTTAGCCCCCGTTCGCCCCCCGCCTCCCGCCTCCTGCTCGCGCGTTCCCGTTCTGGTTTTTCATCGTGTTCCCCCCCCGGCCTATACCCGTTCACTCCGAAAGGCCCCTGACTGCTTTATAGACGTCTGACTCGCACCGAACAAGAACAACAAGTAACAAGAATAAGTAACAAGCAATATTACCATTACCAGTACCGAAAGCTTACCGCACGCTCGACCGTTTTATTACTGCTACTACAGTACACAACGTTATTCTCCTGTTTTTTTTTCCTTCTTTTTGAAGAGTTTTTCGATTACTGTTTTTTGTTTTTCTGTTTCTTGAGTTTGTGTCTGATCGACGTTTTGCTTATCTCTTCTTCCTCTTCCTTTCTGATCTTTCGTTTTTTTTTTGATGGTTTTGTGTTTATCAAAAGTTGAAAGCTGCAGTGCGCTATCTCAGATATTGCTGAGCGTAAGTTTCATCGCGCTGGTTAAGTTGGTATGTTGTACCGAACGCAAGTGTTAATGCAGGTACTGCGGGCAGCAACAGAAGTCGACGTTTCAACACATGTGCAATATATACCCGATCGAGGACGAGCGACGTTTCGTTATGTCTATGTCTGTGTCTGAATCGGAACGTTAACTGGGGCAGTGACTTGTTTACCGATGTTTGCCTCGAGGCTCGAGACGCATCAACGGCGGGAGCTGCTTTTTCCTGCCTTGCTTCTGCCTCAAACTTCGCATCTGACCTTGGCCTCAGGCCTTCAGGCTTGAGGCCCTTACCAGCTTGTTGCCCCCTCCCGGCGTCCGCCTGTGTTCTATAGCGACTTGTTACTGCCCACACGACGCACGCGGCGTCTCAAGGGCGCGATACCCTATTTCGCTCCCTTATACCGTCCACGCGTTCCGAGCAAGGAGACCCTCGAAGTTCAAGTCGCACGCAGATGCCGCAGGACTCAATGAAGCCAAGGCTGCTGCAACTCGTTCTTCGGCTTGCTCATAATTCTGAGGGTTGAGTTTAGCTCGTTTTGGCAATTTCGGCGATGCGTACGCTGGGATGATACGATAGTGCATCGAAGAAGCTTTGTTCTAACATAAGGCCAATTAGCGCATTGGAGTGGCTATCTGAGCACTGGAGGGCTGTATATATTCGGCTTGTGTCCCGGAGTCTTGAGTCGTTAAGCGTCTGATTCAATGTCCACGGTGGCTCAATTATCAAAACATACAGAACGAATGGAACAGACTTATAACTCACGGCGAAGGATGTCTAGAAGGCTGATGGGGTATGATCATTATCTTTCTGAACGAGATGCGGGGTTACGTTCAGCCCTCCTGGACTGTACCTAACCGGTCAAACCTTAGAACCCCCAGGCGCACTTTTAGCTCATAAGCAGATGTTTCCTGTCATCGCTTCATCCCCAAATTGCAAAGCGGTAATTGCCGAGATAGGAGCTAGACGATACCGGGTTTGTCCCTGGCTCTGTCAATACGACAATCATGATGCACCTCAAGCTTCAAGGAGAGATACTGTCGACGTTCCGGAAACAAGAGCCGCACCTATCTCAGGATCTTAAATCAGCGTTTTCAAGGCTTGTGGATCCTCGTGAGGATCCAATATATGTCAAAACCTACACAGTGCGCACTCCTGTCCAATTCGCTCATTCGATAATTACTTTCTCTAGACTGTGATCAGGCAAATTTTCAGAGGGGTTTTTTCACATTGCAAAGGACCTCGGCTCCACCTCACCCCGTTTGCTAGATCATGCCTCAACGCAGGTGTGGTTGAAACAATGATCGCCGTCGCACGACAGGAGTGGTCACAGTCCGCGCCAGATAGAAACTTTGCTCGGGTTCATGCCCTCTGGGGGCTCTGCGACTTGATGCGCATGGGAAATGCGTCTGAGAGAAGGGAAGTGTTGCAGAGCATGTTGCAAGAGGGGATTGTGAACTTGCGCCTTGAGGTGAGCGGCGCTTTGGTCGGGTCACATTTGGCTGAATGGCTCATCACTGCGGGCTTTCTCTCCAGCTTTTGAGGCATCTACTATGCGTCATGCAGCAGACGGCTTTCAAAGTCATACGCTCGCTTTCTACAAAATCCTTCCTCGGCGAATATGTTACTCCAGCAACGGTGGCTGAGATTACGGAGGCGGTTTCCGTATGCATCTACACTGGGCCGGATAGAATCGTTAATCAAGTTCTCGATCCTGAAACGACATGGCAGAGCCCGATGTTACTGGAGAGACCTACTACCGTAAGACTCCTTTCTTTGAATATACGTTAAACATTGCGTCTCTTAGCCCTACACCTCACAGATGGGCACGGAGAATTGTGTCAAGGACTGTACTCGGTCTCATTCCATGTGCCAAGAAAGCGTTGCGTGGATTATGCACGGTATTTTGCGCACGTCGCCACCACAGCCCCCGGAGTTCTGTTTCGAAATCCTCAGGAAACGACCGCGGATCCTCGACAACCTATTTGATTGCGCAATTCTCGAACGCCCTGCCATGTACCCGGAGACTTTAATCGCTCAGATTGCCTGCGAAACGCTCGCCCTGCTATTTCGTTGGCCAGACCACGTCGTCCCAGATGTTAACGGTCCCTCAGACAAAGGTTTCATAGTACACTCTTGGAAAGCCATGTCACAAGCACTGACGATTCTCACGTCACGTCCGGACTGGGTCGATATGATCATCGAAGTGTGGATGCATGACCAGGAGGAGGATATGCAGAGAGTTCGCCGGTGGGGAATGCTTCTCCTCTATTATCTATTCTCGCTGACAGCGTCCCTTTATATAGGCAATGGGATAACATGTTTGTCGATCACCGTCCGATGGTTACGCAGAAAGACAGAGACTTTAACCTTTTACTCAAAAAGCGAGGTAGGGACTGATTCTTCCCACCATCCCACCTCAGCTCACCTTGCTCGTCACTCGCAGAAATCGTTCGCCTTTGCCTCCTCCGTGTGATCACCACTCTCACACATGCTGCTGATGTCTGCAGCATCTCAAATTCCCAGATCGAGTCATTCTTACACATTGCCTACTCAGGCTGCCTCAAAGTCGGTGGCACCGTGCTCGACGGAGATCCTTCTGTTGTGATCGAGGACCCCCAAGAGCTCTTTCGCCAGCCGGAATGGACTGTGCTCACGAACGCAGATTTCGAGAGCCCGCTCTATATCGCACCCGAGTATGTCCTCGGCCCGACTGCGCTAGTACGCTTGTACAGCGTACTTGCGCAGCGCGGAGCTTTGGACGACATTCAGGTGCTACAGAAGCCTCCAAATGGCCTTTCTTCGTTTACGTCACTGCGGCATATACAGCAGATAACACACCCAAACATCATCCGCCGTGTTATCTCCATATCGCAGTTGTGCGTGGAGATGCGACTAGACCAGGGCCGTCAGCGGTTTGCAGCCATCGAGAATAACAGTGTGGAAATCCGCGATGCGTGCGCCATGTTCATGAGCGCAGCAGAGCTGGCGGCTGCACTTATTGCGTTTGACACCTCGCTTGTCTCAAACGACAAATCGAAGGGTAAGATACACTAAGGTATCAGTCAGGTTTCTCGTGGCTCCTAATCCTCTGTCGGGCACCGCCTGGTGAATGACGAACATGTGGGATGACTCAGAGCGGGTAGCGTTCACGATATATTGACGCGTCCAACTCGCGAAAAGAGATGACCACTGACCCACGCATAACCCGGGCTGCGAGATTGAAATGGATAATCGCTGCATGTCATTGCAGGAACTCGCCGTGTCAATCTGGCAGCCTGACTACTTTCCAACTTGTATCAACGCACCAGACTCCAATACAGTACGCACTAAATTTATCTCATAACATCCAACTCTACAGTACGAGCAAAGATATTAACAATGCAGTTGTCATACCATTACATCCTAGCTGTAGGGAGACATAACGTACTCCTGCTCATACCATCGCGTCTTCAGGTCTCTCATCATCTTCATGGTGCACCAGTCGGCGTCGCATTCGACGATCGGGACAGCGAGCCTTTCACTAATCTGAGTGCATCGCTCTTCCCCACTACCATCCACCATGAGAGCGTAGCTGGCAAGTCCTAGTCGACGGAGGCGGCATTCTGAACGCGATACCAGTCCGGCCACGAGGTTTTCCGTGTTGCTGTCAAAAGAGACGGCGAGCTCCGTAAGGGAGGGAACGATGGCTGTGTCCAGTAGGAATGAGCATCCGCGGGCACCAGCGCGAATGACGGCAAGTCGTTCGATCTGCGAATGGTAGAGCGGCTCTGATCGCTGGCTGAATTGACCACATATGAAGAAATCCGTGAGGTTAGGATAGCTGTATGAAATCGACGCTAGATCCGGAAGAATCGTCCCTCGATCCAGCTCAAGGACCAGCACGTTCAAGCGAGGGATGGAAAAGGAGCAAAACACTTGGACGCTGTTCTGGGAACACAGTCGTACGTGAAGGTGTGTGAGGTTGCGCCAGCTCGTAAATGGAGCTGTCAGATCGGTGTCAAAGTCGAAACCTATGAGCATGAGCTTCTCCACTTTGTCGAACCGAGAAAGAAGCCCTCGTATCTTTGTATACGGGAAAGAGACGGTGTTCTTTTTCTTGTCTTGCACGGCGTATATGTCTATCCCTTTGCAGCGTTCCTCGAAGGTCGATAGAAGACCTTTCTCGCATCGGTTTAAGAATTGAACATTGACCGAGGGAATGCCCACAACAAGGTAGACGGGTAAGGACGCGGTTCTTGAGAGCATCGTGAGCTGCGGCTCTAACTTGCTTTTCAATGTTGCCTGAGACCCGATAAGATGTATAGGGGTCCACAGGCGTGGGAGATCGAGCGCAATACTTCTCCAGCGCCTACAGACCTGTGATGCGTTAAAAGATACACCAAACCCCTCGTCGAGAGTGCCAAAGTAATGATCGATATGTTCAATCTTCGGTCGAGGTCGGGTCAAGATGAATATCTTTGAGAGACTTTCCACAGGTAGGCGTTCTACGGCAGAGATAAATCTCTTCGGCGCTGCGTGTGTGGTAATCTGGAGTTTTGTTTTTAAAGTTGTTAGGACTTGATCCAGATCGCGACTCACGACAGACACGTCATTAGCAAACCGTCGGATGCCGGCAGTGTCATCCAGCAAAACAACACTCAGTTGGTTGCTTGAATCAATGGTGGTCGCGGCGTCAGGACCAGAAGTGTTTGTTTTCTTGGCAATCTTTTTGCGAGGCATAGCTGCTAAAGTCTCAGTACGTCCTGTGGGGTTGAAGGCACAACACTAGTACTTCACCAGAGTTTGCACGTACGTGTCGGGAGGCAGAGGACGTTGAGCTGGCACATAGCATGCGCCGCGTTGAGGACCGGCACTCGGATCGGTGCTGCCGGCGGTAATCTGTATTTCCGGGGTTTCTCCCTCCTTGGGTGGAATCTTGTTGTGCTCAAGTCGTGTTTGTCAGAGCATTTAACGGTCCTTGTCTGTCAGGTCGATCTCGCCTACATATGCGACAATGGCAGGATTGTCAGCATATGACATATACCCAACCTTTCGTGTACCCGAACCTCAGCGATCTCAAAATCTCAAGAGGGCGTTTGCCAGGCTGATCAACCCCCGCGAGGACCCGATGTTTGTCAAGACCTATACTGTCAGTGTTTTTCGAGACTCTACCCAGCAACGATCTGACTCATGATCTAAAAATCGACAGTTTGCGATCAAAACCGAGTTTGGAGCAGCCTTCTCCCCAAACAACGCATCTGTATCTGGCTTTACCTCTTTCACCAGGGCATGCCTCGAGGCAGGCATAGTGCGCACAATGGTGACAGTTGCGCGAGAGGTGTGGCCGAACGAAAATACGCCAAAAGACCGGTATATTGCTCAATACCACGCTTTGTGGAGTCTGTGTGAGATGATGCGGACAGGCAATCTGTCCGAACGGAGAACATTATTGGACATGATGCTGCAGGAGGATGTCGTGGGTTTATGCTTGCAGGTGATTACCTCTCTGGATTGTTCGATCCTTGCTAAATATGCGCTCTACTCAGCTCCTTCGACACCAGCTATGTCTCATGCAACAACTCTCCATCAACGTGTTACGTCTCCTCTCCGGAGAATCCTTCCTTGGAGAAAAGGTCTCCTCATCTGTCGCTTCTGACACCATTGAAGCTGTTTGTCTATACATATCTATGGGGTCAGATCACTTCATTGACCAGTTGACGGCTCCTGAGACAACATGGCAGAGCCAGATGATGGTGGACCGAACCAACGTAAGGCATACACTGTTTTTTACATGTGAAAGAAGCTAAGCCATGTTCCAATTCACAGCTAACCACGGACGAGTGCGCCAGATATTGCTCTCGAGTTTACTCTATATGCCAAGAAAGTGCCATTTGGGTCATCCACGGTATCCTGTGCACGTCTTCAGCCCATCCACCAAGATTTTGCGCCGATATCCTGAAGAAAAGGCCGCAGATCGTTGACCTTTTGTTCGATTGTGCGATTATAGACCGGCAGCCATGGTACCCGGAGACAAGGATCGTGTCGGTCACCTGCGAGATAATGGTCCTGTTAATTCGGTGGCCAGATCACATCATACCGGGCGCAGCCAGCCCTGTGGACAAGGCATTTAAGTCGCAGGACTGGAAGGCGTTGTCTCAGGCGATGTCCATCCTTACCTCTCGTCGAGACTGGGTCGAGAAAATTGTAGAGGTGTGGTTGCGCATGCAGGAAGAAGACTTCCGGAAAATTACCCAGTAAGTTTTGTATCACATTCTCCCTAAAATTTGCTGATCTTGTTATATCGGACAGGTGGTACGAATCAGTAGGCGATGATTACGGTGCGGCCGTGCCCCCAGGAGAGGACGATGTTATCCAAGTCATTGAATCGCGTGGTGAGCCGTCCTATCATTCCAGAGTCGTCCATCCCAGACCTAACATTCACAGGTGCCGCGCGGGCATGCATCCTACGACTGATTACCACTCTTACCCATGCTGCCGATGTCTGCGGCATCTCAAACGCCCAAGTAGAGTCCCTTCTGCACATTGCTTACCAGGGGTGTCGTAAGGCTAGAGATTCCGTAGCCGGGAAAGATCCCATTGCTGCGGTCGAGAATACTCAGGAGATCTTTCGCCCGCCTCCGCTGGCCACATTCATGAACACATCCGTCGAGAGCCCAGTCTCTGTTGCGCCAGAGTGGGTTATTGGCCCAACCGCGCTCATGCGCATGTACTCTGTCCTGGCTCAGCGTAAGGCTCTGGATGGAATTCCAGCGCTGAAAAAGCCTCCTAGCGGTCTGTCCTCGACGACGTCACTCAAGCATATCCGGCAGATTACGCATCCTGATATCATCCTCCGGGCCATCAAAATCTCGCAGTTGCGTCTCCGCACGCGGATGGACGAGGGCCGGGAGCGCCACCGTACGAGGACAAATAACGATTACGACGTCAACGACGCATGCGCGACGTTCATGAGCGCAGCGGAACTCGCGGCTGCGTTGGTTGCCTTAGACAATCATACACATGGAGCGTATGCTGCTGAGGTACTCGGGGCACGGAAACAACTCGTGATTGCCCTGGGGAATGCCTCTGAGATGGCGCTCAATATGGGGCGGCACCAACGGGCGTTTCACCTAGCATCAAGTGCGGTCAGTGCAGCGGAGAATATACCAGAGGAAGAGGGTCTATCCTTGGAGATCATGGAGAAGAACAAGAGACGTGTGAATAATGCGTATGCCGCACTTCAACGCCAGTAATGAATACCTTACAGCTAATAGGAGCGATTTATTCTTCGACCCTTCGTTTGCCTTCGTGCTCGTTGCTCAACGAAATAAATCTTCTCCCAATAGCTGAGCTAGAGCATCAGATCTCAGAAGCGAAGCAAGACAACGTTTTTCTGCGTAAAAGAATGCTGTATCCTTTTGATTAGTGCCTTTCGTGGCACACGGGAGCTCTTCACGTCACTCGTAGTGCAAATATCATAATTGAATGATGGGTTTAATTATTCTGGAGCTGCGATTAGCTCACGCTGACCATTTCTCCAGCTACCGAGGACTAGAGTGGGCAACTTACCGGAGACAAGCGCGGATCGGCAGTTGCCGATATCGTCAAGGCCAGCTAACATCTTGCGTGGTGCCGAGCTTGGCTACTTGTTCCTCCCGTCTGTTAAGAACTTGCGCGTGGAGTCAAGTCCAAGACCTCCATTGGAACAATGAACGGTTTTTCGGAACAGGCCGTGCGATCATCTTTCCACGCACCCGAACCCCAACGATCCGAGATCCTCAAGAAAGCATTCGCGAGACTGGTCAATCCACGCGAGGACCTCGGCTTCATCTATAACTATACTGTACGTGGATCCTTCTTTTACGCCTTATCTCGTTTCTTTGATCAAAATGTTGTCGCTGTACACTTACAGACCGTTACAGACCGCGATCAAGCATGAACTAAAGGGAAACAGTGCTCGCTTCAGCCCCTTTGCCAACGCATGCATCAAAGCTGGCCTCGTGAGCACAATGATCGCGATTGCACGACAAGAGTACCCTGGTCCCCACGAACCGCAAGAGAGATACAAATCTCAACACAACGCGCTGTGGGCTCTCTGCGCCTTAATGCGCACGGGAAATCTGTCTGAACGTCGGAGTCTGCTGGACGCGATGTTGCAAGAGGGAGTCATTGACGTTTGCCTTAAAGTGGGTACTTCCATTGCTGATATCGTAACTTCGTTGAGTGATCACCATCCGCCTGTTTAGCTGTTAGGACACCATCTCTGTCTAATGCGTCAGGTGTCTATCAACACTTTTCGTCTGCTTGCTGGAGAATCTTTTTTAGGGGAGAGGGTGTCCCCATCTACGGCTGCCGACATCATTGAAGGTGTTTGCTCGTACAGTCTCACCGGACCGGATCACGCTATTGCTCAGATGCGTGACTCGTCAACGATTTGGCAGAGCCAAATGTTCATGGATTCACCTTTTGTAAGATTCACACAGCTCCTCGCCTCTCAACGCCCACCTTTTGCCTGTTCCGTAGGTTCCTCCAGACTTCTCTCTCAAATACGCGCCAAGATTCTATGCCGTGACCCAGGAGAGCGCTCTCTGGACCGCACACGGTCTCCTGTGTACATCATCGCCTCAATCGCGAAGCTTCTGTCTGGATATTCTCAAGAAGAAACCCCATGTCCTCGATCTTCTGTTCGATTGCGCGATCCTTAGCAGGGAGGCTTGGTACCCAGAGACCCAGACAGACTCGGTAGCCTGTGAGGTACTGACACTTATTTTCCAGTGGCCGATGCACATAATTCCTGGATTCGCCAATCCGTCGGACAAGGCGTTCAAGACACAAGAGTGGAAGGCCATGTCACAAGCGATGACCATCTTCACGTCACGCCAAGGCTGGGTTGACAGGCTCATTGAGGTATGGATGCACATCCAGGAAGAGGACGTATTGAAGGTTCAGAGGTTCGGTTCAGGTCATTCACCCGATATAGGCGATACTAATGTTCACCATGTAGGTTTTTTTCTACAGTAGAACGTGATTATGGTGCGAGCGTCCCCCCAGACGAACAAGCCTTCGCTAGGTTATTTGAATACCGTGGTGAGTTCAACGCCTGATCCCGTCACTGTTTTATATAAGCCATTACAATCTGCAGGCATTTCCCTCATATCCACCCTACGATTGATCGTCACCCTCACCCACGCAGCGGACATCTGCGGCATCACCAACGTTCAGATCGAGTCTCTCTTACACATCGCGTATCTCGGCTGCCGCAAGGTCGACACCTCGAAGGACACAGACGATCCCATGAACGCGATGGAACACGCGCACGAAATCTTCCGTTCCCCTATATGGACGCACTTCACGAACTCCACTGCCGAGTATCCTGCCCCCGTCGCAACCGAGGCCGTCCTGGGACCCCTCGCGCTCGTGCGTATGTACGCCGTGCTCGCGCAGCGCAAAGCGCTCGACGGCATCCAAGCGCTCAAGAAAGCGCCGATCGGGCTGGCCTCATCGACATCGCTCAGGCAGGTCCAGCAGATCACGCATCCGGCCGTCGTTCGCCGCGTCGTCAAGATATCCCAGGATCGCGTACGCGTACGATTGGAAGAAGGTCGCAAGCGGCTCAAGAACAGGAGGGACAACGGCGACGACATCAACCACGCGTGCGCCGTGTTCATGAGCGCTGCAGAGCTGGCTGCTGCGTTGATTTCTCTGGACACGCATACGGAGGGAGTGTACGCAGCTGACATACGCGGCGCTCGGAAGCAGCTCGTAATTGCTCTGGGGAATGCGTCACAGATGGCGCTAAATCTCAAGCAGTATCAACGGGCATTTCACCTTGCCTCGAGCGCCGTCAGTGCTACGGAAAACATCCCAGACGAGGAAGGTCTAGATCCGGAAGTTAAAGCAAAGAATACACGGCGCGTTGAGCTCGCAAATGATGGACTTCAACTTGTGTAACTTCTTTTTCACAAGTTCTACTCTGCTATCCTTGATTTCTCTGTATTATTCAAAGTAATTGAACAGGTCAATATAATGACACGATAGAGATGTCACTATAAATGGTTATTCACATGTCGAGGACAGAAACATCTTGTTGCAGTAGAGCCGCATCCAGGAGGGATAAATTAGTAAAGAACATTCTTTTCCTTCAGATTCAGATTACTTAACTTCCTCCATCTCAAGTAAGGTCCAAGTAAGGTCTGTATCGATGTGTTACATGGACAGCAGATCAAGCCTACTTTCTGCAAGGTAGAAATTCCGAACAGCTTGTCGGTAGTGACATCACGTACACCATAATCCCTCACGATCACCTCAAGCACTTTCGGTGCAGCCGCACAAACTTTTGCTCCTGCTCCCACTTGAAGCCTCCGGGGTTTGAACATCAATATTGATAATTTCGAACCCTTCACGTTTCCACTGGCATGTTCAACTAGAATTATTCACAAACGGACACTTGGGATACTGCTCATCAAAAGTGCTAGCCTCTTCCAGCATCAAAACAGCTGTCTCTGCATCAATCTGTCGCTCAGCTGCTGTTGTACCGCGTCCAGCACGCTTACAAACTGACCTAGACCAGGAAAATATGATGCCACCGTAATCGCTGTAAAACCGAGGTAGATCCAAACCGGTAACGATCCGACGCAGTTGTGCGTACCGACCTTGGTGGACATGTGAGCGAATAGTGCCTACTTCAACAACGTGGCACCGTGGCCCAAACCTTTGAAAAGCCCCGACTCGTGCCCCGGGAGATGCCGAACACTAGAACAGATGCGTGCAGTCGTCCAACGCGTCGCGTCGGCCTCGGTGGCAGGTACGTTCAACAGTGTTCCCTATGATCTGTCCCGTCGAACACGCGATGCGATGTTCTTCATGGTGCATATCATCATCGAGTAACGGTCTGGTTAACGTCGAGCCGCAGTCGATGGGGAGACCATCTCCAAAATCTCCAAAGGGCTGATGGTCCTCGTCGGGATCGGCACCGGTGCGTGTTTTCTCGCCGCTCCGAAGTCGACCCTTCTAACGGAAGCTTGCATTGGAATGTTCTACATTACATTGACGCCCTCAGACGACACACCCGCGGACGTAGAAAGCCTCTCGAACAAGATGTGCGTTCTTTCAGTACGAGCACACGACTATGCCAATCTGATATCTAGCCCCATATTTGGAACCCGCCTTCTCCGCCTTCTGCTCTACCTTACTGCAATGGCACGAACACGGACGGCAGCCTCGGTCTGCGCGTGTTCTCCGACTCCGCGGGCGCGATGTGGAAGGCGAGCGTGAGGGACATCGGCGGGGAGGTGCTGTGTGTGTCGCAGTTCACGCTGATGGCCAACACGGCTAAGGGGAACAAGCCCGATTTTCATCGTGCGATGGTGAGTCCCGCTACTGGCAGTACTAGTCCTAGTCCTAGTGGTTTGGATCGACATCACCGAAGACAATGCCGCTTCTCGAGTCGCGCTTCCCCCTTCCTCCTTCCTTCTTCCTTTGCTTCGGTGGACTTTGGGTGCAGTCGCTGATCATACGTGTATACTGACTTGTGACTGTCCGTCGCGCGCAGGGATCCGAGGCTTCCCGCGCGCTATACGCCGTTTTCCTCGAGAAGATGCGCAGCTCGTATGATCCGTCCAAGATCCAGGGTACGTCTCAAGTTCCATGCACTTATTCCATTCCACCAGAGCATCACTCGCCCCGAGTCTTCGCGCAGGCGGGATCCTCCGTTTTCCCATTACCCCATCATCCGATCAACTTTTATTTTTATTTATCTTACTTTTTACTGACTCTACTCTACGTTCCCCCCTCGTGAAATCGTCGACTTGGCGCACCACCGCACCAGACGGCAGATTCGGCGCGATGATGGACGTGAGCCTGACGAACGAGGGCCCGGTCACGCTCACCCTCGACACGCGCAAGTTCGAGTACGTGCAGGCGGGCAGCGGGGGCGGGGGCAAGACGCCGAGGGGATCGAAGCCCGCTACGCCGAAGCCCGTTACTCCTAAATCCGCTACGCCGAAGCTCGCTACGCCAGAGGCTTCCACGAGTGGTAGTACAGATGCTGCTGCGAAAAGCGCGAATGCGCCGGATCAGGGATCCTCCGTGTAGTTGGTTGATGTCTTCGATTTCTCAGAAAGTAGACGGACAGAGTAGATTGATATTGTGCTCAGATCCGCCGTCGAAGTTTAAAGACGGGTTCGAATACCGCGCGACGCGTATGCCATACGCGTACTTTGTGTGAGATCGCGCTGCGCACCCATAAGCGGCGATCGTCGTGTCCTCGGGGGCGAGTATGATGCGCAAGCAAGCAAGCAAGCAAGAAGAGCGATCGAAAGAAGAGGAGAGAAGAGCAGCGGTGATCCATTCCATCCTCCACATCACACTCGTCGATTAATTAGCCGTCTCAAAGTAAAGTACTTTCCTCCACCAGGACCGCGAGGGTACTCCCGCCTTCTCGCTCCTCCCTCGGACGGACGGAAGCCGTGCACGAGCGCTCCGCGCGCCCCTCGGCATCCTCCCAGCCTCTCATCTCAGTCTCTCCTAGTCGGCCAATCGAACACGTTAGAGCATCCCGCCCACAACACCCACAATCGCCCTAGTCCGCGCTCTCACCGCACGCTCGCCACCGCGCCACGGGCCCGCGTGCGCCTTCAGCCCCGCGACCTCCTCGCGCAGGCGCCCGCGCAGCGCGTCTGAGCCCGTCGCGAGCACGAACGAGAGCTCCGTGTCGAGGTGCGCGGAGCGCGAGTTGAGGTTCGTCGAGCCGAAGAGGGTGAGTACGGGCGCGGATGTGGGGGTTGGGGAGAGCCAGATGCCTGTTTTTGTTTGAACGCAGGAAGGAAGAGCGAGTTGGTTAGCTGGTCAAGGGAAGCATAGGAAAGGGGCAGAGGAGATGTGCGCACCTTTGGCGTGGTACGTCCACCCGTCGCGCTCCCACTCCCGCAGGCGCACGGCGCCGTCCTGGTCCTGCGCTGTGGACGTGTCTCCGCGGCCGGCTGCGTGTACGGCGCGCATGAAGCGCTGCTCGAGGAGGGTGTAGCCCTCGGGTATGAGGCCCGAGATGCCGCGCGAGCCGTAGAACCCGTTGGCCTGGTCATTCAAATGCAACGCAACGCTTGTCAGCCCGCTCGTTCGCTCATAACGAGGACAGCACAGATACTCAGGAGAAGAGGACGAAGGACAAACGCACCTTGGGCGCCGCAGCGATAATGTCGCACCCCACGCGGCTCCGCAGCAGCAGACGCTGGTAGGGCTCGTACAGACCAAAGTACCCGCTCGTCAGGTCCATGTGCGCGGTGCCGCCGCCGCCGCCGGAGCTGAGATGCTCGAAGAGCATGTCGAGGCAGCGCTCTTCTTCGCGTATCTGGAATTGGCCGGCTTGGATGATGGGCATGACCATGACGTCGTCCGCGCTCCCTTCACTTGGGCTTGACGCCGTTGTGGGAGGCGCGAGGTAGTCTGCCTGAAGCTGCGTCAGCGCCTTCTGGGCGGCGGCGTGCACGCAGCTCGGCTCGGGTGACGACTCGGGCCAGCGGAGCTGGTAGCTCTCTCCGCCGCCCGAAGAGAGGCGTAGTCGGTAGGAGAACTGGGATATCGTGCCGAGGAAGGAGAAGCAGTACTCTGCGAGCTTGGGCTGCTTCTGGAAGTGGATGTAGCGGTCCTGGCGGTTCGTGAAATATGATTTGTTGAGGTTGGCACTGTTATCGAGCATATAGTTGAGATGGTTATGTTCCTAGTGGGGTAGCGAAAGGGCGACTCACCCGCTGATCATGACCTCGTTCTCCGAGCCGTATATCTTGGCGTGCCATGTGCCCCAGCCCTCGTTGAATCGTGGCGGCACGAGTTTGGCCATGAGGCCTTGGAGCTTTGGGCTGCGGAAGAAGGATACGTGTACGCGTTCGCCATGGTCTCGGAGGAGAGGAAGAAGGGAGAGGACAGGGGAAGAAGGGCCCGGGCGGGTGGAGCGGTTGTAGTCGAGGGTGAGGTAGACGTGGAGGTCGGAGTTGTTTCGCAGTGAGGTGTGCAGAGCGTTTATCTAGAGCAATGTCAGGCATAGGTGTGCGCCTGATAGATTGGAACTCACAAGTTCGTGCTCCGAAGAACCGATGTAGAGGGAAGATAGGTATAGGCGTTTCTTTGCGCGCCGTATGATCGTCTATAGGAGCGTCAAAAAATGAAAATGAACACGTAGAGGGATGCTGACTAGTAAACGCTGGTAAAAGTCTGTAGGCCCTGTGAGGACATCAACGTGCTGTGCAGAGAGCTGAAAACAGGGCTGCTTCACTGCCAGTGCGGATGCGAAATCGCGGATGGACGAGTCCAGGTGCTGAGTGGAGATGGCGCGTGTGGCTCTCGGAGCACCCTGGAATGCGCGCTGGACTAGGAGTCTTTTGCATGCATGGCGAGATAAGTGGGTGAGCATGACAGAGTGCGTGCAAAAGAGACGCGTGCGGGTTCGGCAGAACGCGAACATGAGGAGATGACGAAATGAAGGGTAGGCTGATGTGAGCACCGCGCCGCTTCCTCCCGCTGTCCCATCCCATCCTCTGACCACCACACAACAACTTCACAGACCCCTGACTCCATCTCCAAACATGGGCTGGCTGGGCATGGACTCCCCCAACATCACCGTCGCTGGCGCCAGTGCCGCCAGCTTCAGCGCCCTCTCCAAGCTGCGCTTCAAGCACCTCTTTGCCCTCCCGTCCAAGTTCCTCGCACGCATGCGCGCTATGGACGAGCTCATAGGATACGACGACTTTAGCCGCTCCTTCTCGGTGGAAACGGGCATGCACGATGTAGATCGTGCTACCTCGTTCATCTCACGCTCTTCGCCCCCGCCCCCGACCTTTGCGCCGCTCCCGGGACCGTGGGGGTTTATCACATCGGGGTATGCAATTGTTCTCCTCGCCATGGTGAGTCTACTACATACCAGTATCTGCACCAGTCTAATGACGCATGCAAATCACCGCAGGCTATTCTCCTGCACCGAATACACAACATCGTCGTGCCCCCTCGTCAGCCCTTTCCCCCTCGTCACGCACGCACACATCACCAGCGCTTCACCTCTCCGCGCTCCTTCTTCCGCAACCTCTTCCCCGTCGACCTCTCCTCGACTCGGGTCCGCCTCATCACTCGCCTCCCGACGCTCTACTTCCTCCTCAAAGCCCTACTCGCGTGGACTGTCGTCCTCGCGCAGACCTCGCAGGCGAGCTTCATTCCGTGGGACATGCCCGTGCTGCGCACGCTCGACGACTGGATGATTCGTAGGGAGATGGACGCTCTGTGCTGGTCGACGTTTTGTGCCGTGTGCGGAGCGCTGTGCATCGAGGCGTTCACACGGGGGCTGGAAGGGTCGACGAGCAACGCTTCGCCGTTCAACCTGGTGCGTCTCCGCACGCTCGCTGCACGCTGGCTGGATTCACTAACATCACCCCCTATCCAGTTCGGCTACGCCTTCCTCCTGCACATCTACTCCTCCCCCCTAACGCACGGCACCAAACCCGGCCCCACCTCCTCCTCCCGCCCGGACCCGCACGCCGTCTTCACCATCCTCCTCCCCCTCCTCCAGCTCTCCATCGTGCACACCATCGGCATACGCCGCCGCTGGTCCAACCAGCGCCTCCTCCCCTCCGCGCTCGTCTCCGCGCTCGGGCTGCTGCACTTCCACGCCGTCCTCTGGCTCTCCGCCTCCTCGTACCCGCTGCTCAACTACATGCCGCGCCTCTTCGAGTCCCTCCTCGTGTTCGTCACCGCCCTCGCGCTCGGGCTCAACGCGCTCGCGCAGCTCCTCACCGAGGGCCGCGTCGCGCGCCCGCTGTTCGGGCACCGCGAGGCGCTCATGCCGCGCTGGGAGGAGGACTTTTCGATCGCGCTGCTGCGGCTTGGGACGGCGAGTCTAGAGGCGAGCGCGGTGGCGGGCTTGGGGAACGAGGTGGGGAGTGTCGCCGCGTTTGATGCGCTCGATTCAGCGCACCACCACCACCACGGTGTGGGGTCTGGGGTGAGTGCGTACGACCCAGCGAGGCTGGCGCCGACGACGGGCGCGCTCGAGATAAGCAGGTACGGCGTTATCGGCGCTGTGCGGCACGGTATCGCCATCCACAACAACTCTTCTTCTTCTTCCTCTGAACCCCGCCAGCACGGTATGGGGCGCAGAACAAGAAGGCGCGGGCCGCACGCGCGCAAGCTCAAGGGGTTCGCGAACGAGGTCACGCGCGTCAAGGCCGTCGCCCCCGGCAATGGCAACGGCAACGGCAACGGCAACGGCAACGGCAGCAGCGCCAACGGCACCGGCGACACGGATATGTGGATGGACAGCACGTGGTACCGCGAGGCGGGGCGCTTCGGTGTCGGCGCGGGACGCTTCGCGAAGGGCCTGTGGAGGCTCGCTGCGGACGTTGTGCGGAGGCGGCCGGTGCGCTGGCGTAAGCCCCCGTCGGAGGAGGAGGCGGAGGGTCTTAGTGTGGGAGAGACGGGGCGGAGGCGGGGCGGGGAAGTGGGTTCTCGCGCGAACGAGGGCGAGAAGAGCGATGGAGATGGGGAGGGGTGGGACGGGGACGGGTACGAGTACGCGCGCGAGGGAAGCCCGTCGTGCGCGCGCGCGGCGGTGGAGGACGAGTGGTACGCGCGGTTTGTGCGGAACGAGGCGTTCTCGGATGAAGATGAGGACGTCGACTTTGAGCCTCCAACATCTGTGTCTGCGTCTGCGCGGTCGACGCCGAGCGCCGAGGAGGTGCCTTTTCTTCCCCCGCTAAACCACTGGGAGGAGGAGGGGGAAGAAGAGGGGTATTCGGTCTCGGAGGAAGACTATGGAGAGGAGGAGGAGGGAGCGGAGTACTACAGCGACACCGATAACGGGACGGAGACCGTCGCGCTCTACGCCGACCTCTCCTCCGCGTACGCGCACGCACACGCGACGCCCGCGCCACCGCTCCTCCTCGCGCACCTCGCGAACAGCGACACGGCGCCGCTGACGCGCGGGCGCTACGCGGCGATGAGCTCTGGGCTCGCGCCGCCTTCTTCTTCGGCCGGCGCTGCTACGGACGAGTGGGGCGGCGCGCGGCGGGGTGCATCCCGCAGCGGCAGCAATATGGGTGGCATTGGAGGTGGCGGAGGCGGCTCGCCGACGGACGAGGCGCGGCGCAACTGTGTGATATGTACGGTTGAGCAGCGGCAGATTATCTGTTGGCCTTGTCGGTGCGTCGTTCCCGCCTCCCTCCCCCTGCTTACTCGATTTTGTGGAGTCTGACGAATCTTTGGGGGTTGTTATTATCCTTGCAGGTGCCTCGCATTGTGCGACGACTGCCGCGAGAACCTCGCGACGCGCACGCCGAGCTCGAAGCATAGCTGTCCGTGCTGCAGACAGAGGTTCGTTCTGGTTTGACCTAGTGTGTAGGAACAACCCTCGCTGATCGCCGCACACCCTCTTTTTTGGTTCGACGGTGCAGCGTGGACGGCTACTCGCGCATCTACATCCCCTAGCCCTATCCCTAATCTGGTCTTCTAGTCTGGCACCAGAATCTCCCCGAATCCATCTATCCTTTTCCAGCCCCCACCCCCACCCCCACCACCTTCGGGCTTCCGCCCGCTGCTCGACCGGTGAGACCGTTGCGACCTCGGCGGCTAAACCCTCGTTTTTTGTTCTTCTCGGGCCATCGTTCCTTCTTTGCCTCTAGCGTCTGGTGGCGTCGATCGATGCTGCTGCTGATGGCAACCGGGCGTGCATCTAGCCTCGCGCCGCATACCGCATGCCTCGTGTCTCATGTCCCACGTCTCACGCCGCAAGCCAGCGAGTCTGGAGCCGCCGCCGCTCGGGCGACAAGAACGCCGGGGACGCCGCCGCCGTTTTTCTTTCTGACTCGGGTGTGTGCTATGGTGGCATGCATGTACCATATTGTGCTTTATCAAATCAACTGGATTGGGTGTACTTCTACTACTACTGCTACGGCTTGTTGCGTTGCGTTGCTGCATATGACTATTGTTATTGATGCGATGGCGCTGGTTGGGTTGGTTCGTTGACGGTTTGCTCTGCGACTGCTTCAGTCCCAGTAATTGGTATTTTTTTTTTCGGGAACTCGCCATGAAGGAACAGCGCGGTGTCAATGCTACATTCACGAACTTGAAATTTGGAGGTGCGAATATGATATAATAGTAACGATAGGCTTTTGTGAATGTGAGCCCAGGCTTTTGTGTGCCTTGGACGGCGGACGCATGGCGCGCTAGGTAAAAGTACGTCAATGTTGAACGCCTCGTGCGCGATCGCAGCTTGATGCGTGGTGAACACTTGGTGAATGGATCGCGGTTGCGGGGAAACTTGATTAACATGGGATAACACATCCAAGGGGTTATTGCGAATCAAGCGCTTTCGGGGCAAAATCTTGCGTCGTTTTCACTGTGCTGGTACAGTAACGTGTGTGTTGGCAAACCTCCTTCTGATCCGACGGCCCCGTCGTCGGTGTTGATTTAATACTCGCAGTACTGCGCACTGTGAGTCCAATTTGACAGATGCAATTGCAACCTCGGAGTGCTAGTTGTGCATTAGCTTGCATTAAATTAGACCAAGTATTCACACTGGCTTGCGCCCATCAATATTTTCATCCTGGTGATCGGAAGCATGTCGAATGTCCAAGGCAGTACTAGCTCACTGAGCCTTCTGATCTTTAAAATGCCAATTTTTAACCGTGGTTCGTACGTAGGTTTGAAGCAGTGGCGTGCGGCGATAGCAAGCAAGTACTTACTGACCTTACCGATTCTTAATGCCAATGATTAGCCATGGCTCGTGGGTTTGAAACGGTGGCGTGCGGCGATAGCAAGCAAGTACTGCGAAAAATCAAACGCCTGCAAGATTAGAATACAGGCTCATTCGAGGTGTCGGCTCCACAAAAGCCATCTGGATCAAACGTTCTTGCTCGAATTAATGTCTCGATGCAGAACGGTGGCGTAATTGGGATTGATAAATTCGAGATATATTTGTGTACAAAGGCGCCTTACAAGGTTCCAGTTGATCCAGTCCGGTGACTGGTCCACATAGCTGTGACCGTACGTTCCGACGGAAGACCAGTCGTACATCTACATAGAGCGAGACAAGAAACCGAGGACAGTGCCCGAGAATTAGTATCGACGGTACCGTGTCCACTTCAAGAATAGACCAGCACACGCCCCAAGAATAGCACGCCACCCGCAGTCTGGCGCCAGCTCTATAGATATCGACGAGGTTATTCCGGAGAGATAACAGATGCCCGTAATACTCAGAGCATCATCAAGACGCCGGTCCAATCCAGTCTCGAGCCTTATCAATTATTAGCTAGCAGATAATATCGTCGCTCCTCTCAGGCGTCCGTGGCTCCAGGAGCGCAAGTACGCCAGAAGCCACGTTTGCAAGTCCGCCTAAGTTCCTTTCGTTCGTGCAAAACGTCCGGCCGATGAGCGCGGCGGACACACCGTCTGGTACCCTTCAGACACGTTCGCCGCGTCCACACCGGTACATCGATACCGAATACCACAAAGCCACAGGGTCCAGGGGGGCGATCTTATCAGAGCGCGAAACGCGGCTGATCTACCCGCTGAGCCCGGCCGAACGAAAGGAGACGTACTGTAAAACGCATGACCCACATTCAATGCACATGGACGAAGCTGCACCGATCGGCACGTAACCCCGCCTGAGTAGAAAGTGTACACATCCAGCACGCCGGCGGGATATGCTTTACCCCGGGTGGCCTGAGGACCTGAGGATCAGGCCCCTTGAAACTTGGAAGCTTGAATCGCACGAGCCCCGGAGGCCTGAAGCTTGAATCGTTGAAGTCTGGAATCGCTCGTTCCAGGCTGTCCCCTATCAGTGCGCATCGCCGGCTGACTCGCGCTTCGCGCGTTCTCCGTAGACCGCTCCAAAGACAGCTGAGGGCTCGACGACCTGGTTCCTTGGTCTCGTGAGGACGGTAATGAAATCTCGGAGAGAAAGGGCCGACGGGGCCGAACCTGGTACGAAACCCTCCGCGTCGGTGGCGGACGGAGCAGCTGACCGCTCGGCGGTGAGCGCAGAGCTGGGATATCGATGTTGAAGGCGCCCGAGGCCTAAACGGGCCGCAACTCCCGGGCTAAACAGGGCAAACTCGGGGGGTGGTCGTAAGAATGCTGACGCCTGACACCATGAGCGCCGTAGCACGGCTCATCCGGATGTATGAATTAGCACTGTAGCATATGTAGTAGAACGTACTGTAAGGCTTATAAGCGATGAACTTGTGCGAAACGCGTGGTAACAAATGCAAGCACATCTGATGCTTTGGAACTAGCCTGACCTGCGCGCCATACGAATGAATACCCTAAAAAAAGTGTCAGTGCGGGCCCGTCTATACAGGAGTAACGATGACCTTCCATGCTCCACGAACTACACGCCGAATCCATCAGTAAAGATGAAAAATGCTTGTCGCGCCTTGTACAAGGTTGTGCAACCCTGCACAAGGCAACAATTTGACCATGACGCCGAAATCGGCAAGGCAAGTCTATTGGCGCGGCAAGGTCGCTTCGGAGGGGCGGAGTTTACACGGACAAGTGCCTACAAGGCAAAGAAATTTACTTCGTTCAGTATTCCTAGACCATATTCCGGACCTGAAACATCATCTGAAGCTTGAGAATATCCGAATAGTAAGTATCAGATTGTTTTTACGATTTAATGTTGGGTTTTATGTTTCATGACGCCTTGTCACCTTGTGGCAAGGTGACAAGGCTGGCAAGAAATTTGCGGTTTTACTGATGCTCCTAGAAGCCGAGCTCGGGTCAACGATGGCAAACCGCTTCTTAGCAATACATACTATAGCAACGATGAGCACCATATGTATGGCACCGCGTTTGCGCGCTACGAACCACACCGGTCCGAAAGGAAACCGACTTCACATGAACAGATGCGCTCTATCCGCAAATTTTCTGGCCATCGTTGATGCGATGTGTAACGGAGCCGTCGAGGCGCCGCGCCCACAATCACTGTAACGTTCCGAAGGCGATTGTATTGTATGACGCTGTGCGCTCGACGACTAGCATCTGTTACTGAGGGGACTTGTTGATAGCCTAATGGTATAGCGTGGAGTGTCGGTTCTCGAAAAACGGGGCCGTCGTAAAGCCTCGAGCTAGGTTCCAAGGTCGGAGAGTCGAGAACCGGAGCCGCCGACGAGACTCATCAATGAAGTTGGACCCGTTCCATTGGGGTCGAGCAGCCGACCCAGTCAAGATGTTCCTGCAGTGCACCAGCCTGAGGTACGTATTGTAGACACAACAATACTAGTGATTATGAATAAACTTTTTTCTTCCTGTGAATTCCTGTAGCATGGAGACGTTGATGTTAATGTTGCAACCGACACTTCAAGGCCTGGTCGAAGACGCAGACCCACGTGAGGTTGATGGATGAAGATATTCCTCGACGTCATCGAATAAACGACATGACGATAAACTGGCGTTGATCCCCGGGTCGGCAAGCCTGTACTGCAGCGTTGTAATGCGAAGCGCAAGCACGCATCAGCCATCAACCGTAAAGGCGAAGAATAAAGAATAAAGAGCGCATCGGCGCCGTCGCTGCGCGCAGGGGTGTTGTCGTAACAGATAGGAGTGCAACGTCGTCCGAATCCGACCGAGAACGCATAATCAGGCTAATACTAGTGCATTGCTTGGTTTTCATCCAAGCCTGCAGCTGTAGCCTCCGAAACGTCCGATACACTGCGGGTTCACGACGCGTCCTCTATTTTTGCCGACGAGTTGTCGTGATCGGCAGATGGGCGACGACGTCGCCGAGTTGCGTGCCTGTCGGCATTACAGCAACGAGCGGGTGTGTACGGAGACACAAACAAGGGGCGAATATTGTTGGCCCGCGATTAACAGAGTCAGCAAAGAGCAATGGCGGGGATGAGCCATCGCCTTTGATGATTATGAGTTCACTCACAAAGCAACGCAATGTGTCATCCACCCCCACTGATCGATCAACTTTGAAGGAGAAGCGCTGAGTGACCAAGCTAAAAGCCTTTTTTCCAGGGTCAGTACGCTGTAAGCCTGGAGTAAGCAGGACCGACTTGATCAAGACTTGATGAGGCTTACTGATTAGCACGGCACAGTGTAATACTGCTGATGCGGGATGACGTCCACGAACACTTTGGACCGACCACTGCGGCAATGAGTAAAGTGGCCGTCCGAGATATGCAGCGAGCTCTATGAACGGGGTTTCGCTAAGTTAACTCGGAGGACATCAACTTGTCAAAGTCATGTCACCTGAACACGCCCGACTCGGTTCACTTCGTGGACGGTTATCATCAATGCTGCGCGTTGGAATGGATGCTTCTGATCTCTGACTAGACAGATGGACCTGATAGTCTGCGGAGTTCAAGTTATCTTGGGTACTCTTGGGCAGCATCAATATCAGCGGCGGCATCCATTGACCGATGAGACTGGGGGGTCACTAACGCGAATAGGTATCGTGCACGCACTAGGAACGGGTCCTTGGAAGCCATTGGAGCTTGATTCAATTCCTGCATCGTGCATCAGCCACAAGACACGCTCAAGATGCTTGGGGAGGAGTTGCCAAGGCACCTCGAACAATTTCATCTCACCTTTTAGAACATCGAAGCAAGCGCTCGAGGTATCACCTGAGCTGTGCTGGCAGTCACTAGCTCGAGCACCTGTGATGATACAGATAGCAGGATCTGCATCCGCAGTGCCACAGGCACCGGCAACTAGAGTAGAGTCGAATCCAGGTCCACGGCTGTCCACAGGTACTGGCAACCAGCCAAGCGAACGGGCGAGCTGTGTGCATGATGCATCCGTCGGAAGAAAAAGTACTGCGCGTCAAATTTTGACGCTCGGCTGTCAGCCTTATTGCAGCTAAAACGCCCACCGCCACAAGCCGCCACACTCTGTGAGCTGGTTCAGGCACAGCCCAGATGGGCTTGTCAAGCCGCGATGCCCGACTGAGCAAGCCGACGGCGCGTCGCGCGCGCAGACAAGTACTGGCGCATCAAAATCTATCAATCAGTCTCAGCTGGATTAGCGGGCATTGGAACAAAAGCTGTCTTGGTCAGACAGAAAAAAGACAAGAAGAGAGAGAAAAAGAATTTGTCACCAACCAGACGGTGTCAGTGCCTGTGCACGGATGCATGTCCAGTCGGGCATCGTTTGCGGAGTACATGCACAGAGCTACAATCACTTACTAGCGCGCACTGGCAAAGGCGATGTACAAAAACCCTTGGAGAGACGTCAAGGTACACAGCAGTACTTAGTGTCTTGGGTTTCTGACAGAACGTCTGGTCTCGCGTTTCTATAGCACGTGCCGAAGGAAGGAGCAGTCCAATCGAAACTATATCCCTGTGAAGAAAGTACAAAATCACTCCGATAGAACAAGAATTCATTGTCCAATACACAGGAGTGCGGCTTTAGATGCTCAGTGTGCAAGAAACTCCCATGAAGGAAGATTGATCAACGAGAGAAATCTTATCGCTGATGCACGAGCTGTGCATATAGTGAGGGCCCCTATATAGTACAATCGCATCAGAAAAGAAAACGAAAAGGGTGAAACAACTTTTCATCGTACAATTGTTTCGCCAAGAGGAGCTTCCGTGCTCACCGAGCCGACTCTCCGAGCCTGTCGCGTCTAAATCATAAATAATGCATCTTTGGACGTCGCTTGGGCAGCGTTCCCCGCAAAACATGGCATTCTGGGAATAAGCGAGACGAGGCGGTGGACCGACAGATCTTTTCTTGGTCAGCAGGCGAACTGCAGGCGATCCTTCAGGGTTGGTGACTTGCTGACCTCTATCGACGCGTCTTGATGGCAGGGCACGCCACGCCACCTGCCGTGGTATGACAATCTGTAAATGACATGTTTGATCACGCCAGATGGCAGGCCAAGACTCAAGAGCAGCACCCACAAGAGCCAACACAACCCACGATTAAATCATGGTCTTATTTTTTCAGGCACCAGCACGTTAATTTCTTCCCCGGCAATCACGGCCTAATTAAGCTGACACAACACGGAAGAAAGCCCCGCAGGGCCGATCAAACCACGCACGTTTTTCACTTTTGTCTTGCAGTTGGCTTTTCTTCGGCGAGAGCTCGGCGTCGTCGCCGAGCAGCGCGCCGACATGGCGGCGGAGGCGCTTGTGGCGTGTGCGCGTCTATCATGCCGGCCGATACAATGATACCCCTGTCCTGATGTTGCCCGACGGGCTTCGCGACCGTCGCCAGCCGTCGCCGAGCTCGGGCCCGAGCTTCCGAGTCGGAGTCAGAGTGACACGATTCACAAGAATCTGTGGGGAAGATGAATCAATCGCAACGAACGTTCTGCATCAGCCTGGGGGCTTGGTTTGTTTGGGGGGAGCAGTAGCTTGGGCGCTTCCTCCGACTCGGGAGCGTATATCACACACGTAACCGAGTCGGACAATGGAACCCCGTCGCGAACAATGAACGATGGACAATGGTCTGATGAGCGCCGCCTCCACTCGATTGTGAATTTGTTGAGGTAGCATCTGTGGCGGGTTTTCCGGAACAAAGGTGGTGATTGGCAGGACAAATGAGTATGGAGGCTGCTTTGATGCTAATATTCACGGGTGTATCTGTCAACATCCATTTACAAGGAGCATCATCGAATACAAACGAGTTCATTGGGATACGAGTTCAAATATTAGGAGGCGGCGTGTCTGTCGTGCCCGAAAAGGACGGCAGCCCAAGCAGACCCTACAAGTTACCAGTGGCAGATGCAGCAGACGTTCCAAACGTAGCGCCCCCGCCGAGGTGCGCATGCGCAGCTGGCCGATCAGCGAATATGGCTGAGCACTGCGGCGCCGCAGTGACCGATGCGCAGCGCGAGGTGGTGTGGCAAGTGGCCGAAAAAAGGGTTCTGGACAGCAACCTGCAAAGTGCTGACTCTATGGTCGCCACCATGCATAATAAGCATGTTTACTATACCGTACTGAGTATACTTACTTGGGTAGATAAGCATCAATTTGGATAGTCCGCATCCGCCGCAGCTTCAACGCATCCTTCTGGATCAAAGTGTTTTTAGTAGCATGGTAGGTGCGATAGATAGCAAGAGCGACCCAGTTCGGACACGGTCCGTCGCCCGATCGCGACTTACGATCCCAAGCTTAAGCTCAAGCAGCTCCATGCTTCACGAAGTAAAGTCATGCAATTAAATCACGATGCATATCCGGAACGTTAGCCAAATGGAGGAGAACTGCACGTCTGGAAGTAGCTGAGGGCAGTACTACCGATGCGCGCACCCTGCGGATGCGGTGGGGCCGAAATCGAGCTCCGCGTCGGCATTGTGCGAGGGTTGGCATCTCGGTACACGCTGATACCACCCTAATGACCTCGCGGGGCGCGCGGTCGTCGCGATCGGCGAGGTCGCCGTATAGAGGGGAGGGGTGCATCGCGAAGGGAGCCGACGGGGGGTGGACTGGGGCGTGTCAAACGTGTCAGACAGTGTCGTCATACATGAGTGCATCAACTTGAACCAACGGGCACGTAGATACCACTGGAACATCCCCGGGTGTTGCCCGGGTACACCATGGCATCGGCCCTTTGACCAAAGTCATATCTGAAATTAGCTGCGGGACGTGTTGACGTTCCAGGTACCCACCATTGGCCCGCTGTGCAAAGATAGACGTCGCAATGAGCGCTTGATGAGAGCATCGCACCACTCACCGGTCCAAACCCAGTCGCATGATCTCCCCAAGCTGAAGTCATGAATTCACACTCAAGGCACGCGCTGACTAACGAAACAGGAATCACACGCAATCAGACAGGACAAAAGCTTTAGTTAGATGCGTTAACTGTTATTGCAGGGTGGAGCTGGGATTGACTGGTTGTGCTAGTGCTATACAGCGGGATGATGATGAGGAAAGTTACGAGGTAATGTATGTATATTGTAACGATATCGAACAAAATTATGGCTGGCAGCTTTAACCATGTATGATAAGTAACTGCGGGACAAGATATGGTTCGAGAGACTGCCTGGCCATTGGCCCTCGGCGGCGGAGAGCGTGTGCTTGTGGGATCGGGGTAAAAATATAGCGATTGTCCACAATATAAAGTTAGAAGCAGAGATAAAAACGGAGGCAGGGATGCCGGGTGGAGGACATCGTCGGAGCTAAGTCTCGACGGCAAAGGGTAGCATGGAAAGCGAAGAGAGATAAGGAAATAAAATAAAGGGAAAGAGTTCATCATGCGGCAACACACTGTGCCGTCATGGGTCGGTTGTTAAACGAGAAATGCGAATAATGAGGTTGGTGTGCCTTGGATGACGATGACGAGGGTACAGGGGGCAGGTTGGAGCGTGGCACGGGAAGGGGGAAGGACCGGAGGAGATCCGAGAAATGAGAAGTGGTTTTCGTTGGTGGTGCGGCCTTAGAGGGAGGCGCAGTCAGTTCCAACTCGTCCTGGAGCGTTTTTGGTAGAGCATATGCTGGCGAATGCTCGTTTTCGGGTGTCCGAGGAAGTGATGAGCTCGAGGAAGAAGAAGACTTGGGGCTCGAAGGGTCGAGTGCCGGGCAGATGGGGTGGGAGGAGGTCGAGTAGCCGGCGTGAGAGTGGGGCACGGTAGAGGGGCGACGGTGGGTGTGGGATGGGAGGGCAATAGCGGAGAGGGAGTCGTGGTGGCTGAGGATGTCAGCCTCGGACACGCCCAGCTCGAAGTCGAGGACGTCGAGGAACTCGCGCTCGATGCGGCCCACATCGCGCTTGCCGAAGACACCCGTGCAGAGAGCCCAGTGGATGTTCTTGAGAGTTGAATCGTTAAGATACTACATAGGAGATACGATCAGTACGGGAATGGAACACAGGAGGTGGCACAGGAACATACCTTGCTAGCAACCATGATAGCGCCAAGGAATACGCGCTCGCATGCCCACTCCTCGAGGGCGATCTGGAGATGAGGCTTTGCCCTGTCGATGTATACGAGGGAAACGAGGATGACTGGGATGGTGACTTCTGCCCGGGTGAGGACGTTGTTCACGAAGGTGTGGAAGGCAGAGTGCTCCGAGTGGCGCGAGAGGGTGCGGCCACGACGCGAAGAAGAGGGACGGCCCATGGCATAGTCGACCGTGTCGACTACTGTGTCAACGAGGTACTCTGGAGAGAACAGGTTAGATGGAGTTACTCGAGGACGTCATAAGAGAGGAGGAACTTACCGATGACGGGACGGGAGACCTTGATGTCGAGGAGCTCAAGGAGAGCTGGGGAGTGGAGGGCGGCGTCCACGAGGGAGGCCTTGTGTATGGGTGATGAGGAGGTATGGACCATTGTTGTATGTGCGGGAGGGAGCACTGCTGGTGAGGTACGGGGAGAGCATGGCCAAAAGAGAGTGGGATATATAAGGATCCGGATGGGACGAGGAACCGAATCGGTATGAGTCGAAAACGGCAGGGGAGAACATAGCACAGCGAGAAGAGCTCCGAGTCAGCGCTTCACAAACGCACATTACCAAATCGCAGTCCATTCCCCAAAAAGGAAAGCCTGTCCCGTCTCGGCACAGGACGCGTCCCTAGCATCAGCACAGCAACCCTCCTGTCGGATTCTGTCCTCCGTTCAGCCACGTACCTATTACGCAGCCGGTTCACCCGATATCCTGCGATGACCACGGCAACGCTGACTACATCGAGTCATCTCACATCCTCCTCCCCCCTTCCCTGCCCCGATACACCCTTCCCCGCACCAGAACATGCCAGAATCCGAGTCCGTCCTCATTCCTTCCTTTTTTGGGCCACAATCCGTGTCCTGTTCCTCGTCCGAACAGAACACCCCTCCGTGGTCTCACATCTGATTCACTTATGGCACCCGCCGTGCACCTCGCCTCCTTACCAGGCTAAACTGATCCTCCTCCTCCCGTCTGCACAGAAGCCGCCATCTACTTTGCTCCCCGTCCTTTCTACAGCATACATACACTCAATGAGAAGTTTGATCACGACGAATCCACCGAACATCACGTTCGCGTCTTTTCTTTCCAATTGATCGGTCAGCAAATCGCATCGACGAGCCCGTCGGCATTGCTAAGTCAGACAACCCGAGCACCGAGTCAGGGATGCCCGCGCCGAGCGCGCACGCCCAGCTGCGAGACAGCTGGGATCAGCTCTCGGCTGATTCAGCCCCCTGCTATATCGGGACACGACTTACTCAGTCCCCACTCGACACTCGCCCGATCCGGATCGCCCAGATCTGATACCCTCGAGGTGCGAGATGCGGACACAACAATGTGCCCATTATTTGGCATATTAACCCAGGTCCCACTATATTCAAATATATTCACGAGTCGCGTCATGTCATTGCATCATGCCGCTGTTCTTCACGTACCATCGAGATATCGTATCATGTCATTAACATACCTACCCCACCCTCGCCGCCATCTTCGCAGCGGCGCCGCGTCCATTGTTATGGCATCATAATACAGTAAATTCCTGTCGTATTCGCGCTTTCGTTCCAGCGGCAGCGGCACATAGCCAGGGATAACGTTACGACGATCATCAACCCTATCTGGGACATCGGCGAGGGCCACGTCCGATCCCTCCACTGACGCTGACAATGCTCGGAAACAGCAACAACAGCTGCTAGCTACACGATCCTCAGGGCGTCTCACAATGCACGCAACGCCAAAAGACTTTACCAGCTAGTACCGACACGCGCCAGTACAAGGAATTGCTATCCGGACTCCTTATGTTCCCTGCAGTACGTTGCAACCTTGTCCCGTCGTCGAGGCAGCCCCGTCCAATCCGTGCCCCTCGGCAACCCACCAACCAATACGATGCACGGCTGTCTCCAAGTCGACCGACACACCCGGAGGCCATGTTCCACCTCGGTTACAGACATGCATCCGTATTAATGCGCGCTCGCTGTACATTACTTAGTCCAAAACGGTCAAAGTGTCAGAAACCTCAACGGATCGGCATGCTATAGCTACTACAAGGTCGCCACTAGTGAAATCCCGTCCCGTTAATCGCCCGAAACAGCTTCCACAGATCACCCACGCTTGCCCATCCCTCGCGTCTCATCTCGGTCGCGCCCGGCACCCACCGCTCGCTCGTGGCTCGTCGTAATGTCCACAGCCAATAAGTTAACATGCATACTATTTCCATAGCCTATAGCCTACAGCCTATCCCACCGTCATCGAGAACCCGCGATCGCGATCGCGGTCGAGGCCTCCCTCTCTCCCTCCCCCGATGCAACCGCCGGAACTTTGAAAACCTGCACGGTCGAAGCCACAGTACAGTACACAGACGTCTGATGCATTGATGGATGGATGGAAGGATGCGCGCGAAGAAAAGAAGAGCACGCGCTTTTGGAATCGCGACGATGATGATGAAGGTGATGTCGGTGATGTTGAGAAAGAAGCCTTGAAATCGAGAGGCGAGAAGCGTCGCCCGCCCAGCGCCTGAGCCGACGCTCTCAACCGAGGCGTTTTCGCGTCTCGAGAGCGCGCGCGCGCGGATCCCCACGGACCGCCCGTGCTCATGCCCCCGTCCCCGCGGCAGAAGCTGCTAGCCCACTGGCACTCGCGACGCTTGCGCCCGCCTTGCCTCCACGATTCTTGCTTCCCTTGGGACGACCGCGGGGACGCTTGCCCGGCACCTGTGGGTGGGACGCCGACGATGCAGATACCTCGAGAGGTACAACGTCCTCCGCGGGCCTCTTCTCACCATTGACGCGCCGCTCCTGGAGATACCTAGAAAAGCCAAGAGAGCCGCGATGTGAGCGTGAGCGTGTTTTTGAACGAGATGCAGCGGTCAATTCAAGCTGAAGTTCTGATGACAGCCTGGGCATGTCAACAAGGCCTTGCCAGCCAAAAAGGCTAAAAATACGCCAAGGGGCTAGCTTCCCGAAAAGGCAAGCGGAGGAAAATTAAGATCCCGCGGCGCGACAGAGGAACAAGACAACGCCAAGATGGACAGGGGACTTTTCTTGTGCCCATGGCCGCCACATCGTCCGTCGCACGCAGATAGATACTACTGCATACTTCTGTTCCGTGGGCTCCCCATCCATCTCATCACGCCCTCGGGACCAGAGATCCTCGATACGGGCATCAAGATATCAAGAAATCAGAAGAAAAATCGACTCGACGCGACTCACTGGGAAGACCGTTCGTCCAAGAGCGTCTGCAGTGGTGGGAGCGGCGGCTGGCCCAGCTCCTGGCGCAGCCGATCCACGTCCGCCTTGGCGGTCTTGTACTCGCCCTCTTCGAGCGTCGTGATCTTCTGGCGCAGCTCGGTGCATCTGCGGAGCGTTTGCGGGATAAAGCTTCCTCGTCAGAAAATCCGTGGAACGAATAACCCCTGACACGGCCGCAGACACGTGCCCGAGGGGCGAACGCGCGTGTTCCACGATGGACATGGGCCGCAGGGAATAGAGAAGACACGCACTCGCGCTGGATCGAAACTTCCAGCATGTCCACCTGGGAGCGGGGCGAGAGAGAGGCCGGGTCAGCTTCTTTCGTGGCCACAGTGCATCCGACGGTAGGGCATGCACGCGTGTTCCAACACACCTTGTCGCGGTCGGCGTTAATCTGATGGATGGATGGATGGATGGATGGATGGATTGGATGAGATGCGTTTCAACGGGAACAGAGAAGTGATAATCAGACAGGGGGCATGCGAAGGGACGAAACCAGTCAGCGACGGGTGCGTACCTCAGCCAAACAGTTCAGAAGTCTTGTCCGCTCGCTGTCCAGCCTGCGAACATGCCATCGTACGGATCCGACACGCCAGCGCCAAAGCAGGGGGGTCGAGCACCGTCCAGGGGGTGGACACGAGGTCGCGGTCACGCGGATGTGGACACGGGCGCGAACGAGAACGAGAAGATGCGAGGTGAAACACGGCCGTGTGTACAGTGTTCCGCGACGCGAATAGCATTAATAGCCAAGGGGGGCATGATGCATCGACCGGGCCAGCGGGTAAATGAAAGTGGAACGAAACCGGAAGGGAGCGAACACCGGTGAATCTCTGATCAGCTGCCGGACATCATCACAGAAGGGACGGGATGGGGTGTGCAGCAAGGCGCCACACACGCACGCACGCAGATGCAGACACTTACTTGTTTTTCTGTTCTTTAATGTCCTGGATCGCCTTGTCCTTCTGATCGAGTGCGTCGTGCGTGGACATGATGTGCGCCGTCTGGAGCTGGAGTGTGAGGGCGTGTTTCCTACGACAGCACGGTGAGCGAACATCGCTCTCGCGATAGGCAGGCGAGACGACCATCTAGAAACACCAAAGAAGCTGCGCGCGAATATAGAATGTTCCCGGCGCCTGTGCGCTGCGTATGATCGCCTGCCTGCGTGTGCGTGCGCATACAAGCAGCTGCACAGCGCTCCGCATCAGCAGCGCAGCCCCCTAGCCCACAGCAGCTGCGCGTCCGCAGATGGCCGATGGCATGCGGGGGACGTGACAGGAGATCGCAGCTTGCAACAGCTGTCTCAGCCCAGCGGCTATAATAATAGCGGCTGCGGCATGCAGGCACAAGGCGCGCGGCAGGATAGGGACATGGGTGGGATGCAGCGAATGGAAGGAGCGGAATGGAAGGAGCGGGAAGGCTGACGTACTTGAGCTCGGCCGTCTTCGCAAGCTGCACGAGGTCCTTGGTCCAATCCCCCGTCGCGACCAGCGGCGGGCCATGGCTTACACCCATGGCGTGGGTAGTGGTCGCCTGCGGTGCGACAGTCCCGTTCCCGTGGTTGGCGTTGTGGTTACCGTCGGTGCTCATGACGCCCGTCGTCGCCCCGTTCGCTTGTGGGTGGGGCTGGGCGGGCGGGGGATGGTGCACGATGAAGCCATTGGAGGTGGACGCGTACGGCTGGTGATTAGGCGCGTACATTGGATCTGCACAGTGAATAGGAGTCGGTCCCGATTGTACAGGAATCCAGGAAAATCTGGAAAGTGAAAGTCGGAAAAATGATGTGGGACGGCAGAACGGTCTGGGGTCTCTGGCGTGCGCTGTCGGAGAGCTCAGCGGAGGGGCATTCAGACGCGCGTCGGGACTCCGAGCACTGCGAATTTTGCTGTGTTTGGTCCTGTTAGGATGCAAAGGTGCGTGTGGCTGCTAAATTTGGCGCCCGCCTGGAAAATTGGAACTCTGGAAAATCTCCTTTTACTTTTTCTTCCGGCCGTATGATCGACCAGCCTATCGGTTTGTCCACATCTCCTGAACGGACTCTCATTTATCAGGAACGCTCTCGATACCTGGATGTCGGACCGGCACCGCCGAGTCACATCAGACAAGTACTTGCGATATAAACGCAAATCAAAGGTTAACGCAAGAAAATGGGGAAGGCTATTGACGAGTTAATGATTTTCATCAACATCCCTCGAACGCCGTGCGTGCCCGTCGTGTGGATGTGCGGGGCTTCTCGGACAGCCGTTGGTCATCCCCGCTCATTAATCGAAACTCGAGTTCATCTAGAAAACTGCGCTAAACTCTGTACAGGATTCGGCCGACCCTAAAAGAGCTTTGCGCTCCTATTGGCTTGTGCTGAGCGACCAGCGGCCCCGCTGAATGTTCATGTTATGACCGTCGGCCACAGTCGCAAACTCGTGCTCATATGCCTCCGAGTCACGTCTTCTGTAGGATCTGACCAAGACCGCCGGTCGATCGGTTTTATAGACTGTTGTCATAAGCGCTGACGAGCCAGTCGGCACTCGCTGATCGAGCCATGAGCCATGCGCAAAGACGTGACCTGACAGGCTAGGATTCGATGAACTTGCGTACGTCGACGGCTTGGGGCGGCTCGGGTTGTCTTATCTGATAAGACACGCGGATGGTTAGCAGCGGTGGCCGTGTAATCGGCTTGACGTAACGTCGCGATCTTCAGCTACGCTTACGACAAATGGATAGTTTATGTCAATGTTATGGGCGCCAAAACTATGCCGTGATAATTCAGCAAGACATAACCGTTGATCGATGAAATGCAAATCGTGGGGGCGGGTGCGCGTCGGAAGCGAAGAACGTGATGATATTCTCTTGGAGCCGGGGACGGAGGCGAAAGTGGTCTGGACAGGGGCTAATTTGCTCCAACGGGCAGTCCATCTCCTCGCGTTGCTGGCGAAAATGAGGCTGGCTTTGCTCCCCACACGAAGTATCCCGCATCACTCGTTAGAAGCCGTCCAGCGTACGTTAGCCCGAGATGAGCGTCATTCGGCCTATGCAAGCGACCGACATGCTTAAATTCAACAACATGTAAGCCCGAACGTTTCTCTGATGATGCGATTGATCACGATTCCTGCCACAGTAACTTGGACGTCTGGACTGAGACAGTGAGTCATCATCCCCCGGCGCCCGGGGCATCGCTCGTTATTCATCTCGCCGCAGTATGGAATCAACTTCTATCTTGCCTATCTCTCCCGGTGGCCCGACCTCTGCTGCGTCCAGGAGTCCCCCAGTGGCCGCATGATGGGCTACGGTACGTCACCCCCCAATCCCCAACGCTCTCTCCTCGCCCCTTCTGCTCGCCCCAATTGAGACACAACACTATCTATAGTCATGGGCAAGGCCGAGGGCCTCTCCACTGAGTGGCACGGACACGTCACTGCGCTTTCTGTGGCGCCCGAATACCGCCGCATGGGCCTCTCTCGCGCCCTCATGTCGCGCCTTGAGCACGTGTCCGACGAGATGTACAAGGGCTTCTTCGTCGACCTCTACGTTCGCTGCACGAACTCGGTCGCGATCGAGATGTACGAAGGCTTCGGGTATAGCGTATACAGGCGCGTCCGCGAGTACTACGGAAACTTGGGCATAGGCAAAGGCGGCAGGGACGAGGAGGATGCGTTTGGTGCGTTCCTTTTCGCGTTTCATCGGATTTGTTGTTCCGGCTGGTAGGAGGTGATGTTCTGACTCATTGGTTTGATTCGCTGACAGATATGCGAAAACCGTTATCACGGGATCCTATGCGCCGGTCCGTCAGGTTGAATGGTCGAGATGTGCTAGTCAGCGCACAGGAAGTATCTTAGCATGACTGATGATCTTCGAGGCTCTCCATGTACATCACTCATCAACATCATACCTAGACATAGTTCAATCAAACCCATGTTCAACAGTTCCTTGCGCCCACCACTGGCGTCTACACCATCTCACATGAGCACCTTGATCGGCGTATTGCAAGATGGCTTTCCCGTCATCTCTTCAAACATCAACCAGAACACATTGAAAATTGATATTACACGCACAATCTAGCGAATCTCGGTATGGTAAGGTACATCTATCTATCTATATGCTCAACGGCGGGGGGTCAGCCCGCTCGAATCTTTCAACATCAGACCCCAACGTGTCCAATACCTCATCATAGAACTTTATCAACGCCTCCTTATCGCAACAGAACTTGTACAGCTTCTGCCGCATCTCCTCGGCCGCCACACCCGGCCTCACGCCGCCCTTGTGCGCGTTGCCCAGCCTGCCGGGGGCCATGAGCCGGTTCGTGAGGAACAAGAAACCCTGCGAGCCGCTGAGCACCTGCACGAACGCGACGCCGGAGCGGTGCACGAACTGCGAGTGGCGGAACGGCGCGCGGCGGTACTGGTACACGACGTCGACGTCCCGCGGGTACATGTGTGCGGCCTCGACGTCGATGATGAAGCCCCACCGGCGCAGGAGCGCGTACTCGAAGTAGTGCGCCGTCTGCGTCCCCTCGGGCACGCGCTTCTCGAGGTCGGGCACGATCGGCGGCGGGACGGCGAGCTTGAACGGGAAGCAGGACTGGAACGGGTTGCGCGCCTGGATGTCGCCGATCTCGGCCACGTACGCCTCGACGAGCTTGAGCCCATACCGCTCGATCACGCGCGACCACTGCCGGAGCGCGTCGTCGATGCACCGCGCCGTCGTGCCGATCCACTGCAGCTCGAAGTGGAACACTGTCTCGGGGTTCTGGATGATGTCATGGTGCAGCACAACTGACTCCGCTTGGTCGCTTTTCTGTGCGTGGGTGCATACGAAGAAAGGTTTTTTAGTTCACAAGGTGGAGAATGAATGTGGCGGCCCAGCGAATAAATGCAGTTAGCGTGTGGTGGCTAATAGCGAGATGGCGTACCTTGCCAGGATCGATATCAATGATGTCGCTCGCCGTCAGAATCAGGCTCTTCTTGGGCTTCCGGGGGCTCATGGCACTTGGACGCCCTACCGTCCCAGGGTAATAACCCCGACCGACGGGCGCCTCGTCATTGCTGACGTGTCGCGAAGCCTTGTTGAACCATCCCATGCGAGGGGTGCTCATGTTCACATAATCGCCCTCGAGCTGGTAGAAGTAGTATCTGAGACAGCTCAGTTTAGAAGCTCCAAACTCAAAGGAACGAACGGACAACTCACCCATCCAAAAGCCCATGCGCACCCCTCGCATGCCTGAACAACCCCTTCTTGAGCAGCTCTCCACCGACCTCGACCGCCTGCTCGCGCGACGACACGTCCCGGAACTCGCGCACGAGCCACGACACGAACTCGAAGCCAGTAAACGAGTTGTCGTACTTGACCCCGTGCCAGTGGTGCATCTTCATCGGCACGCCGTCCTCCTCGCGCAGCATCGCCTTCGCGACCGCCTGCAGCGGCATCTCCCCGATCTCGCGCTCGCTCTTCATCTTCTTCTTGAGCGGGCCCGCCGCGTGGATCTCGTCCAGCTGCGCCATCAGCACCTCGTCGCTCAGCGCGACCACGGGCCCGAGCGTCGTGGGCAGGAAGCGCACGGGCGGGAGGAGCTGCTGCGCGGCCTTGTCCTTGTCCTTGTCTTCGGGGAACTGCCAGCGGTGCTTGGTGAAGAGCTCGGCGAGCTTCTCGATCCCCATGATGCGGATCTCCTCGTCGTCGAGGCCCTCGCCCACCGGCTCGTTCGTCAGCGGCGGAGCCTCCGTGGTAGGAATGACGACGAAGCGCGTCCGCCAGTACCGCAGCGAGTCGTTGAACTGGTGCTCGTACCCCGCAACGAGCATGTCCAGCCTGCAAGCCCGCTCCTCGTAAGCCCCAACCAAGCTCATTCCTCAGAAGTTTGAGGGCGAACACACCTATTCCACCCGTAGTTCTCCAGCCCATACGACCTGAACGTCGCCTTCATCTCCGTGTATCCCATGCCCAGCTTCGGCCACACCAGACACTCGTACTCGATCGGCCCCAGCGCCGGCATACGCCGCACGTACCGCCGCACCTGGATCGCCTCGCCCGTGTACGAGATCCGGTGGATCTCGTTGCTCATGCTCAGGTACACCGGCTCCGTGCTGCGCGAGAGCACCTGCGCCGCGCCCTCGGGCTTCGGCGTCGCGTCCTCCTCGCCCAGATACGTCTTGGCGCGGCGCGCCGTGGCAGCCGTCGCCGTCGCCGTCACTGTCGCTGTGCCCGGTGCAAGCCCCGCGTTCTGGTTGGGCGTCTTGTCGTCCGCGTCCGCCCCGGCCTCCGCGCCCCCCTTGCGCGCCTTCGGCGCACCCGGGCGGAGCACAAACTGGAACCCCTGCGCGAGCCTCACCGCGACCATCCCGCGCATCACCAACCTCGCCCACGCCCTGCGCACCTCGGCGGGCTTCGCGCCGGGGGGCAGCTCGCCCGGCGCGGGCGGCCGCACGAGGCACGAGCGCATCTCGCTCGGGTCGATGACGAAGTCGTACGAGAACACGTCGTACGCGCTCTCGAGCTCCGCCGTCGGCGGGAAGTAGTCGACCGTGAGCGGGAGACAGCCGGGCGTGACGAGCGACGTCCATTTGATCTCGTGCTTGAATGTGGGCGTGGGGAGCATGTGCTGCCACCGCCGCGCGAGCGAGGACTGGGCGTGCGAGACGGCGGCGAGCGGCTGCGAGGGGTTCGTGCGCCAGGCGGCGTGCGGCGAGGTCGATGAGGTGGCGCCGGCGCCGGCGGGGTAGGCGGAGGACAAAGTATGGGGGAGCGGGCGCCGGCGCGCGGCGGCGGATGTGAAGGGCGCGTCGTCGCGCGGGGATACATTCACGGGGGAGTAGCGCGGCAGCGAGCCGCGGTGCGGCGTCGGCGGCTCCTCGTCCTGCATGTGCACCCTGTTCTGCAGCACCGGGCGGCCGGTCGCGGAGGTGAGAATCGCGACGGGCTGCGGCGAGCGCGAGAGCGACTTGGTCGACATCGCGGGCGAGTGCGGGGGGAGGGGATGGTGCCCGATCCCGTGGCCGGGTATGCGGATGGACGACGTGCCGCTGACGCTGGGCGCCGGAGAGCTCGGGCTGCTCGTCGACGCCGTCGCGGACGTCACTTGCGGGTTGCTCGGCGTCGACCTGAACGGGTTGTACAGCCACGTCGGGGCGAACTTGGACAATCCACCCGCATTGGCATTGGCATTGGAGTTGTGATTTGAGCCCGTCCTGCGCGTTGGACTCTCGGTGCCTGCGGTCCTTATCGAGGCGGTGCTGCCCTGGGTAACAGACGAGCGTGCTGAGCGCGACGACCTCGTGGAGAGCACCGACGGATTCGATGGGGAGACGCTCAACCCCGAGACCGACGACGCATATACGGGGCCACCGCTCGCATCGCCGCCCTCGGGCGGAAGCTCTGTAATGATCCTCCGCGGGCTCTCCTCGATCGACGCAATACGCGGGCCAGCAAGCGACAGCGAGTTGCGGTGCGGCGGCCCGCCTCCCCGCCTGTCTCTATCTCTATCCCTATCCGCGAACGCCGCCGTCGAGCGATAGGACGACACGAGCGTCGACGTGCCCGAGCCCCCTCCGATGCCGCCTGGTACAGCCGCGAACGACCCGCGCGCACCGCTGCCGATGCCGGGCCTGACTACCGCCCTCGACGCAAACGTGTCCATGTCCGCCTGCTCCGCCTCCATCCTCGTCGGCGCACGCCCGTGCACCATCTCCTCCCCGTCCTGCCCATGCCCGTGCGCACCATCATACCCATCGGAACGCCCGTGCCCGTGTCCATTCCCGTACTCATGCCCGCCCCCATTTCCGTGTGCATAGTCGTGTCCATCGCCCCCCGGCCCAAGCACCACGCCCACAGGCGCAGTCCCATACGCCGGCAAAAACGGGACCTCGATGCTCGCGAGCACATCGTGGTCGAGAAGGCCCATCATCTCGACCTCGTGCATCTTTGCGCGCGCGACGAAGCGGTCCGCGCGGAACGGGAGGTCGCGCTGGCGGTCCCAGAAGGTGACGCCGATCCAGAAGGGCTCCCACCAGAAGGTTTTGAGCGCGGGTGTCGGGACGCTGCTGGCTTGCTCCTGTGGTTGTTGCGATAAGCCACTGGCGGAGGCAGAGGCAGAAGTAGGTGCGGAGGCCCTGCCGCCGATGCCGTCAACAGGCGAAGAGCGGTCCGACGACCCCGCGCCAGCGGATTTACCCCGCGGAATGGGCACATCCCCGCCCCACAGCGGATCCATCGCCCTCCCCGTCGCCTTCCCGTCCTCGCCCTGGCCCGGGCGCGGCTCGTACCCCCTAAAGCTAAACATAGGCGACTGGTGCAGCGGCTGCTTCGCGAGCGACACCAAGTCGAGCCCGAAGCCCTGGTCGAGCATGCGCGTCGTGGTGAGCCGTAGGAGCTGCTTGTTCACGCGGTAGTACCCCGTGCCGGGCGTGACGATGATGCTCGCGGCGCCGGTGAGCGTGAGCGAGCGGTCGACGTAGTGGTGCTCGTTCGGGTTCAGGTTCAGGTTGAGCGCTTCGAGGATGGGCCCGTCGTGCGCAAAGGACAGCGCGCCCACCAGGCGCGCGTGCCCCGGCTCCGTCCCGCCCCCGCCCCCGCCCCCGCCACTGCTTCCCCCGCCGGCGTCGAGGGCGGCGCGGTGGTAGTGGTGCGCGAGGAGAATGTCGCGCTGGAACGCCCAGAACGAGTCCTTGAGGTTCACGAGCGTGGGGCGCCAGTCCTGCACGGCCTCGAGGTCCGTAATAACTTTATAAAAGTCCTTGTACCACGCGCCGTAGTCGTCCTGCCTGAGCGGGCCGGCGGCGTACTCGAGCTCGGAGGCGTCGTAGAAGACGCGGGAGATGAGGACGATGGTGACGATGTGGTTCGTGCCGGCGTCGCGCCAGCGGTCGAAGAGCGCGGGGAGGAAGGAGTGCACGATCTTCTCGTTGTAGCGCTCGCCGTCGCCTGCGAACTCCCAGAGCTCGCGGCAGACTTGGATGAAGATGGTGACTTTGGCGGAGAGCGAGCGGAAGATGGATTTGGTGCGGGGCGTGACGTAGCCTGCGGGGACCTGGGGTGTTATCATTTCGTGTGTCGTGCGGGTGTGCGGAGAGGGAGAAGGGGGGAGGGGGACGTACTTTTTCGCCGTCGATGAAGATGGCGGAGATTTTGGCGGCGATGATGCCTATGAAGGAGATCTCCTGGTCGACGTAGACGCATTGGCCGACGAGGTGTTCGGTGAGACGCCACATTTCGTTGCGGCCGAGATATTGGTCTGCGAATGTAAGCTCGATGTAGTCGCAGTAGTGTTTCTCCGGGTCCACCTGTGCATATATGTTAGGTCCTCCAATATAGGAGATTCAAGGTAAACCAACCCTGGTGACTGTAACCTCGCCATTGTTCTTCACGTCGAACACGTCTGCAACATTTCGCGGTATAGAAATCTGCCGAGATTCGTATAGAAGCTGAGCGTCCGCGTAGACATAATGAGCAGCCAGCGCACCTGAAGAGCTGGCTTAGCACACCCCTCGTCCTTGGGAACAACAGTCAAGAAGCCCTCCTCGCCGTCGTCCGCATTCGCGTTGATAACATGCAACATGTCCCCCTCCGCGACGCCCGGCCAAAACGACTGGTTGAGGATGACATTAGGGGACTCTTTGATATCATGGACCCATGAGATGAGCGTCTTGGCGTCCCCGATCTTGAGCGCAGGCGGCGTGGGCGGTGTCTGCTGCTGCTGCTGCTGCTGCTGCTGGCTTTGAGAAGGCGTCGGGGGCTTGAATATGGACTGTGCCGTGTTCGAGCGTTTCCTGGCCGTCTGCTGTCCGTCTGCGCGTGCGGTCGTCATCTCATCCCAGTCGTGTCTTGGGTTGAGTCTCAGCGGGACAAAGAGCCGGGGCAGCCGAGGGGTGATGAGGTAATCAGGCACCAAGTTAAGCGGTTGCGTTGGCTCGGGTGTGATGTGTGTGATCGCAACGAGGGCGGGCCAATCAGATGGGACGGAGCCTCTGTCTCTTCCTCACACCGACGACGACGATAGCTGGCATCGCCCTCACCATTTCCTTGCTTTTGCTTTCTGACTTTCAAAGCGACTTTTGACTCTGGCAGTGATCCAGCGCACCGGCAGCAGCATATTGCAGTAGCACCAGTTGCTCTCCCACATTCCTTTGAACATTCCCATTCCTTTTCAACCCTTTGCAGTCCTTAACTGTCTCGCTCGTGCTTGACGACCCTCAACCCCATATACAACCGAAACGTGCTCATCGCCCACAAACACCCATGATGTCTGGCGTGGTCACGACCACCACGACCGCCACTCCGATCGCCCCAGCTCAGGTCCAGGAGGCCCCGGCCCAGGCGCACGACTCCTCCCCCTCCCTAGTATCATTTCCTACGACTATGACAGAAGACCCCTCCGAGACGGCGCCCTCCTCGCCCGAATCCACCAACACGCTCGTCCCCACACCGACCCCCGACCCCTCCCTGCTCACCCCGTGCGCAGAGTCCGCATCCACCACCTCCTCGCTCAAGTCAACGTCCACATCCTACCCGTTCCCCGACGACGAAAAGCTGCACCCCGGGGCACGCGTGCGCGTGACGAGCATCCGCTTCGCGCCGCTGCCCGCGACCGAGCCGTCCAAGAAGCGCGGTAACATTGTTCCGCTGGGCGTGAACGCGCGCTCGAGGCGGCGGCGCGAGAACCAGGACGATAGGGCGCCGAGTTTGTTTACACCCCCGCAGCAGCAGCAGCAGCAGAGGGTGTCGCTGTGGCAGATCGACTTCGAGGACGAGGAGGACGAGGATGAGGGTGAGGACGGCGAGCGTGGGGAGGATCCGATTGTGGTGTTTGGGAGGATGCTTAAGGAGACGAGTGTGGGGCTGTGGAAGCGTGTGTCGCCGCGGCGGAAGGGTGAGCGGGTGCAGCAGCAGCTCCAGCTCGAGCAGGAGAAGGACGGCGGGAAGGACCATGGGGCGGTGGTGGATATACGCCGTGCGGAGGACGAGGACGCGGCGCCGGAGAAGGAGGAGGGAGAGAAGGATTTCGGTGTGGTCACGATCACGGAGAGGGAGAGCATGCCGGTGCTGCCTCTGCTCGATGTCGGCAGCGAGAAGTCGCTATCCGAGTCGGCGTCAGCAGCGGAGTCGGACGAACAAAGCTTGCAGGAAGAGGCGGCGAAGGACACCGACGAGCAACGACAACTCGAAGAAGACAAGGCGCGCCTCGAGCTCAAGCGCCGCCAGTCGTGTCCGGACGGTGGTTCACGTTCAAGCTCGCCTGAGCTTGGCTCCAAGCGTCGCAAATCCTGGTCAGCCTCTTCTGGAGACGCACCTCCCATCCCGATCATGCCTCTCCCGCCACTTCCGCCGCTCCCTGTGTTGACTTTTCCAGATTTTTAGATTTTCGTACCTACCTTTGCGTCCTCGAGCGCCATACGTACGCGGTTTCGATTACCTTTACCTCTTTAGTTCTTTGTCACTGCTACGCATAACTTCAAGTAGCGGTGTGTACTTAGCTTGCCGGTCTAGCCTTGATATTTCCGTATGATCGCACCGTAAAGTGCGGTTACTTTTCTTTGGCGCATCGCCCTTGTGCTTTTCTTAGCTGCACTTTTGTTTATAGGGGTTTTTCTTGCCACTTTATGCGGCCGTTGCCCGCCGCACCGCTGCTGTTGTCTGAGTCCGTTGCTATACATTGCCTTCAATTCAAGTTGGCTCAAATTATCGGCTTGCATGCATGTGCATACCATGGTCATCCTCCTGGTGTAATGCGCCGATGGCTGAAGTGCGTTCGTCTGCGCCCATCGACGTGGCTGGCCTGAGGCTGCTGGCAGAAGGACAGCATCAAACGCAATCAGAGGCGAGTAGATGCGATTGGACGGGGTCTCGACCTGGACCGATCGATGTGTTTTTACGTAATTTGAGTTGCTTCCGTGGAGTATTCGCGGAGGTGGAAACGGGAGTTTATGTCCCGAAATAGAGGGTCGGCGTGGTTGGATGGTATATTTATTATTTCTGGGCTGCCTCGTTTCCTGTCGCCTCGCCCTCGATTTGTTGCGGCTTGCCTTCTGCCTTCACTTTCCTTCAATCTCTTTGTCTTTTCTCTTTTGACCACCGCCTTCTTATCTCATCCTCCTACTTTCAACTCTTCACTTTATTGTGTTTGGGCTCTTTTGCAGATAGCACTACTCGGACACATCGATCGTGCAACATAACATAGCCAGCGCAGGAGCACACGGAAACAGGCCATCACATTAAACCATGTCGTGCACGCCCACTCCAACAGGCACGTCGATCTCGACGTTCACCACCTCCTCGCTCTCCACCTCGTACTCGGCCAGCGTCGCTTCTGCAGCCGGGGGCGTCACCACCATCCTCCAGCCAACGTGTGTCTTCCCTGGACTGGGCAATGCGTGTCTGGGTAGCTCGACGATTACCCAGGTCAGCACTATCGGAGGTGAGCTGCGCCCGGTTCTTCTTTGAGCTTCGTTTCTGGCCCCGCGGGGATGCGTGCGTGCAATGTGTTGTGTTGTGCGTTCCCCCGGTTTGCCCCAATGTACATGGGTCTTCTCTGCACGGCGTACCATGCCCGTCTCTGTGCGTGGGCCGTGATGCACATCACCTTACGCGGCGTGATAGTGTGCCCCGCGTTGATATTGTGGCACGGCCTCGATCCTCAGATCGTCTCCTCTCGCCCGGCGTTGACATGACTGTAACACACCGGTACTCACTCTCCGCGCAGGCGGCTCCAGCACGGTCTCCGTCCCCGTCGTCGTGACCGTGCCCATGACGTCCACATCCACAATCACGCTCTTCGCCACGGGATGCACGCCCACGAGCACACCGTCCTCGCCCACCCCGACGCCCTCGCCAAGCGGGAGCACACCAAGCCCGACCCAGCCGAGTTCGACTCCACCGACGAGCAGCAAGGCTCCGGTGACGACAAGCGTGCCTGTGACGAGCACGCCGCCCCCGACGACGCTTGTGCAGCCGACGACGTCGACTGCGCCTGACGGGTCTGTTGTGGCGACTGTTATTACGATCACGTCGACGCCCCCGGCGAGCGTGGTGTATGTCCAGTCGACGGTGCCTGGCTCGCAGCAGACGCTGCAGAGCAATACCGGCGCCGGCGGTGGGAATTCGCATACGGGTGCGATCGTCGGAGGCGTGGTGGGCGGTGTGGTGGGGTTGATTGCGATTGCTGCTGCGTTCTGGTTCTTCTTGTGCGTCCTTTTTCCCTCTTCCTTTCTTCTTTATCTTCGCAATGTAATAACTGACATGGAAACGCGCTGCGATGTAGCCGGCGACGCCCGAACTGGGACGACATCTTTGAAAAGGAAGCGCTCCGGGACATGCACGAAGGCGGCGGCAGCGGCGGTATCGGCGGGGCGCAGCAGCTCCCCTCGCGCGCGCCGTCCTCGCTCGCGGGGTACTACTCAGGCTCGGAACCCGCGACACAGCCGAACCCGTACCAATACGGTCTCGTCGGGCAGATGGCGCCCCCGCCCCCCGGCGCGACGGGCCCGTCGCCGCCTGCGACGCCGCGCCCGGGGATGTTCAATCTCCCTGTGACGACGCCGTCTTCTTACGGCGGCGGGGGAGAGCACTCGCGTGCGGGGTCGGTGCTGTCGACGTCGACGGCGCCGTTGTTGCAGTATGGTGCTAGTCCTGGGATGGCGCCGTCGGCGTATTCGGGGTCGACGATGACGCCGGTGGTGTCTATGGTTACGGGTGGGTCGACGGGGTCTGCTGGGGGCAACGGGATGGGGATGGGGGTGGGTGTGGGGGCGGGTGTGGGGGCGGTGAACCGGAATGTGAGCGCGAACAGTGCGAGTGCGTATAGCGCCTCGTCGGCGCCGCATGCGAATGGGCCGCCGGGGAATGTGTTTGTGGAGCAGTATCAGCAGCAGTATCAGCAACACCAACAACAGCAGCAGCAACAGTATCAGCAGCGGCAGCGCACACCGAGCCCCGGGCCTGCCATGGGCATGGGCATGAACCAGTCAATGTCGCTCGCGAACTGGACGCCGTCGACGGGCGGCGGGCTCGATACGACGTTTGACGGGTATGCAGCGTCGACTTCGGGGCACGGGCATGAACACGAGTCCGCTGCGCAGCTTGAGGGACGCTCGGGGAGCCCGGAGCCTGAGCCGCTGGAGCAGCGGCGGAGGCTGCAGGTTATGAATGCGGAGGCGGAGGATAGTGGGTTGCTGTAAACCTGCCCTTCCTTGCCTTGCCCTCGCTCTTGCTCGCCTCGCGTCTGAGATGCCTCGCCGACGATTTAAAGACGTTGTATGGACTTTGTTCTTGTTTCTGATCCTGTTTCTGTTCGGGTTCGGGTTCCTGGTTTCATTTCCTTTTAGTTTCGGGTCGATGCTGAGATGGACTACTGGACTTGGACTGGGCGCGTACGTATCCACGACCATTACCCATGGCTTCAGCAGCACGGACTTTTAGAACGCAAGAACGCATACTGCACTGTCATTATCACTGTACCTATTCTGCAAAACTACCTCCCTACGTACCTAGCCATCTTCCCGAGTATACGTTGCCGTTACGTCGTTTTCATGCCTTCCCCACCCCTTCTTCCTTCGCGCTTATTCCTTCCTTCCCTTTTCCCTTTTTTTCCGGTCAATTTGGCCGTTTTTACCGTTTCTTCTTCGTACAGTACGTAGGAGAAGAGCGGGACATTCATCGTATCATATCATACTATATCAACGTTGAACCTAGTCTTTCGTTATACGCGTGGTTTCTCTTTTTGCGTGCGTGCGTACATGCAAGTTTAGGATGTCTATATGCTTGGGTAGTAATTATAAGTGTGGCGTTTAGATTTTGGGTTGTTGCAACATACTCCGTTTATTTAACCCAATGTTTGTTACTCTGGTTGTTTTAGGCCAGCACCGCCACAGCTGCCAGAAGGTGCTCGCCGCCGCGCCGCGTTTCCCAATTTCCGACTTTTCTGCTTGCAAGACCCTTGCCCTTCAATGACCCCACCTCCACCTACCGCTAGATTGGACCTCTTCGGCTTACTTTCTCTTGTCTCGCTCCTTGACTAGCAGCGTTTATTAGTGGGTACTCTCCCCAGTGGCGCGTTTAATTCGAAACAACGCGCTCCGGTGTCTTAACCGTCTTAGTCAGTCACTGAAGGGATGACTAAGTCAGGTGCTGCGACATCCTTCAAGTCCCTGATCTTGGTGAGGGCTGAGGCCGTCATTCACTACGTTCTCCTGTGCTGTTTCGCCAAGCATCTAGCCATGGCAGAGTATTCCACCATCAAGCCCCTCGTGCTGTACGACATCCCAAGCAACGAGAGCTCACCAAGATGCTGGGGTCCCAACACCGCCAAAACACGGTACGTACTTCCCTCTTCCTCACCCTCGACGCGTCTATAATCCCCAGCCATTCACATTATACCTTGTAGTTTTAACCTCAGCTATAAACGGATTCCATTCACCACTCAGTGGGTTGAATATCCCTCTATCGCACCAACAATGGAGTCTCTAGGCGCCGATCCACTCCTCCCTGTCGCTCAGAGCCCAAGCGACGAACCATCCTACACTCTCCCCGTCATCTACGACCCAAATCACGACAAATACGTCACCGATTCCTTCGCGATCGCGCAGTACCTCGACAGCGTCTACCCCACGCCCGGACGCGAGCTCTTCCCAGAGGGCACCGCGGCGCTGCAGCGCGCGTGGGAGGCCGCGTTCACGGGTGCGCTGCAGAAGGGGCTGCGCGCCGTGTACGCGGGCGTGCCCGCGAAGCTGAATCCGCCGAGCGGCGAGTACTTTGCGCGCACGCGCGCGAAGCGGTTCGGCGTGAACACCTGGGAGGAGATATCGTCGAATGCCCTCGATGCATCGGATCCGAGTAGCCGGGCGGCGCATTTGAGGGAGCTGCAGGCGGGTCTCGCAGGGGTAGAAGGGTGGCTTAAGGTGAGTAGCGGTGGAGGGAAGTGGGTGATGGGTGATCATCTCTCTTGGGCGGATGTCTTCTTGGGAGCATGGTTACTTTGGTTCTCGCGAGTTGCGGAAGACTGGGAGGAGATCAAGGGATGGCATGGCGGCCGATGGGGCCGGTTCTTCGATGACATTTTGGCAGAGTCTGACGTGAAGTTGGATTGACCAGCTGTGCGATATGATAGCATTACTATGAATGTACACGTACCATTGTGAAGTCAAAGATAGCCCTTCTGCCCTATGATATTTCTCTCTCGAGCTCATTCATCTCTGACGCTAACTATATGCCCGGGCGCTGTCTATATGACAGTAACTCAGTTTACGGCTGTCATATCGGAGATACGTACTCAATATACGTCACCCGGTCTGAAGAGCACATCTCATGAGTTGATCATTGAATTCCAGCGTCCTGTGGTTGCATCCGTAAATCGTTGGAGACTGCGTCCTTAAAGTAGGCGTCCCGCCGCGTCCGAGTCTAATACATTGATAGTAGGAAGCCGTGGCATTGTCTCTCGGAGAAGAGCGATGATGGTCTTTACATCGAGTGTGGTCTCCGGTGCAGTCTTGAAGTGTATTATTGATATGTGATTGTTCATGCTTTGAGCTCTGTAGATGCCAAGATAGCAGCGATGTCTTCTGAGAAAACAGAGACGGTAGGTCCCAAATCACGAAAATGCGAGCACTGCCGAGACACGGTCATTAGATCTACAGAAGACAGAGGTGGGTGGCCTCAAGTGCAAAGCCGATCGTGTTAGATAAGTGATTTGAGCTTATTTTGCTGTTGTTGAAGTGGTTTCGGATCTTTTGCTGTGGCTGGTGACTGCGATGGTATTCTTGCGTGCTTTTGGTGTGATGCGCGGGATGGTGGCTTGGTTCGATGTGCGCGGGCAAAGGTCCACGTCGACCCGAAGGTTGAGAAGTGAGAAGCTGCTTCTTGTATTTGTTTGCTGGCCACCACGCTACGACCGCTCGGATGTTTGCTATTGTTTCGTAAACGCTCGCAAGTTTGAGTCGCGCGGTGTTCGCCGCCCTTTGCCCGCCCAGTCGCGACGCGGACAATGTGTCGCGGAGTGTGAAATGCCTGAAATGGGACGCGGTTATTGTTTTCGAGCGAGGACAATAAGCTTGAAGTGCACCGAACACAAACAACACAGTCCCTTGTACTCTTGTGCTTTTGTATAAAGACACGCGGCCGGGCAGCGATGGGGCTGGCGACGTACATCCTCCCCCGTCTACTTTCTGTCTTTCTCATCCTCCGCTTCACGACCAGGGAGCTCTCTCCGGTGCTGGGACACCTGACCGTTCTTTCCATCCACACGCTGCGCACGCGCTTGCCGCTCCCTTCTTTTGCACGACAGATTCTTTACGCTGCTTGACGCATCATTCCAAGAAAGTAAAATCAAGACATTCCCAGTAGCACGAAACGCATCGACATCGACATGGTCAACTTCCGCCCTTGTGAGTAGTAGTCGGTCTCTGCCCTAGTCCAATCGAGAGCGCTGACGCTGTGGTAGATATCTTCTTTGGTCTCAACGTCGTCCGCTTCCTGAGCATCGTCTCCATGATCCTCGTCTTTGCGAGCAGCATCTTTGTCATCGTCAAGGACGTCGAGGCCGTCAACAACTTTAGCGCCGCCAAGCTCAACGGTTCCGTCACCGATGAAGACCTCGTCAACTGTGACTACATCGAGTGCGTCCCTCCTCACACTAGCTCACCCGACGCATGCTAACCTCGTGCGTGCTCTGCGGTGTAGAGACAGCACCGTCCCGAACCAGATCGGCGGCGTCTTCTGGGCCGTCGTCAACCGCCTGCTCATCATCTTCCAGGTGCTCACCCTTATCCTCTCCGAGGTCGGCTGGCCGTCCGCCTTCTTCGACCGCTTCTTCCCCGTCCTCGGGCCCAGCTTCGGCCTCGGCGCGCTCGGCATCTTCCAGGGCCTCATCGGCGCTTCCGTGCTTTCGCAGCACGTCGACGACTTCACGCTCGTCGCCGCGTTCTTCCTCTTCGTCCTCGGGTGCCTCAACATGCTGCTCGGGCTCGTGTTCCGCGAGAGCGCGAAGGAGAGGAGGTCGATTACGGCGTGGAGGGGCGAGAAGCGGGATGTGCTTCCCACGACCGCGCCAGGGAGCGGAAGCCCGCGAGGGGCGATGCGCCCGCTGGAGCTGAGCAGGTCCGGGTCGACGGCGACGTGGGTCAACGACGAGAAGCCGAAGGACCTGAGCGAGTTCGGTGTGGGACACCAGCGTACGGGCAGCACTATGCGCTCTGGGTACGGATTCGGGCGGCAGGGCGAGAAGGCTGCTGGACTCAAGGGTGCGCATATATGTTTGTCTCTCACAACAGTGCAGGCGCTGACCGTTGTTTTGTAGGCTACCTGATCACCAGACCGACCGAGTCCCTCCCGCGCTATGCCTCGCGCCCGCGCAGTGGCGCCTCGCAGCCCGCGTCGTCGCGCAGTGCCTCTCCCGAGCCCACGGACGAACGCCGTCCGCACTTTGCTTCGAGCACGACGTCGCTGTGAGGTTCTGGTGCCCTCAGCAAGTACCCATCATGACGAAAAGCGACCATCGATTGGTCGACGCACGACGATATGCGCATCTCCAATCCATCGAAGACTGGTATTCACAACTACAGACGGACTATACGTTACGTTAGTACTCCCGGGCACGCCGTGTGACGCGTAGAACGTGTCGCATTGTGCTCGGCGGTGTTCTGCTTCCCCCATTGCTCGGATGCATTGCATGCACACGAAACGGACAACAGACTCTGCAGACCATAGATGCGCACGCATATAAGGACTCTCATTCCCCCTCCATACCATTCCACCTTATGTTTTCCTCCTTTCACACCCTTCTGAAGCTGAGCTCCCCCGTGATATCCCCCGGTTCCATTCCCCCAATATTCCCCGTTGTTCATTGTCCATTGTGAAGCTCACTGTCACCATACCGTCGCCTGTTGACATACATACACACACATACACACATACCAACCCCGCATACCCCGCTTCATTCATACCGAACGCCCGCTTTTTACCCCTAATGCTGTACGTACGCTGTATTCTGCATACCGCTTGCTGTTTTCTTGTTCCTGTTTTCTTTTTTCTGCGTACGAACGAACCCTCTTTGTAGCCGTAGTATGTACCTGGCGTTCTTTGTCCGAGTCGAATGGCTGGGGCGTTGGCGTTGGCGTTAATGAATGGTTTGGTTTGGTTGACTATTTGTAAGGTTTAAGTGGCTAGATGGATCGCAGTGAGTGTGTGGCATGTGGGTCCGCTGGTGTTGCTTGAGTCGCTGCGCGTTCATCTTCACCGCCGAATCTTCGGCCCGGGCACTTGTTTTTTTTTTTTTTTTTTTTCCTCGCGTCTGGGGCTGGTCACGGTGGTGGAGCTTAGGAAGAGCCATTATCTTCCTCCTAGATTACTGCGATGCATCCGGAACTTGGTACTTTACCCTTGACCATCAACAACCATGTTGGTTGAATTCTCACAAGTGCCAGTGTTTTTGACATCTAGAAATCCCCTTTAAAAGTCGCCTCCCCCTCTCGCCCAAAGTTGTAAAGATGATTCTCGAGGGAAAAGCAGTTGTCCGCGGACGAACGGTCCATAAGCCGCGGTTATCCAACAGCGGCCGGTACCGTTACCCGGCGGGCCGGGTCCAAAACTTGGTCATGCCGCTGATGAGTACTCCGAGATGAGCGTCTCGGTGCAGGCTTTTCGTATGGGTCCAACGTTCTAGGGTTTATTGCTGATCAGGGCATACCCGACGGCCCCGTGTTGACTACATTCTTCCGATTTCATTGATCATCATTGCCAGTATCAAACCCTGAATTTGGGCTCGCGGGAAACGTTAACGTTGCCATCAGTTCAATTGCAAAATCCGTTCATCGGGCTGAGCCGACGGATCTCCAGCTTTGGATCTTGTCAATAATAACATTCAAGTTACGGAGGAGCAAGCAGCTTGAAGTAGGTACACGCAGTAAAAGTGGGAAGAGGGAGGATATCGCATACCAGCAACAGACATGTCATCATGAATATCGTACTCAAAGATATACATCGCCGTTCCTGGTGCCGTAGATACTTGTCCAGTCATGATAAGGGCTGGTGAAATCACATTGAGTGCAGCTCACAAAGTTGGGGTTCACGTAGTTTTGGCAAGCGCTATAAATATTAGGAGGTCTAGGTGGGTACCGGTGTTCATAGGAGGACGATTCGTAGACTTGCGAATAGCCAGTGGTGAAATCTTGAAGACGAGTAAATGATGTGTCACTGGCCAGTGTGTGGCCACTACTATGGAAGGTAAAGTCACTGTCATCATGATGGCCGGCTGTCGAGTACAAGGATTGGGGAGGAATAAAAGAATAAGCATCGGTAGGACCTGATGAGACCGAGAGGTTGCACGAAGTCTCTGGAGGTGGGTTATACGCGGGAAGCAAATCTTGCTGATGAACAACGAGGGAATGCTGTTGAATATCCTGGCAAGGCGTCTTTACAGATGACGATGTTGAAGCCGATGAGATGTTCATGACGTATCCCAAATCCTGCTGCAGAAACACTTCCTGCGGTATATGAGGCGGGAATATCATATCTCTCGATGGGCGTCGAGGTTTTCGGGGGGTTCTGGTCTTGTAACTGTGAATGGCCTTGCGGTGACGAATGAGAGATGAAGGGTCGCCGAAAGCACGTCCGCAGCCCAAGCTCGGGCAAACGTGGGGTTTCTCTCCAGTACTACAATAATATGCTGACATAAGTTACACCATTGATATGACCAATCATCTCGAGTACGCACTGAGTGGCCTTATGAGCGTCCAGGTTTCTTTTTTGCTTTGCTGTAAAATGACACAGAGAGCATTTGTGAACACGTGGGGATCTGATGTTTCAAGTCATCTATCCGAAGTCTATGGTCGATACATTTTGAATCGTTGCTTACCGGAGCATCCTTGTGTAATAACTCTGGAGCTATAAGATTTATGACAAGGGTGTTGATATCTTTAGTAAGCGCTACCGCAGATGCCCTGAAAACGAGTAAAAGGAACAAGGGCGGCGACGTGTAGCATGGGCATTGAGAAACAGCTTTATATTAAGTGCAAGTCTGTGACCGAATTGACATCGGAAGGCGAGCGACTTCCAGAAACCGCCATATCCGCACTGGTTCTCAGCTGTTCAACGTAGGCGATCCGGCGTCTTATTGGTGTGGCTATCTCGGCTTGACGTAAGGTGGTAAATTGAACATCAATTTATCCCATGATAGTAGAGAATCAGCTGGGTACAGACCATCCAAAACGTATACTCAAGCGACGGCAAATATAAAAATCTACAAGCGCTGTGACTTGCAGCTTCGGTGGTCAATTAAACAGCGGCGGATACCAGTCGAAGGGAATATTCGATGTACTCACAGGTACAAGGTGCGGCCTTGAGGCTTCTAGGTTATTTTAATGCGAAATTTTATTATATGATACCGTGATCATGGGATGTCAGTGCGCAGTCAAGAGGGGAGATGGATTGAAGTGGAGCGAAGTCATGAATTACACCGTCTTCATCGGGTTTTAAGGAACTTACGAAAGTCCAAGGCCATCATGAGACACACATTCTGAAGTTCCGGGATGGGGAAGCCGTCGTGAAATCTCCACGTTCTCGGCTGAACGATTTTTGGGCAGGATCAGGCCGCGGTTCCGATAATTCCGATAGGAATGGTACACTGTCAATACCAGAACTTGAGTTATTTTAAACAAGGGTGAAGCATGGAGGTCGTGACGAAGGACTATAATCTCTTAGCATCAATGACTGCCAACACAACAATTATTACGCCATATGCCTTTAGCATGATTTATATATCTCCGTGTTCGTGTGGAGCCTATCAGCATGGCTCGCGGTACGGCGGCACCCAATATCAGTACCATGCGTTGGTCTTCCGTGCCATTTGAAATATCGTTGAATTTAAATTTCTTTCGCTTTACAACCCGGTCGCTCTCTCCCCGAATAACACGATCCAATAAGGCTAAATCCGCGGCCGATTTGACCCAACAGCGTGAAGGTCAAAAGGGAGTGTCTGAAATCAGTTATCCCAAGTTTGACCACGGGATAATACCATAGGGTTTTTATTGCTATGCCAGAGACAACATCATAGATATTGGGCACAGTGTGCCCTACCAAGTACTCGCTGGACAACTGCAAAGCTCTGGCATAAGCAATATTTATCATGTGGATTCCAATATTCAATATTCGAGGATTTCCCATCCCACTGACATTGTCTTCATCAATGATCACGTCTACGCCACCCAGGGACCTGAGAGCTATAGTCTACAATAGTGCAAGGACTTTATGTTCATGCTAAAGGCCCGAGACTTTCTATGGATGATCGATTTGTTTGTTCACTCTAGGATTCAAAAACGCTCAAAAATACGTTTCAGCTAATAGTATTGACACCAACGTAGTTTCTGCTACTCCCTCGCTCTGTTCCCTTTGAGCACGTCACGTTAGATCCCTATTATGCATTTAAAGGGGATGATTAATTAGGTTATATCCATACGTACTGGTCTCAAGGAGACCCAGTATCACGGCGGGATGTTGTTGATGCTATCATTAAAACATGGAAAAGGGACTGAGCGCATGCAGCGGTGAACCAGCACGATTGAAACAATCAAACACGTAAAGTGTCCAAGTATCCCATCACCCCAGGAGGCGAGGAGGCGGTGAGCTAACCACATCTCTAAGGTAACTGAACCCATCATTTGAGCATGATTATGGTACGTGACGTGAGGACTCCTCCCGTACCATGAAAGACACTTATCAAAAGACTACATCGTTATTTTACGCAGAAAAACGTTGTCTTGCTTCGCTTCCGATGCTCTAGCTCGCCTATATGGAAGCCTTTCTTCTTCGTTGAGCAACGCGCACGAAGGAAACACGAAAGGTTGAAGAATGAATCTCTCCTATTGACTGTAAGGTATTCATTACTGGCGTTGAAGTGCGGCATACGCATTATTCACACGTCTCTTGTTCTTCTCCACGATCTCCAAGGATAGACCCTCTTCCTCTGGTATATTCTCCGCTGCACTGACCGCACTTGATGCTAGGTGAAACGCCCGTTGGTGCCGCCCCATATTGAACGCCATCTCAGAGGCATTCCCCAGGGCAATCACGAGTTGTTTCCGTGCCCCGAGTACCTCAGTCGCATACGCTCCATGTGTATGATTGTCTAAGGCAACCAACGCAGCCGCGAGTTCCGCTGCGCTCATGAACGTTGCACACGCGTCGTTGACGTCGTAATCGTTATTTGTCCTTGTGCGGTGGCGCTCGCGGCCCTCGTCCATCCGCGTGCGGAGACGCAATTGCGAGATTTTGATGGCCCGGAGGATGATATCAGGATGCGTAATCTGCCGGATATGCTTGAGTGACGTCGTCGAGGACAGACCGCTAGGAGGCTTTTTCAGCGCTGGAATTCCATCCAGAGCCTTACGCTGAGCCAGGACAGAGTACATGCGCATGAGCGCGGTTGGGCCAATAACCCACTCTGGCGCAACAGAGACTGGGCTCTCGACGGATGTGTTCATGAATGTGGCCAGCGGAGGCGGGCGAAAGATCTCCTGAGTATTCTCGACCGCTAGATATCAGATTGGCATGGCCGTGTTCCTGCAGTGAAAGAACGCACATCTTGTTCGAGAGGCTTTCTACGTCCGCGGGCGTGTCGTCTGCGAACATTAATGTAGAACATTCCAATGCAAGCCCGTCAGAAGTGTTCAACGTCAACTCCAGCGCGACGAGAGGACGCGCACCGGTGCCGATCCCGACGAGGACCATCAGCCCTTTAGAGATTTTGGAGATGGTCTCCCCATCGACTGCGGCTCAACGTTAACCAGACCATCACCCGAAAGGACGCGTGCATCCACGGCGCGGTTGGGCACCATGAAGAGCATTGCAGCGCTTGTTGAACAGAACATAGGAAACACTAACGTACCTGCCACCGAAGCTGACGCGACGCGTTGGACGACTGCACGCATCTGTTAGCAGTGTTCGGCATTTCCCGGAAGCACGTCGAGCTTCAAAACAGAAATATTCTCAGGATCAATTTATCCTTGTTGCAATGAATGTAGCACACACAAAAAGAAACCCTCACTGCTCCGACAAAGGCTCTCTGACAGCCTGTGATACCACGAGTCCAAAGACAAATTCAAGTCTCTCTGCCGGTGAACGGGAAGTCGGTAACCCTAATATCTCCGAATGCCGATCCGATCCAATACGTCGTGCGCGTCGGCCTTCAAGCTTTCAAGCTTCAAGCTTCAGCGCTTCAGCTTCAAGCTTCGCTTCACCTTGCTTTAATATCCTGCATTCTCTCGTGATTGATACTCAATAATCTCTGTTCCAACTTCAGTGAAAACGTGTCACATTTTCCAAGCCCCCAAGCCAATCTCCAATCTCCAACAGGTTCCATCTACAGGGATATCCTAGCTATGGCCGTCGCACAGACGCTCGCACGAAGGCGAACACGTCAAACCCTGACACCACGACTCGGACTACTGAGTAAGCTGCTGAGCATAGCGTGCGTTCTTCATGATCTCCAGAATCTCCAGAATCCTGATATGCCCTGAATACATGCACTGTATGCTCAACGTACGATCCAGGCCGCCACACTTGCTCAAAGAGAAACAGGAGAAGAAGGATCCACCAAAGTCTTCAAAGAGCTGGCCAGTGCTGTACGTCTTGATATAACTATCTCCTTATACCACTTTCTTAGCAAGATAACCGGTTCTCCGCTGTGGCGACGGCATTCAGCTATCAATCGTCGCCGCCCAGGTCGACGTGAGTACTCGGACGAAATCATGTCCGTGTATCTGACTTTTATACTCTAGGATGCCGTGAAGCTGAACGCCCTCGCATCATCCGAGAGAACCGGCTGCGGCGGTGCCTCGCCGGAGGAAACTGCTGACGTTCTCCGTTTTGCGTCGGATGTGTCCCTCATGAGTCATGATTTCGACCATGCAATAACAGCGCTCACGGGTTTCAAGACAAAACTCGAGGATACCGTGAACGCCCGAAAGAGATTTGTCTCTGCCATTGGACGCCTTCCCGTCGAGATTCTGTCTGAGATTTTAATCCTGGCCAGGCCGCGCTACCACAATCATCGCGATCCTTTTGAAACGCTCTACAAAGGTTACAATGTCTCTTTCAACGCGGCACAGGTCTGCAGGCGCTGGAGAAGTATTGCGCTTGGTCTTCCCCACTTATGGACCCCTATCCATCTGACTGGATCCAAAGCGACCATGGAATTCAACTTACAAGCCCAGCTCACGATGTTGTCAAGGACCGCATCCCTACCTCCATACCTTATTGTGTGCATCCCCTCAGTTCATTTAAGGTTCATACAGAAATGCGAGAAAGGGTTTCTCTCAGCGTTCGAACAGCGTTGCAAGGGGTTAGATATATATGCTGTGCAAGACAAGAAGAGGGCATCCGTTTCCTTCCCACACACCACAGTACAAGGACTTCTCGCGCGCTTCAGCAGAGTCGAGAGGCTTACACTCATGGGCTTCGACTTGAATGTTGACGCCACAGTCCTGTCCGCCAACTGGTCCAATCTCACACACCTTTATTTGCGAGTATACGACTATGACAGTGGAGCATTATTCTCCATTGCCATGCCCCATCTGAACGTTCTCGTTCTCGAGGTAGAGCTTGGCGTGGATTACCTGAGCCCAGCTTCATTCCTACACAAGTATCTGTTGGAATTATCTGTTCGATATCGCTCGCATCATGACGTGTCGATTTATAGTATAGATTCCGAGTCTTATTTAGGTATATAATCTTGTCGTAGCTACTCGTATTATTCACGCGAATGCCCCTTCGGGCACCCTCCCCTTGCCCGGGACAAACGCGCTGTGCGTCGTCGCGAGCCCCAGCGACCTCGAATTTCTCAGTATCCCAGCCTCACCGATTTGTTCCTCAATGGCCGGGTCACTGGCAACAACAGCCTGAGCACGAGCCCATTTTACCATGAACGCATCGAGCGGCTTGCTTTCGATGGTGGCATTGATGGCAATCTACATGACATGTTATACACAGCCACTCTTCCCGCCCTCACGGAGCTCCTCGTCCCACTGGGTTCCGACACGGAGGAGCTTGTGTCTGAGCTGATGCTCTGTTCAGGGTGCCATCTACGTCGGTTAGGACTTATTCACTCTGAGTTCAACGGATGTAGTGGTCACGAGATGGCACACGGTGCTCAAATTGGTGCAATGCTTGCGATCCCGACCGTTGAATATGACATGAGCTGGGGCACATCAAAGATGATGAGCGAGTTGAAGGCGCGGTGGTATGAACGGGAATATGTCGTGGTGTGATCGAATATCCTACAGTTGTTTGTTTTCCGCGTTGCATCTGTCAGTACTGGCTCTAGTCAGACCTCAAGATGAAGCTGATTGAATAAAAAAGCATGCTCGCATATTGAATACATATGCGAGGCCCATGTCTTTTGCTAACTTGCGACCTGTAATCTCCAAGTTTACGGTTCGTGGCATACATAACATCTATCCGAGGGAACAACAGTGGTTGATGGTAGTACATGATTTCCTAACATTGATAGCCAGCTCTCACTCTGCATCATCGTTGTCATCCTCATCTATTTCACCATGCGCCTCGTCTCCATCCACTCCAAAGTCCCATGCGTATAGCATTGTTTGGTTATCGCGGTTGGAGGCGGCGACACACCATCGCCCACTGAACGCGACCTGCCAGACACCCATCTGACCCGTCGGTAAATCCTGCACGGCCGTTCCATCACGAACGCTCCACATCCTAAGTACGCCGTCTGATCCGCTGAGGACTTGGGGGTCGTTGTGCTGGAAACAGCACCGAGGAGCCCTGTGAGCTTGTGTCCGAGCTCACCCGTGTCTGGGTCCTAGATGTAGATGTTGGCGCCTGCGGACGTAGAGATGAAGTAAATGAGAGATAAGCCCGGGAGGCCAATGAGAGATGTGTGGCCGGTGAAGGTGTGCTTGCATTGGCCATTTTGGAGATGGTCTCCCCATCGACTACGACTCAAAGTTTGGCTGGCTGACATTCAAACACGCTCCCGAGGGCTTCCATGAGGCAGTCATGTACAGTGGTATCTTGGCTCATAGAGAGGAATATGGTGAGCGGGAAACGTACCTGCCAGTGAGACTGATGCGACACGTTGGACGACTACGCGCTAGTGTTCGGAGTCTCCCGGGACACGTGTCGGACTTCAAAAGTTTGTTGGGTGTGACTGCGACAGCACCGCGCGTTGCACTGCAGACAAACTGTCATTTTTCTCTTACAAAAAGTGATTGAAGAAGGAGGACAGATGAAAGCCTTTTTCACCCATCTTTTGCTGTGCGAAAAGTTACTGAAAAGTTAAACTTTTGCCTCGGAGTTTGCATTTATGTGCGGAGATTAGATAGAAACACGTCCAAATCGGGAAGGTGAAGTCCAAATTCGGTAACCCGTCCATTTTACCACCGCAAAATTAACGCAAATATCGGCTAAAAGAGTACCTTTTCCTGTGTAAAAGGGGGTTCCAAAACTCGGAGGAAAAGGCTTTCATCTCGCCGCCTCTTTCTCTCGGTTTCATCCCGGGTAAAATCGCCGTTTGTCTGCAGTGTTGGTGGCTGGACGCGTCAACGTTTCAACGTTCATGTTACGTTCAACCCCGAGTCCAATTTTCCGCTTACTTCCTCCCACACTCTGACTTATCCGCCATTTGATACATTGACCATGTTTCAAACGTGTTGATCGGGGATTTAGAAGCGCCAGCGCCGTTGCAGAAGAATAATAGCACCTCGCATTCCGCTCTGGCTCGTCTTGGCCTTTTCTGGAGGAGAAATATGTTGGAATATTAATGCTGCGACGTCTGTTTCCGCAGATAAAGAGACCATATTTTGGACATGAGGCCATGATGCATGATAGCTACTACCTCGGACCGAGTCTAAAAATGCTGCACCGCTGTTAACGGAATTAAGTGTCTGTGCTACCTTTCATGTGGACCAGGCTGATCGTCATGATCTCTATAAGACCTGGAAAAAACGTTGTGATACAAGTTGAAGGATTGTATGAGGCAGTGGCTAAGGATCCTGTCTTGTCGATACTCTATGAATAGAAAAAAAGAAGCTTCGTGATCGGCCATGTTCATCAAGACACAGACAATTTAAGTTGGACAAAAACCTCACAGTATGCAACATTGTTATAGAACCGTCCGAACATTATATATAACATGTCATAACGTTGATAACTGCAGCGTTTCTCTCATCTAGTCCAATGATTTTCCAACGCTCAGTGAGGTTTTATGTCAATGGCGGCATGCTCTCCATTTCAAATGTCTCTGTCGCAACGTGGCCATCATCCTTGTATCAAACTCTGAGTTGAGATTCACAATAACGTTGCCATCAATCTCAGGAGCCGCTTTCAAGTTTCAGGCCGGGCCTGCTTTCCCGCAACAGGGGGGCATCAACTCTTCATTACTGTCAACGACATCTCAATGTAACTTGCTGGAACATGCGGATTCGACCCGCTCGACCCGCTTTTCAACTGTCGGAGCATTCTTCACGCGTCATACTTGAGACCAAAGTATCGCTTACAACAACAGGGCCGTTAGACATGTGGTGTATGACCTCGATAGACGTTATTGGATTCAAAAAATAAATAGGGCATAACTTCAAATATTCCGGATAATGGCTATGAAGAAAATGTCCGTTGATGGTTTATAAATTATTGCTCAAGGAGGGATACCTCAAGGCGAGTTGAGAGTATATACAATCATACCCAGAACTGCTCATCCCCGGAGAATGTGCCGTACCTATACGCCCACTGAATATTGCCCAAACCATATTGAGTGGAGAATACGAGATTGGTGCTTGGGTGGACTTCAATCTCTTGACTTGGTGTATCGTTGAAGTAATGCTCCGCGCCTATGTAGTTCTGGTAATCAGTTGTAAGAGGAGGCGGGTATGCACAAGGAGACTCGAATGCTGGTGAATAATCAACGAAGGTTTGAGGCTGAGTGGGTGTTACTCTGCCATGATTATGTGCATGGGGCTGAGTGCTACCGTCATCATCAGCCGCAAAGGAGAGAAACTGAGGCGCATTAAGTGAATGGTCGACGGTAGGTGTTGAGGAGACTGGAAAGCTACACGATGGGCCCCGACCGTCTTGGAATAGTTGGTGCGCAAAACCCAACTCTGGCTGACCGAAAACGGCATGGTGCCGAAATTCCTGAGCGGATGAAGTGTTCAAAGGTGACGCAAACCAAGAGTCCGCACTGCTCGGAAAATGTTGCTCTGGATGTACGATGTATCTGCCCAGCTGCAGGGTCTTTTCGTGCTTTGCATGAGGCAGAAGGAAACTCCCCGACGGATGCTGAGCTCTCCGAAGAGTCCTGGTCTTGTAGCTATGAATGGCTTTACGGTGACGGATGAGCGAAGAAGGATCGCCGAAAGCACGCCCACAACTGAGGTGCGGGCAAATGTGTGGTTTTTCTCCGGTGCTATAACATCTGCTGTTAGCTGAGTTTAGTAGTACACAATCTCAAACACGTACTGAGTGGCTACATGAGCGTCCAAGTTCCGTTTTTGCTTTGCAGTAAAGTGGCACACGGGACAGTGGTAAACACGTTGTTTCCTATTAATGTATCGGTCATGTCTTATCCCGATGCGGGACAAATGCGAGCTAAGGCTTACCGGTCCATAATTATTTATGAACACTGCAAGAGTACGTCAAGGGTGCTTGTAAATCGCGGGCGGGTTTTTGAGACTTGAGCCCTTATCGGTGAGCGCAAGGGTGGGCTATCGAGTGACTGAGTCATAAAAAACGACTTCGTACAATATCTAGTGTGAATGGCCCGCGGAGGAGCGTGAGATGGAGTTGACGTCGAATAATGGGGTGTTCAACGTCGACTTGAACTGTCATCGCTTTTCTTCCTGTTTCTCAGTCTTCTCAGATGCAGATGATCCGACATCTCAGTCGCGTTGGTGATCTTCGCCAAACCAGGGTGGCGAGCTGAGGTATCAGAAAAGTTCTCTCGGTGAAGCCTTCCAAAGATGCATGCTATAGCGACGACAATGTACAAACGCCAGAGACCGCAGCCAATCTCTCGGTGGAGCATCAAAAAGGTCACTGAGCTATTCTAACTTGATCTCTAAGATCCTGCTCATGGGAAGTCATGCGCGTGGAAGAGAGGAAAATGCGTGATTGAATTGACATAAACAGGTTAAGCCGCCGTATTGACCAGTATGACAGGGACTTACGAAAGCCCAGGGCTACTACCGCACGCGGACTTGAATTCGTATCTCCGGGGAACTCGCCGTCAACTTGGACATTCTCGGGATTCTCGGCTAGAGGGAATTGGAGTAGTAAATCTGCGATAGCAAAGTGGCGCTAGTGCGTTGAGGCGACGCTCAGAATAGGACCCTTGTTTGTTCCCATCAAGTTTTGTCAAGGTCAAACAACAGCACTGTGGTGTATCACAATGATTTCTGACGGAGATCATGTTCACCGCCTGCTGCATGCCTTTAGTTAGCCTCTATGTTTCTTGGATTAGAAATACGCGTGGAAGTGCGTTAATCGTGATGACTCGCCATGCCGCGGCGTTCAGCATGCGTCGCCTTTAGTGCAGTTTGAAACGTAGATGAATTTAAATTCAAACCAGAATACTCGACCGGGACGTTGTCATCCTGTACGAAGAGATCCAGTCAGATTTGATCCGTCGATATTTTTGCTGGACCACTTAAATGTCATAAAATGCCACGCATGAGGATAGTCTTACGGATTCATGAGTAAGGGTGCACAATCGATTTACAAATACGGAACATACCGACTCTTACCGATATTCAACGACGCAACATGGGATATCACCACCTTCCTGCTCAAGCTCTACGAATCACGTTACGCATGGTGTTGAGTACTGGAGCCAATTTGGAGCACAGCTGAGAGAAAGACAAAGTATTCAGACACTCGGCGACGATGAACGCAGTGTAACGTTCTCGGCTGCTAACCTTGTAAACCACAATGTTTCTGATCGAGATTCAATTGCCGGGGGGCTCTGTTTGAGCGACCATTCAATCTCCACTGATTTTTTACCGAGACCCTAAGGAGTACAAAGACATAGGCTGCGGAGAAACACTGGACCGGACGGTACTTACCATGAATCCATGCTGTACGGTGGTACAACGAATCAACTGAAGTGAAAGTTGATGTATTATTAGAAACCTACGGTCAGGCTAACTCGGTGTACAACAATGCGATCTTCCGACTTGGAGATTTCTACCCGCGTTAAAACACCGACACGTTCCCAGGTATTTCCGAGTCCGCAGGATCAAAGACGGCACTGAGCGCTTTGGGAGAAGGGGAGAGTGACAAAGAAAATGATACATGCAATGAGTTTCTAAATCCAGACTCTTCCTCAGCCGTGGCAGGCACCACCTCTAGAAGAAGCTAGTTCCAGACATGAGATGAACTTGCGGCCTCTTCGCCGTGAAGCCTGTGGAGGAGCACCTAGACGTGAGCCACAATAACATTCCGACAGCTTCGAGACAGAACTGCGGACCGGAGCACCGATAGACGCCCAGTGATAAGGAACGTTTCTTCTAGTTCGTAGCTTCATTTGAACTTCAGCCACTTGATGGAGCTGATCAGATCGACGATGTGAGTCGTTTGCACGTTTGAAACAGATGCGAGTATCATTCCTCATGCTAACTTGGGACCTATAGTTTACAAGCTTATAGCCTATGGTATGCAAGAATTTCCAGGAAATCGAGCGAAACTGAATAGCATAAATAAACATGAGTACCTAGTTTCTCGACGTCGGCGGCCAGCTGCCCCTTGTCACTTCGCATCGTCGTTGCCATCCTCCGTCTCTTCACCGTGCATCTCGTCTCCATCCACCCCAAAGTCCCATATATGCAGCATTGTTTGGTCATTGCGGCTAGAGGCGGCGACACACCATCGCCCATTAAACGCAACTTGCCAGACACCCATCTGACCCGTCAGTAAGTCCCGCACGGCCGTTCCGTCACGGACACTCCACATCCTGAGCACGCCGTCTGATCCGCTGAGAACCTTGGAGTCATCGTGCTGGAAACAGGTGACTGCGCTCAGGAGCCCTGTGAGCTTGTGTCTGAGCTCGCCCGTATCTGGGTCCCAGATACAGATGTTGGCGTCTGCAGATGCCGAGACGAGGTGACTGGACGACAAGCCCAGGAGGCCGACGAGAGACGTGTGGCCGGTGAGGGTGTGCTTGCATTGGCCGTTTTGAATGTCCCAGATGCGGACGGTGTCATCCATTGAGCCTGAGTAAGCCTGACGTCGCGCGAGGTCAAGTGCGACGCTGTACACTAAGGTTGCATGGTCAACATAAATGTCGGAGGTCGATTATAGTCATGACGAACCCTTTTTCTTGTGGCCGGTGAGCATCCATTTGCACTCTCCCGTCACGATGTCCCATACTCGAACCGTGTTGTCATAGCTTCCCGAAACCACAACACGTCCTTGTGCGGCGAGCGCCCGAACAGCGTTCTCGTGTCCCGTCAGATGCAACAGGTGGTAAGGGTTCCCTGTAACGTCCTTTCTGCAGCTTAGTTTCAACCTTGTGCGTGTACGGAGACCTGCTACTCACATCTTCCTCATCTTCATACTCAGGCACAATGGACTTGTACTCCTCGTCATTCGGCTGCGGGAGCGCCCAAACATGCATCGAGTGGTCTCTGCTCCCCGACACGATCACCGAGCGCTTGGGCCATTTCTCCTTTGTCACCGCCCCGTTCTCATCCTCCACATCCACCCACTCGGGCGTGACGATCGCGACGCACCTCACTGTGCTCGTGTGCCCACCGAAGACGTGCGTACACTTGCCCGTCGCGAGATCCCACACTCGGACAGTCCGGTCTGAAGACCCGCTCACAAGGGTATCGCCTTTTGCAGCATTGGCCCAGACGCCGCTCTCGTGTCCTTCGAGTGAATGGAGCAGCTCTCCGGAGAGCAGCGAGTACACGTGAATGGAATGGTCGTCCGATGCAGAGATGATGCGTCCGCGTGATAACAGGAGGCTTGTCACCACGGACGAGCCATGCGCGGGAAAGGAGCGATGCGCAGGATCTGTGTTAGATAACCAGCTCATCTTCAGTCCAACAAAGCGAGTGCTCTGATACGGTCTGCGTCAGGGAACGGTAGAGGCAAAAGATCTGGGGTGTTTTTGGGATGTTATACTATCCTGTGCGAACCCCATGTGCAGCGTGGAGTCAAACCCCATATCAACTCGGCCAACTCGGGACGAAAACGGCCGTCATTAAGCACACCATTGAGTTGGGAGGTGCTAGCCAGTGATAAACAGGCTCCCCAGTATTCCTACACGAGCGACGTCAACAAAACATCACTATAGGAGGGGTTTGAATGTGTTACTTGCCTACGCGACTGAAAGCCCAGAGGTTTGAGATGGGCAAGAGATGGGAGCAAGAACGGAAACGCTCCAGTTTCTGTGTTGTCACTGATTAACCGTGGGAAGGTACTCATCGCGCTGCAGACGCGACTCAGACACGACGCGTCGTTTCATGAAGAGATCGTTGATCACATTCCACCAGGCTCAGTCCATCCCTCTTTCCCTCTATACGCAGCTCAGACCCATTCGTCATTATAATGGCTCGAGGAATCACCAAGAAGTCGAAACCCGATAGAGGTGTGAATACTCGAGCGGGCAACATCACTGTACGTGCTTTTCTGATTTCTAAGCGCATCGTACCAAAACCCTGCAGACAACCGCGCCTCTGAATGCCCAGAACGAAGAAGAGGGTTGTGACGAATTCGAGGAACTTGACGATGCTGTACGTCTATCGTTTATGATCGGACTGCATGTTGGTATCTGTTGCTCATCGAGACGATCTTCGGTGCGTCTTCTGAGGATTACGATGTTAGCTGGGATGAATCTCAGATGATGCGGGAGGCGAAAGCTCGGTGGTACGACCGAGCGTACGTGCTTGGTCATCCTGTGGACCAGGAAATGCACTGTTATAGTCTTAATACTGGTGCAAGAATTAGTTAGAAGGCAAAACTCCGTACCTTACTACTCTATCAAGATGGCCCTCTCCGTGTATACCGAACACGTATTTTTTGCCCTACCTTGTACATTCCATACTCCATGCTTGATCGGTTGCTTCTTGCTTTTCCCGCATACGATTCTATTTCTAGCTGTAGCACCTAGCGTCTTTGTAAAATGAATGTGGCATTGACATTTAAGCACGGTTTTCTTGACTACAACGGGTACTGAGATCGCAATGAATGTGTGGTATATGCCCCCGCTGGTATGCAGCTATCACCTTGCTCCCCGCTGATCCGTGCCTCTTCGGCCTGAGCGTTTTCTTTCGGTTGATTCTCCATGGCCTTCCTGACCTTGGCCGCGAGCTCTGGCGGCATGACGAACGTGTCATAGTCCGTCAGTGTCCCCTTTCCGCCACTCACGCTGATGTTCTGGAAGTTGACGTCGCCGTGCACTCGGCCCATCTTATGGATGACGCCAAGGCCTTGATACGTGGTGTCAAGAAAGTCAAGGGACTACATTTAGCTGTATATTCTAGCGCTATGGGCGACGTTCACGTACCTTGCATGGCTTCGCCAATGCGGCGGAACAGGCCTTGACTGCTGTCTACGTCCCACAGCGGCCTGAAGATCGGGGAGATGCACACCCGCGTGTGCCCCATTCTTACCTGCTTCGAAGCTGATGGGTTTCCAGTAACCAGGCCCTTGGGATCGATAATCTCGATCAGCCTTTCCTGCGGAACCACATTCAACCTGAGGTGCAAATCGTACACCGTCCCAGGCGCAACACGCTCCCTCTCGTCCGCATCCGCAGGCGATACAGGGAATCTCGCAGCCATGTCGGCGTACGTACCAAGGCGCGATGGCGGCGCTCGTGCGGACGCAAGGCTGAGGAAGTTGTTCATGAACAGCGCCTCCATGCCACCATACAAGCTATCCCCAAGCTGGGAAGCGTGCTCGTTCCACGCCCATGTTGCGCCGATATGCATGAGGTCTTTCCATTTGTGTGGGGGACAGCAGCTCGAGCAGGAATCGGCGGCAGAGGCTGAGTTGCACGCACGGAACGTGTCGGTGATTCGGATACGGGTGTACCGGGGGCACCTTGAAGTGCGATGTGGGCGATCGTGTGGGTTCTGTTCTTGATTTTCTGTTACCTCCTCGGGCTCAAGATCTTGCTGACCGAAGTACGTGAGTGAAGGGATGACGCATTCGTGGATGGCATCGGTGAAGCTTGGGACACCAAGAGGTGCACCGCGTGGTTTGGGCGGAAGTGTGCGGGTTACTGGTCGATATTCAACACTTTGGGAGTCATTCCGTGACTCAGAGCGAGTGATATCCCAGCCTAGCTGCTCGTAGCTTGTATGTACAAAGGACAAGATTGTGCGTGTCGTGGTCTCGACGTCCTATGCAGCATCCCAATCTGAGTTAACGGTAGCTTATATGCCATAGGATTATGGTAGACGGTGACTGAGCGTACCTGAACAACATCAAACATCTTCGAAATCTGCGCACCCTGAGAGTGCACTCGTAGCACACAAGCAGCGGTTCCCTCGATCATGATCCCAAAAGCAACACGTCGTCTGAGATCCCCCAGCAACACGCCCGCGAGACTTTGTATCATCTCGTGCTCGTTTTGACTCTATGGGCGTCGAGCGTAAGAGTTAAGGAAGAAGCAACGCAGGTTAGACCACACGTTCGACAGTGGCATTGCAGGTCCAACAATGTTCAAGAGACGTACCAGCTGTCTCCCGGAGCCCGCGTCGGTGGCCTCATGAAGTCGCACAAACACTGTGATATCTTCGCACCTGGGAGCATCACCTTGTTGGACCAACGTCTCAACGTTGATGCGTACAATGCATGCATCCGCGCCAACCTGAGGACACGCGGCGAGCAAAAAGGCCTCGCATGCCCTGGGTTCTGGAGTCTCCCCCAACCTCGCATGGGCTGCATCGAACAAACAACACAGAATGCGCAGGGGCCCTTTCGCCACGATACTCTCATTGAATGCCATTTTTGAGGTATCAGACCCATCTTGATCTGAATCGGAATCGCCGAGGACAAAGGCGTCGACGCTGGTAGTGTAGACGCTGTAGGCACTGTGAAGCAGAAGGTCGTCCTTGGTTGCCTTGATGAGATCAGGAGACAGCGTGGTCGGAAGTACATCCTCCAAACGGACATGTTTATAGTTCCTGTAGGCCATAAAGGTGGACAAATGAAACGGTGCTGAAAGCGATGGGTGCACAGGAGAACGCGTGAAAGGTACATTGCAAACTGTCAGCGAGAAAATACATCTTATTGTGTTAATGTTGATTTTCATCCATTCACTACATCCCGCTTGTCATCATATGAACCTCAGCTTGATACCCAAGGCCATATAACACCAGAATCATCATCTTGCATTATGAAAGTACAGCTCCACATTTTCTTCCTTTGCCGGATACCTATCTCTGGGTCACCTTTTTCTCTCCTCACGTACCATGTATAACACGACCACGTTTCCCTACTGCACCACAGCGTATGCCAATCTACTCCCAAGCTACTACAGTTGTATGCGCATGCACAATCGAGATTCCTGTTGCTGACCATGCCGTCTCACAGCCCCGGGTACATGAAAGTATCTTCACACATCCACTGACGGGACCCTGTCGTGCTGATACGACGCCGACATTCCATTGCTATCTGACATTGATACCTTTGTACAAATGTCACAGATACCATCCGTCCCAGCCGGTTGTGGAATTACAGTACGCCGACATGCATCCTACGGCATGTTGATGGGGATCGGTTTAGTTGATGAGCTATCTTGGTAGCAGCATTATTGGCTGCAGAGTGCATTTCGTCGGTGGACACGGCCTTCTCAGACATAATGTCAACGAAGTGACGCCGACTTTTATCTTCTCACACCACGCAGCTGGTACCACATGTATGGCGAAGTTATTTGCAGGTGAGTTGCACCCATTAGGTCCGCTGACATGATCGTGATCAGCTAGCTCGACGCCGACCATCAGTGTCAGCGGTGGACGACGACGGTATGCTCGATATACGATCCCACACGTTGTCCACGTCCACGGACCCGACCACCTTGTTCACACCCCCATGTCATCACGCCGCAAGCTTGCAGGACCATCATAGAGGAACAGTGATATATTAACGTGAGCGATGGTTTCCCCAAGTCTGTCCGCCGACCCGGACATCTGCGCAGTGCAGCACGCCGACACTGCGACTTATATGCAGCAACAATGCGATGATCCAGTCCGCCGACGCGACACCGCCAATCTCTACGCCGACTGTCAATGCGGGCATTAGAATCGCATTGGCTTTGTCAACGGACCCGACCTTTTTGTTCATGCCGCTCGTGTTATGACGCCGCATTGCACCAGGACCATCCACAGATGCAAGAATTATATGCAAATGCGAGCAGTGGTATTGATCATAGATGTACGGAATGACGCCGACAGTTTGTGGACGGCTGCGGTCAACACCTCTTTACTAATAATATTATAGTCAATTCTACTTATCAATGACTGACCCGAACATTTCCATATTCCAGCATGCAGCCATTGATATTTGTATGGAGCTGCAATTGACTGAGCTGGTCCGCTGACTCGACCCCTTCCATCACGCCGCCACCCATGGGACGCCGCTCATTGCCCTCCTGCACTGCGCAACCGACTAATATAACAATAGCTGGGATAGTAGTGTCAACCCCACCGCCTCAGACGCCGACACACCATCCGGGATTGGACTGCTAATAAACCTTCACTAATATTGTTGTAGTAAACTTTACTTACACACATGTCATCCGCGGACGCGACCTTCCCCATCCTCAGCGGATGTCCGTCAGCCCGACCTCGTCGGCGCCAACGGCCGTCCGTGCTACCGACCTCCTCGGTCGGCGTCCCCTGCATACACTGCAAGACTGGCACCAGGCAGCTCGTAGCCAATTGACGTTTGAGGCGGAGAAAAGGACCGTGAGAGCATCATCGCGTGGCAAGGAAGACAAGCGAATATACAGGTAATCTAAGGGATATGCGCGCCGACCCACCCCTATGTCAGTGATGCCATGAAACTGACATAGGCCAGTGCAATCTGAGTGGCAATGTCAGCCTCTGCCATCAGCCTCCTAGCGCCGACGTCGTCCCGAGCGTTGGACACGGCGTCAACGGTGTTATTGCCGCCGTGAACGTCGGCGTTGCCTTGATATTCTTCGTTGGCGTCGGAGTCGGCGTCGCTGGCCCTCACCCACACCTTCCCATCCTCTTCATCGTCAGTCGCTTTACAACTGTCAGATGTCACGAATGGATACCTTAGGTGGGGGACTTACAAACAGGGACATATGGGCGGGGCTTTGCCTTGGTCACTGTGCGCTTGCCCTGGACTTTGGTGCCGCCTGACGAGGTCCGCGCCGCCGATGACGCTGTGGACTTCTTCTTGTACTGATGTTCAGGAAGTCCTTGCGTCTTCTTTCTTGTTGCTTGCTTCTCCTGGTCGAGGCTGCACGGCTTCTTGCTGTTGGCGCACCGCTTGCAGGCCTTACCGTCGGCGCGAAGGCACACAAAGCCCCTGGTGCCGCACCTCGTACAAGGGGAAGACATGCGGGTCGCCAGGTGGTCGGGGATCGTTTGCGCGATCGTCGGTCGGCGTGGGGCCTGATCTCGTTCGGTACTGTGGTAGGGATGAGAGGGAGAGGGACTTACGCGTGCCTTAGGTGGACCCTTCGTCTTTTTCGCCGTGCTGGCTTTACCCTTCCCCTTCCCCTTCCCCTTCCCCGTCCCCGTCCCCGTTCCCGTTCCCTTGCCCTTCCCTGTCGCGGCTCCTGTGCGCGATCTCTTCGGCACGGGCTCGTCAGTCGGCGCGCTGGTGGCATGTCGCTTGGCCGACATCACGGTCGATTTCTAGCCAAAGAACACAAACGATTAGTAAAAACATCCGCGTAGGCTCTTTGACTCACCGTTTTGGGGTCAGTGATCACCACTGCGTCGAACTTGAGGAGGGTTTTCGCGTTTGGCACGGTGGACGGGTAGAAACCTGCGGCCTGGGGAGCGAACACGCGGACGGCGGAACACGCGAGGAATGGGGGCGGTGTCGGTGCTCGCGCAGGGGGGGGCGACGCGTCTCTGGCGGTGATGGCGGCGGCGACGCGGGAGGAGCGGCGGAATCGAGGGGGGGCGGACGCCGAAACCTCTGCGATTGCAGGAGGAGATGAGGGAGGTGGGGGGACAAGGCAGTTGTGCCACCACTCGTCGCCACCCATGTCCGCAACCGGCGCCTCCGGTTGCCATTCGAGGCACGTGGTCTTCAGGGCCGGATCGGCGCGGAGCCGATCCAGAGCGGCGCCGATGCCCCGGGAGTCGGCGATGAGGGCGAGGAAGGGGGGTAGAGCGACGATGTGGCGGAGTGCCGCCCACAACGGCACAAGTACGCCTCTAATGTCATCCTGTACGTAGGTCAATAGGAATGAGGTGAAGGTGAAAAAAAAGAGATACAACGTACAAATTCGGCGCGCATCCCATCTTCAAAGTACTGAGTCGGCAACTCGTCTTCGTGGCGGACCGCTGTTTGCAGGCGCAGCTCGGAGATGCCGAGGAACATCTTCGCGAAATCGACCGTGAACGCGACTGGCCACGCGATCTCGAGTTCCTGCGCCCATGGCGGCATTGTAACGATAGGGACGGCGGGGAGTTGGTGTGCCATGGCGTTGAGGCTGGGCGTGGCGTATCGAGTCTTGACGCGATTGAGAATTAGGAAGTCGCGTCAGACGCGGCGCGTCACGCGTCCGCGGACCTATTTGGTAATTATTTACATTTGTTTGTTCGTGCTTGCATTGCGCATGAATCATAACTTCGGCACCATGAACACGCTGTTACTGCATGGCACTCTTTTTCCGTGAAGTCGCTGACTTCATGCGGGCAGCAATGGCTGCCAAACGCTCCTCCAATGCCCTCCCTCCTATCCCATCTCATATTAGTCCGACCTTAGGTAGAAATGCGCTAAAGGCTGTTGATGTGATAGCTGACGCCGATGCATGTCCTGGTGAGCTTCTTTAATCCAAGTTGAATGCTCTAATTGTTTGTAGTGATCATGGATGGTAATATAGAATACCATGCTCAGCATATCGGAGGCCAGCGAGGAACAAACATAATGCGAGAGATTTTTCTAGAGTCTCACAAGCCCACCCTCAGCTGCCCGCTTGGAAACCCGCCGTGGGACAGCACCACAGCCGACCCCTTCACATGCCGAATCAAAGCACGCCGCCCATTCAAGCTTCTTGACGACGGAGGGAGAATCCCGCTCTGGTACCTACCCAACGTGCTAGATGAGGATATGCAGGACAAGGTGTTTCAAGATCTGGAGCAAGTTCACCACTTGCTTACAAAGGATATCGAAGGCGCCGCCTCACCCGAGATGCCTGATACTGCAAAGGGGTGGAGAAGTGCGGCGTACCTTTACAAGGATATCTCTGATTGTATCCGGGCGCCGCCAGGAGGAATCAATGTCTCGCCCGGATGGTATGCAATTGGCCAGAATGTATGTACCCGGTTCTCCTTTGTTTATGTGTTCTGACATGGGGGATACTGACCGGCCTACCACCAATTGTAGAACCCATCTAAGGCACCGACGCCGTCCCATCGGCGCATCGCCAGGGTGTGGGCGTGGGTGTCGGCGTCGAGGGAGACATTCACATTGATGTCTGGAATACTTTCTCTGGTCCATCCTGAGCAGTATGCACAGGGTGTGAAATGCATGCAGAGGATCATAGATAATTCTGATTTACAGGAGTACGCTGAACAGTGGGCTTGCGTCTTCAATGCAGTTACGGCCTTGACAAATAGGGAGACACCATTTCATCGGGATGGTTCAGGCACATTCCCCTGGTATGACATTCTTCTCACTGTCGGAAGGTACACAAGGGGTCAACTATCTTTACCGGCACTGGGTTTAGACCTTGACTATTGCCCTGGGACAGTTGTACCTTTCTGTGGGAATGTCTTGCGGCACGGTGTTCCCCATTGTGAAGGTGAAAGGATTTGCCTTGCATTTTATATGCGAGAATTTGTACATTTGTGGGCAAAGACTGGGAAGGCGGCATGGTCTATGGGTGTGGATGTAAAGTAGTCCAGATACGATTAGGATTGTAGGTAAATGTCATCTTTGTATGTATGCAAGTTAAGCCGTTGTGGTGGCGGATATTCTGATAGTAGGAGGCGGAAGTCTGATATTGCACCATCCCGTAAGGCAACAGCGTCATCTTGGCGTCGGCGTGCAAAAGCCTTGTGACCCGGAGATTTGGCGTCAGAGTTGTCGACACGCCGCTGCCACAAGCGAGATTCGGCGTCCCAAGAGTTGGGAATCCACACCATTTCGTGGCGAAGAAGTGTCAGCTCTTCGCGGCATCGATCAAGTCGGCATCGAGCTCTGAGCCAATGCAACCGTGCAACTGTACATAAAGATACATCAGTGAGCAGTGCGTTAGGCAAGTATTATTAACTCACATTGTTGGAGGATCTGGCTGTCCTCGTCATCACCAAGTGCCTTGTCAATGTCCAATGACCATAACCAAGGGAGGCCTCTGTGCCGATTCCCTCGTTCTGACGGGTTCAAAAGCGATGTACTTGCGGTGAGATCTTGCAGCGTTAGAAGTTTATACTCTTTGACCTTGCTAGGCTTCTTCGCCAAGGACAACATTGCTTCCCTGGCACGGTTGTAATATAACCTGTATATGTTTATCTTCGCTGTCTGCGCATCGACGCGTTGTCGGGCGGCGTCACTTTTATGTTGACTATGCTTGGCATGCCTGACATCAGTCCGATACAAGACTGACTTCTTCCCGATATACTCTCGAAGCTTCTGGATGGCGTCGTGGGCCTGGCCTTTGCGAAGCTCCATCTCGATGGTGATGAGGGGTCCCAGGCCCTGCATCTTGCATTCGTTGCGACCAAAGGCAGACGGTAGCCCGATTGTACGCCGCTCTGGTTGTATTTGAGCGGCGTCACTCTGCTCCTCCTGGTACTCTTTTGCCATGTCAGAGTCGGCGTGGAGCTCACTGTCCCATATTACGTCGGTGTTATTGCCACCAGCTATATCCAGAGTGATGGAAGTGGAGTTGTCATGGCCAATCACAAGATCACCCATATAGGTAGATGCATCCTCTAAAAATGTGTCGATCATTGTGAGGAGGTTACGCCGATCTGACTCCAGCTTAGCTGGGTCACCACGCTGAACACGCCGCCCCATTTCACGGATAAACGTTTGGATCCTCAGCCTATCATTGGATATTCAATATGTGAATCCACGTTGGCAATTGAATATACGCACTGATACTCTTCAATATCAATTCCCAGGTTCATCCAGCGGATAATGTCAGCCATGGGGTCTTTGGCGGCGTGAGTCTGCAATGGCGGGGCACTCGTGTTCGCAGCTCCTTCAGGTTGCATCGAGACGCCGTTCTTCCGCTGCGAATGTGTCTTGGAGATCTTTTCTGAGCATGCCGCACGACTCGGAAGCTTGCCGATCTTG